TAAGATCCAAGCTTCCTTTAGGGCCGGTGGGCTGTCCAGGCATTGGAGCCTCAACGCCCACTAACGCCCATAGGGGAATTCGAGGAGACATAAATGGCCGGCTAGGAACAGGCTAAATCGGCCTCCACCTGGGGCTTGTGCTTTGGCTTTTAGGCTTCGCTCGGCGGTACCTGCATTGAAAGTCTCCAGAGGCCAGGCGCCTGCCCACTCATCGTGCCTCCTGCTGCGGGTCTCGCTCACTCTGATCTTTCCCTCCTACCGCGCCCCCGGCTAGTGAGGCACCTCCCTTATTGTGCCCTCGTTCCCGCCTCTGCCCTTCTTCTTCCCATCCTCACTGCCGCCCTTTAACCACATTTCCATCTTTTTTCCATCTCTCCGTCCAACACCTTCTTTCTTTTTTCACTTGTTTCTTCAATTGCCCTGCCTCGAGCGTGCCTTTCACTCTTTCAAGGCCCTCGACCACATTCATTAGGCAACTTGCGTTTTCAACCCCATTTCAACTATCTACGGTCCTTACCAATTCCACCTACAACCCCCCTTTTCAACAACATCGACACAAAACTACATCGAAGTAATTCCGTATTCGACTGCCTGGATCAGCGAATCGAAGCCCTTCACTCCCCTCCCGCACGAATACGAACGAAAGGATATCGATTCCTGTATCTCGTCTCGTATATAGCCATTGAGCATTCCACTCGTTGAAAGACAACTTCGATCGACATTGGGCACACACACGATGGACGCAATGGAGCCCATCTCTTCCGACCTCACCGACTTCTCTCCCGAGTCAACCCCTTCTCCCATGGCTACTTCAAGCACGCCACCCCAGACATCAAGCAGCGCCACGTCAGCTCCTACTTCTGGTCCCAACTCAGCGCGTCGACCACCTCGAAAGAGTACCCTGACCCAACAGCAAAAGAACCAGAAGAGACAGAGGGCTACACAGGATCAACTTGTGACGCTAGAAGCCGAGTTTACAAAGAACCCAACTCCTACCGCAGCTACGCGAGAACGCATCGCGTCGGAGATCAACATGACGGAACGTTCGGTGCAGATCTGGTTCCAAAATAGGTATGTAGTCTCAACGGTGATTGCACGTGGTATTTTTGGCTAATTTATCTTGTCTAGTCGTCGACGAGCGAAGATCAAGATGCTTGCGAAGAAGAGCTTGGAGAGTGGTGAAGACTGTGACAGCATCCCAGAATCCTTGAGACAGCTGCTGGCCATGCAGGCCATGGAATCTGGCAGACCTTTTCCTGGTCAACTCCTCCGCCGACCGGGCGGCCCAATGGCTCAGTACGGTGGCGGTGGAATGTTGATGAACGGAGATCCTAATGCTCAAGGCAAAGTTGGTGAGTTTTCCTGATCCCGAGGGTTTCGAGCATACTTCTGACGTGCCTACAGTCATCCAGCACTTCACCTGTCGATCCCTGAGCATCGGTAGCTGGCGACGAGTCGGTCAGAACGCGATGGACCTCGTCATTTTCTACTCGCCCGACAAGGCTTGCATCACGTACTACATCAACAACGACTCGGCTGGATACAAGATCGAATATCCATTCGCTTTCATCAAGAGCATTCAATTGGAACCTGGTGACACGGCTCCAAATGCCAATGGATCTCCACCCCGGCCCGGCGGGCTTGTCATTGAGTTGACCAGGCCCCCGAATTTCTTCATGGACTCGTCCAACTCTGGAGGGTTCTACCAATGTGGTGACTTTACCGAAGATCAACAAGCCTCTCAAATCTTGACGCATCACCTGGGAGGTCACCCGAAGGTGTTGAGCGGACAGCTTGCTAAATTGGTCTCCCTCGAGTCTTTCCAGAACCGACATAACCCATTCGACATGAATGCTATGCCTGCGTCTGCACCAGTCTCACCCACCATGGGCATTGTCAGACCCGCGTCTCAACCTTCAGTCCAGTTTGCGCGGCCCCATCCTCCTCATGTCGGCATGTTCCAGGAACAATATGGTGTCAATCATCATCTTCACCCTGGTCGTATGCATCCTGGTCACAAGCGTCAACGAAGTCGATCGGTACCCATCGCACTTGATTTCTCCATGCTTCACGGACCTATGCCTACATTCCATGTGCAGCAACCCTCACCTCAAATGACGCCCGATCATCACAATCTCTTCCAGCCAATGCCTCAGCAGCCTGTGCAGACTCCAATCGGCCCAACCTTGCAGATTGATACATCTGCTGGTTACGGGATGGATTTCCGTCAGATGCCCATGTCCGCAACGGCCACATCACCGTCAGAATTTGCCAGCCCTGGCTTCTTCCCGTCCAACACGTCCCAAGGACCAATGCCTGCTTCTGAATTCGGAACGCCCCAACAATTCAACATGCCCTTCCTCTCACCTTCCCCCATGGTCGATGGTCACATGATGCCTTCGTCTGTTTCTCCTATGCCTCACATGGGTCATCCGGATCCGGTCATTGCGGACCACTCACCTCCGTTGTCGGCACTACACCGCAGCGCCTCGGCCGACATGTTCAACATGGGCCATGACGGCAGTGGCATGATGGACGAGACATTGATGCTCGGCGAGATGTACTCGAAGCAGAATCTCAACATGCCCATGCCAAGTCCGGGGATTGACGAGAAAGGCATGTTGATGATGAACGACATGTCGGAATTCCACACGCCGATGGAGCACATGGACATGCCAATGACGCCGTTTGGCACCATCGATCCGAACAGCCTGCAAGCTGGTCTACATCACTAAAGTTGACGAACAAAGCCCTTCCTGTAACAGTTTGAATGACCTTGATGCCTTCCCTAGAAATCTAAATCTTGCACCATCTTGTTGAATTCCGCCGAAAATCTGGAATCCTTCTCGATTTCCATTCAGCACTGTCCGGACGGCGCCAAAATCTCCTGTTATATATTGATATCGATATCTCCATGTTAGTACGCGCGGCCGAGTTTGCCTGCTGTCTGATAGCGTGGATAGCTGTCAATTCTGTTCTTGTTTCTCTCTGTTTGTTTCTGTCTAGTTACGCGGTCATGCATCGGAAACGACTCTTTTGTTTTTTGGGGTCTGGGTATCAATTTGAGAGAGGGAATTTTCTTTCTTGCCTATTATTTTTGAGATGTTGCACAAGAGGGTGTGGAACGTTTTTTGGGGCGAGTACAACTTTTTGTTTCCTTTTTTCTTTTCCTAAAACAAAAACGCATCGAAGGGGGAAGTGAGAAGGGGACTTTGTTTGATATTGGAAATCAAAAAAAGAAATTTCCTCTCCGATTGTTTCTGCGGTCTCATCGATTGTGATAAGTCGCAAAGACATTTTCCTCCCCTTGGAAAGGATGCAATCTTGTGGTAGTGCACGGGACACGTCAAAGGGGGTGAGGATTGGTAATTCCTTTTCCATTCAAAGATAAAGCAAAGATCAAGACTGGGAATGATGCGACTTGTCTTTTTTTCTGCTTTTGTTCGTCAAAATGGTCGAGAGAAGTTTGAGAGTGGGCGTGTGATGGGAGGGGATATAGGTTATTTCATTTCATCTCCTTGGGTCGCTGTTGTTCTCCTTGGTGGTGGTGGTGGTGGGGTTGGATTGGCATAGCGGGTTGATTGATATTTAGTAGGTTGGTAGGAAGGTAGTTTTTCTACTCCTGTAGAAGAATCAGGATACATGAAATGGAACCAAGAGATTGTTTTACTCTGTCGTGGTAGTGAAGGTAAGGGGGAATGTAGAAGGAGAGGGGAGGCGAGTGGGAGGGAAAATGGTACACGTTATATCTTTCATTTTCCGGCTTCTATTTTGTTTTCGATGGTGATTTTAATATGATTAAAGATGGAGTATGAAGATATGGATACACAAACAATTTAACTACCCAAGTAGTTTCCATGGTGAGATGAGATTGTGAAGTCGTGGTGGCGGCGGCGCGGGGGGGGGTGATTGTTTTTTTGTTTGATGGGAAAGTAGTGAACTTGTGAAGATGGCAAAAATACTGTGGGCAATTTCTTTTTTTCTTCTTTCTCTACGGACTATTACGGAGGATATTTTGTTTTGATTACCCTTGGGTACGGAGTACCTGGGTAGATTATACTGTGGGTGTTTAGGTACCCCGTAAGTACAGTACAAGTAGGAAATTGGGGCTTGTGCACCCCGTGCCGCCGCCGCCGCCTCCCTCCTCCTCATAGAAATTGTGACAAAACTCGACGTTGCCGTAATAAGGAGTCAAGTATCCGTACGGAGGTGTTTTGAGCCTCAAATTTCCATCACCTACCTACCTAATGGTGGTGGTGGTAGTAGTAGTAGTACACCTATGATTACTCGGTCATTCAAGTTACAGTCGACGCAACACACACACACACATAAAGACTCGCAGAGAAGTGACTGTTTTTTTGTGGTGGTGAGTGTACCGAGAGAGTACATGCGAGGGGTGTACCTTACTTAGTAGAGATTACTCCGTTCCCCCATTTTATGAATATGAATCATCTTTCTTGTTTGTGGCAGTAATATAGTTACTCCTTGCCGTAGTTTTTTTATTTTTTTTTGGCGGTACGGAGTACATGATATTGATCGGGGGGTTCATTTCCCCCTTTGAAATTAGGTATTACCGACCTGTACGGAGCACGGAAGTAATAGGTACGGAGTGTCCCGTATTAATTTCAAGTATACTCCGTACATTGGGCGAGGCTGAGACCAGGCTGTCCGTGGCTTCGTCCTGTGGCGTCTATTGTTTTCTTCAACTCCTCTCTACCGGGGCTTTCGCCATCACTGCTACTCCATATTCAATTTTGATTGTTGATTTTTGATTGTGATAGTGCCATATTATGGACTAGTTACATAGTACAGAGTTGGTGTTTTGTGTGTAATCGCCGGTCATTGTTGTTTTTGTTTTGGAAAACAAAAAATTGAAATTGTCGCCTTGAGATTTCGAATTTCGAATTTCCCAAACACAAAAACAAAAACAAACCGCGTCTATATAAAAACACCACACCCTACTGGAATTTGCCACGAGTAGAACCCGGACCGAGTATGGCTCAAAACTCCTTTTCTTCAACAACCACCCTCTCATTCGACATGTCAACCCCCAATTCCTCCGTCAAGGTCTCTTCGATATTCTTCATAAACTCCCTCATTTGAAGGTCATCATGATAAGAACCGTTCCAAACCACATGAATGTTCAACTTGGACTCGAACGTCCAAGCTCTCAAGACGATTCCAGGACTCAAAGGGTCCGCGAAGAAGTCCAAATCTGATATTTTGATCTTGATTTGTGATTTCTCAACCTCATCATCATCGTCGTCATCGTCATCACCACCACCACCACCACCACCACCACCACCACCACCACCACCACCACCACATTGGTATTCGGACTTGATCGTTTCCCCATCAATCACACCCAAACCGGTAAAATAAGCCAACGAGACAGGTTGATCAGGTGGTGTCCTACTCCCCAACATACTGACTTGCTCACTCGTCTCCTTTGAGTCTTGGTACATCCACTCTTTGTCGTTTGCGAGGTTGTATTGCCCCTTCAGGCCGAGGGCTCGGGTGATGAAATCTTGTCCCGGCGGTACGACCAGCATCAACATCTGCGCCGACGACCAACATCCTTGGTCCCTGTACGGCGACGACCGAGGTAGACGGGTGCGGACTTGGGCTGGCATGAGGCAAGCGTAGTTTCTTTTTCGGTCGCGAATTGCCCGGTCACCGTTTTGACCACGTTCTTCTCGGAGATGAAGAGAATTTGATGAGCTTGAAGCGGAATACACGGCCCCAATGTGAGCCGAGTGGATGGCCGCCGTCACACTGATCCCGTGACTTTTACAAGACGCGTGTAACGTCTCGGTGGCATCGACGCTGTATACGTGTCGGATCTCCTTGACCGGACCAAACGGTGTGCTTTCCCCCCCGTGATGATGCGACATTGGAAAATCCACACACGGTAAACTGGAAAAGTACTTTTCGAAATGCGCCGCGACACGTCCTTTGGACTGGGGAGTCGTCGTGGTGCTGTCGGGCATGAGTATGTCTTCCATCGCCGGCGTCAAGAGGGACACCTCGTCTCCTGGTCGATAAGAAGACAACCTCGCGGCGATACTTGACGTCTTTCTTGTCGTTGTTGTTGTTGTTGTTGTCGTCGTCGTCTCTGTTGTCAAAAGATCCGCCGCGAATGAAAAGATGTTGTCCAGTATCTTGAACGCCCCAGCCGCCTCGGTCCTCCAGTGACTAACATACAGAATCAATGTACCTCGAAACATGCCCCGGTCGTCGTCGTCGTCGTCGTCGGCTTCTAGACTGCTACTGCTGCCGCGGGTTGAATGCGAAATGAGTTGACATACAGGCAAGAGTTCGATTCGTTGTTGCATCTCCCTCACCGCGCTTTGGACCGTCGTGTCAGGCTCGCCGGACACGATGAACGTTCGTTCCACCCAAGCATCCAACTCGGACGGTGAGGGTACATGGTACACTTTATCACACCCGTCCTCGAATGTCGTCGCTATGTCCGGAGATTTCAACAGACGAAACGCTTTCCACGCCGTTCGAAAGGCCGAAATCACTTTCAGACGTGACCGGTGGGAGACTGTGAAATCCACAAAGGCGTTGATCCTGATCAGTTCTCTCGGTGACGGGCGAAAAGCTTCCACGGCCGCCACCATGCCCTTTTCTGAAACGCTCAAGGGTCTTTTGAATGTGCCAGGCACGCCGGGGGATTCTCTCCAGGCCATATTGACAAAAGAATAGCTGCTGGTCAGGAGAATGGTTCATACAGTAATGCTGAGGTTGGATGTCTCGCTTTCTCTCTTGTTCTTTTTCTCCCTCTGCTTTTTCCTTATGGCGTTGGAACCGATTATAATAGAAGAGCCACTTACTCTCCTGGAGGGAATAAAAAGTGTCTTTTTATTTTTTATTTTTTTCTGTTAAAAAAAAGCAATGATGAGGTTAGATAAATTCAATCCTCAGAGTTTGAGGATTGAGATTGCTAAACTGGATCAGGAAACTGGTGCACAGAAAGTTAATTATATTCGGACGAAGCAGCTCGCACATTCACGTCGTGTATTCTTGAATCTATCTATCTGAGATACTCGGGAAAAATATACATACTCAGTGTCTCTTAAACCTCATCACTTTCAAGATCTATGAAGATGAGACCTGCTAACCATATGCTGTTGCACTTTCTTACCTAATCACACTTTTTTCCCCCGCCGAATAAACATATGAGGAAAGACTTGTTTGTTATTCAACTGTAACGACCCAACCTTCACCTACAACCGACTCTCCTCTTCTACCTCCCCAAATGACAAAAACATTACCTCCTTGATCATTCCAAACGTCACAGCCAAAATCACTCAGACCATCCGGCCAGCCCGCATCGACTTCTTTGCCTATCTCGTTCCTCTCCTCCTGCTGGTGCTGAGCCCCTTTCGAATCACTCTTCTTGGCCAGCTCACACTTCGCCCAGGTATGCTCACCAGAGCTCCATGAATCCTTTGCGCGACTAACGAAATCTCTGATCTTGTCCTTGATACCTGCTGCCGAATTTCCCTCGGACTGAGTCTGGAATGACCAAAAATCATTAAGCTCGCCCGATTTCACTTCTTTACCCATGAAGTAAAGAAGGTATTGTCGGCCTGCCCCGGTAGTGATGGGCACCAACCCGGCAGAAGGCCTGGGCATAGGAAGCTGCGATGAGGTTGTGTTTGTGGTCTGGGATGAATCTGTGGCTTCTGTGCCAAAGCTGATGACTTGCCATTTCCCATCTCCTTTCAAGCCTATCCCCAGCACTGACGCATTGTTTGTTTTCGGACCACCAGGTAGATCGGTGTTAGTATTCGGCGGGCCGGGATCATGTTCTGCCAGGTCCAGGTACATGGCTCGACCGAAACCATCGCCGAGTCTCCATAGTCTGTTGTCGACGTGCACGATTCTTCCCTCGTTGGCGACTTCCAAAGGACCAGGGTCTGGGATGTCAGGCAACCTGGTCCACACCCGTGTTCCAACATCGAAAGCCCAGGTATCTCGCAGCTCTGTAGAGAGAGCATCACCACCACCATCTGCGCCAGTACTACCTCCGTGAATGAAAATCGTGCCGTGGGCGGTGACCTTGGGGCCATCGGGGAGCGACGCAGGTCGAGGATGCAGGGAGGATGTGGCGGTGTGGTTGAATCTCGGTGAGGGTAGACCATCCCGACATTTTGAAGTGTCGGCTGTCAGAGTACTGTAGGTATTGGTTGTCGTGTCGAAAACGAGAAACTGGTCTGAGGATTGAGGATGAATATCATGGGCAGATTGGTCTGCTGTCACGCCTTTTCCACCCCAGACGTAGAGTTTGTCGTCGATGGCTGTCGTAGTATGACCTATCCTATTGAAATGGAAAGAAGAACGACGGGTCTCTTCGACTCTGACCTGAGGATCAAGTGGACGGTCATCATTCTTGAATTCTGGTTGGATACCCTCGAGGTCCTGGGGAGCCAGATCTCCTTCGCCGTCGGTGGAGGAAGCGACTGGTAAGGTGAGGCTGACGACAGTGTTGGCCTGCTCGTTGCCACCAATGACATATGCTTTTCCCTTGACGATATTGAGGGTGTGTCCCGATCTGGCAATGTCGTGTTTGTGGCTTGGAGATGAGATTTTGTGGAAAGTGAGATGTAAAGGGGAGGTCGATTTGGACACGGCTAATGCTCCCACCGCAGCTCCTTCGACGACTGTCTCGGCCGCGTAGAGACCTGCTGCTACTTCTGCCATGGTCGATACGTACTATGAGGTGTGTCTGAGTGCGGTGAGATTAGGATTATCTACCAAGTGAACCTGAAGTTCGTGTTTGTAGTCCAGATTGAAGACCACGAGTAAACACGAGTACGAGTACGAATACAAGATACGAAATGATGTCACGTCTAAACACTCCATGTTATGATGCAATAATCGTCAAGGGTTTATTGTATTTACTCCGTATCAAAACATGATCCTATGAGGGCAGTGCGAGTCACACAATTCTCTGAATGTAGGTACGGATCAAGACAATGTTCAGGTCGATTGAAGGCCTCGTTCCAAGCTCCTCTCTACTCGTCCAAGGAATTCAAACATATTAATAAGGCAGATGATTGATCAGTCATTTGATCGACATACATACGGATAGTCACGACCCCCCCATGCATCTTCCCGCCAGCCACACGCCATGTATACGTAAAAACCTGCAGAAACGCGGTGACACCGTCATCCCAACCTGGTTTGAGGCGCCTGCACAAACTCATCAAGGATGCGCCTTAGTTTGGCAGGAGAGTAAATTAACTGGTAGGTTCACGGGGTAATAAAACTGGGAAAATACCTTTGGTGGGCAGCGTGGCTTGTTCTTCTGACCTTTAAGCTCCTGCTCCTGCACCTGTCACGAGGATGAGAATCAAGGCAAGAGCTTTCTTCGCTTCTGTTTGATCCCTATACAAAAAGTCAACAGGTTCCTTTCCTTCTGACCAACTCGACACTCTCTTCCGTAACCACTGCAAGACCAAATCAGCCGACAGCTTACAGTATACTCAAGACCTGCCATCCTGTTACCAAACTACTAAATTCACTTGTATTCAACACCATCACAGGCTTCACAATGTCCACGACGGAGGAAAAAAAATCTGAATCGGGCACGACGACGTTACAAGGGTCCCTCCCTCTCGACACGGGAACATACCAAACTCCTCCACCCTCCGCCTTGCGCAGTGCGTGCCCCATGATCAACGCCCTCGCCAACCACGGCTACCTCCCCCGCGACGGACGACAAGTCACCGCGGCTGATCTCGAATCCGCCATGTCTCTAGTCGGCCTCAGCCCTTTCCTGGGAGGTCTATTCAGCAATGCCGTGTTTCTCGAGCACCCGACCCCCGATTCACCCAAACCGTCACTTTTCTCTCGTCTTCGTGCCATTCTACGCAATCCGTGGGAAATCCTCCCCCATCGTCTCGGCGTCATTCTGCCGGGACAGGCAGAGACAACGTCTGCGGAGAACCCACCCATCAGGGCCCCGACACTCACATTGGCCGACCTCTCCCTCCACGGCGCCATCGAGCATGACGTCTCTCTCTCCCGCCGCGACGAGGCCCAAGGTGACAACCACACTCCTCAGCATGACTTGATCTACGAGATCATGGCTGCGTCCAACGGCGATAAGACGCTCACCATGGATGACCTGTGCGCTTTGAGGAAACGCCGGATCCGGACGCAACGAACCGACAATCAGGAATTGCAGTACGGCAGCTTCGAACACGAACTGGGATGCGGTGAGATTGCGTTGATGCTGAAGATTTTCGGCGACGGAGAGAGCGTGAAGCGGGACTACTTGCAAGCCTTCTTCGCCGAGGAGAGATTGCCTCTTGCAGAAGGTTGGGACATGACGAGGAGAAGATCGTGGTGGAAGAGGTTGGGTCTTGTCGAGTTGAAATGGACCGTCGAACAGGTCAAGAAGAGGATTGGCAAGGTATAGATATGGAATGGAGAGATATGCCTTGCCGGGCCATTCGGAAGCACTTTGTCGCGGGTTTGAGATATCGATATCGTGAGTTCTCGGAACTTGAGGCGTACGGAGGACATGTGGCTTTCTTTCTTTGTTATGGTCGCTACGATGCCGTGGTCGTGTTAAGTATATCCATGAATATAGATACCCAAGTCAGTAGTCAGTAGTCGGCGTGATGATGAACATTCCCTCTCAATACGAAGTACTAATGGAGAACTTCCATGTCACGATAGCCAACGTAATCCAACCTAAAGTGCTACAGTGTCGCTGGTGAAAGAAAGAGACATCAAATCAGATTGTTGTTCTTGCTAATTTCCGTTTCATTAGGGTATCGTATGCATAGGTAAACGTGAGGTCTCTCTTCCCCCTTACTCCCTCTTTCCCATCTCCTTTTTTCCTCTTCTAGTACCTCTTCTCAAGAGTGTGATACTGTCCGAGGGGAAAGAAAAACACTACCGCTTCTTCCTTGTATGCCAAATTTTTTTTCATTTTTTTTTATTTTTTTAAAAAGAAGGAGGGTCACCGCTTCTCATCGACCGCCTCCAACATCCTCCTGATTTGTGTCTCGTTGGCCACCTCGGCCAACCTGCCCTCCTTGAGCCTGTCCCACCAGTCGAACAGCATGCCCTCGCAGATCAACCTGAACCAGGGGGTGTACTTGAGGGCCTTGTCCTTGCCGGTCTTGGTCTCGACGTCCCTGAACATCTGCCTCAGCTCGCCGGGGCCGACCCACCTCGTGTCCCTGACCTCGTTGACGTTGACGTCCAAGGTGACGTCGGCCTCGATGAAGAGGATGTAGTCGATCTCGTGCTCCCCCCACTTGCCGTCCGAGGGGGCGAGGTAGTGGATGCGCGTGAGGAAGTGGAAGCCCTCCACGGGGACCTGCGACGCCGGGATCCCCAGCTCGTGGTTGAGCTTGCGGACGGCGGCCCGCTTGGCCCCTTGGACGTTGCTGACCAGGTCCCCCTCGCCCGTCTCCGAGGGGTGCGCCAGGGGGTGGGAGCAGCAGGTGTTGGTCCACATGTCTGGGAAGGTGATCTTTTCCGACGCCCGCTGCTGCAGCAGCAGCTTCTTCGTCCGAGGGTCGAACACGAACGCCGAAAAGGCCCGGTGCAGCAGGCCCCGGTCGATGTTGGTCATGAGGTGGCAGGCCTTCTTGGAGGCCGACCCCAGGACCCCGTCGTCGTCGTCCAGCACGATGCACACCTCGTCCATGAGCCGGATCTGCTCCTCGTCGTAGCCCGCGAGCAGGTCGTCGTTGGGCGTCGACGTGGACGGAGAAGTGAGAGAAGGGTCGGGCGTCGCGTTGGGGGCCATGTCGGCACCGATCAGTCGGGTGTGGACGTCGGGGAAGAGGGTGGTGACATTCTCGCGGGTGATGTTGGTGGTGGCGGCGGTGGCGGTCGTCGTAGCCATTTTTGTGGCTGCTGCAACAAGTCTATGAACGAAGGTTGTGTGTCGGTCGAGGACGCCTAGCAGCTGAACAAGTAGAGGGCAAAAGGGAAAAGAGTGGGCGGTGAAGTAGAGATAGGTTTATCAGACGATCCAAAGTACGGAGTAGTTCAGTTTATCAACTGCGACAAACTCCTGCTCCGACACGGAAATATTTTGTCCCCCACAAGAACCCCCCCAGTCACGTGCCAGGGGTACAACACTCTTGTCGGCTACACTGCATCCCGTGTGGGTCGACCAGACTGCGGCTTGTACGATGCTGGTCTATCGGGTAAGATGACTTCTTTTATCTTTACTCCATTATGCCTACTATGTACTCCGTACATACACCTCAACTACTAATATAGACTAAGACAAGTGATAATGGAGGCTCAGAACTGCCCCGTAACCCCAGCCATCACCACCACCTCCTATTGTAGCACCTAGAACCCTGACCACCCAATCGAATATTCAGAGCGTGATGAATGTAGATGTCCTAAATCTCAGTGCATGCAAGCCTTAGGAATATCAATTCTTCATGAGTACATGTTGTATCAAAAATCACAAACTCCATACTGCTCGCTAAGCTCTGATTTTCGTAACAATTGTCCTGGATTGCTCCAGCCAACTCTATCCCAGCCTGCAAAGGTAATCCACCTATACACTGACCTCGCCCTCTTCGTCGGCCACCTCGGCGCTCGAAGTAGAGAGTTCTTTCGTAAACTCATTCGTGTCAGTTGTCAATTCCTCCCTGCCACTAGTCTCTTTGACATCATGGTTCTTGATGTCACTGAGAATTCGTTCAAAGTAAGCTTTCAGAGTCCTCAGCCCTCGCAGGTAGCCGCGATCAATGTCATGTGGATGAGCTGGTGGCGCCTGAGCATTGGGCGGTAATTCATCCTCACCAGTAACGCAATTGGCAAAATCCACAATCTTGATATCGATCGGTGGAGGCCATTTCTTGCCTTCTCGTTTCTTCAGCTGTACAATGTCGATGCCATTTCTGGTCGCTTCTTCAGCTTCGCGGGACTTATGAGGCTCGGCATCGTACAGCATGAGAAGCGAGCTTGCATAGAACCGGTATCCAGGAAGCCTTCTGACCATGCTTTCGAGCTTGGAAAGTTTGTGCAGAATGGTTGGGATATGTCGTGCCACACTGCCATAGCTAATTCCATCGTACAGGAATCGTGTGAGTGCTTCTCGAAACTCGCGCCCAGCCTTGAGATCACGGCCATAGTATTTGTCTTCGTAAGTTGCCTTTTGTGTCTTTGCATCAAACGTCTGCATTCCACAGATTCTGACACCGAGCTGTTGCGAGGTTGTCATCTTGCACTTGCGGCGCTGAGACTCCATCTTCTTCTTGGTGGCTTCAACGCCGAATTGTCTAGTTCCCATCTTGAGATCCAGCACACAGGGACGACCCATACCACTGGTTAAATCTTCCAAAAGGATGAAATACGCCACCCGATCACCTGAATTTGACGACTGTGCTTCTTTGGGATTGGACGGAACTATGTTGGTTTCGACCTGTTCTGGGATGTTGTTGAGGCCACCGGCCTGATCGCTTGTCTCATCAGAATAGTCGAAGCCATTCTGATGGCCGGCATTCCGAGAATTCTTACGTTCCTTGAATGTACCGGCTTTCAGTTCTTGATCCATACTAAACACATCGTTTCCGGTATCTGGGCCGATATCTGTCGAGTAAGCTTCGTCCTCGAAATACTCCAAATTGGTGATATTGTCGTTGACCGACTTCCGCCTTCTTCGCAAACCCATACCAGAGTGCCGTCTTTTTACATGAGGAGCCCTGATGTCTCCACTAGAAGCAGCAGAGAGATCGCTGCCGGTAGTTTTGACCTTTTCAAGCTTGTACTCGTCGTATGCGGATGCCGAAGACGAATACATACCCTCTGTACTTTGGCTAGTCACACTGGATCTGGTGTGAGATGGTGTTAGTAATGGGGGAGTCTTTATGGTCACCTCCGGAAGAGGTCGTCGTGGATGCCCTTCAGAACTTTGTCCGTTCTGTTGAGGCAATGAACTGACTGAAAGATTGCTTCTGCGACGACTACCGTGGTCACCTTTAAGCCTCGGCATAGTACTGTGGGCGGCTGGATGACGACGAAGGTACTGAATGGGAGGTGGCCCAAAAACTTCCCGAAGTATCTTGTCCTTGAGTCCTTCATTGACGGATGTGTTGCCCCAACTGGGGGAGTGTTCTGGCATGGATGGCCTGCTTGGGGATCTAATGAGGGATCCATTCTTATGCAATGGCGAATCTGAAATGTCAAAGTCTTTGCTCGGGCGTCGCCCATGGTTAGGGTCGGCGCTCCTAGGTCGTTCCGGCAACAAAAAGTAGTCTGAAGGGATAATATGCTTATTCTGTTCGAGGATCACCTGGGGAATGCTACCAATTTGTTGCGAGTGGCTGACAATACGTGGCTGGGTAATTTCTTTGATCGCCTCTGTAGCTAATTGCCCCGTATGTCCTCGGTTTTCTGCAGTAGTGCTCAACTCAGGGCCATTAGCTCCCGATTTGTCATCGGTTGAGGATTCCGTGGTTGTGCTTTGTTTAGGGCCTTTGGAGAATGTGACATTCAGCACACCGATATACCTAGGAAGAAATTTGAGCATATCGGGGTGCCTGTGTTCAATTCTTTCGTAAAACTCGTTCTCTCGGTTGTTCAATTGCTTGCAGACAGCACGACGAGAGAACCGAAAGATGGTCGAGTGGCCGCCAACTTGATGCTTATAGGGCTCAAGTACGACTTTGGCTCTCGTATGAGGTACGCGAGCATCGCTTGCCTTTCTTGACAAAGTGCTTTGTTGCGTAGGCGTGGTGGAGATGTCCTCTGTCTGACTGGCAGTCGCATATTCGTCTCCAGATTCGAGTTCGGATTCCGAAGCACTGGTAATGGCACTGGTGGGAGTTTCTTCGACTGGTGAGAGCGTCGGAGAAGGAAGATCTAATTTACCCTCCTCTATAGGCCGATAGTTTCCATGAAAGATCTTGGTGTCATTTTTTGAGACTACCGAGATGTCGATATGTTCGGTTCCTCGAGGAACCTCAACTATCTTGTCAGTAGTCATACTTGTGTCTAAACGTGGAGACCTCGCTGCAGCTTTGTTACGGGCGGCGACTTCGTCCGGAGAGGTGAAGCGCTCGATCTCCTCCGGTGATGGGCCTGGGTGAGGATAATAGACAGCTGCAGAAATATGCTCTTCTTCATCCTCACCAGAACTTGGAGGCTTAACAGCGAGGTCTTTAAGCGATACGTCTGTTTGTGCCAGCTTGGGCGTCTCGTTTGTTTTCTTTCGTCTGTAGGCTCCCCGAATCTCCTCGAGCAAATTCGAGGGTACATGAGGCTGTTGGGCCAAGTCCTGCTGTCGAAAGTATGGATCATGGTCATGGTGGGTTGATGCGGCCGCGTTTGAAGCGGGGGGTCCCAGTCGAGAACCTTTCTCAAGAAGTCCTAGATTGGCAGCATCGAAGTACCCTTTCGAGTCCCGCCGTACATACCTCGCGTTGGCAAAGTCTTGAGCGGCGGCAGGGGTTGTAGGCCGAGAGGTAGACTTTGAATGCTCCCTACTCTCCGTCACCTGACGCCCTAAGTCGCCGAGGGTGGGCGAGGGACGCTCAGAATCAGAGCGAGGATCAAAGATGCCCATCATATGGCTTGCCTTTCTGCTACGAGCGGTCCCACTAGTCTCTGGATTCTTGACAGTAGCCTCAATGCTTTTGTCCACATGTTGTCGGCCACGACTGACGCTGCGCTCAGTGCGCGATGTGTCTTTCATGGCTGACCTCATAGAACCTCCCCTCTCAACAGAATTGTGGATTGATGTTTCCTGAGATCCAGACTGCTCATGAGAATTGCTCCTGATCTCCTCACTCCTAGAAGTGCGCCCCTCCATAGGCTCAACACTGACATGAAATTTCTTGGTCCATGGATTTCCATCTGACGGAAGTCTTCGCAGCCCCTGGAAGGTTCCTGAGGATGGCCGAGTGGTCGGAGGGTGGAGATCTTTTTCGGTGGGGGAATTGGTCCTTTGAAGCCATTCGATATTCCGGGGAGATTGAGGACGGGCGGTCTTGGAGGTTTCTGGAGGAGAGACGGCGCGGGCAACCATTGTCGACATGTTGAAAGGCACCTTCCGTGGTGTAGAAGGCAAGGAGGATCTTGTCAATTCTTCAGCTGGAGAGGAAGGCACGCTCTGGTGTGATACATAATGGTCGGCGAATATGCTGTCTCTTTCTGATAACGGCGGCGTCTGTTCGTCAAAGGTGACTGCCCTAGAGATCTTGTATGGCGGGCTTCTGCCATTATTGTAGGTGGACTTCCCTTTTGTCCCCCGTGAGATGGGTATAGGTTTCGAGCTCGACGAGGGACTGGCAGAGGTTGAAGGGAGACCGGAGTCGTGGCGGAGGGCACGTCCATTTACCGTCGAGGCTTGCGCGGACGGTCTTCCGGCGGGAGCGCTATTTGACATGGGGAGGACATTTGGCAAGCCGTCGAGAGGTAAGGGTATTGCAGGCGTGTGGCGACGATTCGCTTAGAGTGGTCGACGGGGGGTGGAAGGGGGCATGCGGCAGGGCAGGAGAGAAGGCAAGACAGCGTTGCAAGATGCAACGTGTCGCAGACAAGGGTCGAAGGAAATCCAAGGCCCGGAGAGGCGGTCTAGAGATGGTTGAGGAGGTGGTCGAGAGCAGGATTGAGGCACGTGGAAGAGCGAGAGGCTCAGTGTCGAGGTGGAGGATGATTTGGTGACGGCGTGTTTTGAATGGCCGATCAACGGTGATGAGCACAGACGTCAGTGGCCGTAGAGAAATCCGGTTGTGTTGGTGCTCGGCTCAATAACAAACATGCATTTGGGAGCCTTCGTAAGTCCAGGATTTGTTGAATGTTGACTGGGCCAAAAAGCAAGCGAGCGATAGATGGAGGGATTGAGAATGATTGAACGAAGCGTAGCGCATTGAGAAGCGAACACAGTTATCGAAGTGGGAGGCGGAAAGAATTCGATTCGATTTAATTCACCAATTCCACGCCCTCCACCTTTCGCAACAATGACATAAGGGACGCACAAAGCCGACACTCACACACTCTCTCCTCTTGTACCTGTCAACGACGTCTCTATTTGCATTTGCGACAAACATCGCCAGCAACTGTCATTGCCTTCTCTGGGACCTCTCCATACGACAAGTCCGTGTCCTTACACCGTGATTCCACACACGTATGAAATGGACTGACCTCGCCGCTAACATCCGCGGACAGGGTTTGTATTCTCCCTCGTCTATTTTGGACCAATCTCTACACGTCATCCTCGCACGTTCTTCACATTGCATATGTCTTCAAAACTACCGGGTTACGGATGTCTCTGCCCGCATACACCGCTGTCCATGATCGTCGAGCCACGTCGCCGGCCCGTGAGGGTGAAGCCGCATCCTTCCTGCACTTCGGGTGCGGACTTGGGTCCAAAGGAACAGAAATGCCCCGTAACAACAATGGTTAGGCACAATCAACAGGGGTAGCGATGAGCTGAAACACAGAGGGCATCAAGATTGTACAGAAAGATGACAACCATCATTCTACGGATACCTCAAGTCTTGCTGCCATTATCGGCACCGGAAACTTTGATCGACGGACACCGCAACTTGGTCTTTTGCATCCACATTGGATCCCCTCAATGCCCAACAGTTACACGGAGAATTCCTGGCCTACCAGGCTCTCGCTTAAAGCCCACAGTCTTTCCGCATTTTCGGCTGTTCGTGCCCATGCTTCTGCTGGGTAAAATTGACAGTCATTCAGGTACAGATTGTCGCCTTCAGGAGTTGGCGCTGGCAGATGGGGATCCAATGCTGCTACCAGTGTTGTGGACGAACCCTGCTCGAGGGTTTTGAATTCGACGCCAGCCGCTTTCTGAGCCTCAACAAGTGCTTGGACGAACGCATCCTCAGTGTGTCTCCATAGCTCGGTATTAATTCCTCCCGGGTGCAAAGCATATGACTTGATGCCATATCGCTTGAATAATCGATTGGAAAGTTCCAACGAGAACAGAACATTGGCTGTCTTGGACTGTCCATATGCGACCACTGGGTTGTAGATGCCATCTGTTCCGAGGCCGTAAGCTCCCATGACTGCCAAATTTGCACGTTCATTTTCCGGGAGCTTTTTCTGCTCTTTGGTGAAATTAGCGTCTGAGAATCTAACAGGTGAGAACCTGTGGCCGTCTGATGATAAGTTGATGACTCTCACAGCGCCGGCTGGAGAGTGGCTCGCCGCTGCAATAAGTTTCGGGAGGATCAGGTTGACAAACAGGAAGTGGCCTACGTGATTGGTGGCAAATTGCATCTCGATATTGTCAGGGCTTTGTTGGTGGTCTTGAATCCACATCACACCGGCATTGCAGATGACGATATCGACTTCCGGAATGTCTTTGGAACTGTTGATCTGAAGTGCTGCATTTTTCACCGATGTCAGGCTGGAGAGATCCAATTCGAGGTATCTACAGTCGACTGCAGGATAAGCAGACGATATGTGGTCTATGACTGCTTGTACCTTGCTCTGCGTTCTTCCGGCGAGAATCAAGCGCGCAGGTTCGTGAGCGGCGAGCGCCTCTGCCGTGCTCTGACCGAGGCCATTAGGCGAGACGCCCGTTATCAGAATGGTCTTGTTGGCAATTTGCTTCGGGAACTTTGCAGCGACTTCTGATGCGTTGGTGAACTTGTTGAACTCTTGATATGTTGCCATGGCTTATTTCTTTTCTTACTCCCAAACGTCGTCTTGGAGGAGTAGTTTCTGTGAGTGGTACGGCATCGTGTTCTCAGAGAGTGCTTCCTAGGCTCTTATACTTTTTTTACGGGATGTTTCTGACGCATAATACGGGCTTCGATCAGCTAGCAATCATAGTGCTTGAGGATTGATGTTGCAACAATCGGCTCTAACACGGATCTATGGGATTATTGTATGAGAATGCATGCATGGTGCAGCCTTAATGGACCTTCAGTTTTGAATCGGGCCAATGATGTCTGGAGAGGCTGAGCACACAAAGAAGTGTCAGCGTGCTGCATCGTGTCCCCCACTTATTTTTCTCATAGTATGACCTGCAGGTCGGAGGTGTTTAACTCCATATGCATGAGCAGGAGACAAATCCTACCCGATACAATTCATCCGAAGAATAATAGTAAAACTACCAGTGAGACCTTGTACAGATACCACCGAACTCGCGTGCCCTGGGCGGTGGTGACAGCCCTGCTGAAGCAAAAGAAGGACACGTGATTTGGCGCTCAAGCGCGTCACTGGACAAACGCGTTTCCTTCTACCAACACAATGTTCCCTACCACGTTCATATGAATTATGGCATAGACTTGCCACGGCTCAGGCGAGACCTTAACGAATGCCTGCCGAGATAGCGGATTCGGACGCTGAGTCCGACTTCAATTCGCCGTTCAAGAAGACAGTGGCGATGGAGGCCGTGGCAGGTTTCGATGGTGTTGCACACCCAAGTCAGGTCTCATTATCACACTATGACTTCGATCAATTCCTGGAACCCACACAACGGCTTTCCTCCCTTTCGCCAGGTCATGGCCATGGTGCGCCTACTGCCAGTGAGTTATTAGCAGGCTTGCCCAGTGAGAGCTCTCCGATGCGGGCGGGCCGAGAGCCAGACTCTTCTCTCGTCCAGGGTAAGAAGAGGGCGTATAGCGACATCCGTGGCCACACCGAGGCTGTATTCCACGAGCCTTCTCTGAAATCATCAAGCTCGAAACGCACAAAAACCTATGCGCACACTTCAAAGTCTAGAGGCATTTTACAAGATATTGATTTGTTCGCTCCTCAAGCCGACCAAAATTCGGGAGAAATCCACCCCTCAGACTCTGATCGGGTGACATCTGCGTTGAACGTTGACCTCTCCATACCGACTGCTCCCCCGAATGGGACCATTAGGCTATTGGGAGAGTCTTTGACAGGCTCAACGCATCGTCTTTCAACCTCTGTGGCCTCGATGGGCCAGTACGAGTCTATCAATTTGGATTTTCGAGGTTCGGGACAGGGGATAAATGTCACTACCAACCCGTTTGGTTCACTAAGTCAGATTTCAAGCCGGGAGCTCCAACTTCCCGATGATACTGATTCTCCTGATGGATCGTTCAGGGGCGCTGAGCACCATTCTCAGTTGAATCAACATGACCTTGAAATCCCTACCAATGTCGACGAGCGAAATTCGCTGCATCAGCTGGCCTCCATCAAGCCACACCGGATTACGCAAAGCGATGGTCCGATGGCCGATGTCGTTGAAGAAGTGCTACAGACGGAAGAGAGGAGTACAGAGGCAGCGGCAACAATGGCACATTCTGAGATTCATACGTCTGTCGTTGAAAAGCCTCCTCCTAAGAAGCGCGGACGAAAACCCAAACACACCACGCCCTTCCCTGCTATCGAGGATGATGTGGACGAACTCTCAATGCATGAGCTGCCGCCTGTAAATCGGTCTCGGCAGGGTACTGTTGACTCTGTATACTCCCAAGCTTCTCAGGCATCGACAGGGAAGACGTCGACACGGAAACGCACGAGGAGGGTATCAAAACAAGTTGGCGATGTAACAAAACAACCAAAACTGTCAAGCGAACCATCACCGGCCAAAGAACTAAGCAGCGAACTGATTCTCGGCGACGAAGTACTCATTGGCCTGCCCAAAGAGCAGTATAAGCCTCGCCCCAGTCGATCTCGTTCCAAAAAAGTAGCAGATGCCGACGATGCTGATGTGCAGTCTCTTGAGCAACAGACCTCTGCCAAGAGCAAGATGGCGGATTTTGAAGATCCAAAAGAACATGAGCCTCCTGTCACCTCTACGAAAACAAGCACCAAAAAGGGACGAAAAAGCAAAGTGAAACGTGCAAAGACATCTGCCGCAGCCTTACTCAAACGTGGCGAACCCATGCTCAGTGAGGGTGAAGATGATGTGGTGTGGATGGACACAAAGCCTGCCCCAGTCAAACTGGATTTACCGCCGGATTTGAAAGTGCTCAAGAAAGAGGGTGATGATTCTGGGGAAGATGCTGATACCGTCAAAGTCTCCCACAAGGAAGGACCACAGGAAGATGTCAAAGGGGGTAAGGTGTCGGTAGAGATTCCAGTAGACGCTCCAGCGGAGACTCCCGTGGCTGTGGTGGTTCCTAAGAAACGTGGTCGAAAACCGAAGAAGACCACGGCAGTCTCCGAAATCAGTGTTGTCGAGGAACAGGATGAGCAGTTTGACAAGCCACGACCGGCACTGGCAGAGAAATCTTCAAATGTGCCCGGTAATCCTCAACAGAAGGCCATGGATGACGACGACCCGAAAGCCCCGACTGTATCGCCTCTGTCCTCTCCTGAACCTGAAGTGGCGCCGCCGAAACACTCAGAGCAGACCCCGAAAAAAGCCGCTCCGGTATTGGTCTCACCTTCCAAAGATACCCCAGAGAAACCTCTTGCGACGCACTCACCTATAAAGCCGACGCTCCTCTCGGATGGAAAGAAGACCATCTACCGTATCGGCCTTTCACGACGACAGAATATCCCCAGCCTCCTTCGCAAGGTTCAACGAGACAAGCCTCCACCGAAGATTGTCGTTCGCAAAGAGAAGGAGAACAAGAAGAAAAAGAATGATTGTTCCGACGACGAAGGTGCTGGTGATCGGGATGAAATGAGAGGCGCTGATGGTATGTTGGTCGAATGGGACTTCTAAAACTTTAAGAAATCGGGCCCGTTTTTGTTCGTTGATGACCGAGTATCATTATGGTTATTACGACTTCATGATTGTCGATTTGTCGCCTACATCTGATGAGGTCACTTGATAGCGTTTCATGGCTTGTTGTCTTTGGGCAGAGGTGTCGGTATCTGTGGGAGGGAGGTGGCAACGATCATACGTAGCACTGCATGGTACACTGGTGCTCCACGACGGGTAGATATGTGACTACGGATAATTCGCGACTGCGCAATGCTAGGGATGTTCCACGTATGGACGAAATGAACCCAATACACTTATGTACTCCGTATGGAGCCGTTGAGTTCAGCGCCTCAAGGTCTCGTTTTTGTTTTGGTGTGTACATCTAGAAACCTGTGTTCGTGAGTGTCCTAGTTGACACACGTACGTAGGTAGGGAGGGAGGGAGGGGGGTTCCTCATGCTGTATTGATGTCGAGGAGCACCAAGACGTCGGCCCTTGCTCCTCAGCTAGGAGGAGAAATGACGGACACTGAGTTCTGATGGCCTGAAATGCGTCCCAAGCCGAGAAAAACACAGTACTCTCTTTTCACATGTGTATATTATATTATATTATTCTACATGCGTGGGGCTCGATAGGAAAAAGCCAAGGGCCCCTTGTGGATTCGAGGGCCAACGCTATAAGCTTTGTTCGAATAGAGGCTGACGGAGAGCTATAAGCTTGGTGATTCTATTACGTCGCCTTCTTCTATTGTTGTGAAGAAGATGTGGACATCCGCTATTGTGTGTGCGCAAAGTGTGATATGGAGCGAAAGCAGCGAAGCTCATAACTTCTCAGCGCGCTCCCGCAATTCGTCTGCCAGCCTTTCGAGATATGCCTTCGCCATGGGCTTGGGGATATTCTCTGCCAGACCGGATTCCGGACTGCCTGGCCGTCCGTTGGCAGCCGTTGCATCGGGGGTATCCACAGCTGCAGAAGATTGGTTGTGGTTTTTGCTTTGGGTGTTGGTGCTTATGAACCGTCGAACTATCTTTTCCAGATCTCGTCGTCCATCTTCGTAGGCTGCCAAGTCGCGATTGCCGTAAACATCGCGACCGGCAGCGTAGTTTGATTGTGACAAGGAGCGGAAGAATATGTTCAGAGAGATATTTATGCGCGACGACGATGCTGCGTCCACGGCAGAGGTGGATGCGACTGTGACATCTCCTGGTGCCGAAGATGTAGATGGCGTCAATGGCGACGAAGGCGTATCCGAGGGCGTTGGTTGTGCTGTTGTGGTGGTTGCGGGTAATGGTGTGCCTGAGTGCGCCCAGAGTGGAGGAATGAAGAGTGCTTCGCCGGGTCGGAGGATGGCGACATATGGATGTGTGTTTGGTATGGGTTTTAATCTGTCGGCTTCGGTCTCCGGATTATCGGACGGTTCAAGAATATCAATCGTCGAGGTTGTCGAACCCGCAGGGAAAGATAGGTGCTTGATGTCTTCGGGAGGGAAAAGGATGAGTTTCCTGGTTCCGCGGACCTGGAAGAGAACGTTTGCCATGACATCGTAATGTAACCACATGTTGACATTGGCGCTGATGCGTAATGGGCTGCTGAATTTGTGCCTGCGGATGAACTCGAGGGATGATGGCAATGTGAAGTCATCGGCGAGTTCGGGCCAATCGGTGGGGAAAAGTGCTGGGAGTTGCGTTGGCTTCGTGCTGGATATGGAGCGTAGATACATGTGTGCTTGAGGATCTGAGTCTAAGATTTTGATAAAGTTGTGGAACGTCATTGTGGTGTAGGCGAAGTCTTTGCGCTGGAAATTCATGGTCCGGTTGGGGGAGGCGTGGATGACAATATTTCGTGAAGCTGGAACTTTAGACAGGAGATAGGCTGGGTTCCATTTGCTTGTACACGGTCCGATATCGATACAGGTGAGAATCTTTGGCACGCCGGCTCCCAGGATGTTGATGAAATCCTGTTCCAAGTAGGGGCTCACACATTTGACTGGGGTCAAAGGCCGCATTGAGCCTTCCTTGAGCACGCCCTGGCCTACAGGTAGTGCCTTTTGTTGAGTAGGCTTAACAAGAGCCCATGGAGTAGTGTCTCCTGCTTCGAAGAAATACAAGAGCCAGCAACCTGGATTCCAGTATGCACCAAAGCTGAAACATGTTGCTCCTCCACCGACAATCAGCGTAGCTCTGTCCTCTGCACTGGCTGTACGGTGGGTAGAATGGCCGATGAAAAAGGGTCGAGGAATGTTCGGGTCCTTTCGCGGTAGGACACAAGCGACTCGCAACTCCATCTCCTTCTCAAATTCGCCGAATGCGGAGAAACTTCCAAGGATGGTAAGAATCTCGTAGTCTTTTGGTATGCAGCCATGTCTAGCCACTCCTCCAATCAGTAGAAGCTCATTCCTAATAACGCTGTAAGAGGCTCCAAGACGAGAGAGCCATGGCCAAATGCCAGCTGAGGTGTCCAGAGCGTTTGAAGTTTTGAAAGTGACGCCAGTGACGACATTGTCCCTGATATTCAATCGCCATCGCCACAAGCCCTGGCAAATTACACCATCGTGTCGCATGCCCCCAAAAAGTAGACCATGGTTGAAGCCAAGTCTGACGAAGCTTGCCCCAAATCGGGGCATGGGGTCTTTTAGAAGAGAGCGAAGAACCTGCCAACCGTTCTTCCTATCCCAAAGTAGACAATCGGTGGCAAGCTTCGTGGCCGATGTCTTGCCTCCGAAAACAACAACGCCGTACAGCTTGTCTGGTAAGACTACGGCGGCCACGCGGTGTCGAAAACGAGGTTCAGGAAGGTCATGGATACGTTCCCATTTGGATCCAGTTTGCAACCAACAATCCTTCATTGGCGCAGAAGGCGATCCCCTTCCGCCAATAAGGATATTTTGTCCGTTTGCAAGAGTCGTAATGGTATGGCAGCATCTGGCTCCAATATCCTCAGGTGGAACAGACGGTGGTGGCAGTTTGTAATCTGAAGATGCATAAACTGAGGTGCTAGATAGTCTAGCCTGTAGACCTGTCCCCCCATGCAGCCCAATGGCATCCTCGCCGGGAATTCGGTAGGCTGAGGCATGGTGAGTGCGCCCTTCCCGCTCTGGATTCGGCGTGTATGTGTAAGCAAAGAACTGCGTCAGGCCACTGTATGGCGAAACAGTTCTCGTAGACATGTCGGATGCAATACTATCCATGGAAGCTCGTCTAGATCTTGGCTGCTCAGGAATCAACGGTTCATCTCCAGTCTGTGCAATGATAAATGCATAGTGCGAGGCGAATAGTGCGAATTCCTCCCTACACAACCGTTAAAAGGGCCGAGAAGGATGCGGGAGAAGCCACTTGCCATTCGTCGAAGGGTTCCACTTCGTCAAGAGACATGCGCTGAGAGGGTGATAGAAACCTAGGATCGGCCCACAACTCCCATAAGTTTTGTGTCTCGACCATGTGAAAACCTGCACTCTGGAAACGTAGAGTCTGGGTGTGACATCCAGGATACTTGAAGACAGAACGAAGTGGAGTGCCCAGCTTGGAAAAATGGTTCATCATGGTAGTAGTAAACGGATTGTCGGGACGATCTGGAGACTGCTGTTCTAATAAACAGAATGTGACATCTACGCTTGTCAGTGCTGCTGCTGAGAAGGTCAGGGGAGTTAACGGGAATACCTGGAGAGAGCGTGCTTGTCCACGCGATGAGCGCATCTGAGTCTTCAGGGGCCATGTAAGTGATGCTGACTTCGGCCAAACAGAGGATCAGACAGTCATCAATGTCAACTACGGATTTGAGCAGGCGCTCCAACCGTCGTGGATTTCGCAAGTCACACCCGATGCCAACGTACTCTTCACTGTCGAATACTATCCCATTTTCTTGCGGCACTTCGGCATTGACTGAAAGCAGATCTTTCATCCGAGGAGTGTTACGGATGATTTCACGCTTGCTAATCATCAGCTCCTCAAAATCAACGTCGATGAATTTCGCAGCGCTGCATAGTTCCCTGTCTTGTGCAAGCCATTGGAAGGGTATGGGATCACTGACTTCAATGAGCATAAGAATCCCATGACAAAGGATTGGGGGTCTTACTCACTATCCACAGCCCAAATTAATGATAACCTTCTTCTGATCAGAAGGCCTTTCCAAGAACTGTCTAACAACCCAGTCGATGGCTCGCATGCGAAGCCAATACCCCCGGTTAATGAGAGGTGCTCTCCGCTGAGGCTTCTTTACGAAGAATCGATAGAAATGCGGCTGTGGCAGGTAGAGTCGCTCAACGCTTCTCTTCGATACAATGCTGCTGTTGTTGGTCTGTTGCGTACGGGTTAAATAGAATAGGCATAGTATGCGGCGTAATACTTACACCCATTATCAGGCCCGCATTCTTCTCCATCGCGATCGCATCATCAGTCTCCCCTCGAAGAGAGGATGGAGGAGTGGCCATATCAACCCCAAATATCCCTGTTGGGATACTCAACCCAGTAAACAACACATGCCTTGAACACGGAATGAAGTATCGAAGAAGTAGTAAGGAGCGAGATGAGTCAGAAGCGCCATGAATTCAGTCTTTAAACGCCATCCATGATAGAAATAGAAAAAATGACGTGCAGACGTTATTGGTCAAGGGCCTGGCCTTGGCACAAAAATGATTTCTATTGGCCAGGCCCGCCTCTTCTCATCATTTGTCTGCTTACTCAATCTTCTGCTCATGTTTCTCGAACAAGACAAACGAGGGACAATCGTTGTGAAAAATATTATCCAGCATCGGCATCTCGCGGCGGAGCTACAGAAAGTGCGTGATAGATTTTGATCGCGAGAGATTCCCACAGTTATCCCACCCTGCCAGCACGGCTACAATGACAACAGCAATGGAAGCGTCCGAGCCGAACCTCAAAGAATCATTCAATGAGGCCAAAATCCGACAGAATCAGCTTGACACTCTTGATCCTCGAAGCTCATCTTACAAAGATACTCTGCAAACCATCATAGACAATTTGGAACGATGTCGGCAGTTGATCCGACAACTCGCACTCTTTAGTCCAAATGAGGAAGTCGAGGACATTGCTACACAGGATCTACAGTATGTTTGCCCTTTTATCCCAGAAGCCGCGACTAAGTGGAAAGGTACTTGACCGTGGACTACAATCTCGCGGAGATGAAGATCAAAGCATACAGTGAGGACCGACTCTCGTCGTTGCGAACATCCGTGGCACTATTGGAGCGTTTCCTTACCCAGCTGGACCACTATGGCCTGCTCAACTCATCCGATCACAAGCTGTACGAGAGGTTTCTTGAGCAGCGAGATAGCTTTAGGATAGTGTCCTCTAGCAACCCCGAAGAAAAGCGCAAAATTAAGATCACCCGGTTTCAGGAAGAAAAGTCTTTGAAGCAGAAGCTCGAGGTTGGTGGGCATTCGCCTGTAGATAACTTTCGCTAATTAAAGCAGTACTTGAGGGGTGAATCACAGAAGATCAACATTGACGACGATACAATACGAAATCTTTATCTGGCCGAGATTTCCCTTTCGGTGAATAGGGCCTTTTCTTCGTTAGACATGATAACACAGGAACTTGACATTCTGTCTCATATGCGTCAAGCGCCCGCTCCGAGCAGTCCACCAATGGACCAGAGAGAACGGACTAGACCTGATGGATATTCTGAACGCCTGGATGGGCCCATGACATTGGCAGGGCTAGGCAAGAGGGGTGGTCCTCTGCTCAACTCGAGTGGGAAGCCACTGCAGCCTTTCACCCTTACCGACAAACGCACCCAACTTCAACAGGGTGTCTTTCGATCTGGTCATAACCTCCCAACGATGAGCATCGACGAATATCTCGAGGAAGAACGACGCAGAGGAGGTATTATCGAAGGAGGTGGCAATGCCAATGCTCCTCAGCCGGAGCCCGATGAAGATAATATAGATGAGGTTGATGCTGCCACCATGAAAGCTCGGCAGTGGGATGAATTTGTTGAAGCAAATCCTAAAGGCGCTGGCAATAGATTGAACAGAGGCTGAAGCTCAGCCCGTTTGAGTTACTTTTCCCCTAGCAGGCCCAGTTGGAGGTATTCGCCCCGTCGGTATCTATCGCTTTCTCTGGTATTGCCTTCGCCACTGCACTGTCTCGAGATGCGTGACCATACTCATGACAACCTCAAGTCTATGTTTATTTTTCTTCCAGATCCGCTACAGTCGTCGGTCTCTTAGCTTTGATGTCCGCCAAAATTTTGTCTGCGCCCTTCCGCAGTAACTCCTCAGCTGCACGTATGCCGAATGAGTCTGCATCCTCTTTGGTCTTCACCACTTGAGTCATCTCAACTTCTGCCTTCTCCTTTCCGTCCTGACTTACAACGATTGCTTTGAGCTGAAGTGCATCTTTGCTGTCCCCTTCTTTGAGCCATTCCGTTTCAACTCCGAGAGGAGCACTGCATCCGCCTTCCAAAGTCCTCAGTAAGCTTCGCTCCGTGGATGTAGCCAGATGAGTTTCGAGATGGTCTATCCTATCAAGCATGGTTTGAACACGTTCGTCAGATGCTCGGCTCTCGACCCCGATCGCGCCCTGTCCAACAGCATAGAGCATCCCGCCATTTTTTGAATCGAGATACTGAGTGATGCGATGACTGAGATTGGCCCGAATTAGGCCGGCAGCTGCAAGAATTGCAGCATCAAAAGGTCCGTCCTCGGCATCGAGTTTCGACAGTCTCGTGTCGATATTTCCTCTCATATCAAGAACTCGTAGGTGAGGATATTTAAGAGCGATCTGAGCTCCTCTTCGCATTGACGAAGTACCAACAACTGCTCCTGCGGGTAGGTCTTCGATATTGCAAGGTTTGCGTCCGGCCTTAAGAACAAAAGCATCCCTTGGGTCTTCCCTTTGCAGCACTGCACCAATTGTACAGCCAGGAGGCAATTGAGTGGGCACATCTAGAAGCAAAATCAACGAGAATCCTTGCATTAACACCCAAAATCCAAACCTTTATATGAGTGGACCAAGAAATCCAATCCTCCTTCGAGCATCAAGGTTTCAAGTTCGTGCGTCCACAAATTCTTAACCGGCATATCCTTGAATGGAGTAATTTTGTCGATATCCCCGGCTGCCGTGTCTCGTGCTTTGATCGCATAGACATTGTCGGGGAATGTTGATGCCAAAGCCTTCACTACAAGATCCGTTTGGATGAGAGCAAGCTTTGATTTTCTGGTGCCGACACTGAATGTTGTTTGAGGATTGCTTCCGTGAATTGTTGCCGAGGCATTGTCGCCCTGAACCACTGCGAGGGTGGCCATTTCAGCGCAGAATGACTTTCTTGAAGGCTCAGTGAAATGGCTAATAATACCAGAAAGTCAGGATATATTCTAGTGCCGTTGGAACTTGCAATGTTTGGTTTAGTGGTGGCGTTTCTGCTGGTTTCCGTGTCGGAGCACGTGAGTCCGAGTTGCTCTCGTCATGCCAAACTGGGAGCCCCGAACCTCGGCAGGCAACGGACGGCGGCGTCAACTCCCCCTCAAGAACCCTGGCATTACATCTCGTAGATTCTATGGCTAGTTGATCATGGCATTCAAATAAGTGATCCCCCTTCATTCCCCGGATCATCATAAACACAGATTGTTCCCTCCCCCCCCGCTTGTTCTTCCTTCTCTCGACTTCCATCCACTCTACTAACACCATGGGTTATACTGCAAAGGCAACTATTCCACTCATTCCTCTGGCCCGAGATTCGGTCCTTTTGCCTGGAGTCACGCTCAGGATCTCCGTGTCGAACCGTGCCGACATACCTCTCCTCATCTCCTCAGCCTTTCAAAGAGCTTCTAGATCAAGAGCAGGAACTGCCTCTCTTCCTGTTGGCTGTGTCCCTATCAACTCCCCTTATCTAAGCGCGGATGGGAGAGAACTGCTCGACAGTTCGAAGAAAGAGAGTAGTGGCCACATCGAACATGATATCGATCCCAGCAATGCGACCAAGAAAGATTTATTCAAGTACGGTACCTTAGCGAAGATCATTGGAGTACAAGGCAACTCCAATGCGGATCCATACTTGGTCGTCGAAGGCGTCCAACGGTTCAGGATAGATAAGATCAGACACGAGAAGCCAAACTTCGAGGCCGAAGTCACATTTTACGAGGATGAGGTGCCAGATCTCAACGATGGTGACCTACGCGCTAGTTTCACACGACTTAAGCAACGATCTCGAGAACTTTTGACCTTACTTCGATTGTCCTCCCTCTTCCGGCCTGCGTCGATGGTCCTCTCGCCACTCATTGTCCGCCGATTTGAGCTGTACATTGGAAAGAAAGATCTTTCTCAGGCCGGCCAGCTTGCGGACTTTATGACAGATATTGTGGAAGCAAGTTATGAAGAGAAATTGCGCGTATTGAGCACCTTGGATTTGCACGAGCGTCTGGAACGTGTTCTGGCCCTTTTGAACAAGCAGATTTCGGGCATCAACGGGAACATCAAGATCACTTCGATCACTTCGACAACGCTACCTTCCAACATTGGGGTGGACATCTCCGACCTCAACCAAAGCCAGCGCGAGGCTCTTGCCAGGCGCGCGCTGTCCGGGTTGAACGGTATGACTCCTCCGGGCATGCCAGGTGCACGAGGGGGCGAAGGAGATGAAGATAATGAGGTCAACGAAGTCGAAGAGCTCAAAAAGAAGGTTGCTGAGGCCGGATTGTCACCAGAAGCTCAGAAAGTTGCCGATCGTGAACTGAAGCGCTTGAAGAAGATGAACCCTGCTAACGCGGAGTATGGGGTCATACGTACTTACGTCGAGAACCTGGTTGAGATTCCCTGGACCAAGGTGACTGATGACCAATTGGGAGCTGACACTCTCGCCCGAGCTCGTAAGCAACTTGATGACGATCATTACGGCTTGGAAAAGATTAAGAAGAGATTACTTGAATACCTTGCAGTCTTAAAGCTCAAGCAGTCTGTCAATGCCGATGTCGATCAACAAATTGCTAGATTGACCAAGCAACTTACTCCTACGCAAGAAGGTGAGGAGAGAGAGGTCGAGCAGATTCCGGACAACGAGAAGGATGCTGCTACTGCTAAACTGCATGTTCTCAAGTCAAAGCGAATGGTCGATAAGTCACCAATCCTTCTACTAGTTGGACCCCCTGGCACTGGCAAGACGTCTCTGGCAAAATCGATTGCTCTCTCCCTGGGTCGCAAGTTTCACAGAATATCCCTTGGCGGTGTTCGGGATGAAGCAGAAATCAGAGGCCACAGACGGACCTATGTCGCTGCAATGCCAGGTCTCATCGTGAGCGGCCTGAAAAAGGTCGGGGTCGCGAACCCTGTCTTCCTGCTTGATGAGATCGACAAAATCAGCACAAATAATTTCCATGGTGACCCATCTGCTGCTATGCTTGAAGTCCTCGATCCTGAACAGAATCACAGCTTCAACGATCATTACGTCAATATCCCCATGGACCTGAGTAAAGTTCTCTTCATTGCAACCGCCAACTCCCTCGACACTATCCCTGCGCCACTTCTCGACCGTATGGAAACCATCCAACTGTCTGGCTACACCACTATCGAGAAACGTTACATCGCCAAGCAGCATCTTATCCCTAAGCAAGTCCGTACTAACGGTCTCTCCGATGGTCAAGTGGTCCTGCCTGACGACGTTATCGACACCATTATAACATCCTATACCCGCGAGTCTGGCGTGCGTAACCTTGAGCGCGAAATAGGCTCAGTGTGCCGATACAAGGCTGTACAATATGCTGATGCGAGAGACGCAAATGACACCAGCCCCAGTAAATATAATCCCACCGTGACCGTGGATGAGCTCGAAGACATTTTGGGGATTGAACGCTTCGAGGAAGAAATTGCCGAAAAGTCTTCGCGGCCCGGTGTCGTCACAGGGCTTGTGGCATACTCGTCTGGCGGGCAGGGGAGTATATTATTTATCGAAGTGGCTGATATGCCTGGCAAAGGCCGTGTGCAACTCACTGGGAAACTGGGCGATGTGCTCAAGGAGTCGGTTGAGGTTGCGCTCACGTGGGTCAAGGCGCACAGTTATGACTTGGGCCTTACCCACGACCCTCATGAGGACATTATGGAGAAGCGTGCTATTCATGTTCATTGTCCTGCGGGAGCGGTGCCCAAGGATGGACCCAGCGCTGGTCTAGCACATACCGTTGCTCTGATCAGTTTGTTCAGTGGAAAGAGCGTGCCGCCTACGATCGCCATGACGGGAGAAGTCAGTCTGCGTGGCCGCGTCATGCCGGTCGGTGGTATCAAAGAGAAACTCATTGGCGCACATCGTGCGGGAGTCAAGAAGGTTCTTTTGCCTGCACATAACCGTAAAGATGTGAAGGATGTGCCTGACGAGGTGAAGCGCGAGATGGAGATTGTTTATGTCAAGTATGTTTCCGACTCCCCCTTTCCCCCTCCCTGTGGCCTATTTTTCCAGTTCACCGGCCTAACGTCTGTATTATTGGATCTGCTGCTAACATATCCCATCAGGCATGTTTATGAGGCGCTCCGACAGATTTGGCCCGAATCACAATGGGCTTCAGACAGATATTTTGCCGAGGTCGAAAGTCGGTTGTAGATTGTGGACGTTGGTGGTGTTGTTTAGAAGATCTGACATTGCAGAACTTGTATTAGCAGAGCGAGTGATTCATGTGGGGGGGTGGTTTGAATATCATCTTCATAGTCATGCAATTACTTAAGTCATTATCATGATTAGTTGATCTTGACGAAGATTTTCGCTTTCTCTACTCAGGGCGAGGATGAGTTTCACAGTACTTCGCAGTTAGTTGCGTCAGGCATATTGGCTCAACATCAAGTAGACACCCGAGTTCACACAGGATCGCATGACGATCGGTAATGTACAATATAGATTTTTCAACGTCTGTAATCATACAGGCAAAGCAAGAAAGGGTATCTAACGACGAGGTGCATGGTCCGACGGCATGTCGGCACTCGAGTCCAACAATTGCCAGGTCGGCGCCCACTTTTTCTTTCCCTTTAATAGTTCCTGCGCCTGTTGGGCGATTGTCTTTCTGTGTTCGAGGTTGGGTTTCGATAACCCCCACTCGCTGCTTTCTCGTTCTTGGGCGAACTGTGCCTTGGCCAGTTGCCAGTAGTCGTCGTGTTCCCACCTAGAGAGAATATTTGTTAGTTTGGAGTAGGAGGGGTGGGATATGTTGGTACAGGAAACTTACGGATCGAGGTCCTTGACCTCTTCTGGATAGACGAACGGCTTGGCCAGTTGCACGGTCATCTTCTTTATGCTTTGAGGCCGGTACAGGGCTCCCTGACTGTATCTGTCTGTCGGTTGTGTCCGTTTCACTTTTTGTTGGATGACAACACTCCGTACGTGCAGGACTTCTACCGCGTACACGTTCCTCAGGTAGGCTTTGAGATCCAGCTTGCTGAAATGTAATGGGACATCGAAGGCGGCGTAGTTGGGACTGAGATGGGGTGTGCGCATCAGGACGACGGCGTCGTTAGGGTGAGGACTGTAGAAGATTGGCAGGTTAACAAAGGTGCCAAAAGAGAGGTCAATGTGTAAAAGACCTAGGGAACAACTCACAAGTTGATTTGTTTCCGCGATTCGTAGGGGACATTGGCAGGTTTGCTAAAGAACCGTGAAGGAGATTGTAGTAGTTCGGTCACTTTCTGTGGGCTGAGATATCTGCTGTTGGTGTGTAAAAAGTCTCTTACGTCGCTTGACACATGCGATAAAGGAGAGTAGACGTCCATGAAGTGATCGAGGTGTTTCCGTTCCATTTCCCACCAGCGCAACTCGTCGTCCGTCCGGGTGGCTCGGAGTGCTTCCAGGGTTTCTGGAGCTAGTTGCTGTTTTGGAGGTTGATTTGATGATAGTTGAACCTCATACTTTTCAAGCCATTTGAGCGGAGGTTCGACTCGTTTGAAGATGTTGGCAGAGAACGGGTTCAGTCCAATGGTGGTTTTTACTCGTCTTTTGGCATTCCATAGTCGGGGCGCATTGGGTGCTACCCGGGTCGTTGGAATCTTTGGTTTCGTGTGAAGTGTAGGCGGAAGCCTTGCTCGAGGCATCGTAGCGGAAGAGGTGGGTTGACGATGCCGAGTAAAGCAGGCTTTGCAGATAACAGCTTTTGGACGGGCGCAGTTGTTCGATGTCTACGGAGTACGGAGTATGAGGTATGAAGAAATGAGCTGTAGAAGTTGTGTAGGGAAAGTTAGCCGCGACCACCCATTGCCATGAATCGGCCATTTGATTCGGTGAGGCTCAGAAACGGACACGCGCCAAACATTTTGGTGGATCGTTTCCATCATTCACACTCAGTCGTTCCGTAAGCTACTTGTCGCCTGCCACCAGCCGCAGGTGTCCTTCCGTACATTCGTCAACGTTTACTGATCTTTGCCTCCATAACTCATCTTCTTTACCTCTACTATTCCCCTTGACTTCCCTGTATCCCTAAGCCGGTTATTTTTTCATTCGCGAATTCATTGGCCAAACAGGCCACAACGACAACATGGCGCAGGAAGAGAAGAAGCCGACCGCCGCGGAGAAGGGCAAGGGCAAGGCAGAAGATGTTTCCATGTCCAATGGAGAGAAAGATGCACACGCAGATACCAAAGACCCCAAGGAAGCGGATGGAAAGACAGATGCGCCCGCTGAAGAAGAGCTCAGCGAAGAGGATCAACACCTCAAAAGCGAACTAGAGATGCTGGTCGAACGATTAAAAGAGAACGACACCAGTCTATACAAGCCTGCGATCGACGCCATCAAGAATTTCATCAAAACCTCTACCTCGTCCATGACCGCCGTACCCAAGCCTCTGAAGTTCCTTCGGCCACATTACGATGAACTTGCCGCCCTTTACGACAAGTGGTCTGCAGGATCCGACCGTGACTCACTCGCGGACATGCTTTCGGTCCTGGGCATGACATATGGAGATGAAGAGAAGCTAGAAACACTCAAATATAGGCTGTTGTCAAAATCGGATGATTTGGGTTCGTGGGGTCACGAGTATATTCGCCATTTGGCCCTTGAAATTGGCCAGGAGTACCAAAACCGACTGAATGATGAGCGAGAAGTAGGGGACCTCACGGAGTTGGCTTTGGCCCTCGTACCATACTTTTTGAAACACAACGCAGAAGCCGACGCCGTGGACCTGCTTAGCGAGCTTGAGATGATCGAAGAGATTCCGCGGTTCCTAGACGAAAACACATTTTCCAGAGTCTGCCTCTACATGGTCAGCATGGTCAATCTTCTCACATACCCCGACGATGTTGCCTTTCTCAAAACCGCCCACGAAATTTACGTCAAATATAACAAATTGGCTCAGGCAATGGTCCTGGCCATCAGGTTAAATGACGAGGAGCTCATTCGGCAAGATCTGGATTCGACAGATGACATGGCGTTGAAGAAGCAACTGGCCTTCCTTATCGCACGGCAAAGAATATACATTGAAGTTCCCTCAGAAACAAAGGATGAACAAGAAATCGCTGAATGCTTGGGCAACACACAACTACCGAATCACTTCAAGACCTTGGCCAAGGAACTGAACATTCTAGAGCCAAAGACACCGGAAGATATCTACAAAGCACATCTTGAGACTGGACGGGGCATCACTGCAGCTGCAGATTCGGCGAAGCACAACATGGCCACCGCTTTCCTCAACGGCTTCGTCAATGCAGGTTTCGGTAAAGACAAACTCATGCTGGTGGAGGAGAATGAACAGCCTTGGGTATGGAAGACCAGAGACGATGGTATGATGAGCACTACTGCTTCGCTCGGTATGCTCATGCAGTGGGATGTTGAGGGCAGCTTGGACGTCATCGACCGATTCCAGCAGTTGGAGGAAGAACCTATCAAGGCCGGTGCACTTTTGGCCTATGGTATTGTTAATTCTGGAGTTCGGATGGAAGGCGATCCAGTCATGTCTTTGCTCACTGATGACGATGTTCTCCAAAACGGCAAGCCTTCTATGAGACTCGCAGCTATCATGGGTCTCGGCCTGTCTTATGCTGGATCGAACCGAGAAGACCTCCTGGACTATCTGCTCCCCATTGTCGAGGACAGCACCCTTGACATGCAGCTATCTGCCATGGCGGCCGTATCGCTTGGTATGGTGTTTGTGGGCTCGTCCAATCACCAAGTTGCGGAGGCCATTGCAACTCAATTGATGGACGAAGACCGTCAACGGCAGCTGAAGGACAAGTGGGCCAGATTCATGGCGCTGGGATTAGCGCTCCTATACTTTGGGAAGCAAGAAGAAGTCGATGTCATCCTAGACATTCTGAAGGCAATCGACCATCCCATGGCAATGCCTACTGCAACACTCGCATCTGTATGCGCGTGGGCTGGTACTGGAGCTGTGCTTAAACTACAGGAGCTTCTGCATGTCTGCAACGACCATATCGAGGAGAAAGAAGAGACGACAGGCGAGCAGCTGGTGCAATCATACGCTGTTCTCGGTCTGTCACTGATAGCCATGGGTGAGGATGTTGGACAAGATATGGTTCTTCGACAATTCGGTCACCTCATGCACTACGGCGAGGCCAACATCCGAAAAGCTGTGCCACTTGCAATGGGTTTGATTAGTCCCAGCAACCCGCAGATGAAGATCTACGATACTTTGTCACGCTACAGCCACGACAATGACAACGACGTCGCTATCAATGCCATCTTCGCCATGGGCTTGGTCGGGGCCGGTACCAACAATGCTCGTCTTGCTCAACTACTGAGACAACTCGCAAACTACTATCACCGGGACCAAAACTCACTGTGTATGGTGCGGATCGCCCAGGGTTTGGTACACATGGGCAAGGGCACCATGTCACTCAACCCATTCCATACCGATCGTCAAGTGCTGTCCAGAGTCGCCGCAGCAGGTCTTCTGACGGTTCTCGTGTCTCTGATCGATTCGAAGCAGTTCATTCTCGCCGATGCCCATTATTTGCTGTACTTCCTCGTCACCGCGATGTATCCTAGATTCCTGATCACCCTGGACGAAGACCTCAAGCCGATGACTGTCAATGTCCGCGTCGGTCAAGCCGTGGATGTTGTAGGTGCTGCTGGTCGACCAAGAACCATTACTGGCTGGCAGACACAGAGCACACCGGTTCTCCTAGCGCACGGCGAACGAGCCGAACTTGAAGATGAGGAGTACTTATGCCTAAGTAGCACTCTAGAAGGTCTCGTCATCTTGCGAAAGGTTAGTAATTCTTCTCAGTCATGCCAGTATTCACTAACATTTTGCTAGAATCCGGAATGGGAAAGCACCAAATAAACAGCATCAAAGGTTCAAGAGTTTGCGATTCGATTGGCATTTGCACTGTCCCCGGACAGGCTGTATTGTATCATAAGTACCAGGTTAATCTAGACTTGCACTGGACAGGGTCGCCAGTAAGATGCTCAGGGTGGTGGGTTGCACCCTAACAGAAATTCTGAATGAGGATCCGTAACAGGAATTGAACTGAACAAATACCTCTTCTATACTCCGTAATCGTCTTCTGCAGGTGAATATGGCTCTCGAGGGTCAGTGCTTCTACTATGGTTGGAACGGGTGGCTGGATTCGATGGTGTTGGAGTCTGGAGTAATACGAGCAACTGCTCCACCTGTGAAATGGCATCATTGTATTTGCTCCGCATCCTTCAATTACTCGTTCACTTGCTCGCTTCCTCACATCACTTGTAACCCTAGAGATATCGATTCGTTGGTCCTGCGCAGGCAAGATGAGATCGATGCAGGCATGAAGGTGGTCATCATGATCATACTGTTGCATTTCAGTCTTCATCGTTAACGTCTTCCCGGAAGCAGAGGTACTCCCTCTCTTGCGACCACCATGCCGCCGACCCCAAATCCACGCATCTCGTCTCTCGACTTCGACACCCACCGCAGGCGCAGGCGCCCGTCGGGGGGCTCCCATCCCAGCATCGGAGACGATGACTTTGACTTCATGGGCCAAGTTGCGGCCGAGATCATCGAACGAGACCGCATCAAGATGCGCAGGGAGGTCATCCGGGTCCTCAGCTTCGTCTGCGCGGTACTGAACTGGCATGTTTTTCGCTTCCCCGGGGGCCTCAGTATCACAGGCAATAATATCTCTGACATGTACACAGTCTATGTGCCGGGTCGATAACCTCCTTCTCTCTCTACGGCGCCCGTTTCCTCACCGACTTGCGTTATACGCAGTTCCAGGTCAACGCCGTGTCCATAACTGCCGAGTTGGCCATGTACCTGCCGGTCCCCCTGTTCGGCTACCTCTGCGACCGGTACTCGCCTCCACCGCTGTCGTTGCTCTCTTCTCTACTGTTCGGCTTCGGCTATCTTTTGGCTGCGTACACCTACAAATCCGGCCCGCTTGCAGATGCTTCAAGAGACGAACACGGATGGCCGTTTGGCGTCATGATCGTGGCCTTTATCGGCATCGGCGCAGGCACAAGTTGCATGTACCTTTGTGCGGTCGCAACCTGCGCAAAGAATTTTGCGACGGCCAAGTACAGAGGCTTCATGCTTGCGGTGCCTATCGCAGCGTTTGGTCTCAGTGGCATGTGGCAGAGTCAAGTCGGCGCACACCTGCTGTATCAAAGGCTTCCCAACGGTGGCAAAGGTGAAGTCGATGTATTCAGGTACTTTGTCTTCCTCGCTGGGACACTCATTGGTGTTGGCCTGCTCGGCACTCTCGGTCTACAGATCGTCGATGAGGAAGAACTGATCGACCACGGTGTTGATGTCCTCGAGCGCAGCGGGCTACTAGAGGAGAGCGAGTTTTTCCGTGACTCTGAAGCCTCTACACCCGTAAACTATGGCTCTATTTCTCGTGCTCGCACTGGTTCAGGTAGCGCCACGCCCTCTGACACTGACTCCGAGGCAGAGGTCGACCTGTCAGAATCTCAACTTCTCAAACGCCGTGAACAAGAACACCGGCTCCGCAAGAAGAAATACTGGCTCCTCAACCATGCGACACACACTTTCCTCACTGATCGGACGATGTGGCTACTGGCTGCGGGTTTCTTTTTGATCACAGGACCAGGTGAAGCTTACATTAACAACCTGGGCACCATCATCCCCACCCTCACGCCCAAACGATACTTTGACACTACCAGCCCTCCTGCAGGCCATGCATCCACTCATGTGAGCATTATCGCCCTCGCAAGCACATTCGCTCGTCTCTTCACGGGGTCATTGTCGGACCTCTTCGCGCCTCCAAGCCAGCCCGAGAATCCGCCCACGGCACGATTTCGATTCAGTCGTCTTGTGCTGCTCCTTCCCAGCGCAGTTGTGCTCTTGCTGGCCTTCCTCAACCTCGGTCTCCCATTCCTGACGCCTTCTGTGCCAGAGCTCTTTTTGCTCTCCAGTGCGTTTCTGGGAATCGGCTATGGCGCATGTTTCAGTCTCGTCCCGATCATCATCAGCGTCGTTTGGGGCGCCGAGAATTTCGCCACGAACTGGGGCGTGGTGGCCATGATGCCTGCCGGTGGTGCGGCGGTGTGGAGTCTAGTCTACAGCGCCGGCTACTCGAGAGCTTCTACTGGTACTGGGCCCGGTGACGGACGCGAGGGTGAGTGCCTAGGGTACTCTTGCTTCGCGGGCTGGGCGTGGGGCTGCGCAGGCAGTGTCGTTGCGGCGATTGTCCTCTGGAGCTTTGCCTGGCGTACGTGGAAGAAGCGCAACGTGATTGTCTAGGAGGCAAATGCGACGAAGAGGACGAATAGTGAGGGAGATGAAGAAGTAGAGATTGACGTCCGAGTACGGGTTACTTTACCTCGCGAAGAAGGGTCAGGACGGAGGAGGAAGACCCAGAAGAGCAGTGAGAGGAACATTCCTTGTGATGTGCATATTCGCGTGCATTGACCGACGTCGGCAAGGAAGGAGGTATAGAGGTAGAACGGAAGAAGCACGAGGAGGAGTCTTGAAAGTGCTCTGGTCGGTTGTTTTTGGTTGAAACGGTTCTCGCGTTTCTCGAGTGGGTGTTTGGGTATATTTGGCTTGGGCTCGTTCACGGTCATGGCGACGGCGTTTCTTGTGTTCAGCATTACTCATTCAAGTATCACGACGGGCCACCGCACAAGTAGCCGGCCAGTTTTCGGGATGCGAAAGCTGCTACTTCTCCTTTGTCCCATATCCGTAGTCCAAACAATACAGACGGAAAAATAAAAGAAGCACAAGCAAGCAACAAGTAACAAGCAAGGGACAACAACGAGTACGGATGATGGTGGACGCTTCAGTTCTTTCTCTCTCATTGTCCTACTCCGTACTGACTCTGTCTTTCTCTTCTTCTTGTTCTGGGGGTATCTTGGGGGTTTCATCATCATTACACCCGTCCACTGCGCGTGTCCGTTCCCGTTGCAACGCGCAACCGCCTCTTTCCTAGTCTTTGAATTCCTCGCTTCGCCTTTGTGATCCAAAACGCCCCATTTCTCTCGCGACAATGCCCGCGGTGGATCTCGGGTATGATGCATGCGATACAGTCAGATTGACCTTTGCTGTCCTCGACGCCGCAAATGACCAAACAAACAAACACCAAAACTCCTTGCTCTCCAGTAAAAGAACCAAGAAACCGATGCAAGGGGGTCTCACAAATCCCAAGAAATATCAAACCAAGTCCCACGCGGCGACGCCGACGAATCCCATACCGACGCGGCCCTTGCCGTTCAAAAACTCCTGCACGCTCAACCCGCGCGCATCCTGTCTATCTCCAAATGTCGTGACGGCAAACAAAGTGAGACGCTGTCCGGGAGCACCCAGTTCTCGCGCAGGTATGTCCACGAGCCAGGTATCGCCACCTTGGCCATTGGGTCCGGGATAATATTCCATAGGCACCAGATCTTTGTGACGACCGTCGAGACCCTCGATCGACACAATAAAGACGGGAGGAAGCCCTTTGCGCGTATGCCTGTCGAGTGTCCAGTGGGGGCAGAACAGACTGAATTGGAACCGAACCATTCCTGGTTGTCGCACATTGATCCTCCTAGCTCTAGGGGAAAAGGACTTTTCCCCAATCGAATAGTCCTCTTTGGCGTTTGTGAATACCGTTGGGCCTTCGACTCCATCTGGCCAGCAGGCCGGATCGATGACGATGTATTCCTCCCATGACATCCGTCGACCTCCCGGCAGGAAAAACTGATCACCGTTTGCGGGGAAATGCTTGACGGCGAATTCTTCGTTACTCATGGTGAAGAATTCGGGAGTGAGTTTCTGGATATAGGGCTGTCCCGCCCCTTGGACATGGCCAGCTCCCCAGCAGCAATCAATAAGCTTCCATTCTCCGTTATCGATCTTGACTGCATTCCAGGCATGGCCAGTACTGTAAGGAGGGAGAGGTGCTCCAGGTGCAAGTGCCGTGAAACCATAGCCCTTCCCATGTCCGCCAACGACCACCGATTCTAGCCCAGCATAGGTAGCTATGTTGGTGAAAAGAGCAGCATAGCCTTCACAGACAGCTAACCCACTCTGGAGAGTAGATTGCGGACTCGAGGGTTTGACATTGTTACCGAAGAAAGCCACAACGTCATACGCAATATTGTGGTGAAGCCAAGTAAAAATGGCGCGTGCTTTGTCAGTGGGCGAAGGGAACGGTGATGTTAATTGATGGGCTAACGTCTGCAAAGATGTGACTTGAGTTCTCGGGAAAAGAGTGGCTTGGTGATCAGGTCCCGAGAAATCACGACACGTAAGACAAACATTAGACGATGCAGCAGGCGCAGTTGTGTTTGTAGGAGAGACCTTGGGCTTGGTGGCTTGTATAGCTGACAAGTCCGGTCTTGACGAGAGAGGTACTGGTGGTGGCGCGACTTGGGCTTGCGGTTGGCCTTGCGGTTGGGCTTCCGGTTGTGATTGCGGCTCCCTTCTGGTGAATGAGGAAATAACATCTCTTATCGGTAGATTTATTGCGTCTCTCGCTGGTACTGTTGTATGAGCCCGATGTGGTAAAGACACATTATTCTGTGCAGGTCGGACATGAGGTTCAACGACCGAAACCACCTCAACGTGAGATATGTCTTTCTGAGGACTTTTAGAGAATGCCGCCTTCTTTGCCATCTCAATAGCCGTTGTCGAGGGGATCGGAGGTAGTTTATAGCCAGGACTTTCTGCGGCCTGATCATGACATTCGTTCACGCTCTTTCTGGAGGGTAGTCTCGGGGGAAGTGAAGGCCTGGCTGGAGGGGACGGTTTAACGTCTCGCGCAGAGGCCGGAGTGGTAACAGTCGTGCAACTTGGCGCTCGATTGACATACTTGGGCTTCTCATCTGAGTACTTTCTTGTCAAAGGTTGCGGTTGTACACCCCGTGGGGGCAAGGGAGGCAGTTCGGATTCTCCCCATGCCGGTGCTTTGACTCGGTTCAGGGAATCTGTTGATTTTCCCCGTGTAGTGGTTGTTCTTGACGATGTTGTGTCCACTGTACCATTCGAGGTGGTTGATGCTACCGATCCTCTTCTTTGCTCGTCCAGTGAGTTTTTTCTACAGGGAAGGGGAGGAGGTGGTTTCTTCGTAGCAGGGGGTGGCGCAGGCTGGTTGCCCACTTTGCGGTCTGTGACAGAACCATGGAGGCTTTCTGGAGGATTGTTGAAGGTGTTTTGTTTGACAACGACAGGCCGTCTGTTGGGGATCGGAGGAGGGTGAGACGGCGAGGGTCGAGGAGGATCTCCTGGTATTCGACCGACATGAGCAGCATTCAATGCCGCGATACGTTGTTGCAAAGTCAGAGGCTGGGGATCTTCAGCCATTGTAGATGTTGCAACTTGTTCTGGATCCCTGGTGGTGTCAACAGAGATCAAGACAAGCCCATAGCGAGAAGTAAGAGGTGAGAGGCTGGACCACCGTGACACCGAAATGGGAGACTTGGAATCCGCATGGCAGCCAGCAAGGCGAGGATTGGCTGCGCAAGCCTGGAGAACAATCCGGAATTAGTGTCACTAAAACATGGTCATCACGTGAAGAAGATCTGCGACACGCCAAGAGACGAAGACGACGCAACCGTGCGACCCCCAGAACGAGGCGAGGCTGTCGTCTCACTCCTGGTCAGCATCGGACAAAGAGTTGGAGAGAACTATGTGTGTGCAATTATCACGCCAGAGACACACACCTGGGTCAAGAGTGTCAGAAGATCCTGGTGACAACAATTTTCCCCTACGTTGGCGAGGTAGAAGAGTCCATCAAAAGGACTGATATCCTCGGAATTGGTGATCCGAGGCTATTATATAATCGTGGAGTTTCAGCCTTGTTTACCCGAGTACGAGGCTGCCAACGGGTAGGGGTTGGTTTACAGGTGTGATGGAAAGTTCCTTTCCGGATATCGGGATTTGAGAAGGCAAGTAAAATCTGGTCTAATGCTTCTCTGCTATGGAATGGACCTAGATTATCAGGTGTTAGCTGATCTCATTCGTGGTGGCAGCTTGATACGCATCTCCCAGATTGGTAGCCTCCTGCACGCATCTTCCCACATCGTTGAATACCATATTGTCAAACGTTTGAGGCCGGAAACAAGATCAATGCAAAGAAATTTGACATGACTGAGAACAGAGCAGTTATTGAGTTTAGATGTCTCATGGCGATGGGCACTGAATCATTGTCTTTTGTCCAACTCCTGTTTCATCCTGCTTCTGGGCGCCGTGCAAGAGGCTATTGCAGACCTCAGCCAGCACGGCCCTCTCGGCAGTGTCTGATACACCGGACTAATACTTACAAAGAATCAACAAGACATTTTCGGCACCATCGTATTGCGGGAATGAGAATGGCTTCGTTCTGCGAAGCCTCGTCTCGGGAGGTCCATTCAGCTATTGCTGATATTACACCCCGGCCAACACAGGGTTTGCTGATGGAAAACACTACCTTTGTATCATGTATCAGCTTTTGGTATGGAATAAATGTATATCTAGGGCGACGAGCCCTGTTCTGATACAATCATCAATCTCACCAATAGCCCTCACATTGACTTTCATACGACACCCGGCATTTGCTTCTCTCAGTCCTTCTTCAGCACAAACCATGATTTCGAAGGGTTTACCATGGTTTTGGGGCAAAATCGGGTGGTGTAAAATACAGCGCCACCTACCTGAAATGGGCGTTCAACTATTCCGAAATACCCCTTGATTGGACACCACCATTCTTGCAGGTACCCATCCCTCTTCCGGCCGGCACCTCAGACTACAGCAAAAGAACACTCGAATTCATCCGGGAACTCTATTTCGTTTTGTGTGTGGTCGACTACGTTTTGCACAACTACTTTGAGGAGCCGGAAATCGCACAGCTTCTCGAAGCATACTTTTCGGAACATGGTGATATCGAGACAGCCCGCATACACGTCCGAAGTAAGTCTCTTCCGAAGTTTCAGTTCCCATCGCCAACCAACGTTACCTTCTAGCTCTGATTTCCGCAGTGGACCGCGTCTACACGATCGTCAACAAACCAGGGAGATACGGGCGAGACACGGATGATGTTTCAGAGTGGGCGTCTGGAACGTCATACCGGTTCTCATCAACGCAGCGCGTTGACTCAGATTCATCCAAGAGAAAACCCAATGTCGTCGCCTACTGTATGAGCAACAAGCGTATCACCACAATATTTTGCAACCACTTTAGGGATCCCATGTACGGATGTGCAATCTCAGAGATGATACAGGTCCTCAGATTGAAAGCCACCCCGGATGATATAGACAGCATTCAGTGCCTTGGTATGACCATTCTCCACGAAATGACCCATGAGCATCTTGGAGGTATGTACCAAACCTGTCAACCTCGAATCCTCTGACACAATGTACACTGACAAGGAGATATTACAGCCCTCGACTTTGGCCTATACGGCTATGGAGATTCGGTTTCATTCGCGCAGCGACGTGGTAAAAATTCCGAACCATGGCCGCTACACGCAGACGGAATTACTCTGTTCATCATAAGTACGTTTCTAGATATTTCCTTGAAACGTCCTCCTGGCTGGAGAAATGATCAGCGGCATCACGTTACTGACTTTTTGATCAGGTGTCTACCTTACTGTCCTAATGCTACTTGTTCATTTTTGCAATACTGACTGCGGTGGTATCGTGCCTCGCGGTGACTTCGGGCCTTATGGTCTGCTACCGCCATTTGACAAAGCCAAGGCGCGGAGCGGTAAGGCAATGGTCGACATCGTGGAACGCTTGCAGAAAGACCCGGATTTTGGACATCTCAAATTGCGGTTCAACATCGTGTGACGGAGTTATCCAGGATGGGTTTGACGGTCGATCTGCTGGCAGACGAGGCTGAGGCCCCCTGGTGTGGAGTGGTCGAATGTTTTCCTATGTTGAGTCATTCTTGTACTGTTTTGCAAGTTATTTGAGTCAATTCTTGCATCGATATAGACTATAGTATGTTGTGTACAACTAAATGGAGGATTCCTGTCTTTATCTTTTAATTCAAACTTCTCATACGTCCACAAATGTCAACAGTCTTCAACACTTGTCACTGATTCTTAGGTAGGCCTCTCAACTTATTCCTCGTTCGTGAATTCAAGTTTCGTTAAATTAGCATCTTTAGTGTCATCGGTTCAAACTGGATAGAGTCAACATTGATTGCTCTACAAAAAGATACGTCCATTGCCTCGCCAAAAGCTCAATGACCACGGGTCCACTGGAATACCAGTAGTTGAATACCTAGGGTCCTCGGAACTTGATGTTTCGTGAGCACTCAGCTCTAGCTTGTACAGGTTTTTTTTTTCCACGGAAAACAAGTCTGAGTTAATAAGTGCAAGTTCGGTATCCCTAGAAATCCCCTTCCAGTTTTTTTTCTTCAAATCAGGAGCCAGCTCACTTTGCGTCCACAGTCTCCTCCATCACCTCCTTCTCTTGCACAGCATTCTTATCGGCGGCCTCGTGGTCGCCCCTCAACCGCGCCTGCAGGACGTGCTTGTACTCCTTCCGGGCGAACAAGAGATCAATCTCCTCGAGACTGAGTCCCTTTGTCTCCTTAACGCAAAAGTAGACAAACGGGATGGCCAGGACGTTGAAGACGCAAAAGAGGATGTAGAACCTGTACCCGATGTTTTGGATGCCCATGGGTCCGAACTTGACCACGATGAAGGTGATGAACCACTGTGTGAAGACGCCCATAGCCGTCCCCACGTGGCGGACGTGGAGGGGTGCAATTTCGGGCTAGTTCAAGATGGGTGTATTTGTTAGCTTGATGTTGTGGAATCAAAATCGCACATCATGTGATGAAACAGAAAAGGGGAAAGCGAGGGTAGGCCAGGTTGTTGATAAAGGCCTTTTGAGAGCTTAAGAGGTGAAACATACCACGTATACCCATACTAGAGGACACCAAGAGGCCCCAAAGAAGAATTCAAAGAGAAAAATCGACACGACGGCCAATTTCAAAGACTGGTCAGTGTTGACTCCGAGACCGATCGTGAAGAGTACCATGAAGATGGAGCAGAAAATCGCCCCGTACAGCATGACGGTTCGTCGGCCAAGGTGCTCGACGGTCCAGATTGTCGTCGCGGTGCCGCCAAGGAAGAGCAATGTGACGCCGCCGGATGTGATGGCTGCTTGGTTCTGAGACATTCCAAGCGAGTTGATGAACAGGTATGTTGCGTAATATGATACGATACTACCAATAGTCAGAGATTGAATATGAGAGGGGTTTCAAACGCCAAAAAGAATCCACAGGTGTCTATGTCGCACTGGAGCACATCTTGTAATGGGTCTGGGTAAGAATGAATACTTACTTGTTACCATCCATCTGCTGGAACAATTGAGTGAGAACACCAAGCCACAGTCTCCAGGTGGTGTTGACAGGCGACGTATCATAAAACAGATTCTTCAGACTGAAGTTGTACTCTTTCTCGGCCTCAAGGGCAGCAAAAACGTCAGTACGGTGCTTGGTGACTTCGGCGCTGTCCACTGGCACGGCGTAGATACGAGCCATGATGTTATCTGCGTCTTCCACAGCTCCATTCGCATAGAGGTATCGCGGTGACTCGGGCAGAAAGAAAATGGTGGCCCAAGTAAGCAAAATGAATACAACCTGGAAGGCAAGTGGGAGGCGCCACACAGCTTCAGTGTTGGGATGGTGCTGCAGCATGCCGTAGTCAAACTAAGGTAATCAGGTGGTTAGCCCGCTGAAACAGGCATTATTTTTCTTTGCACCATAGGATGACTTACCCAATAAGCAATTGTCAATCCTAGAATGACGATCGTGAGTTGAGTGGCGATCAAGGCACCACGTGAATGAGCCTTGGAAGTTTCGGCAACCCAGATAGGTACCATTGTGGTTGTCAGACCTGGAAAAGGCGCGTTAGGAGCCCAAATCTAAGACGAGGACATGTTCTCTGACATGGAGACAAAACTGACCCATGCCGATACCTCCGATGACACGACCTGTGATCAAGTAACTGGCACCACGTGCACCGGCCTGAAGTCCTGCTCCGACAACGAGAAGAGCCCCTCCGATGACGATGAACAAGCGACGACCCATCTTTTGTCCAAGAAATCCAGCAATGATACATCCTGTAAGGCATCCAATATCGTAGATGGCGACGATTGTGCCCTGAATGTTTGCATTGTCCGGGTTGATGCGGTTGGCTTTGAGGAAACTCGGAAGAGCAATCAATCCTCCCAAGACACCTTGGTCATAGCCTTAAGAATTCAATGTTTAGCTGCGTAAGCGCAAAGATCGATGGCGAAAAACTCACCGAACAATGTAAATGCCCATGCCGAGCAAAGTGTGATGGCAGCTTGCAAGGGAAAGCCCTGCAGTGACTGGGCATAGCCTCTGTTGAATGCACCCATTTCTCCTGTGACTTGTGCTTTGTGCTCAGATCTAGAATCGAATGAAGTATTAGTCCTCCTTTAGGTGGAATGACTTGGCCTCATCTTGTGGAGGAATCGCGCATAATAATAGTCAGGCGCCGATCTCAGATTCCACGGAATTATTATGGGTGCCATAGGGGGTATAGGAATTAGACCAAGTTGTAGTAACAACCAATCCAAGTACATAAGCATGGGCCACACGGCGCTGTGAGACCCAAAAGAGGTAGAACTGGCCCATTTACCCCGTGGATCGTTGTGCTGGGATTGGAGGATTGTGGGAGCCGTAAGGCGTAACCTCAGTTAAAGGCTATGCTTGTGCCGAGGATACCGTCTCTTCTGTGCGGAGTTCGTCGGGCCACACGGCACACCTTTCTGGGAGAAGAAAGTGGAACATTCTTTGGTGTGAGCCTTGTGTAGTGATCGTGTAATATACATGGAACCTCAGCACTGTAGTGATATGTTCGTCGCTTGGCGGCCTCATCCTGGAGACTCAAGATCGGACTGTTCAGGGTCAAGTGAATTCCGGTAGTCTGGATCGAGCTAGAGCTTGAGATTGCCGTGGAATTCAGGAACAGAGATCTCATAAATGCGCCTCAACCAATCCTTGCTCTTTTGAAACGATCTCCGGCAAAAGGATCATTTTGCCAACTCTGGCGCAAAGAAGTGACCACATCAAGGCCACGTGAAGCACTTTTGTACGTCTGAGACATCTCTGCCAATGCTTGGACACAGGTTAAGAAGTGACGCTGTGCGTTGTCTCTTTCTGACTGCTCCTCGATTGCCACGCACAGGCGGAAGATATGTATCAAAGCAGCAGTCATTGTGATATGGCACATATGGTGGTGAGGTCGTCTCAGGCCATACATCTTGCGAAAAAGCACAAGAATGTTGCATATCTCCTCAGCACTCTGAACGCATTTGCTAAGTGGGGATTCCCCTGTGGATAAAAGTGTATCATCTGGTGCAATGAACGGTCTGTGTAACAATATGATACACTCGTAGTAACTTAGGTGAAGCTCAAGAATTGCCGGAATCTGGAAAGGAGAGGATCCGGTTACATCCAGGTGTAAATTGGCCGGCAGAGAAGAAAACCAATCTCGAAAATCTTGATCAGCCTGAGCGACGAATGATCGCATATCATCAGATACGTCTGGCACTCCAGAGTATAGAACATCCGAGACTTGGGCCAGGATTTTCATCAGAGAAGCAAGGTAGACATGGACATGCGCCGCAGCGGCGAAGTCGAACTTTGCAGGAAACCTCATACTGGTATATGGATCGACATAGTACTCCCACTGATATGTTCGGGAAGGAAGGGGGTCTTGAACGTTGTGTCGTAGGCTCTTCATCAAGGATGGTCGTCCGCAATGTGTGCTCCAGAGAGTGTCGATTGTGTTGATGGACCAAAATAGATTCCGACGCAGGATCAACATGTCTTCGGAATCGATGTTAACCCTAGATTCTAACCGAGAATATTCTTCGCCCAAGTCTAAGTGAAGCCCGAGATCGGTCATAATTTGCACAGCCATGCCAGAATAGATCCAACCTCTTGACTCCCGTGCATGCGCTGCTTCGTGTGAAGAAAGAATGAGTAAAGCCTGTGCAGTTGCGATGGTGGGACTGTCGACCTCGATTTCGAGATATGTCTTGCTACGGAATGCGAAGAATTCATCAGTTGCATCATTGACAGCAGGGTGGGTACGATCGGTGTACGCAGCGCCCACAGCAAATCTGGTCAAGTGTCAGCTCTTTTGTACGGAAAAAATCTGGCAATGCAAAACAGCTTGCGGGATATTGCATAGTTGATGCTACCAAAGTGGTAGCGGCTCGTACTACTTACACAGCATTCTCTAGAGCCGGTGAGTATAGGTCGGTGCTTTCGCCTGCTAAGAATCTTTTCCTCTCTTTGAAAAAGATATCTCTATCCAGCACGTACATTAACGCGTTGTGCCAGCAGAAGACAAGATTGATTAGGTGGCTTTCGTAGGCTGGATCGCTTGTCCACTGTAGGCCTGCCTGTATGATGGCGGCTTCTCCGTGGCTGACCACGTTGCGGATATTGGGTTGAACGAGAGATGCTGGGCCCGTATGCAACAGGTGTAGATTTGACATAGCACCATAATAGCGAGCCTGGCCGCCTTCAGTGATTTGCAGTCGTCCCAACCGACTGGTGAGCTGGCGAGTAACATCGTTCACAGTTGCCGCATCATCTGCCGACCTGGTCTTACCGAGTCTTCTTTTGGATTCCTGTTCGGCACCGACATTTATGGCTGCTGGTGAGGTATTAACACTGCCAAAGGATGTCTCTGGCGTACCGCCGGGCACCTTGAAACTTGCTATATCTGATATCAGATCATTATGGTTCTCAGAAGGCCAGTGGAGATTGGCAGCGTGCTGAGTAAAAGAGCCGCCAACGTAGGGATGCGTCGGATGAGAGCCATTATCATGACCCGACAAAGCATCCGAAAAGAACGACGCAGGTTCGATTGTGTCGAAAGCGGTGGTTGCGAGATCCCAATCTCCTTGTGTTTCCAGAAAATCCGCCGGTCGACCATCATTGCCTACAAAGCTCGGTAGATTCAGGTCGTGCCATTGTAGTTGTCCATCATAAGTGGTGACTGGCGTCGCTTCCAAATCCTCGTTTCCGTTGACCGAGTGCTCACTCGGCGCTTCATCTTTAATGTTGTCACTCAAGACGCTGCCTTTGCGCCGAACATTTTCTGACATCCTAGAAGCATAAGCGAGGGTCCATATCACTTCCATCGCACTTACCGTCGCTTGTCTAGACCATACACACATTCGGAACTGTAGAGTTTGCAGTTGGAACAAGGCCGGCCACTGCTACACTGAATGCACAATTCAGGTTAGAGGATATGCAAAGTATTTCGACTACACATACCTTGATACGCTTTCTTCGACACAAATCGCATGCCAGTGATGTATATTTTCTATCTGGCTTTTCTTTACTTGCTCGTTGCTCAGACATGGTGGCGTTGGTGAATGAAGGAAGAGGGATAAAGCAGAAACAGGCGGTTGAAGTCAAATAAAAGACGGCAAGTACATAGGTATCTAGGTCTCTGAACCAGTCTGACAAAATCTAACCACTAACCCCCGCATTTCAATATGCATTAGAACTTTCGTCAGACAAAACGTAGTCAACAGGACAGAGACAGCACTTTGAGAATTACCATTTTACAGATCTACTCTCGATCCTTGAGCAGCCCAGTCAGAATTAGCTAGTGTCTATCAATATGCCCAACTATCGGATATCATGGAAGCCACCATCGTTAACAAGTAGACTTCCATTCATGTAAGAGCTTTCGTCGCTCAGCAAGAAACCCAACACGTTTGCCTGTTCCTCCGCAAATGCCATCCTCCTCAACGCAATCTGCTTGCTCACTGCGGAATCTTTGTTCTCCTGAGTACCGATAGTCCCTTCTTTGCCCATACTGTGCTCGACCATGGCGGTCAAAGTCCACCCCGGACACAGAGCGTTGACACGAATCCCGTCCGGACCATAAAATTTGGCCCCATTCTTGGTAATTCCAATGGCTGCATACTTGGATGGCGTATATGCTGCCAAACCTGCTGCCTGAAGTCCCGAGATCGAGACGACGTTGGCGATTACGCCTCGTTGTCCAGGGATCGGATGGGTAGGCTCCGGAGAGAAAGAAACTGGCCGTGGCTCTTGTGTCTTCATCTGCAGGGCCTGATATTTTTGGCATAGCCAGAGACCTCGGGTGTTGATGGCATGTGTTCTGAATTGGACGATCAGCAGCGAGACGAAGACAACACGATGGGTTCTTACTTCTCAAACAGCTCTGTGGTGATGCTCTCTTCCTCGGACCAGATAGACTCGCATATCCCAGCACAATTTGCAGCATAGTCGAGGCGTCCTGTCCACTCTAAGGTCGCCTTGATGGCATCTTTCACCTCTGATTCTTGGGTGATGTCAACCTTGAGAAACTTGGTGCGGACATTCCACTTCTTCGCTACTTCGTCAGCCACCTTAACACCATCCTTCTCGTTCATGTCAACGATGACAATCGAGACACCGCGACTGGCGAGTTTATGGGCGGCTGCTTTGCCGATACCGCCGGCAGCGCCTGTGATCATGGCTACTCTCTCAGCCATTGCAGCCATTGTGAATTACTAGCTAATTGCAGGGTGGTGGTGTGATCGTAAACTCTGAAGTCTGAGTATAAGAGACATATCAAAACTACATTTCAAATACCAGGCAGCCCGATGCCTCTCGCCTAGGGTTACAACTGTTTGCGACAATACCATGGAATTGCTGTTGCAGTGCTGGCGACCCTCGTGCGGTGCGGAGAATATCAGGGATCAAGAGGGGGTGACCTTTTCTTCAGCCCCACGGGGTCCTTGGACTCGCGAGATTTCCCCGGCTCTTCCATCCATCGCCAAATGTATTAGTCCTGCACACTTCATATACTGCTCCTCGTTTCCACGCCTGGACAGCAATGGACAATAAATGCATAGAATGGGCTAGACACACGTCAACCGGCGGCTTAGGTTCATTTATTCTGAGGGCCATTTCCCCGGTAAGAATGGTGGTAGGAAGCCGTGGCACATGGAGAAAACAGGGTCCGCGTTTTGAATTCCGTGGAATCAACCCCAGTTCCTCCAAATGCTGCGATTAGTACTAGTATCAGAACTTGGGACCATGAACACGGTGGGTGGCTGGCCTGCTAACCATATCGAGGAGAAACATCAGTTCGCGAAGATTTTCCCACCTTGATAACAAAAGCATCACCTCACATTGGTCTTCTGTGTGCCTTATTTTCACGGTCCGGAGCCTTTGTTTCCCCTCGTTATACAGAGTACAACAGAGTACAGTCTTGTGAGCAAGTCGCGATGGCAAAATCTCTCGACGCTCTCATCATCGGCGCCGGGTTTGGGGGGATATACCAACTCTACCGGCTACGGCAGCAAGGCCTCAATGTCAAGGTCGTCGAAATGGCTAGCGACGTAGGGGGGACGTGGTACCATAACAGATATGTAAGCTATCTCCCACACAAGCAATCCTCAAGCAGAATATGTGGTTTTTTGCTAACATCCTCTTCCTCAATCACAGCCCGGAGCCATGAGCGATACCGAGAGCTTCATATACCGATACTCGTGGGACAAAGAGGACCTTCTCACGTATCCCTGGTCGCATTACTACGTCAAACAACCAGAGGTTCTCAAGTATCTCGAACACGTCGTGGAACGCCACGACCTTCGACGAGACATGCAATTCAACACCGAGCTCCTCTCGGCGGACTGGGACGAGGCGTCCCGCAAATGGCGAGTCGAGCTCAGCACCGGCGAGACCGTCCACGTGCGGTATCTCGTCACGGCGCTGGGGCTACTCTCCAAGGCCAACTACCCCGACATCCCGGGTCTCGACACGTTCCAGGGGGTCAAGTGCCACACGGCGGCGTGGCCGCGGGACCTCGACCTGACGGGCAAGCGCGTGGGCGTCATCGGGTGCGGCTCGACGGGCGTCCAGGTGATCACGGACATCGCGCCCAAGGTGTCGTCCTTGATCTCCTTCCAGCGCCACCCCCAGTACACGGTGCCCAGTGGCGACCGGCCCGTCGAGCCGGGCTACCGCGAGGGCGTCAACGAGCGGTACGACGAGATCTTCGAGCAGGTCAAGAACTCGATCGTGGGGTTCGGGTTCGTCGAGTCGACGGTTCCGTTCGACTCGGTCACGTCGCCCGAGGAGCGCGAGGCCATCTTCGAGCGGCTGTGGGAGCAAGGCAACGGCTTCAAGTTCATGTTCGACGGCTTCTGCGACATCGCCACCAACCGGGCCGCCAACGAGGCCGCGTGCGCCTTCATCCGCAAGAAGATCGGGCAGATCGTCCGGGACCCGGAGAAGGCGCGCAAGCTGCAGCCCCACGACCACTACGCCCGCCGGCCCCTCTGCGACGGCGGCTACTTTGAGCGGTTCAACCTCGCGCACGTCGACGTGGTCCAGCTGCAGGAGACGCCCATCACGCGCGTCACCCCCACGGGCATCGAGACGACCGCGGGGTCCCACGACCTCGACGTCATCGTCTTCGCCACCGGCTTCGACGCCATCGAGGGCAACTACAACCGCATCCGCATCCGGGGCCGCGGCGGCCTCACCCTCAAGGACTACTGGACCCCCAACGGCCCCACGGCCTACCTGGGCGTGTCGGTGCCCAACTTCCCCAACCTGCTCATGATCACGGGCCCCCAGGGCCCGTTCACGAACCTGCCCCCGGCCATCGAGGCCCACGTCGACATGATCTCGGGTCTGATCGCCCGGGCGGAGGAGTCCCGCGCCCACACCGGCGAGGACCCCGTCGTCGAGTCCCTCCCCGAGGCGGAGCAGGAGTGGCTGAATGAGTGCGAGCGCATGGCCGAGGGGAGCTTGTTCAAGGAGACGGCGTCGTGGATCTTTGGCCAGAACGTGCCCGGGAAAAAGTACGCTCTGAGGTTCTACTTTGGCGGCCTCAAGTCGTTCTACGAGGCGGTTCAGAAGGTCATCGATAACGACTATGCCGGGTTCAAGCCGATGGCCGTCTCGGCTGACACCTCCAAACAACAGGATGCCAGTGCCGGTGGTGGGGAAATTACAGGTCAAGAAGAGATCAGGGCGCACATGTAGCATATATTACTGGGGAATTGTAGAGTTGGAGCAAGATTCGGTTGATACTTGAGGTATTGGATGAATGCGTTTCGTCATGTGTGTGTTCATGAACAAATGAACAAGTATAAAATTCGAGGTCCAGTCTAAAGAATCCCTTAGCTTCCCTTTCCTAGGCACGATCAGGTGCCCATCCCGCAAAATGGTAAATGATCCCATGATGCTCACTGGGGGCTTCTCGAGAAACGGAAAAACGGAAAAACAGAGAAAGAAAACTGGTCATGAGGTTGTCGTGATAGGATCCAAGCAATCTTGCCACCAATACCATTTTCCACCCTTCGAGTAAGCAGAATGCAGTCATTCATTCATGCAGCTGACCATGGAGATGTCTAGTATCTGCCTCCACCCCAGCTGCTTTGAGAGCTGTTGTTTGTCTTCTTCTTGTCCTTGATGAAATCTTCAGCCAACGAACCCAATATGGCACCGCCGACTGTTCCGAGAAAACCGTGGCCCGCCTTCTTGCCCATGAAGTGGCCTCCGAAGCCGCCACCGACGGCACCCAAAAGACCCCTGTCGGATTCGTTCATGGGAGGAGCGTTTGCGTCGTAATTTGGGGCATTGGGGTCGCTGGACTGAGGGGAGAACTGGTGCTGACTGATGTCTGGTTGTTGGCCACCCTGGCCCCCCATCTGTTGCTGGTACGCTTGGTTCTGAGCGTAGGCATCGTTGCTGCCGTAGCCTTGACCCTGGCCTTGAGATTGACCGTAGTAGCCGGCGTGACCTTGGGGGTTAGAGGCGTCGTAGGCACCGTATTGGCCACCAGCCTGACCGTGCTGGAATCCACCCTGCTGGGGAGGGCCGAAGGAGTCTTGACGGCGAGGGGGGCCAAAGTTTTGGTCTTGCTGAGGGTATTGTGAGTAGCCTTGTTGAGGGTACGATTGTTGTTGCTGCTGGCCGTAGCCACCTTGATCGTAACCCTGTTGAGGAGGGTAGCCACCGCCGCCGTAGCCCTGCTGAGGGTACTGGGACTGTTGACCGTAGCCGGAGTAGTTGTCGTATGGTCCAGACATGGTGAGATTGGGACCTGAGGATGGAACTTGTGATGTGACTGGTCTTGAGGAGATACGAGTGTGTGGTGGAAGGACGAAAGAGTTTTCGGTGAGACGAAGAGGAAGTGGAAAGATGTAATGAAGAGACAGGTGAGCAAAAAGGCAAAGCTGAAAAAGAATGGCTCACTACGGAGTAAAATAGGATGAGTTCGAGTGGTAAGTTAGTAAGAATCAGCTAAGGTCAGGTTCAGTAGGCGCAGCGCAGGCAAAGTCAGTTGGATGAATTGTGTCACTTGGCCACCATCATTTACCTACCTAGGGACCTAAGGTAGGGATCTTTAGGCACCATGAACGAGTCAATACCCCTCCCAAGGGCAATGTGAATACTGTAGTGACACTTTGGTTCCCTCACATTCCCTCAAGTCATCGTCTGCTCAGCCCTCGATAACTCAGCCACCCCGCGGCAATGAGGGGTATTTAATCGCCCTATACGGAGTCGGGTTTAGGGCGCATACGTAACTCCTCCAGCAAGTTCAACTGGTCGTTCTAGGCATATATATTGTTTACAATACAGTAAATACGAATACTCTCACAACACGGAGAGGCCGATTTGAAAGAATTTCACGAGGCAAGACCTTTAAGACTCTGGTTTTTGTTCTCCCAAATTTTCTCAGCCAAATTCACCATAATTGTACACCGTACACCGTACAGTATGCAGATGCACAACCCTCGCCCGCCCAGCTCACCCACAGCCGACGTAGCCGAGGAGGAGAATCCTCTCTATCTTGGCTTGCAGCATGTACGATAAATACTCCGTACTGTAGAGATACCCTCATCCCAATCACGTGTTGTTATTCTTGTCTTATTGCACAGCCAAAGGCGAACCCGAGGCCGAACAGCTGAACTGCTTGTAGCCACTTGTTGACCTTCTGTCTTCTCTTCGTGATCGCCCATGGGAATAACAAGCCACACGGAGAATACTCCTTGACATCGGACTTGTACGGTCATGTTGCGCATCTCGGGTGCCTTGTGTCTCCAATAGACGTCTTTGATGAGTTAACTCCATCTCTACAGATGGTACAACTCCGCATTGTCGTAAGTAGTATATCAGACTGGGATTGCGCTTTAATCCGTTGAATCGTCGTTATTGTCGTTTGTCGTTCTTCTTGAAGTCGTGCGGTACAGATATTTTCTACCTTCCCCGTTCTCTATTTCGAAAAGTTCATTTTCTTTCGAGCCAGACCAGACAGTTTGTTTGCAAAAGCACACACGCACACACACACATCATGGCTACAGCAGACTATAAACAGATATCGGCAATAGCTCGAAAGAGAAGAGCAGCCAACATTGCCGCTTATTACAAGACTCCGACGTGGAACGAAGCAGACTTGCCACGAAACTTGACCGAATTCGCGTTGAAATCCGGCTACTACACCGACGACGAACTGGCCATCATCCAGTCCGAAGCGGATGTGATTCTGGACAAGATCAAGACCAAAGCCTGGACGGCGCTTCGAGTGACTCAGGCCTTTTGCAAGGCCTCTGCCTTGGCCCAGGAACTGACAAACTGTCTCACCGAGGTGTTGTACGCCGAAGCCTTTGAACGCGCCAAGTATCTCGACGACTACCTCGCACGCACGGGTAGGACCATTGGGCCTCTCCATGGACTCCCCATCTCCCTCAAGGACTGCTTCATCACGGCTCCCCACCCATCCTCGATAGGAATGGCCGCCTACGCCAACGAGCCGCTCCAGAAGGACACCCTCCTGGTCACCATCCTTCGCGACCTGGGTGCCGTCTTCTACGTCAAGACCAACGTGCCGACGGCCATGATGATGGCCGAGACCAACAACAACATCTGGGGCGAATGCCGAAATGCCCTCCACAAGGGCCTCAGCCCCGGAGGCTCCAGTGGCGGCGAAGGGGCCCTGATAGCGTTCAAGGCGTCTCCCCTCGGCGTGGGAACCGACATCGGTGGCTCCATTCGCATACCGGCCGCCTGGTCATACATGTACGGCCTCAAGCCCTCGTTCGGTCGGTATCCAGTCTACGGTGGAAAGTCTGGAATCCCAGGCCAGGAACACATTCTGGCAGTCAACGGACCCATGTCCAGATCGCTAAAGTCTCTCCAAATATACTCTGAAGCCGTCCTATCAGAGAACGTAGCACCATGGGAAGTTGTAAGTTTGTTTAAACCCCCTATTCACGCCCAGAAAAACGCCATGGCGGATTCAAGAGACGAAAAAGTCATCTGATAACCATGTATCTTTTAGGACCACAAACTCCTCCCCATCCCGTGGCGCAAGAACGTCATCCAGCCACCTGGTCGCAAATTGAGGATTGGTATCATCGGCATCGACGACGGCCTGACGACCGTACACCCTCCGGTCGAGAGAGCGATCAACATGACCCGAGCTGCACTGGAAAAGGCAGGTCACGACGTGTTTACATGGTCAGCTTCCGAGGACCACCCTGCCATCGTCAAGGTTTGTTTCCTTTCTCCTCTCCCGGACGCGGTGATCGCCTCCGGTGTTTTCAGTCTGCCTGCACTCCTACTGACTCGTCCTCCAACGATTGCCAGAACATCCAAGCGGCCTTCTTCGACCTGGGCGCCGCCGCCATAACGGACTTGCTCAAACCTTACGACGAACCTTTCTTCCCCAGCATGGAGGGCTACGGCATCGCGGCCGCCGCCGGGGAGGGCGGCATAGGGCCGACCAAGATGCGCCTGATGAACCTCAAGCGGAACGAGCTCCAAAAGGCCTACCTCGACCGGTGGAACGCCACCGCGGCCGACGGCAAGCCCAGGATGGACGCCATCATTTGTGCGTGCTCCCCCTGGGCGGCTCCCCGTCTCGGCCAGACCCAGGAAAACTTTTACGTCGGGTGGACCGGGTTTGTGAATTATCTAGGTAGGTACTCTGAACTCTCGGCCAACGTCGTCCCTCCCTCCACCGTGCTTTTCGAACCTCGAGCTGACTCGTGATCCCTTCTACTTCGCCCAGACTTCCCGGCCTGCACGTTCCCCGTGACCTTGGCCGACAAAACCCTCGACAAGCCTCGCGACAAGGCATCGTTCAACCAGCTGAGCGACATCGACGGACGCATCCAGGCCGACTACGACGCCGACTTTTACCATGGCGCCCCCGTGGCATTGCAGGTCGTGGGCAAGCGGTTGGAAGAGGAAAAGGTGTTGGAAATGACTCAAATCGTGGCCGATGCGTTGAAAGCCGCGTCGTGAAGTATTTATTTTACATAGTACCTCGAATGGACTTTGTTTGTCTGAATTTTTTTGAATAGACACTATTCCTTCGTCCTGATGCAGTATTCTTTTCAGCTCGTGTCATCTATTATTTCTAATGCCCGTCTCTTTTCTTGGGACACAAGGCAAGTTCCAGGCGCATCACCCGGTAATCTGGCTGGCTTATACAGCTCATGTGTTTCTACATGTACAATTCGACCAAATGGTCTGATCTCTCAACTCTTACAAGCCGCTGGGGCGAACAATTCCATCCTCCATCACCCAAGCGGAGCACACGCAAGTATTCAAGTCCCATATCATCATCAAGGTCGCTAGGGCAATGAATGTCGTCGTGTTGGTTCTGTTCCCTCATGACTGGAACAATGAAAACACCAGTGATACGTCTTCCAGTGGCGAACTCTGTCACTTCAAGGCTGTGCAGAAAAGCGAGTCCAAGGTCAAGCAGGCACAGATACTAATAGCACCTGTTCTGCATGTCTATTCAATCGTCGTCTGCGATCAGAATCGTTCCATCGTCTTCGTCAAGCACAATGGCTTGCATGGTGGATGACTTCGCCACTTCTGCGTTAGTCGGGCCTTGCAACTTTTTGGCCGGTGTTGCATCGATGTCGTCTTCATCCAATGGTCGTTTCCGCTTGCCATTTGATGTGGGAACAGACACACCATTTGAGACGACAATGTCGTCTGTGCTGGCTCCAGTTGCTTGATCTCCATCTAAAGACTCCTTCTTAGGCTTTCGTGGTATCTCAAAATTCTGACCTTCCTTCTCAATTAACTCGACAGTCTTGGTCTCATCCTTCGGCTTCTTCGCCTCGATGGCTAGTTGCAGATCGATCCGCGGATTTTCGTCCTCTTCATCCTTGATGAGAATGAAGCTCGCATCCGAGACATTTAGCTCTGGGAGTTTCTTTTCGAGGTTGTCTTCCAGGTCCGGGTCATAGAGCACACCAGCATCGCTCATTACGGTGATCTCCTCTCCATAACCTAACTTCGCACGTAGAATGCCTTCGACCAGGTCTTTGAGCGTTGCTTTCTCGAAGTCAACGTGCGCTCTTGCCATAGCGACACTGCAGACAGCACACTCCGAATTCGGTTCTTCGAGTTTGTCTGTTCTCAAAGCGCCATTCCATAGCCAAAGCCATTTCGTCTTGTCGTATTCTTTTCTAAGGACTTTGAAGGCTTGCATCACACAAAGCCCAGCGACCATGGCATTTGTCGTCGCAATTGCCGGGATGATGTTGCCAGCCATCTGCTTGATATCGAACTTTGACTTTGGCTCGATGCCGAAAATGATTGAACGCAGGTTTCCTGCTGCCGCAACAAAATCCATCGTATCATCATCGTCTTTGTCAAAGGAGATGAGAGGGGGCGGTCCTCCATCCGTTGCAGCCTTGGTCTGTTCTTGCGCCAGTCTCGACGATAATCGTGCTAAAGAGTTTTTGAAGACGAAAAAGTTCTCGGGTAAAGACCATGTCTGTTGACCATTTTTCAAGACTGGTTCGTTAAGGGACGTGGCCTCTTGCTCCAAAGCTTCATAAGCCAGAGGTTTGGGAGGCGTTTTCTCCTTCCACATATCCTCCATCTGAGCCAATCTTTCAATGTCCTCTTGGAAGACCTTGTCAAACACCTGTTTTGCAAAGTTGTCCGAGCCCATAGATTCTCTGATCTTTTTCAGGGCTTGCGCTTCCTGTCTGAGCTTCTCAATTTCAGCGGCATTATCCGAGTCTTCAGTCTGATCGACTTCCGGTGCCTCGTCCTCGCTCAAGCCAAACAATTCTGGCAGGAGATAGCTCTTTGCCCAGACGATGCAATGGATAGGCTGACTGGGGGTACTCCGTATTGTACAGACAGGGTAGGAAATTGGTGTCGTCTTTGGGGTACAATCATAGCAAGCCGTTCTGCCTTTCTTGATCACTTGCACCTGTCCTTTGAATCCGGTGGTGCCAGATTCGATCAGAGGTATGTCGACAGCCAAGCACATCTTGTTGACATGACGCCGGGCTTCCATATTATCTAGCGCATTGAACACAATATTGAAGTTGGAGAACCATTCCAGATTGAACTGTTTGTCTTTAATGTTGGCATGGTAGGCGACCAGCTTGACATTAGGGTTGAACTTCTGAGCCACCTCTTTTGCAACGAGCGCTTTTGGTTTCTTGATATGTTCTTGTCTGAACAGAAATTGGCGGTTCAAGTTGCTCAGGTCGATGGTGTCGAGATCGATGATGTGAATTTCACCGAAACCGGTTAGGATGAGGTTCTTTAGAAGTTCACAGCCAATGCCGCCTGCACCGACAAGGAGAACGCGCGACTGCGAAGACGAGTTAGTGTTTGAGATGAGATGAGCAATTCAAGAGTCATCTTCACCTCTTTGACCAGTCGGTGCGCCGCTCCAAGCGACTGTCTCGCATACTTCTCGCGCGACATGATGTGAGTGGTATGGTAGATGCTAGTTACGCCGGTATCGTCAAAAGACTGGCCGATGTCAAGAAGGGAAAGGCATCCCGCGTTGTCGTGACCAGAGGTGGGAAAGGTGAAAGGTGGATGTGTGTAGAATACAAGAAGGAGAAGTGAAGACGAGAGACAGTGAAGAGCAGAAAACCCCTGTCGGGCAATCAGGTGTTGACAGTCAGTATATAGTGACTGAGGGAAAAAAAGAGTGTAGATGAGGTACAAAGCAAACCCCAATTGAGAAGCCGGTTGAGTTGCGAACTGAGGCGCAAGTGACAAGATGCGCTAGAACTGGCCCTGCAGGAAGTGAAGTGACGGATGGAGGGATGATGACAGCGCGATGAGGGATGGGCGCAAGATAGGTGCTAATGATCACTAGTCTGACCACCTAAAGAGTTAGGGACCGTCTGGTGAGTCTCACTGATCCTTTAGCTACGATAAAAAGACTAGATGAACCTCCAGGCGGCTCAACAGCGCCAATTACTTGCTGTCGTTTTAGTGATCTCCGGGTGACTTTTTCAGGGCAATGTGACGCTATTGTTGTTAGCGAGTGAAGCTAAGCAGCCAGAGTTACGGAGTTGACGTCACGTGATTTTTCGTTCCCAGGGGCAATTTTTTGTCCATGCTCATCATAAGACACTTTTTTTGGTATACGAACAGTGATCGAATCAACGACCTGCCAGAGATCCCGGGATATTGACTAGACAGTTTCAGTCCGCACCTCATCCAGAGGAAGGAAAACAGGGAGAGGAGAATGTCCGATGATGAAGCCGACCCTGAACTCCTAGCACTCCTACGCCAGTCACTGGGTCTGGGACCAGGGACGTCCACCGCTCCTCCCACCACGGGGGTCCTCAAGTCGGCAGAATACATCTACGACAATGCCATCGACGTGGCTATATCGTCAGATGGCACCAGGGCCGCCGCGGAGACCATATGGGCGCTCATGCAGGCGAAACATTACTCGACCGAGACTTGGTCGTCGCACGAACTCCACCCAAAGACCAAGGACGAGGCCACCGTCAATTTCATCTTCACCATGAACCTGCTGAACTTTTCCTTCTGGTCCGAATTGCCTCATGACGAACGCTTTGCCATTGAATACCGAGGTGAACGATGGACAGGGTATTGGTCGCTCGTGGCGGCTCTACAGCGAGCACTCGACGAAGGTAAGGCCTAGGCCACCGTGCCCCATGTTTGTGCACAATTCTTGTTTGTCTTTCTCCTATTCCCTCCCAGGGGCCAGTCCAGGTTTATTCACACTTCGCATCTTAACAGGCTATCCCATCACCACACCTACATTCTGGACGGATCTTGGCTCCTGCCCGGACAGTGTGTTTGAACACGTCTTCCGTTCAGCTACGTCGGAATCTATCCCCCTGCTGTCTCAGCGCATCTCCATCCTTCGCGAGGCCGGCGACATTTTAGAGGCCGACTTCTCCTCATCCCCTCTCAACATCATCACCCGCGCCGAAAACTCAGCCTCACGCCTCGTCAACCTCCTGGCCACACACTTCCCGAACTTCCGCGACACCACGACCCTGGCCGGCCGCGAGGTGCGTCTGTACAAGCGCGCTCAGATATTCGCCGCCGATCTGTGGGCATGCTTCAACGGCACGTCGTACGGTTCCTTCACCGACATGGATAACCTGACCATGTTCGCCGACTATCGTATCCCTCAGATGCTCCAGGGCTTACACTGCCTGTGGTACTCGCCTCGATTGGAATCGCGGATCGCTCGACACGACCAATTCAGCCCCGGCGAAGCCATGGAAGTCGAGATCCGCGGCTGCAGCATCTGGTGCGTCGAGCTATTGAGGCGCCAGATCGAGCGCAAGCACCCCGAGGCCAAGGGCAAGCTCAACGCCGTCTTGATCGATTTCTTCTTGTACGATACTTGCAAGGAAATGGAGAAGAAAGGACATTGTGAGGACATGCTGCCTCATCATCGGACAAGGTCCATTTATTATTGATGAATCACCCCGCTCTTTTGTTGTCGTCCTACTATATACCTACCTACATGTGTGTTTAGATCTCGACTTGCTGCAAAGCAACAACATAATGGGAAATAAAGGAAGGGTGGTCGGAGGTTTTAGGTTTTGTTTTGATTGATTAGACGAAATCTAGAGAAGAGAAAGACGGCCCTGGCTGCAGGCGTTTTGTTTGATTATTCTCAAAGGAAAGAAAAAGTGGCCAGAGCAGAACAGAAGCATGCTTTCTTGCTTCGATATGCAATAGTCTATGTACAAAAGCCCTGACAATATGAAGCTATGCTTGTTTTTTGGCTGCTTATCCCCAAACACCGGTAAATGCCGAGATGTATTTTCAAAGCTTGTCTTCAATTCAAATATCACTTCCAACCGGTGTAGTCGTCCCCTTGGATCTCGACATGCTGAATGGTGCCAGAACCTTCTTTGCTTCCCAGATGCGCCAGGCCAGATTCTCGACCTTGCCGTCCGCCTTGACGACCTGGGGGGCAAACTCGATGCCAAACATCTGATGGATAGCGTAGACTACGCGTTTGGCGTACTTTCCGTCTCGATCCACTAAGCTGCCGAAGGCTTCTGAAGGGGTGCTCGGCGCGATATCTGGGTCCCGATCGAAGCAGTTCTGCACAATGGAGAGAAGCGTGCTCTCGATAGACCGTCGGATCAAAATATCATTCTGAGTCAGCATTGCGCCTTCTGGTGTGGGGATGTCTGTGGCTTCCAGATCATCTTCGCTGAATCGTGGAATGCGAACTTCAAAGGGCCGTGAGACTGCCATGACGTTATGCTTGCCGTTGTGATGATAGCGGAACTCGAAGACACCTTGGGTCCACCATAGTTTATCGCCTGAGAAGATCATTTCACCAGTCAAGCACTCCTTTTCGGAACCGTCCTGGCCTTTCACAGTAGTCTTCACATTACTGGAAACGATGCCCTTTTCAGAATTCAGCAGGTCATATTCGTGGATATTGGTGGCAATCCAACGACCCGATGAGGAAATTGTGGTCACGTCGCGAGATGCATTGTCAGTGACCATGTAAAGACCAACCCAATCCTTCGCACCATGATTAAGGGGCGCCGTCCAGCTGACTTTGATGGGAGCACCATACTCGAACAGAAGAGCTTTTTTCCCAGTGGTGCGTTCGTCTGGTGTACGAACGACGCCTGACTCTTTGTCGCTTGATCGCTGCGAGTCAACCAAAGGAGAGGCTGGAGTGCCTTCGATCTCGAGTTTGTAGTCCTCAGGGTTTAGACCGACAACCTCGGGTTCTACTTTCGTGATCGTGACACGTGCTGTATGTTTTGGAATGAGGTCTTTGACGTCCTGAGCAATGGTGGTGACACCGGCCGTCAACTTGGGACGTACAGCATCAAAGAAGTCCTCGAGGTAATCGAACGTCTCGTCCAACATCTTGTCCATGCCATCTTGCCACTGTCGCAACGGTGGCGGTAGCGATCTGCGCAGGCTTCTGACCAATCCAGCATCTTGTCGAAGACTTCGGCCATACAGCTTCTGCATGTGAGGTCGCTCAACATATTGAATGAATGCTAGACTAAGTGTGTGACTCAGCAAAGCCAAGCAGAAAATAGCTTTGCTTCCAGTGATGAGTGCAACTCCCCAGATACCTGCGAGGCCTAGCACGCGTTCGGGGTTGTTCAGAAATCGATAGATGCCGCCATAGGTCAACTTGGAGGAGTGGTCAAAGAAGAAATCTCCGAAGAACCATCCGAACTCGCCAAGTTGATCATAGATGCTGAACGAGACCCATACCTGAAGCGCAATCAAACTCAAGCCCACAACGTGCTTCAATAAGACAAGCCCATAATCCCAGTTTGCTGGCATGGTGTACATCTTCCATGCCGCGGCAGTAAACCAGGCATAGCATAGAATCATACTGAGGTGGTATGTGCCTTTCCATTGTCTCCACGCCTCACCAGTGCTTTCGCCGTACTTCAGAAAATGTCTGGTCCACTTCTTCTTGGATGACTGCCTGTTAAGTAGGTACCCAATACCAGCAGAATACCAGACTCTCCATATCGCAGCGTTGACGACGAAGAATGTTTGATAAAATGTCGTGTTCGGTGTCAGCATAGTCAAAGCAAAGATGTAGATCTGTAACACGAGGACGGCAGAGTCGGTGGTTCGATATAGATCGATATTGTTTAGGCCCAGGAGATTGTGCGTTTGGGAGGGTTGTGCATGAGCGGGACGGGGCCAGACATCATCTGTAGTACTCAGATCATTTGACGGGTTTTCTCCTTGTGCTGCTATCGGCAATTCGTTGATTGATCTTCGTGGCGGAGGAGAGCTGTAGGTACGTTCGATATGTGGGCTTTCGACCAACACCAAGAAAGCGAATTGAGCGGCGTGAGCGATGATTGAGATGAATAGAACTTTGTAGCTGGCTGCCATGAGCGAGATGCCATAGTAGCCGACATAGCCTATCGAATACATGGGGTGAGGGGCCATCTCGAACACTCCATCAAAGGTCAATTCTTGATCGACGAGGTAGAAAAAGTCGCCCCAATACCAGGCATAGTCCTTCACCACTCGATGCGCGTCCAACTTAACCCACAAATTGAAGGCAAAGAGGGAAATTCCAGTAGCCCACCGCAAGAACGTGGTAACGAATAATTCTCCAGTCGGTCGGTGACCACAGGACATGGCAAACAGCATGTACGAAACGAAGTCGCACATCAAGATTAGATCGACGATACGACGGAAAATCAACCAAGTGTTATACTCAAGGGGAGCGGTATCGAAGTCGTAATCTTTAGCAATCTTTGTCTCGAGTTCTCGTTTGGCAAAGGCTCGTATCTTTGGGTGCGGGTTCTCACCATTGGAGGCGCTAGGGAAGAGCTTAAGTCTGCGTGCCCATCTCACAAGCATCTTGTGGTGAGACTGCATATGCAGAAGATAGCCAATGCCAATGTTGTAGCCTGCTCTCCAGAAGAGAAATATGGCTGCGAGAATGGGTTTCCGATATGCCGCTGGAAGCGACCAAGCCAACAAAATGTGCAGCAAAAGGATAAATAGAACAAGGAGGTCTCCCAGGTTCTTGGGCTCTGTGGGCGAGAGCAGCTGTGAGACCATGTCATGTGTGTATGGCACAGTGAACACTAAATAATTGTCAGATTCTGAGACTTAACAAACCAACGCAAGAAGGAAGTACCAGTTCCATCGGGAGTGCGACCAAAGGTCTTTCTGTCTTGCTCCTGCTTGTTTGATTTCTCTTCAGCAGCATTGAGGTCCAGGACCGCCTGTCTGGCTTCCTGCTGAGTGTTGGCGTGGATCGGAGCATTCCTCTTGCGAAGACCCTCGGCCGCGGACTCGGCAGTGGGATCCATGCTTGAATCCGTTGCCACCGAGGAACAACCTAGCTAACTTGCTAAAGTCAAGCAAAGAATTAAATCCGTACAGCTAAACAACAAACACGGAAAAATCAAGGAAGACAAACTGAGTGCGCCATAGACTGACCCAGGTTGTATTCCATGTGTCTGGCTCTCAACAAGGAGTTCCGAGTGAAGCAGAGGCCGAGGGAAAGTGGGCGAGGAAGAAGACTCTAAGGACAGAGGGGTCTTGGCTGGGGACCTGCAAATTGGCAGTGGATGGAGGTTTCGGTACGTGTTGTTGGCCATCACGTGCACGGCCGAATTCTCTCTGTGGGGGATTCTCTTCAAATGACGCCATGAGCCTTGCAGCATGGCCCGACAATTGGAGGAGCGCAGACGGAGAATGCACCCACAGAAATGAAAACTCCAAGGCACTGCATATGCCGAGTCGAGGAAGGATTCGCTACCATGAGGAGACATCCCACGTACTTGGGGCTCATATAAATATACGAGTCATGAGGATACGAGGGGTTGCGCAAGGCTGACCGATCAGGCTGAGGTTGAAGGTGGGATGATGTTTGTCACCCGCGACAGACCAATCATTTTCTTGTGGCATTATTACCAATCCATCTTTTGCCTCTTCCACCATGGTTCTGCTCATCACATAGATTTCCCTTCATCCCTGGTGTTGATGTTAAACGACGAGTGTCTTCAATATATCGTGCGGTGACGACCAGTTGGTCCCAAATCATGGCACCGTCATTCGAAGAGCCACTCGCAGAGGCCCTGGAGGCTCCTTTGAAGGAGAAACCAAATCTTGTTGCACCGGAACCTGGTACGTGTTGTTACTTGTCTCAGGGACATAGACGAGGCTAATTATTCCTACAGAGCATTGTCCGGGCCCTGAATCCGATCAAGCCGGCAAGGGTGACGCCTGCGATGGTTGCCCAAATCAGGCTATCTGCGCATCTGCGCCCAAAGGACCTGATCCCGACATTCCCCTCATCACGGAGCGACTCGCGGGCATAAAACATAAAATACTGGTGCTATCAGGAAAAGGAGGCGTAGGAAAGTCAACGTTTTCCTCCCTGTTATCACACGCATTCGCAGCAAATCCTGATTCTGCCGTCGGAATCATGGACACCGACATCTGCGGCCCGTCTATCCCAAAGATGATGGGGGTCGAGAGCGAGACGATACATGTCAGCAACGCTGGTTGGAGTCCTGTTTGGGTGACCGACAACCTAGGGGTGATGAGTGTGCAATTCATGCTCCCTAATCGCGATGATGCTGTCATCTGGAGAGGGCCCAAAAAGAACGGGCTCATCAAACAATTCTTAAAAGATGTTGAATGGGGCGAGTTGGACTACCTGATAGTGGACACGCCTCCGGGCACTTCAGACGAGCACCTGTCTGTGAACTCGTTCTTGAAGGAGTCAGGGGTTGATGGTGCTGTTGTGGTCACCACTCCTCAAGAGGTTTCCCTGTTGGATGTTAGGAAAGAAATCGACTTTTGCAAAAAGGCCGGCATCCGAGTGTTGGGGCTGGTTGAGAACATGGCTGGCTTTGTGTGTCCGAAGTGTACCCACGAGTCTCAGATATTCAAAGCCACGACAGGGGGCGGGAAACGATTGTGTCAGGATATGGGCATTCCTTTCCTCGGGTCGGTTCCTTTAGATCCCCGAATTGGCATGGCCTGCGATTTTGGAGAGAGCTTCTTGGATAGCTTTCCCGACAGCCCAGCCTGTAAAGCATTGAGACAGGTTGTGAGGTCGGTAGGCAAATTGATTGGAGAGGATCCAGATGAGGTTTTGCCAGACGGGCCAATATGAAAAGAAAGAAGGGATTTTGGCTACCGCGTTACCCTCTTAACTCTGAATGGACACTTCTGGGCAGATTCATCTTGGGCAATGGCACACTGCACGCCTGGTGCTTGTCTGGGGCCGTCTCACACCTCCAAACAGCCAGTCCAACTTTATCGGTATCGACTGGTGATAGCATGGAAGCCATTTCGACACTAGCAAATGGACGAAGTGCAGTGTTTCCGCCTCAAGCATCACACATTACATCTGGAGAAGACAGAACAGCCTCAGCCTCAGCCGATACCCGTATCCAACCCAAGCTCCAGTGTGGAAATGGAGGCTTGAGACACACATTAACAAGGCAGGAAGTTTCTGATTATGAATACGCAAACCAGTGACGAGTCACGCGAAGCTATGAGCTCGTATTGAGGGCACGAACGGCAACTTGTGTCGAGAAGAACTCGCGTTTTAAGATCCGTTCGAGGTGAAGCGCAAGGTTCAAGGGTGCACCGTGTATCGTGCGCTACCTAAGTACGGAGCAGGTAGCACGGCGGTTACCGGACCAGGCGGACATGAGCATTTTGAAGGGTGATAAGTTACAATCATGACTCGTTAGAGGTACATGAGGGACGGAGGATGGAGGAGTACCGTACTACAATACTACGAGTCTGAGGCATGAACTGAACGCGACGCCGAGGCTGCTCTTTAACATGGACTATACCAATTCCGGACCGTAGACAATACTATACTTCCAAACCTCATGAGCCTGGGGCCAATGGCAGGTGTCAATGGTGGATTAAGTGGATTGATGCGAGGCGCTAGCCGGATGTTCAGTTGCGAAACTTCTCCTGCATTTCGAAACTTGGCTATTCCCTGAACGTCGGTTTCACCTGCGTCAAAGCCCCCCTTTTCTCTTTCTTCCGCGACTCTGACCAAGTCGATCAAGTATGGGTGCGTCTGCTTCCCACACTCCGGCCTTCAGGTCGATCTCTAGAATTGGCACAACACTCTCCACAGACAGGAGCCTCGTCCTCGCGAATGGATGCTGATGCTCTTCTTGTCCAGGGTGATGGTTGGCCCCAAGTGACAACAGCTGTCACACCCTGGCCCTTTGTGGAGAGGTCTGCACTTCGAAACCCAGATCCATATCGAGCGCCACTTATTGACTTGTCGCCTACTCTCCTGAGACGTGCAAAATCCACCTGATGGCGTGGCCCAAGCCTCTCCGCCATGATTCGAGACAGAACCAGTCCCTATATGCTGTGTCTCTGGCATTGTTAAAATGTCGGCTTCCAGTCCAGTTCTGCGTGGTATCCTTCTTGTTGGCGGTTGAGTCTGGCATTCTTTCCCTTCGCAACTGTTCTTCCTTTACATATCGGGGGCAGGTCCTTCGTTGTTCGTTCTTACTCTCACATTCACTGAGCTTCGCGGTGCGAAGTTTCCTGGCACCCATTCCTTTTCGAGCCTCGCCGTGGCCAGTCGCTAGTCGATCTTTCTATTTCCAACATGCTTCGTCTTCAGATTTTATTCTTGGCCCTCCTTTTCATCACTACAGCGTTTTCATCGCCCATCAGGCAAAAACAGAAACGATCATTTAAAATCCCAAGAATACCACAGCCCAACTATAAGCCCAACGGGAAAGCAGCATACAAAAGAGCCTTATTCAAATTTGGCTTTGGCGATATCAGTTTCCAGCCCAATGGCGAGATAGCTACGAGAATCCAAGCAGCAACCAATGCTTCTGTCGACGCGACGGAAGATGGACAGACGGCCGCTACGCCTTCTCAGAATGACGCTCAGTTCTTGTCTCCTGTCAATGTAGGAGGTCAGACCTTGGTCATGAACTTTGACAGCGGCTCGTCGGATTTGTAGGACAAACACCTCTATGGAGACGTTTGAATGAAGCTAACAGTGTGGCTTAGTTGGGTTTTCAACACCAACCTCGACCAGTCGGCCCAACAAGGTCATACTGTCTACAACCCAACGAAATCAAACGCATCTAAAGCGCTTACTGGTAGCACCTTCAATATCAGCTACGGAGACGGCTCATTCGCTTCTGGACCCGTCGGTGTCGATACAGTCGATATTGGCGGCTCAACAGTTGACGCCCAAGCTATTGGACTTCCCAATGTTGTCTCGGACAGCTTCATCACCAACACCGCTTCGAACGGTCTGGTCGGGCTAGCGTTCAGCCAGCTAAACACCATCAAGCCACAAGCTCAGAAAACCTTTTTTGACAATGTCATGGCAGACTTGACTCAGCCGGTGTTCACCGCGCAGCTCTTGTCCAGTGCTACGGGTTCATACGAGTTCGGCAAAATCGACAAGACTTTGTTTAAAGGTCAGCTCCAAACCGCTGCCGTTGATTCTTCCAATGGATTTTGGCAGGTTTCATCGACATCGGCGGCTGTGTCAGGCCAGAAGATCAACATTGCTGGTGGCACTGCCATTCTCGACACGGGCACTTCGTTGATGCTCGTTGCCGATGAGATGGTGGTTGGATATTGGAACCAGGTCCAAGGCGCACAACTGAATCAACAAGCAGGCGGCGTCATCTTTCCGTGTAACGCTCAGCTCCCTGACCTCCAGGTTGCAATTGGTAACAACCTTGCGACTGTGGATGGCGCCAACATGAACTTTGCAAATGTCGGTACCGACACCCAGACCGGGCAAGACTGTAAGTTTTTGTCCATACTATTCGATCTGATGTGGGCGATGCTGACCAACTTCCAGTCTGTTTCGGTGGGCTACAGTCAAGTCAAGGTCTTCCCTTTTCGATCTACGGCGACGTGTTTTTCAGATCGAATTTTGTAGTCTTTGACGGGGCTACGCCGTCGGCCAGCTTTGCGCCTCATGCTTGAACTAGATACCAGTTGCATTGATAATCCCAATTTATGATGCCTACGTCAGCAATAGAATTATGCATAGCGTTCGGAGGTAGCCATACAGATGTTTGTCCTTTTCTTTGTGCTTTGGAGGAAGCACTACCTACCTACCTATACCTCTAGCATGGCAAAACCGTTCTCGCCCGCAGCAGAACGAATGAGCTTGACATGAGTACAAAAGATGGAAAAGTTATCAAACGTACACACGACTAAGATGTTTCTCCCCCTGTAACACGAGGACTTGTTTCCACACAGTAGAGAAGTCCGGGTACATACGGAGTACAATTTGTCATTTCCCAACGATATTCTATGACAACGACAAGGATTATACAAATTTAGATAGGAGCTCGATTCTGCAAGCCAATGTTCGTAGCTTCTGTCATTGGATGTCACTGACGGGGTTCGGGGTCCGATGGAAGGCTGGATGGAGTTTCTCAATTTGTGCTCGTACAGTCGTCGGTCAGCAGCCGAACATGACCACCAGCCGCACTTGCATTCCTCATCCACTAGTTCAACATGGAAAAAACCAAGACTATGTTTCAGGATCATTGATCTCGTTTATTGGTCAATTTTAATATTTTCGCGAGGTATTGTTCCCCAGCAAATTAGCAAATTGGTAGGTGAAGCAATCGGGCCAGAAAGGGAGGCCTGAACGGGCCAAAACCCAAGATCGAGCCGTTGACGTCGTTCGTCACAAGGATTCAAGTATGACTTTAAGTCGGGTCTGTACAGTATACCGTGTGTGCGTGCGTACAGTACACCTCGCCACGGGCTGTGATGTGGCAATTCGACGAGGAAATATTGCCAGGCCAGGCGAAAACCTCATTAGCCAGCCCTCAGATATCGCCAAACCCATAACAAAAGAACACAGTCCGTACCCCGTACTAATTTCACTGTAGCATCTCACACTGTACTCCGGAGGATTTGCTCTTCCAGCTCGAGACTAAAAAAGCCTTACGCCGTAAGTGACTAGGTAAGTAGACCACTTGATCAGCGCCACTGCACACCGACAGGGCCCAGCAAAATCCTTACGCCAGCTGTGATGGTCTGGATCTCGTCACAGAAAAGTCCGTAATAATAAAAAGTCCGCAGTTGGTGGTTGGAGGCACCATTATTGCTGACCAAACACCCGAAGTTCATAATCCCTGCAATGATTCTATCTTGGGCCGACCGCTGAACTCACGACACACACCAGCTGCTCACCACTTACCTTCACTCTGTCTCGTCCCTCGTACAGTGCCTTGGCCTTTTGCCCTTTGCCTGACGCGCCCAGACTGAGGGCAGGGGATCCCATAACATGACTTCATCTCAATCTCTAACTAACCTTGTTACTGCAACTAACTCCCTGTATCCTGACCTGGTGGTTTTTTTACCTTTGCCATTTACTGCTTACAACTAGTTGCCCGATGTTACAGGTAGGTTAGAGGTACCTAGGCATCGTTGGTTGGTCGGTCACGCTGTACCTTACCTGACTTTGTGGTTGATTCCCTTCCGATCTCTTTGCCGCCTTTACCAGACTTAACGCTTCTATGGTGACCAGAAGAAAGTCGACATGGACTCCCACTCGAGGCGGTAAGTTCATGACTTCGTCCTCAGCAGTAGTTCACAGTTACTTTCTTGGGAAGTGGACTTTGATCCGACTGACTTCTCCGTCGTTAGGAGGCACGCTCCGCTGTGGCCGCCGTTTAAACAATCGTATCGACAATTGGGTTCGACCGAACATGTGAACCTAACACCTCTCGCGGCGACAACCGGTGGCTCTTCGCAGAGGTCGAGTCTCCCTAATAGCGCGGACATGTTCAGTCCAGATTTCAACAACAGCAGGACCGCCTATACCCCGGACCCGATGCAGCACGGCACGCCGACCGCACTGCTCAAGAAGCCATCCCGCAAGTCTTCAGGCTTGTCGCGCAGGAGAAGGTGGTTCGGTCAAGGATGGCGGGCGAGCTCAAAGATAGCTTTGGGTTGCGCGGTGACGGTCTTGATCACCAACATCTGTCTGACCATCGGCATCGTGACGACCGGGGTGAAAATGATGGACGGGGTGTACATGGTCTACGAGGGGAGTTGCAGCAAAACCCAGACAAAGGACAGCTGGGTTCACTTGTGCCTCAACATCGTTGCCACGTTACTACTGGCCAGTTCCAACTATTGCATGCAACTACTCACGTCTCCGACCCGAAGCGAGGTCGACAAGGCTCACGCGAAGCGCAAATGGCTCGACATTGGTATACCGAGTATTCGCAATTTAGGGTCACTGAGGAAGAAGAAGGTCGCCCTGTGGTGGATACTGGCCATTTCATCCGTGCCGCTTCATCTAGTGTTTGTTCACAACCCCTGACTCCCAAATGCGACGCCAGTATGTGCACGTATGCCGCCCGGCACGGCTGACATTTGCTCTAGATACAACTCGGTATTCTATTCGGCCCTCGCAACCAACAATTACAGCATCCTTTACGCATCACAGGGTTTTGTCGACCAATCGGCGGCGTACAACGAAACCGAATTTCCCAACACGCAAGATCTGAACGTCACGGACGTGCAATCCAGAGCCAAATCATTCGACCGCCTCGACAACAAAGATTGCATCCACGCCTACGCGCGAGATTTTGTCGAAGACCGCCGCAACGTGATTGTCGTGGTCAAAGATCCGCCGGCCGACAAGGGATCCCTTTTCAAGGTCGCACAGAATGATTTCCCCGAAGTCATCACGCCGAAATACAACCCCTTTTCATGGATTTGCGACAACCCGAACGTCGTGAACGAGACGGGTGCTTGTTGTGAGAACAAATACGGATTCGTGCCTTGCCACAAGATCACCCCCAAACTGGTTGACGTGGCAGCTTCATGGTCGACGGGCGGTTTCGAGGTGGACCACTGCCTCTCCGAGATTGTCGAGTCACGATGCCATCTCCATTTCTCCTTGGACCTCATGGGCGTCGTGCTGACGTTCAACATCCTCAAGGTCATCGGGATAAGCTTCGTCGCTCTCTGGATGGGCGAGTCGCCCCTCGTCAACATCGGAGACGCCATCCAATCTTTCCTCCGGCATCCAGACCGCACCACCGAAGGGATGTGCCTGTCCAGCCACGAGAGCGTGGTCGCGTCGGCCAAACTCGGCAGCAGCGGCTACGCGGCCATGACGGTGCCGACACGGTACAACCCAAAGCAACGCCGCTACTTCCACGCGGCGACGTGGAACCAGTGGTTATTCCTGACGGCCCTCTTCGTCCTCGTGTTCGTCGGCACATCCGTGTGTCTGGGACTCGGGATCCGTCATCTGGTCGGCGACAAGACCATCGCCAACGCCTGGTCGATCGGGTTCGGCAACGTCAAGCCCGAGAACCTCGTCATGGGCCTGAGCATAGGGTACGGGGACAAGTCGATCGCGGTGTCTACTCTCATCGCCAACACACCTCAGGCCATTTTCTCCTTCTTGTACGTCTGCTACAACGCCTTATTCACCGTCATGTTCCTGTCGCGGGAACTGTCGAGGTTCAGCGTCACGGCTGGCCGGGGCCGCAAGTACCTTCGCGTCACCGACCCCGAGGGGGAACAAAAGGGAACCTACTTTCTCAGTCTCCCTTACAAGTATGGAATACCGTTGCTGTCCGCCTCGGGTCTGGTGCACTGGTTGGTGTCGCAGAGCGTGTTTCTGGCAAACATCTCCATCATCCCTCCCGACGGCTCCCAACCCATGCAGGACGAGATCACCACCGTGGCCTATTCACCCATCGCCATGCTGTTTATCCTTTTTGTCGTGTTGGGCCTGTTGGTTTTCCTGATCGTCACGGCAGCACGAAAATTACCCTTTGGTATGCCTTTGATCGGCAGCAATTCCATCGCCATCAGTGCCGCCTGTCATCCTCCCCTTCTTTACGGCGGCGGTGCTGATGACCAGGGCCAACGGGAGGACATGGTCATGAGACCTCTGAACTGGGGTGCCGTTCCGGTTCCAGGGAAGGTGGGTGGTGGTGGTGGTGACTTGGGCATTCGAGGTGTTGTTCACTTGGATCGTACGTCGGGTCATGGCACTTTTCATGATGTCGATGGGTATGATTATGATGATCAGAATATTGGTCATTGTTGTTTTAGTGATCAACCCTTGGTGTCTCCTGAGAGGGGCAAACTTTATGCCTAGCTTTTGGTTTTTCTGCTTTCCATGTTTCTCGCGCATGCTTAGCAGTCATCGGAGAGGCACTGTTCTCTTTTCTTTGCATTTTGGAACGGCATGGCATGGGATGAATCCTTACAGTGTACTGGAAAATGAGACACTTGCCCAAGAAAAGCATTATATATGAAATTGGATAAATAGCTTGGGATAATGTGAGGAAAGTGTTCTACCGTGATCGGGCATTATACCAGGGATGATACGTACCCCTTAGAAGGCAGTCATCAAGGTTATTAAACCTTGGACATGATCAACTCACGACGGGCCATCACATTCATCCTCTAGAAACATCTCAATCTTGCAAATCATGATGGTTTTTTTATCCATAAATCTTGCCAGAGCCAGAGCCAGTACCAGACCATGTACAGAGTATGGCCAGTACATGAATACCTACCTACCTATCTGAGATATGCGCATACGATGGGCGACCCCCATTTTCTCCCGTTTTGTTTTCTTTTTCTGTTTGTTGGGCGTCTTTCTCTCTCTCTCTCTCACACACACAGTCATACTCTCGTGATCGAATCATACCAAAAGCATCGATGGTAGATACCAACTTCTCATTTCATAAACATGCATGGATTTTCTCGTTTCAACCCCTCAAAAGCACTATCCCCGGCACTTGCCTCCCCCTTTCCGTACTTTGTCTATCCAAAAATCACCAAAAATCACCTGGCCGGGGATTCCACGAGGCGGAGGTACTACAGTAGCTCCATTTTTTTGGGTTTCCAAACCAAAATCCGGCAGTTCCAAACTTCGTCAAAGTCCGACAATTTTGACCACGGGGAGGCCAATGCGTAGGTATATAGGGAAACACCTTTTCCAGCCAACATGGTCATCAAGAAGAAGAGGATCCATTCAGAGCATGGGCGGCAATCTTTTCCTTTTCGACCTCCCTCGTGATGATGTTTCGAATCCCAAACAACCCTTCGTCGCTGGACACCTTCAACACTTTTCTCTCCTTGTCGTTCAACCCGACGAACTGTTCCGGCAGGACCGTGTTGAAGTCGAACCCCTTTTCGTTCTGCAGGGCGAGTTCGACCGCGCCGGCGAATTTCGCGGCGTGCGCGGTGGCGAGGGACACGGTCGGCGCCGCCGCCGTCGTCTTCTGCTGTTCAATCTCGCGCAAGCTCGCGGCGACGCCGATGGCCGAGTGAGGGTCGAGGACGTAACCTTTTTTGGCGATGGCGTCTCCCCGGTAGCAGTCGCGGATGGCGTCCAGGGTCTCGGCGTTGCTGACGCGGTGGGTGGCGAAGATGGACCTCGCCTTGTTCAGGATCTCGGGTTGGACGGTGAAGGACCCCGTGCGCTTGAGGTCCTGGAACCAGGAGTCGATTTTCTGGCCGGCCGCGCGCACCGAGGACTCGTACTTGACCTCCGGGTTGGTTTCGAGTTCGTGTTCGAGGCTCAAGTGCCACAGCAGACGTTCAAAGTTGGACGAGACCAGAATGTCCATGGCGGGGCTGTACGTCTCCTTGACGCCCGCCTCGTGGGCCTGCGCGCCGTCCTCCTTGATGCCCTCGTGGGGCTCCGAGGCCGGCTTGGGCGACTTGCTGTAGGACCCCGTGCGCCAGAAGCGGTGGAGGATGTCGTTCTCGTTGGTGGCGATGACGAGTTTCTCGATGGGCAGGCCCATGCGTTGCGCGTAGTACCCGGCCAGGATGTCGCCAAAGTTGCCGGTCGGCACGACAAACTTGACCTTTTCGAGGTCGGGCTTGGTCTTGAGGAGTTGGAAGTAGGCCGAGAAGTAGTAGGTGATCTGCGCGAGGATGCGGGCCCAGTTGATCGAGTTGACCGCCGCAAGGTGGTGGATCTTGTTCGTCTCCGGGTCGGCAAACAGCGCCTTGACGTAGTCCTGGCAGTCGTCGAACGTGCCTTGGACCGAAAGACAGTGCACGTTCGGGTCGAGGACCGTGGTCATTTGTGCCTCTTGCACGGGACTCACCTTGCCGTCGGGGAACATGATGAAGATGCTCACGTCCTTCTTGCCGCGTAGACCGTAGATGGCGGCAGACCCCGTGTCGCCGGAGGTGGCGCCAATGACGGTCAGATGGTGTCGGGTTGCGTTGGGGCCGCCCTCGAGGTTCTTGTTCTTTCGGACCAGGAAGAACTCGAAAAGGTTTCCCAGGAATTGAAGGGCGACGTCTTTGAACGCGAACGTGGGTCCGTGGAAGAGTTCGAGAAGGTACAAAGACTTGTCCTCGTCGAGGGGAACCAGGGGCACCGTGTCCGGATGGCGGAACGTCGAGTAGCTTCTGTTGACGATGTCCTTGAGCTCTGCGTCGGAGATTTCATGGTTGTCAATGTAGAGTCTCATGACATTGTATGCCAGTTCTGGGAACGAGAGTTCCTTCCATCCCAGGTATTTGTCGGACCCGACGTTGGGCACCTCGTGTGGGTGGAAGAGACCTCCATCGGAAGCGAGACCTTTGAGGACCACGTCTTCGAAACTGAAGAACTCACGTAGTGAGCTGTCGTGGTACCGCGTACTCGAGTATTTGGAGTTGTTGGCCACCATGGCGGGTAAGTAAGCTGTCGCTTGAGATGAGATGAGACGAGACGATGTCTCTCTGAGTCAACAACTCTCCTCTGGGAAATTTTCTTGGAGGCTCTAAAAGTATGCCGTCTGCCGCCCTTTTTTTTCTTCCGGAGATCGGAGAGTGGATATTCAACAAAAAGAAAGGTACGTTTGGGAAAAGTTCGACAAAAGCCAGCGTTTCGATATTGCAAGTTCAGGGACAAGAAACTCTAGGTCGAAGAGCAAAACCAGTATGTAGGTTGGACCAGACCAATGACACCTCAGGTGGGTAGGTAATATATCACTTTTATTCGTATCTGCCCGTGGTCCGTAGTACGGAATACGGAGTGACTCTTTCGTCGGCCTCTGGCCCATCACGTGGGAACCAATCAAAAAAATACACAGTCACTAGCCCATTAATGGTCTAGTCTGGATAATCTCTTGGCGCAAACTTCGCTGTTGGGATCCTATATATTTCTGCCCATCTCCGTCCTTTCTCTCTCTTTTTTTTTTCTTCATGCGACTTTGTGAGTCTTCTCCCTGCACCCTCAAAAATCCGATCGAAAACTAACAGTGCCTCTTCCACAGACTTCATAGAATCATTTCTATAGTAAACGTCCTCTTCTGAGCTCTTCACACGAGCCACAGAATCCTCAACCTGGCGGACGAAACAAAGCAACTTCATCCTAGAGTGAAACCGTTTTTACCCTCGACGTTTTTGTTTTCTTCCTTTTTCATCTTAAGCCATGTCTCTTCGGAAACTGGTTGTTTTTTGAACTGGTTCGAAACAGAAAGAGGGTGGTGATGATCTTTGACCTGCGTTTTTTGGGTTCTGGCTTCGTGCCGCCATGCGCAGCTGGTGAAGTTGTTGATTCTGACAGGCTTATTACCTACACTTTTCATGAGCTTGGAACCCTTGAGGTTGGAGTTTGAGAAGAGTGGCTTCGTTCTATACAAGATGGTTGTTTACAAGTGTTTGTACAAACACGCACACGCACGAGTGAAGGGTTTCTTTCAAGATAGGTTACCGCCTTTGAGCACCCATGGGACAAGTGAGGGTTTGCTCATCCCAACAGTTTGCAGACCTTGGGATATACCTGGGACAGATCAATTTCCTCGGCGATGGTGTCATGTGAGGAATTGCTGGTCCATCATCTCAGATGGTTGTTGGGTCGTTAGAGGTAGTGAACAGCCACCATCATATAGCACAGATCCTCATTTCCTCTTTTCTCACGCGACTCATGCAAACGTTGTGATTAGTCTACAAAGTTACTCGACGAGCCCGCGTTTGCTGTCTCTTTTCACGCCAGAAAACTTCGAACAGATACGAATTTGATACAATACATGCTCATAAATTCTTCGTTTCATTTCGAGTCTTTCACAAAGGAAATAGCCTAGGGGTAGACGAGTCCGCAGTACCTGATATTTGTCACTATACAGACTATGTACTGGCGTTGAATTCATGCCTCGACTGACCAAGGCAAGTCCTCCTTTAGGAATCTATACACGACTTTGTCGTGACTTGGTTTTAAAATTCCAAACTCTGCTTCTCTTCCAGTGGCATCGTAGTCGTCGTGGCCTCTTTGACCATCTTCTTCTCCTTTGGTCTTCCCTTCCTATCGACCCTCTCATCTCTTGGATCAAAACCTCCATTTCCCCAGAGTGCCCACTCCGGCGTCTCCTTGCAATAATCCTCGGGGGCAAAATCGACACCGTCACCCAACAACTTGAAGAACTTGTCATAGTCAATAATAGTATTCCATTTCCCATCAATCAAAAATCTCTTGCTCGCAAGCAAGATGCAACAACTGTGAGCATGTTCTGCCGCGATGCCGTACTCGAGCCCTCGTTTCGTCAGAGCCCTGTCCAGAGCCTCAACGAACGCCACGACTTCCTCGTAGAACGGGACATTCTGCATCGTCAAGCCTGCATTGGAGGAGGTTGAAGTTCCGCAATACGTAACTCCTAAAATACGTACACAACGTCAGCATTTGAGACACACAAAAAAATGTTCAATCGGTTACAGAGGTAGATGGTTGTTTTACCTTTAATTTCGACGAAGCAAGGGAGTCCTTTCTCGACCAGGTCAGCGTAGCCCTCTGCTTCGTCCTCGATGTTGAATCCTTTGACCAAGGTCAATCTGAAGACCGTGCGTTGAATGAATCGCTTCTCGCGTAGAATTTCAAGACAGGACTGGAACCGTTCCCAAAAGTCTCGATGAAGCGGTCGGTCGATCTTGCGGAGGCTGTCCTTGTTACTCGCGTCGATACTCACGTACAACTGCGTCACTCTCCTCAGATCGCGAAGTTGCTGTGGATGCTGAGCGTTGCACACGAGGAAACTCGAGATCTGTTCGCCGTGGAGTAGGCCCACAAACTCGTTGATGTGAGGGTAAAAGATGGGCTCGCCCACAAGACTCAAAGCACAGTGCCGAATGCGCATGGCTTCCTCGAACCGCTCGCTTCGGACGCCGGGGACACCACGCATCATCTTAATTTTCTTGTAATGACCCTCTTTCGCGCCGTCAAAGATCATCTGCGGATCATCCACCTGCCACCGCCAGGTCGTAGAAACAGGGTTGGTTCCGTGACGCCAGCAAAAGACGCATTTATTGCTGCATGACAAGGACGGCGTTGTCTCCATGCAGAGATGCGAAGCGATGCCGTAGAAGGAATTTTTGTAACACGAGCCACGACCACGGAGTGCTGACTTGGTCCATCGGCAGATCTTGACGCCCGAGTGACTGCCGACAATGGTGTAGCCTTGTTTCGTAAGGGCCGTGTATGTGGGCGACTCCTTGGGCACCATGGCTTTCAAAGGAGCGACCGCTGCCGGGGAGCTAGAATAGGTAGTGAAATCAACCGCCATTGTCGTTCCTTTACCACCTACGTCTTCCAAATCGGTGGTGTTCCTGAGTTTCCTCCTCTTGTTCCGCCCGGAATCAGGAAAGTCGACGTCTTCCTGCATGTCTTCTTCATCTCTGTCGTCCTCATCTGCACTTTCTACGGCATCTCCACTGCCAGGAACGCCCTCGCCCAGCCCACCGGTGACACTGAGCTCCTGGAGTACATCACACACCCCGGCAGTCCAGTCTTGTAGTGTCTGTTCAATACTGCCTTTGACGTCTCCCAAACCCAGTGGATATGCTCTCTTACTCCCGGTCAGCTTGGACATCCACCTGTCGACTTCCACGGCTTGTGAACAGAACCCAGCTTCTTCAGTAGGCCAACCATTCTTGTCGCCGATTCCAAAGACGGTGTATCCTGCAAGACTGGAGAGGGACGCAGTGTCTATGCGAAAGTCGTTGTGTGTCTCGTCGAGATGGTCGAGAAACGTGTTCAATATCGTGTCGATGTCATAGGATGGTAGGAGGAGGATGTAGAAGTATCGCACGTTCGTATCGGATTTGGGAGTCTTTGGTCCCGAGATGAAGTAGTCGTCGAGGTCCACGTACGAGAGATCGTGTAGCTGGGGTTTGAGGACTAGTGACTGCACGGTCGGCAGGCTCTCCAGCTTTGCAAGCACCGACCTCGAGAGACGTTCCGTCGTGCCGGTCAGTGAGGTATAAAAGACCAAGGGCTGTATGTGTAGAGGCTCATCGTGTGCTTGGGATCCTTTGCCGCCGCCTCTGGGGCTGGGTTTGCGACCAGTCACCACCTTCGGCGCAGAGTAACGAGGCTTTCGGTTCGTGCCCGCTGCAGGCTGAGGCCCGTTTTCGAGGGATGGGTTGCCATTTGTCGTCGGCAAAGGAATATTATGTTTCCCATCCAGCCAGTCCGAAGATGTGCGTGCTTGAGTCGTGCGAAGCCGCCTGCGGTATAGCCAAAAGAGAAGGCAAGACAACGCGACCGCCGAGTACACTGGGACTCTATAATCGTGCCATGAAGACAGCAGGCGATCCAACCAGTCTGCCAGTATGACAGGCGTCGCTCCTCCTTCCCCCAAATCCATTGTCTTATCGGTTGCAGGACTATTCGAGACCTCAAAAAATTGTTTCTTAGAATGCGCGGGGTGCGTGCGGGCATTAATGTGTCGCACGCCGCTCGGCGTTGGAGGGTCCTTGACCGGCCCGCAATTGGTGTTCAAAGATACTAGGTACTAGAGAAATACAAACTCCCTTTGTACCACGGTACTTCTGATTGTATTGAAGAAAAGATACCTATGTAGGCACCCCAAAAACATTCCCCGGATCATGGCAAGAATACTTCTACGTATGGGAGAGGCATTGGCCATGACCTGAAACCAGTTTTGAGAGACTGTGAGCATAAGGGTTATATATCTCAGTCGTTATTTCAGTCGTTACCTGGTACTTATTCTTGGTTGCAAACGCTAATCAAAAGGTTCATATACAAACAGCCACCCTACTGGTCCTGATGTTGTCTGTAGCACACGTCCGCAACGCCTTATCAGCCCCCAAGCGCGAGCGAGGGCATTCTTTGGTTTCAATTGGCAAAGGCTTGGATCAGGGCATCGCACGTAAGAGCTATTGCTCGTCTGCCTGCCTCGAGTACGGCGTCCATGGCGAGGAAAGGATGCGGCATCCCTTGCATGAGCGTCAAATCCACGGGGACCCCATTCTTACGCAACTTCTTTGCGTACTCCTCACCTTCGTGACGAAGAATATCGACTTCACCGATAATGACATTCGCAGGTGGTAGTCTTTGGAAGATGGAGTCTGGTGCCAGCAGCGGCGAAGCCTCCCTGTGCGACCAGGTAGTAGGATCCGGCAAGTAATGGTTGCGATACCAGAGCATCTTCTTCGCGGGGAGCGCCGCCGTGTACTCAAATGTCTTCCAGGTTGGATTGGAGCACGGCAGAGCAGTATTGTCCGTGACGGGAACGATCAAGAACTGATGTCGAAGGGTTACGCATCCTTCAATCGAAGCATTTTGGACGACAACTGCGGCAATGTTTGAACCTGCAGAACTTCCCCCGATAGCAATCTTGCCAGGATCAAGGCCGAGTATGCTCTTCCCATATGATGTAGCCCAAAGGAATGCTTCCCATGAATCGTGGATCGCCGCTGGCCAGGGTGCTTCAGGAGCGAGCCTATTTCAAAGTCACAGTCAGCAGAGCAAACAGCGCAACAATGACTATGTGAAGGCCATGGAACATGGAGGGGCACAGCAAGGAAGTCGGGATCTGCTGACCTGTAGTCTGTCGTGATCACAACTGCCCTGGTTCGATTGCAAATATGGGTGCAGATATTGTTCTCAGAGTCGAGGTCACCAAAAACCCAGCCTCCGCCGTGATAATACAGGACTACTGGCCACCCGCAATTGGGAGGTTGTCCCTGGGGGATGAAGCATCGAATCGCTATGTCGGGGCCGTTGGTTTCTTGTCGAGAAATCCTCCTGTCGAGGATCTCGCCAACGGGCAAAGGGTCGCCGTTGCAGGGAATATTGTTTCCCTTTGCCCTCGAGACAGACAGTGGGAGAAAGTGGGCGGGGTGCTGATTCAAGAGGTGTTTGTTGTAGAAGGCCACATAGTCCGGATGCAGGCGGTCTCTGACACTTGGGTGCAGTGGGTAGCATGGAGCCTGTATCTGGGCTACCATGGCGATGTGTCCAGACGGATTGGGCCTCACGGCAAAGGTCGAGCAGAATAGTTCTCCAGCATTCAAAACTTGTCCGAAAGCTCACTCGGGCGGTAGAGGGCAAGGGCAGACCAAGAGGAGATAAAAGGCTTGTGAATGGCGAAGGTCAGGGTCGAGACCGAGCTAACCGTGGAATACAGCACTCGTATTGCTTGGGAAGCGGTTCCATCACAGTGCTGGTAGGATAAAGTGTTGGAAATATTGAGTGGTCAAGTCAATGGCCAGTGGTTGGATACAATTGGACGCAGAGTGGTACTTCAGCACAACGTCAGGATGGATTCTTGTGACCTCAGTACCCTGCACTATCACCAGCCCATGTCTGTTGGCGTTTCTCCGTAATATGTACTGTGCGACCCACGACTTCTGGTTTTGAGATGAATTTTACCCCCTTTGAGTGCGAATCGCACGCGGGATGCTGCATCACGCTATGGATGCAATCGCAGAGCTCGTCCTTGTCCATAGCCCCCATGGCCCCTTTGGAAGTACCGAAAGTACCCGGGTCAACGGTGTGTGTAACGTACCTCTACAGTGCGTCAATCCCAGTGGCACAAAGGGTCATCGGGTCGACTGGGCAGAGAGAGAGCGCGAGAGGGACTTCCAAGACTCGCGCGGGTCAAAGAGGAACCGAGACCACAGAGAAGTCGCTGCAAGAGCTCGTTCAGACTCTAAGCGAGACCAGGCCGAATAAAAGGCCCTGTTTGCAGCATGGTCTTTCAGTCATTCGAGATCGGTATTGGTAGACTCGCTATAACCACCTCAGCGGGAGGAGCTACTGCAGGAAAAGAAGATGCGCCCATTGGCGGTGCTAAATGCCAGATGGGCGTTCCAGACCTGCTGAGGTGTTGATTCACCATCCGCCGGCCTGCATCAAACCCAGGCTGCCCAGCGTTGATCACACTTGTCGCAGCCAGGGGGGATGTTCTCGCCGCGCTCTGCGATACGACATTGATCATGGGGATCGGGGGGGTGTTGGGTTGTCCTTGTGATTTCCCCATCCAAAGTCACTCTAAGTCCTGTAAATCTCGTTACGTACAATCATCAGACGACGTAGATAATATCTTGCTCGACACCACGCTTGTTAGGTACAATCCTTGCTCGTATTGACAACTACGAGTATCCGGATACCCCCTTTCCCCTCATTCGCAAGACGATACGACACCATACTGCTTAGCCTGCGGCCCGGCCAGTGGTGTCAAGTCAAGCATCCAGGTACAATAGTTACGGAGTAGCAACGGAACCATCTTCGCAGGTGTCTCGCATCTGGCATCTGGCAGCCAGTGCGCCGCAGTCTTTCCCGGTACCGAACAAACTTCGGCCCGAAACGAGAGACGCCAAATGGTGTGCGTATTGTAGAACATACGGATATGGTGGGTACATGATAAGGCATCAACAAGTCTCACCGTCACCCCCAAGGTGCAACCCACGGCGAGAGATATCGAGTATGTAACCGGAAACCCTCTGGGTCTGAACTCAATGGCCGGAAATGCTCCCCCAGCTTACTTCGTCAAGGGACAGCGTCTGGACTGTGGGATGGCGACCGCTTCTCCCTCTGCAATGAACCTCTGGTGTTGCCTCCCTTTCTTTTGCTCCCTAAGCTAGTGGCGTCGCTTCCCGTAGAGTACACGACAATAGCCATGGAGACGAGATTTCAGGGCCCCACGACAGCTTTCTCGTGCCGGACAGTACCACCAAGTACTTGCGATCGACCCCGAGCATGCCCTACAGAGCAACCGCATTCAGGGAGACTACGGAGTACTTCAAAAATCTACGGAAAGCTTCTCCCACCTTGCCCTCTCTGCGCTCCCACCTACAGTACTCTGTGTTCGCCCAAGCTATCCATTTGACCGACATTCACAACTGTCCGACCTTCAGCCACCTCACCTCTTTGTCCTCACCGCTCGATCATGCCGGCATTCGATATCCGGCAGGCCCCATTACTTGACCTAGTGGGCGAAGGCGTCCGTAGTCTGACATTGTCCACCAGGCTAAAGCTAACGTTCTTCTTGACCTTCTCGCGCATTGCATGCGCCGCTTTGGAGAGACCACCGTGCAGGTGTCCTAACGGTCCCATTTTGGCGGATCCGATTGAACTAGCAACTTCGGTATCGGTATTCGTATCAATCACGACAGGACAACTGCTAGAGCTGCTGGATTGGGCTAATGAGGCAGACGTCGTCTGGTAGATATGCGAATTGCCACCAATTCCCGAGGTTGAAAGGACAGCTGGCAATCCAACCTCATGATGTGATGCACATTTCTCTCTGATCTTGTCCTCTTCAGAATTTGTTTCCGAAATTCCTCCTAGATGATCTGCATGCTTGCTACCCTTGACCGTAGGAGGCGGTGCGGCAGCCAGACCAGGGCTCCCGAAGACTGATCCCCGATAGTCTTCTTTTATGACAGCAAAGTCGACTGTTTTCGATATCACCGATCCGATTCTTGTCCTCTGAGCTTGGGTGGCGTCATTCGTTCGAGAAGTGTCAACCATTGACAGAATATCTGATAGAGGGGAGAGATCGTCCTTCAAGTGGCCGGAGGAGGAGGAGGACCATCGCTCCGGATGAATATGCTCATAAACTGGATTGCTACTACGTCGCAATACCGAAGTGGACGAATTTGAGCTTCGAGGCCATACTTCCGATGCATCGGTCTCATATCCCCGTCTTCGGGACTGCGATGATGAAGTTGAGGAGACATCCTCTCCAACAACGATTCTTGTGCTTGATGGCTCCTGTTGATCGGGCAGAGTGCGAATATCAGAAGCTTCGAATTCTGGAATTACTTCCTTCGCTTTGTGCGACTCGCAACGTGAATCTGGACGGGCATCTAGCTTTGTACCGTCCACGACTTCGTACTTCGGGGCTCGATTTGGTTTCGGCCCCCGAACAGTATATTCGATGTTTGTATTATTGAACAATCTTTCTCTCGGTCGCCATTCCAAGGGAATTCGAGGAACCCCAGGACTTAACATATCGGGTTTTGACGTGTTGTACTAGGTCAGCATGAGACTTATCTTCATTCACGTTGGAATTGTCATGGATCTTCCTCTCTGAAGCAAAACTCCCTTTCGGATTGGTGTTCCCCATTACACAAGGAGAAAGCCTAGTGCTAATTGCATGGTCGTGTGCGTGCTTTCGCTCACCAGGATGATTTGCAACGGTTTGGTCTTGGGTGAGTGGTTCTCCTTCGAGAACGTCGTATCCTCCCTCGTTCTTGTTTGGTGATCGAGTATGGTTCATTCTAGCGACAGCAGTATTGTCGAGCTGAGAAATTCCACTCTCTGGATAGCCTTTGCCATGATGTCTCATCCCATTGACAACAGGCATTGCGGGAATCCTTGGTTCTAGCCCATCGTTCCGATTGTGATGCACATGTTCCGAGGTCGCTTCAAGCGCGTTCGAGGTGTACGCAAAAGGCAGGCCTGTCGAATAGGTCTTTCGACACGCCATGGCGACTTCAGCGCAAACTGTGGAAGTTATCTGTGGAGTGGTTGTTTGTTTATTGAAGATCAGAACAGCCTTGCGTGACTGAAACAAGGGCGGTCATGGTACCTGTCATGGAACCCTGCCATATTCGACTCTCCGTACCAGATGAGATCTGTGATTGTCCTCCATGCGAGTGACGCATGTTGGACCTTTATTAGGTAAATCACCTTCCTGATGTAAACAACGGTTCATAAGCTTTGACGGTGTATTTCCAGCAGACGTTCCAGGCTGTGGTTGGCACCGGAGAGTCGGTAGAACCTATACTCCAGGGGCTTCAGCCTCCACCATGTATCCCTGGACGAACCCACCACACTGGTTCGGAGCACCACACGGAGCAATTGCTACCTACGGAAGCATGACGCGAACGCGAGTCCATTTGTCACTTCGGAATCTGTTGCAGAGACAATCACCAAGTCGTCTTATTTGCACATTTCCAAGGCACCGAAGGAAGTCAAGTAACTGACTGTGTTACATGTACGTTCTCAAACCGGAAGTCCCTTTGACGGAAAGAATGTGGTATATTATAGAAATCTCTATTCACTCACCCCACCTCCTCTGGGAGGACTCTTGACGAGATTTATTTAGAAGTCGTCGACCCAGCGAATCGCAAAACCGACTTCAACCAGAAAATCGGCAGTGGGTCATGCCGCAATACCATCGGACTCAGGAGGACCCGTATAGACCTTACGGGCGTGGACTGCATACCAGAACGCTGCGATCGCGAGGAATCCAACCAGTACAACACTGGCATAATTCATGGTCACTTCCGTCACAGGTAGTGCTGTAGGCATGCTGAACAAGACCAGCTCGAACGTGATCCAACAGAGAGCCACGCAATTAACGATCGGCCCAATGATAGGACCACAATTCCAACGGGCAGTCGATACTTCACGTCGGCGATGCAAGAGGCTGATCGCAATTGGAATCGCATATGAAAGCGCCAATGCGATCACTCCTACCGACACGAAGGCCGTGAAGGCCGACGAGGAACCCAGATAGATCAACCCGAGCAGCATCTGTACCACCGTGGTGAGGACGAGAGCGTTGAACGGCACGCCAAGTCTGTCATTCACCTTCGCCCATACCCGAGACAAGGGAATAGCATCATCTCGGGCGAATGCCCATGTGCAGCGTGATGCGGCGACCGTGATGCTGATGCTGCAGAAAAGAGTGATGACCAAGACAAGGAAAATGAGGCCTAGACCGCCTCCAGGCGTTCCCATAACGCGGAAGAAGATATACGGCAGCGCTTGTCCGTAGGGCGAGGCGATGATCTCCTCCAAAGGTGGCAGGGTAAAGCAGATTGGCAGGATGAAGAACAGACCTGCGAAACCTCCCACAGGTACGCAGAGACTGATGGCCTTCGGCACCTTGACTGCCGGATTGGAACATTCTTCAGCCATTGCGGAAATCATCCCAATAGCAGAGAAGGTGTAAGCGGCCGGCAGAAGACCAATGAAAAACGTGAAGCCTCCCCAACCGGAGAAAGACTGATCGTAGTGGCCCAAGGCATAACTAGCACTGTGTCGACCTGCATCCGCCTTCACCGAGAGCGCGATCAGGATGACAATGATGCTAAGAGCTGTCCAGCCAGCGCAAACAGTGTCCACCATGGGCAATATTCTGTTCATAGTCGAACAGATGACCAGGGTTATTAAACACATGGCGTAGAAGATCAACAGCAGCTGCCAGTCCTTTGCCACCCAGTCTGGATGGTACATTGCCACAGTGCCAGCGATGAGAGAGGCGAACCCGAAATTGACAGAAAGTGTGATGGTCCCTAAGGTGGTACGGAGCAGAATCAGTAACATATACCATAGGCTTTCGAGTATGCAGTATTTCGCCACATGGCTACAGTTCGTCCCTGGAACCAATGCGGAGATCGGAGAGCCCGCAGTGCCTTTATGGTCGTGACGCCGCATGTTGAACAAGGACACTTACAGTTGCCAATCAACCATGTCCAACCTGTCAGGAAAGAGAGCGCAGTCTTTCCCTTCGTAGCGACTTGGTACGACCAGTAGTACGGTCCGGCTGACGTGGGGTCTATAGCAACCGTCAGCATTTATCTCAGTGCAACCAGGCCTCTGTTACACAGTTGATGATTTGAGGGACAACTCACATTTTGAGGCCAATTCGCCCAAGGACAACGCAATGCACTCGTCAAGTATCAAGATAACAATCCATCCCACGAATATCGAGAGAGGTCCACCTCCATAGATGGCGCTAATGAGAGGTGCACCCTCGCCGTAGGGGATGGCAGCAATGGCAAGCGATTGAAAAAGTAGGGTCAACATAGATCGATTCCGGCTCAATTCTGGCTTGTAACCCAGTTCGGTGATGACTTGAATATCCTCTGCAGTGCCTGCTCGGAGAGAACCTCGTCGGCCGTCCTCCACAGGCACCTCGTTTGAAAGTCGTTTTTCCGCGTCGACAACCATGTTTGCTGAATATCTCAAAGATATGGGGGTTTGTGAGAAGGTAGCCGCAGTTGTCGAGGGACCTCGAGGGCAGATGGAGGAGATCAAGTATCCCCTGGCGAACAGGAGGGAGCTTGGCCATTCTCAGCAAACAGTCGTGATAGGTCTCCGCGTGTCTTGATGAAGCTTGAGCAACCTTGATGTGGCTGATCAGACACGGGGTGGGCCTAAAAGAAAGAGAAGTCCACTGCGAGCATAGTCGAGGGCATATCGTTGCAGTGACTGCAATGCCCGCCACGGGATCGCACAAACAACTGCCATGGGTGATATTTTTCCCTATTATAGACTAGTTTGATTGAGCATCAGGCCAGCACCAAGCAATAAAGAGTTAGTGCTATCTGTCGGCTCGTGAGGGTTATCATCAACCAATTGTCATGGGTCCTTCGTCGTGGGGGCGCAGTTCCTCCAGTAGTAATAAAGGCGGTGGTACTCCGTAAAGGTGTGCCGGTGATAGCTTTGGCTTTGATGGTGGATCATGGCATTGATTGTATTCCGGGGGAGGGGTCAGCTTTCTGGTTAAGTTCATCTCCACCTTCACACTGGCTCACTCGACCAGGTGTTGACGAATACCCATGTGTCACTGCACGCAGGTACCCCGAAACCAGAGGCTTGGTATACGAAGGCCTATCTACATGCCATAATGGGCATGGTGCAGTGCAGTGGCCCGGGTGTGCGAGATCTGCCATGCGTTTGACCACTGCTATCAGCCCCTCTAGCCAATCATGGCAATGCGATAGGCCAACTCGTCATCCCCGGCCCAAAGATCGAGATATGGTAGTCCTTGAATTGGCTGGGAGTGATAAGACAGATAGCTGATACCAGAGCCTTGCGATACATGCAATATAACGTGCTACTTCCAAAAAGTCAAACGAGCAGGAATCCTCAGCATTCACGACTTCACGGTGGCTCGCTCTGCACCATGGTATCGGCTTCGGACGTTCAGTCGGCCTGGGAGGCTTGCGATAGGACTGATACTGTCTTCATCCTCGTCTGCACCGTCTTCTGTTGGACTATCATTCCCGCCGTTGGGCTTGGATATTCTGGCTACTCGACAAGACGGAGTGGTCTTGCATCTGCTATGCCTGCAGTTTATGCAGTAGCGGTTTGTACGATCCAGTGGTTCCTTATTGGGTATACGTTGGCATATGGCGATGGGCCTGGGGGAGTCTTCGGAAACCTCGCTTATGCTTTCCATCGTGGTGTATTGGCCGAGCCTGTTGGAACAATACCGGCTGTACTCTTCAGTGAGTTTCAGCTTGTATTCTTGGCCACGGTCTGCGCCATCAGTGTGGGAGGAGGCTGTGAGCGTGGGAGAATTCTGCCACTGATACCTTTTATCTTCGTATGTCTCCAAAAGCATGGGGTACTTCCAGAAGTGCTGACGAGTGGACTGTAGCTCTGGGCGACCTTTATTTACTGCCCATTAGCCCACATGGTGTGGGGCGGGGGTTTCCTTGCCGAATTAGGGGTACTCGACTTTGCTGGTGGCACCCCTGTACACATCTGTAGTGGTGCAACTGCCTCGGCGCTGAGTTTGTACTTGTCGTATCCAATCGCCAGATCGCGCAGGTCAGAAGTTCGAACGCCGTCGCATTTGAAACTGCATCGACCTCACAACTCGATGTGTCAGTTGTTGGCAATGATTATTATCTGGGGATCGTGGTTGGCTTTCGATGCTGGCACCACCCTGAGTCTGAACTTTCAGTCTGTCATGGCACTTTGCGTGACCAACCTTTGTGCCTCAGCAGGTGCCCTGACCTGGGCTGCGATCACATATGCCGAGACCGGAAAGTGGTCCCTGGACAGCACGTTCATGGGCGCGATAGCTGGACTAGTCATGATCACGCCGGCTGCCGGCTTCATTGACCTTCCGAGTTCGTTGTTCTTTGGATTCCTTGGAGCTGTTGTCTGCCGCCAAGCTCTCCGTATCAAGTTCACAGACTTTGCTCGGAGATGGAAGTGGGTTGACAACGGTGACACATTCGCCACGCACTGTGTAGGAGGATTTCTAGGCACCATTTGCACCGGCCTGTTCGCTCAGAAGACAATTGCAGCATACGGTGGTGCAGAGGTAGATGGAGGAGTCTTCTTCGATGGCAATATCCGGCAACTCGGAGTTCAGGTTGTAGAGGCATTGATAGGATTTATATGGTCGTTTGTCGGCTCATACGCGATCATTGCCATTATTGACTGCATCCCAGGGCTTGAGTTCCTGGCGGAGGACAAGTATGCTAAAGCTTTCCATCAGTCACTGTTTGTGTTTGCTAACTTCTGCAGGGACGTCAATATTGGCATGGATGCCTCGCAAATGGATGAGAGTCTGTACGAAGCCCAATGGGCAGGTGAGGAGGATTACAAGCCATTAACAAATGGCAGCATTGTGCTCGACTAATTCCCACCTATCGACAAGTCACGGGATGACCTTGGACAAGAAGTGTCTGAATAGATTAGGATATAGACAGAACTGTATAAGCGCATAGAGTAGAATGGGAAAGAAGAAATATGGATAGGCATGCTGTGTAGAACAAAGTAGGGATGGCGTTTCGAGATGGATCAAAAGCATCTTTGGTAGCCACCTCACTCGTATGACATAACGCTGTGATGTTGAGACTTCGATATCTGTCGGGAAATGCAGTCTTCCGGAAGCAGTATGCCTACCTCAAGTTGAGCATCAGGAGCTGCCCATGTGTATTGTGGAAAAGACAACCATCAGTCAATGACTGAAGAGGTGACCACAAAAACCAAGGTAGAGAAAGCATGGTCACGTGGCTGATCATCCCAAAACGGTATAGTGTAATTTTGTAGTACTCGAACTCCCTGCAGTACTGATAAAGCCTTTATTCTTCTCACATTTCAGCATGAGGACATCTAATCACTCTACCAACATTCAAACCTATCTCTGTTGGTGGAGCGTGAAGGCCATACTGCATGTATTTGAAAAGTGCTTGACTCTTCCCCCAGAGTTTCCTATGGTGAGTCGTGTCAAAGGTCAAGTTTTGTCTCCTTGTCCCCTTTGTTCCTCTTCTGCTTCCGGTTTCATGCAGCTTCTGGGTAATCGAGAGTGTGACAATTTGATTGCCAACAATGAACTGCCCACCATTCTTCAGTCTTCAGAGCAAGGCCAGAAACTTGGAGTTTTCGCTCGCCAATCTGCCCATACACAAAACATTTGATACAAAGCAAAAAGGAAATTGTCGCCCTCCTAGAGTTTGAATTCCGGCACGAGAAACCCGATGGCAACAGCAGAAGACCACCAGAAAAAGCCCCCGGGCACTGCTTCGGAAGCTATGAACCCTGCTAGCGACGTAGTATCCGCAGGCGAACTTCTTGCAATTGAACTATTCACTAACACGCTCCTGGCTCGTACACATTTTCTCTTCTTTCTCGCCGCTTTGCCCGACACACTGCCTTACGAGCGGAATGATCTTCTCGAAGAAGCGCGCCTTGCTCTTGACGAAGCCGAGGCGCTTTGTATTTCTGGGATCTATCCTATAGCTGATGAGCTCAAAGCGAAATGCTGGTACGTCAAGGGTTTTGGGGCAGCCACAAACGGTGATCATCAGAATGCCACGGAGTCATACAAGAAGGCCACAGAGATTGACAACGAGTATGAAGCACTTGAAGAAGTCAGGAGAATCCTATATGGTCAAGAAGATGAAGACGACGTTGGCGAAACGCAGAATGATGCGAGTTCGGATGCAGGTGCGCTCTATGGTCGGCTTGCAAGCTTGCACAGTCTCCCTCGGAGCATCAATCAGCCACCGTTCCCACAGGTGGAATCAAACGATTTGAGCCTAGGCCGTCCACACAGCGAGTTGTATAAGTACTTGTTTTTAGAAACCACAGAAGAAGCCGGAAGTCGACCACCAAGCCAGCTTTCCACCGAGGACGAAGTATCACGAATTGTCAAAGAATTGGCACGACGACCGCCGAGAAGACGTAGCTCGTACCAGGCACCGCCTCCAGTCCACATGCAACCGAATCCTCAACTTCCAGCTCATCCAAGAGAAACGAATGGACAGAAACAGGAAGAGGCGAGAACCAAACACCAACAGCCGAAAGATCTACATGGGTCACCGCGAACAACAGAGGCACACTTGACGCCTTCTCCAGGCGAGGAAACACTTTTGTCCGATACGCCCAGCATTTCGAAAACCGAGGTTGACGAGGCCCTCATCTCAAACGCCGCATCGCAAAATCATCAATCTTCCTCGAAGCCAACTCTGCATATCCAGTCTAACAGACAACTCTCACTATCTTGTCCCAATTCAATGCCTTCGTCACCAAACACTCCAAGCCCGTTAAGAAAAGCCTCGTTCCCCAGCGATTTTCCGGATCATGTTGAGTAACCATCGTTTGTGACAAATGCCTGCTCATCACACCATGCCGCTCGTACTCCGTGGCTAGGGTACAAAGTCAATGGTGGAATGATTACCGGTGCTTGATCTAGTAGAGAACACTGAGAAAAATCTCATGGACAAAGTTGTTTGGCACCCGAAACCCCGCTTCATCAGCTTCGATTACTGAACACCACCGTCATTCTCCACCTGGCTTGTCGAGAAACTTAGGATGTAGGCGTTTTGAACCTACGTTGGGGGTTACGTACGAATTGTGGAATAACGTACTACACGTCAGGCATGTGCTGTTATATTAAAGATTACTCGAGGTCTTCTTGTTGATGCTCATTCAACTCCTTGTGCATGGACATGCGAACTGTAATCTTGAAGTTTCCAGCATTGACGCTATTTACCAACTGTAACAGGATTCCCACCTTTCCTTCTTTTTTGTTTCTGAGCGAGAACGAAAGTAAAGTATGCCAATAACAACACAAGTCCAGCCAGTCAGTGTCGATCGCTCGATATACCGTTCGAGTATCCGATTCGAGGCAGCCGAGTCTCGCGTCCGCTCGTCGATCCAGAAGGATCCCCCGAGGTCGCAATTCCAAGACAAGCCACTTTCCCGGCCTGCGGACAGAGAGTCGTTCGAATTTTCCATCACGTCTCAGGTCGGCCCTCACGGTTTCATGTATTTCAATGAATACAACCATGGTAGCTGGGTTCCTCTGTACGACCCGCATACAATAAAGTTCCAGGTTGCTAATGGGGACACGAAGAATCGGAGAGCCATCAGATTCATCTTGGGCAATCCACTGATAGCAATCACAATGCTACGGCACGATCTGGATGCCGGCCTGTCCGTCCCCGTCGAGCTATACCTTGTAGAGGAGGGCGAGGGCACGAGGATCGTGTGGTTTAGGCCGAGTGGTCTCGTCGCTGGACATGGAAGCGCAAAGGCTGAGTTGGTGCAAGCGGCCGAAGCATTGGACGCGAAGCTCGAGAAGTTTGTCAGGTGGGTTCTAAGTGAGAGCCCCGAAAGTCAGGCGTAGGGGAAGGATTTCGAGTATTTTGTACTTTTCTCGCCAATGTCTAGCTGATATCAACTCGGGAGAGTACAACATTACGATTGAATTCATCCATCTCAACGCTAGTAGCGCCCTCCCTCTTCTCCATCATGGCTACTTCCATCCTCTCCCCATCTGTGACGCCGACCTCGTGTTGCTCGACGACCCTATATCCACATGCTTTGTAAAGAGGAATAGCATTGGTCGTGCTGCCCAGCGCGTAGGTCGTGAACGGCATGAACCTGCTCGCAGCCGCCTCGCACTCGCGAACGATTCTCAAGCCGAGACCACGGCGTCCATAGTCTGGGTGTACGTATATGCCACGAATCCACGCAGGCGACTCCTTGGGATCAAACCTCTCATCCTGTGCCGTCGTAGAGCCTTTTTCCGTGTAGATTGTCCGCCGCGGCCACCAGCCACCAGATGCGACGATGTGGTTTGGCTCATTGACAGGATGAACAACATAGTATGTCGAATTGGAGATGAGAATATCATACCGGTTCGCAGTAGCTTGAGAAACCATGGTAAATATTTGCAAGTGTGTGTAGTGGTTTCTGCATAATTGTGCGATTGCCGATGTGAAGAGAGCGTCTAGCGCTGGTCGATCAGCTGCTGTGGCTGGGCGGAGTCGGAAGTCTGATAGATCTTGCTTTTTATTCATACTGGATTATTGTATATCGTTTATTGAAGATGTTGCTAAGGTTGCATTGTTGCTGTAGGTGTTTGTGGTGAACTGATCGAGCGCGAAACTCTAGACGTGACTCCGAATCACAAAGCGTTCCACCAATGAGCTTGCAGATATCATGAGGCCCTTTACGTCCTCCGATATAAGGTGCAGCCACCACCCCTGAATTAGATAATCCGATGCATGATACAGGGGCATAGGTGGGATATGAGTAGTGTTTCGATGGTTGGACGAGACTGGGGTGTTCGAGGAATCGTGAAATGTCGTTGTGTAAGCATATGAGTCGACATATATGGAGGTCCTCTTAATGATGTTCCGTTGCTAATAACTTAATCTCAACATACCGCTTTTCGTCTTCTTATTTTAGCTTCAGATCTGCGAGAAGTTGCTCCAGGGACCTCTCAGTCAGTGTCTGTCGCTTGTCGACATCCTCGTGCGATTCCTCTGACGCATCCTTCTTCAATCGGCGTTTCTTCTCCAGCATCCTGTCGATTCGCTCATATAGACCATCCTTTTCTTGCATAAACTCCTGCATTGCTTGGACCGCGTCGCTATATTGGGGACTTTCCGATCCCCAAGTCCTCTTCACGTTTAATAGATTCTTTCTCATCTTAAGAATCAGGTTCATGATCTCTTGCATCTCCTTATTAGGGTGAGCATCCTCGTTTGTATTGATTTTGGGCATGTCTGCTAGAGATTTCAATTGGCGTCTGCGGTTGTGGACCTCGAAAGTCACCTACAACCCCTGGTCGGAGATGTGGTGTATATAATCAAGTCGAGGTCGAAAACCTGCAGCCTCTCGAGATGCGGGTAGTGCAGGGAGAAATCAAGTGGAGCAGGAGGGCTAGTTAGCGCTCTTTGGGTCAGGTACGAGTGCTTCTGCAGCCTTACAGATTTCAGCCTCGTAACAGCACGTGATCATCGTCATTATCTTTTCTTTGGTGTGCTTCCTGCGCAGTCTTGAAGATTCAACGATCGCAATCGCAGACGACTGCGAACTCAACACTCTGCTTTGGTATCCTGTCACCGGCCGCTTACGTAGCCCAGTGGCTGAATCGATATCTGGCACGGTTTGACCACGAATTTCATACTACTGGAATAAGGATCTGCCACGCTTCAAAAGTTGTCTCATGGATACCTCGCGACAATATGTCAGTTACGGTATGTTCAACTCGTATCCTGTCATGCATACATTACTAATGCAGTCTAGCTACACACTACGCACGGTGATCTCAAGATCGAAATCTTTTGCGAATCCGTACCCAAAACAGCCGAAAATTTCCTCGCTCTTTGCGCATCGGGAGCCTACGGTGGTACGCCCTTCCACAGGGTAATCCCCGACTTCATGGCTCAAGGTGGTGATACTTCGCTCTCACCTAGAAATACCGCAGATAACCCGATCGTCAAGGGAGGAACGTCAATATGGGGACAATATTTTGAAGATGAGATCAAAATCCCCGCTTTACGACACAGTGGCCGCGGGATGGTCTCAATGGCAAATAAAGGGCCATACACCAACGGTAGCCAGTTCTTCATCACCTTCAAGGAGGCGCCTCATCTGGATGGCAAAAACACTGTGTTCGGACGTGTCATTGACGGCGCAGAGGAAGGGGGTACCCTCGAGAAGATGGAGAGTGTCGAAGTAGACAAGAAATATCGCCCCAAAAGCGAGAAAATCGTCCTCGAAGGCGTCACAATACATGCAAACCCCCTGGCAGCTTGATTACAAGACTTGTTCGAAGCTTGATGTTAACTTTACGTGATGACCGTAGCATCCATCTGACACCCACGGTTCTCATATGCGGTCCTGAGAGCTTTGCGTCCGAACATGTCTGGCAGGATGTACGTATGGTCTCCCAGATCTGGACCAACCCACCTGCTTTCTTTTCTTCCCAGAGAGTACGAAAGTCACAAAGGTCGACGCACCATGTTTGGTGTCGAACATGGGTTGTCAGGCTCAGGCATAGTTCTAGCCAAGCAGAGACCTCGTCCGTCGTCATTGAGGGCTTACGAAGCTGTCCGCAGCTGCGTACGGAGGTCTTGAGAAATCAGGCGCACCCAGTAAGCTTGGCGCGGAGTGGTTGGCCTATGAATTGGCATTCATAAGCCCGCAGCTGTGACGCTTGCCAGTCTGATGGGAGAAGCTCCGACGTGGTGGTGGTGGATTGGTAGGAGGCCATATCCCGGGGGCCAATCTTCAGGAATCACGAAAAACAGATTTTGCGGACTCACTAATACGTCGGCTGGCCCCAGGCCTTGGAAGAGATTGAGGCTGACTTTTAAGGAGCTCGGAAATGGTCAAGACGGCCATCAACGGAATAGTCAGTATCTAGGCAGATAGAATGTTGGGTGATTACTCGTATCTAGCAATCGGGGTATGGAGTAGACCTTACCTACCTGAGGCTTAACGGAATAGTTCAGATCGACAAAAGTGATGGGTGCTGACGTGCGCCGCTTGCGTGGTATCGCGGGCATTTGCGCATCTTCAGATATAGGTACCTACCTTAGGTAATTTTTATACACCGTAGGGGGTTGTCAGGCTGAAAAGGTTACTGACAACAAGGGTATAAAAAGCAAAAGTCTTAAGAATTACAGGTCTTATAGGCGCCCCGAATATACTGTCCGGGCACTCAATGTAAGCGACAATAGGCAGGCCACCAGCCTAAACAACTGGATGGAGTCTCCTCCTTCTGCGCTTTTCTGTCCCACCATATCCGTACCTTATTACGGAGTTACCACACACTCTCACCTCGAGTTCCCCAGTGAGCGCCTCTGGCTGCGTCTGCAACTGTCCGCATCCACATACATCAACACAAGTCAATCTCACCATCACTGCTCATATACTTCCGGCTTCAGGCTTCAGCATTACCTAGTCATTTCTCCCTCTATCTCAAGCTACCTACGAATAATACCTTGACCAACGAGACCGCACCTCGACCGCCCTCTCTCATTTGTCCGCCATCTTCTCCAAAACAAGCCCGACGTCAACAAGCCCACTTCCTTGCATTCATCGCGAACAAAGAAACAGGAAACACATGCCTCACGAACACTCTCCCTTTATGTAATCTCAATTCTATTCTTACGACTCGTCTCTATGGGCTTCATACCATTGCTCAGAACAAGGCCTCCGCTATTTCCCAATCCCGTGGTACGGCGATCACAGACGAGAGAGACTTCAACGCCTGATGGTCGCGGTATAGGCTCAGGCTGTGGTAGAAGATGAGCGCATTCGTGCGAGTGACTGGTCGCCCCAACACAAACTTCCTCGTTGGGTACCCCGGTATCTCTGCCACCTTGGTGAGTTATCCCTCGTTGCGTCTTTGGGACTTTGTGCTGACAGCCGCAGCCGCGCATCGAAGGTACTGTCGAGTTGCGCCCCGGTGTCGGCATATCTAGCCCCGTGAACATTTCCGTTGTTACCATTGCCCTTCAACGGCGAGAGAGCATCCATCCACATGCAGATTCGGTAGCAAAGAAGCATCTGGCTGCGCCCAGGAAAGAGTCGACGGAAACGGTAGGAAAGGAGATGTTATTGTTTCGATGTCCGGCCAACAGAGAATTTGAAGAGATCATGTACATGGACTTGCCGTTCGTCATATTTGTACCTTTTGGTCGAGGAGGACAAGAGACAGCCCGCAGAGTACCACCCGCCAGCCTACAGTTATCGCGGAGGACGGCCGAGACATTTTACGAGATGGTGGTGACGGTAGGGTATGGCTCAGGAGATCGCAAACAATACGCTTTCCCAGTCCCGATATCTCGGTACGACACGTTGTCTACGTTTGGGATGTACAATCGACCCGAATCTGCAGAACGAGTATCAGACCATTTGGTGACACTGGGCATCTCTCTACCAAGGTGGTCCTATGGGCCCCTGGACCCAGTCAGTGTCTACATCAAACTATCCCCCAATCCGGACTGGCTGAGCAAGGCGCGGAAAGTGACCATCCGGAAAATTGAGATTGGAATCGATGAGGAGGTCATATACAATCATGAAGGAGACGAACCGCAAAGGAAAACGAAGAACCTGGTACGCAAAACCGAGACGGTGGGTGTGAAGATGCCGGAAGCTGGCTACTTTACCAACCTTGGCCTGGTATTTCCCTCGAACGATCTCCGCGACTCCGACGGCATCATGCCTCGTGGGCGAGCAGCATTCCCACAGTATGCAGTGATGGGCTTTACGACAACGGCAGGTTTGTACAAGGTTGAATACTACCTGACCATCAAGGTATGTGGAACGGTTTGCGAGAGATGTTGGGTGACCCTACTGACAACTACTCCCCAGGCCTCAATGAACGGTGCCAAGGATATCGTTCTACGGCAGCCCATCGTTGTCTGTCCGTACGATCACGCCATGTGTAAGGCCGAGATGGAAGCCATCGAACAAGCCGCAAGAGATGCTTCGCACGTCAACGCGGAAAATCCAATGTTACCACTTGCCACGATCGTACGTGCCTCGGACCCGAACGCCATGAGCTGCATCGGTGTAGCTCTGGTAGGGTCGGTTAAGAAACCATTGATCGAATGAGACGAGACACATTCCTCTCCTTTTTTTTCCGCCGCCGACGACTTCTTCTTTTTCTTCTCGAAAGACACGACCAGGTCTCCCCATAGCAGAAGCAACCACTTTTTTTGGTGCGTCTTGTCATGCGCTTGTTGTCTATTGCCGCTACCTTTGTGCAAGGCGTTGGGTTTTTTGGGGATCGCGGCGACTACGGAGTACGGGCAAGGTACGTACTTGTTGTAGCTGAGGGCATCATCTGCCTTGGCCCTTGGGCCTGAGCACTATCATGAAGCGACGTCTGGATGCAAGGAATTGGCTTTTTCCTCCTCTTTTTGAGATTACAGAGAGAAAGCGAGAACCTTGGGTACCGTATTACCACCACACAACAGGACACACACACACACACACAACACAAATGCAAAGTAATTTGACAATCTGCGTGATTCTGTCCGTCTCTCCACACGCACACGACAAGTCGCGGTGCATGATGCTGTCATAGTACTTTTGAGGCACAAGCAAACAAGTCATTGCCGCGTCCAATGATGGAGTCCCTATACGCACTGACGACGAGGTCCTTGTCAAGACCTCGGTTGTTCTTTTTTCCCCCAAACATTCCTACAAAAGTCGGACGTCAGATGTAGCTCGCGCCCCATCTTTCATACAGTTCCTTGAGGAAAGAAGCAGAAAGATCAGATTCACGGCCAGAAATTTGTATTTCCTTTTCCCATGGCTAAAAAAAAATTAAACCCGACTGCCGTCATCGTTGAAGCAGTGTTAAAACCCAGGACCCCAACTTTGTCCATGTCCCTGTCCCTGTCCTACAAATCCTGCGAGAAGACAGAAGGACCATCGCGCCTCAATCCCGTCCAAACCACCCAAAAATCAACCCTACAAAGAGAATGCTTGTACCATGCATGCCTTTTCTTTGAGATGTGTTCCACGCTTCGTCATTCTCAGGTATATACTGTCGTCATGAAAAAATTCAACAAAAAGAAAAAAGGCAAAAGAAAGGACCCGTCCCTAGTAGTACAAGTCGAGCAGCTGCTCCGACATGCCGAAGAATTGGAAGCAGTACAACGGATCGATATAATCAGATCCTCGAGAGGTAAACATAAAAAAAAGCAAAACTATTGCTATGAGAGAACACAATCATTTCATATCGCGCCGGATAGCAAGCTCGAGTTCTTTTTGGATATCCAGCCCATAAGCATATTATCAAGCTGAGCTTGCATCTCGGCGAGTTTGTTTCGTTCAGCCGAAAACAGATCCTGCATGAGTGGGTGCTCGGGCCCAACGGGGGTTACGTTGCTTTTGTCGTGCACAATAATAAGCAAATCTTTGATATCCTGGCTGTTCTCCATGTAAGAACGCAAAGATGCATCTGACCATGTAGGCGTTGATCTTGACGTCGATGGAGTATGCGTTGCAGTTGAAGGAGATGGCTTTGAGGTACTGGCGGTACCTTCTGACTCAACCAGAGCGGGCTCGTCATGGATTGGCGATATTCTGATAGCTCCTTGTTGTTGTTGAGTTTGGTATTTCAAGTCATCATACATGTCAGATGGTTCGATCGGTGACACTTGCATCGCAGAATCCGAACGAGAGGGTGCTGCTTGTGAATCTGAGATGGGAGATATGGCCTTACGGTCATCTTCTTCAACAACTGCATTCTTCTCGTCCTCGGAATCGCTATCCTCAAGAGCAAATCGTTCCTTCGCTCGCTTCGAATAGATAGTTTTCACAGCACCATCACCATCGGTCGTTGTGTTCGAGGACGGCTTGAGGGCAGTTGTGATAGGAGAGAAGATAGATCTTTTTTCTGTAAGTGACGGGAATCGATTCACCGGCGTAGCCGACTGAGCCTGGGATGGTGATGGTGGTTCTTGGGCACCTTCACCGGGTGTTGGCTCGGATTCGACTTTCCTGACGGTCGATAGTGCCGATGCCGACGCAGGGGCAGTAGCGGGTAGGCCGGTACCAGCGACCGGTGCTTGTGAAGTATTCACGCCTTCCCTGGAAGGCGCTCTCTGATCTGGACCGGAGGCTTTGGGAGACACTGGGGGAGGGTTCTTTTGTAATTTGCTCGGCTTGCGCTCAGGTCCTGCTTCAGGTCTAGAGGTTAGAGATTCTAGGGAGTCTTTCGATTGTGGCGATTGTCGCTGCTCTTCTACGAGTTTCTCGCTCTCTTCTGGAGTAGAACCCTTCTTTCGCTTGAATAGACCGCTGAGCATGCCTTTCTTTTCTTTCTTCTTATCTTTAGACTTCTCGTCTGAGCCAACGATTTTATCGAATGTTTCTAAGCTCGCTCGCTGGCGCAATTCATGTTGTTGTTGTTGTTGTTCAGCAGAGGCAGCATCAGCATCGCCCCGCAGCAGCCGTGGTGTCAGCGAAATTTTCTTGGTTTCAACGGTCTCATCTCGGTAGAAAGAGTCTGTATTTCTTACAACTCCCTTCCTCGACCGTTGCATCGGCTCATCGGATGGTTGTTCTAGTCCGACTTGTACTTGCTGAGACTTGGTGGGACTTGACACAACTTCATTCTTGAGACTTTCGTTACTTGTCATACGCTGAATGCCGTTGGCTATTACTGTTTCTTCCTTGCTTCGTGGTTCTGTAGTACCGGATAGATCTTGCTGATCTTCGGCAGACTCGGTGTCGTCCCTGTCGTCGCTACCATCAAGAGGCACATCGTCACCCTCCTCGTCTTCCTCGTCAGAATATTCATAGTCGGAAGGCTCGTAGTAAGTAGGCGCAGTGAATTGTACAGTCTTGGCGTTCCTTCGTCGCATGGCTTTCTTGAGGGGGTTTTTGGACTTTTCAGTATTGTCCCCAAGCATTGAAGCGGACAACTTGCGCACTGTTAGCAAGAACGGGGTTCATGGTTACCGTACTTACATCGACGTTTCTGTGCTTATTCAACCTAGCCAAACGCTCAGTCGGCGTTTCTATATGTTCAGCGGGCAAGTAGCCTAGGTAGATAAGTCAGAATTCCAGACCTCCTAGTTTCGTGATGCTTACCAATGCTCCCATCTTTGACGACTCGAACAAGCCACCAGTAGCTATTGCTATCATCTAGTAACACCATAGTGTCGCCTTTTGTGGCATTCGCTTGCCCCTCGACGGTGGCAACAAACGTGTGTAGAGCGTACACGAACTCGAAGTCAATATCCTCTATTTCTCGTAAGCATTCTCCTCCCCAACCAGAGTCGACAAAACGATCGTCAAGAGAGAAAGTGAAATCCTCGGTGTCATCATCAGAACTAGATGCATAATCTGGCAAGTACGAAGCTTCGTCTTCCCAGTCATCCTCGTTTTCTTCGTAGACAAAATCATCTTCGTAGCTTTCTATCGCATCGTCGAGGAGGGGGTCATGAGTCGGCAACAGATATCTTCGGAATTCTTGCGATTCGGACAGGGGAATATTGTAGTATTGCGTCGTTGCGACAGGGTCAGAGGCCATTAACATTGGGTCTCTGGATGTGCCGTATTCCTCGTTTGGGGTAAAGCTTTCGAGATGTCCGTCGGTGTTGACAATGTTCTGAGTTGAGTACTCACCATGATGACTTGCCGGATGGATTACATGCGTAGGATACAAGGGAAAATGATCCGGGGTAACAGAAAAGGGGGAAGAAGAATGACTGCCTCGAGTCGGTGTCGGTGAAGCCGGGGAAGCTCCAAGATCCACAGAATCGACTCTTGTCGGCCAAATAGGGAGGGAGTATTTACCATCTTCAATCGAGGGGGAACTGGATATCTTGTCCATCAGGTCGTCATCCATGTCCTCCTCGTCATGGGAGTCGCCTGCTCCGTCATCAAGGTCCTGCCCATGGTATCCATTTCCATTGACACCATTCTGCGAAGTCATGTGGTCGTCATCTCGGTCGTCATCAAGATCGTCATAAAAATGTTGGTCGGCATGGAAACCTCCATTGGGTCTATCCTCTGAACTACGAGGGCTTGTGTGCTGTTGTTGATAAGCCTCGTGTTCTGCATGTCTCAAAGCCTGCTGCTGATGGGGCGCGGCTGGGCCATAGCCATAGGGTGAAGGGTGCGTGGGTTGTTTGGTGTGATCTTTGGCCGACGGCGCATCATGATCTTGTAGGTCCAAGGTATCTAACGACATGAGTAATGAGTATGCGCCTCCTTCTCACAAAGCAGCATGCAGAGAGTTCTGCAGAAATACGGTGGTGTTCTCTTACCAGCTCTCACAAGCTGTGGCTTCAGGGTGGTCATTGCGCGGACCATTTGGGCGGTGGTCGAGTGAATGTCGCGTTTCGTGCTCGCCGATTGAACTCGACGGGCTACGGCTTGCTTCTGATCGCATAGAGGGTTTTCTGGGGAATCGGACCGTCAAGTGAGGAAATCAATCGGTGTAAAGCCGGGGCAAATGTTGGATACTGCGGACGAAACCGACGATCGACGCGGTAAAGACTGGACGGGTCGGCAGCGAGCCAGCTCGGTTGTTGGCAGAGAGCGACGCGTGATACGAGTGGAGAAATCAACTGCGATGCTGCAAGCAACAAAGAGTCGAGTGCGTAGCGCAGAAGTCGACGAGTGAATTCACAGTACAGAATACAAAGGACGAGTATGGTTGAGGGATTGTCCTTGGTTGGTGGTGGAGGGTTGATTGGGAAGTTTCTGGGCGGATAAGTTGGTGGTTTCCCCTAATTGATTGAACCTGGCGGAAAGAGGAGCGTTTCAAAAATTAATGGCAGGCTGAGGATTCAGGAACTGGGTCGATGCCCTGTGCCTGCGCCCTCAGCAATCGAGATCAGGGACGGTGCGGACTTGGGGCTGGAGGAGCTCAAGAGGGAATAGCCCAGGCTGGTGAGAGGTTGTCATTGGATGAGCACGCGAGGCTTCAAGCAGGAAATCAGCGCTTGGCCCAGGCTCATTAGTGCCCGCCTAACCTTCAAGAGGCCTCTAACAAGACTCTAACCTCCCCCTACTGTAGGGGTCCAACTTCGAGCCTAGCAAGCTCTCACAGGGCACTCCCTCCTAGTCCCCACGCCCGGCCATTCTTAACCCAAGCCGCCCCTCCCTCAGCACCGTTAGGCGCCTGTTTCGACTTTACGGAGCCAGGATCCTGCAGCTTGCTTGCAGCCATTTTGTGGGGGAGACAAAGCGGCACGACCAGTGACCGACAGCCAACTTGATGCTCCGGAGTCCTCACACTTGTGCTCCATACTGTACACGTCCACGCACTCAGAGTAACACGATCAGTGTCGGATATTGTACTCTAGGTAAAAGTGAACCCTGTGACTTAATCGTGCATATCAGATCAGTACCCAAATATTTACCGGACCCTTTACTCCGTATCCTCAAACATCACTTTTCCAGTGTGTATGAACTTCATCCAACAAGAACGCCTTGGTTGTGGCAATGACTAAAACAATGGCCTCCAGCCTGAAGCGGTATCCTCCGCACTGTACACCGTATGCACTTGTAAAATGACTCGGGCCGTACGTGATACATGCATTGGCTGTAACGTCCAAAGAAGAAAGCTTTCCACTTGAATCGCCTGTTTGACCGAGAAGATGTTCATGATGATTGCTTCTTCCACAGTCACCACAAAATTCTGCTGACCTTGTGAACCACATAAAAATTCACAGCGCTCAACTACCATTTGTTCCCGCACATGTCGGATCTGCAGATCATCGACTGTGGCGCAAAATAGATGTATTCTCCGTACAGTACAGTACTAAATTACTAGGGAACACTTCCGAGGCTCATTATTCTCCAGGCCAGCGATTGCTTTTCGTGCCCGCACGTGGGACTGAAAGGATTTTGAAATTCGCACCACCACCACCACCACCACCAGGCACTTCTTTGCTTCCAGCCTCTTCGATCCATGGGCTTACACCAACTCGACTACGCGAGACACATTACAGATGCCCTCTTGAAGCACTTCCTCAGTTTCATTTCCTGCCACTCTCTTTCTTTAGGCAGAGCTAGAGCTACCACCTCACGCGCACGACATCGCCTGGTCTGATGGCACAGGCCGACGGCGATGCCCACCACCACTACCTACGCCCAGTCTCACATCATGAGAATGATTCCGTCTTGGCAACTGATGCCATCTCTGAAGACATGGACGACGCCTTAAAGATGCCAGCTTCAGATTCTCGGCCTCAATTCAGAGGGTCGGCGGCGAGCCAAGATACCATCCGCCCAACTGCCACTCCTCCCGTCGATATACCCGTTGCAAACGAGCATCCTACTTCTAGAGTCCCCTCTTCCGATGCCTCGTCCTACATCGAGCAATATATGCGCAACCGCAACCCGTCTGTCAGCTTCAACAGTGAAATCAAATTGGACTCGGGACACCGTCAGAGCATTGAAGATCCTCTGGAGAAGCCATGGCGCGAGCGAGGCCGGCCAGCGATGTATCCGGTCACGAGAGAAAGAAGAGATTCACGGGCACACAGCGAATCAGAAAGGTCGAACTTTGACCTCAACACTGGCCGTCGTATTCCCAAATTCTCCCAGAGCCCTCCAAGAGAACATGCACGCATAGGCGAAGCCCGATTCCCTCTGTTACAAGCCACGGTAGATGAAATGGCACGAGAATCACAGACTGACCTTCCTGAAGCCCAGTCGTTGACCTCTCAGTCCACTACAGAGTCTAATGAGCAGGCGGTCTTCTCTCCACCTCCCGACGACCAGTATCTTCAATCTCCTACCACAGAGTCCCCTGTCACGCCATTCTCCCAACAAGCCTTCTCGTACGAAGAGCCCAAGTCCTTTCGGAGGAGCGCCTCTCAACGATGGCGAGATGGCGAGACTAGTGCGTCCCCGCAGGACTTCTTTTCAAGAGCGGGTAGTCTGCGCAACAGGAGTATGCGTGACATTGCAAGTCGTGCTTCTCGGCGAGAAACCTCAGGCTCTACAAAGTCCCCCATGTCAGCTGCATCATCTTACCTGCGTGGTTTCTCGATAAGCAGTTCAACGAACAATGGCGACGCTGATGCTGGACCGCTTCCACCAGACGCCGAGGGACAAACTATTGGTGAGGATTACGTCCTGGGTAAACAGATCGGCTATGGCGGCTTTAGTACGATTAGGTCGGTGACACAACTCCAGGACGGTGAGCAGCGGAAGCTGGCCGTCAAAATTGTTCGGCGACGCATTGCCAGCATCTCTGAAGCCGAGAACGAACAAGCCCAAGCTGAATTCGAACATGAAGTCGAGCTCTGGAGGTTTCTCAACCACCGCAACATTCTCCCTCTGGAAGCCGTATACAAGCTCGATGAAGCTACGTTCTGTTTCATCCCTCTTAACATTGGAGGAACCCTCTTCGACCTGGTCCGCTCGAATCGCAACGGTATCGAACCAGATGTAGCTAGAAGCTACTCATATCAGCTCGCTTCGGCCCTACGATATCTCCACCTGGACGCACGTGTTGTGCACCGTGATATCAAACTTGAGAATGTCCTCATCGAACCTTCGCCCGATGGTAAGCCGGGCTTACTGCGCGTTTGCGATTTCGGCATGGCAGAATGGCTTTCCTCAGATAGTCTTTCGGGCCCTCCGAGCCCAGACTTCCACGATACCGATCGGCCTCCACGCAAGCACATGGGACCGGCTGATACGTCAACATCTGCTTTCGCAGGTGGCAGCCTGGAATATGCCGCACCAGAGATCCTACGCATTGCCGAACACCTCAAGCACAGTGGCCCTGCAGAAAGAGCTATTGTGTCTCCTGCCGTTGACATGTGGGCATACGGGGTTTGTGTATACAGCATGGTTGTCGGGTCTCGACCTTTCCAGAATTCTTTCCAACCGCGCGTGGTCATGGCGATATTGGCCGGAGATTGGAACCGGGAACCCCTCACAGAAAAGGGAGGACATGACGTGGTCGAACTAGTGAGCGGATGTCTCGATATGGACGATACATCCCGCTGGGACATCTCTCGTGTCATGGACTGCGCGTGGCTAGAAGATCTTGCTTCCGAGGAGGACGACCTCGATCAGGGCTTGCATGGCTGGCGGTTGTAGTTCCTCCTACCAGGACTCGTCACCTGGAATCATCAATCTCTTTTCTTCCTGGTCGACATTGCCAACACTGCTTCCGGAAACGATGACCATACCCCATCTATACGACGTTACGACCTTGTACTTTTTTTTTCTTTCTCCCTGCTTCCAACCTATCGTTCTCTTCTCGGCACGCAAGGCGCTTACTGGGACTGACTGCATGGGATGACGTTTGGGGGACGAGGGCGGTCATTGAGAGAACATGTTTTGTTTCACTTGATTATAGCAACGGCGCTCACTGACTGTATGATTATTTTCCGGGTTCCTTTTTTTCTCTTTCCATGAGCTGGCCCAAACGGGAGGGTGGATGAGTTTGACCTCATTTGGATCCGTTACTCCGTTAATTTTACGGTGGCTGGACGGGAGGCTATGCTTGAAGGGGCACGCAGGCAGGACGGCAGAGGGCACGGTTGCTTTCTTTTCCTTCTCTCTACTACGACATGTCAATGATAATGAGCACGATACGGTTATGGCTATAGTTGTGATTATGGTTACGGATACCCAATCATCACTTTTTTTCCAAAAAAAAAACCAAAAAAAAACAATCACCTCTTACTTTTGACTTCTCCTTGACTCTGGATCAAGGTTTCTAAAAACATGGTCTCTAGGAAAGGCTGGTTCAGGATAGAATGTAGTTCACGAAGTTATGGTAATTAGGTAGGTACCTCCTCCGTAGTGGGTAGACATGTCTAGTCGTTGGCGGATTCGCTACACACAGTACTCTTTATTTCCAATTGCCCTCGGCGGTGGTGGTGGTGGTGTTTTGCTGTTGTTGTGCTGCTCATGCTCTTCTCCGTCGTGTCAGCTATGCTTCTGTCATCTGAACTCCCAAGGCCGTGTTTGTATGCGACGTCGATCCAGTCAGTGTTTGCTTGGTCCGGTCTTCGCCTGCAAATCACCCTTTGACCCAAGGTTATTACGATTTCCTTCCAGGTTGTTTGGGTTGTAAATATGTCTTGTTTGATTTGCCGGATTTCAAAATTCGTCTTCATCATTGAATGTCTCCCCCATCTGATCTTTTCGTTCGTTTGTTACCCAAAAAAAACCAAATGATCCCGCACAGCTGTGGCTGGGACCCGTTTTGGGAATGTTTCCCAGTTCTCATCTTCGTCTTGCTCCTTCCTCTCGTCGTAGGGGCTCGACGTGTCTTTGCAAGACCCTTCAAAGTGATAATCTCCTCTTCCGTACATACACACACAAAACATTAAAATCTCATTTTGCTCTCTGCTCCCTCTGTTGGGATGGATCAACCCCAGATTATGTTTTCCTTCCTCTCGACCGTTTGTGGTGGGTTTGCCTCGTAGGGCCCCAGCGAGAAGAAACAGAAAGATAAGGCCTCCAGAATCCACGGCATGTGGGGGTAAACAATAATAGTAGTAGTAGTAGTAGTAGTAGTAGTAGTACATGGTGGTTTGCAACTCTTGCAAGTACTGTTGTCGCAGTGATGTTGTTGGGGGGGGGGGGGTATATCAGTTTCAAAAGAAACAAAGAAAAAAGTCGAGTATCGCTCCGTCGCTTTCATCTCAGACCAAAGAACAAAGCAATTAAACATAGGAAAAGCATATGTTGTTGCTGCGGCATGTTGAGGACGCCTGCTCCTGTGCTGAACGGACCATCGAAAGGACTGCCGCCACCGCTGTCGCCCGAGTTGCCATTGTTGCCTCTGTACGCTTGTGTCGCTGAGCTGGCCGATGTGATACCGGCAGAGCTCGTGCTGGTACTGGTAAAAGAGGTGGTCAGAGTGGTCGTTTGGGACGAAGATGAAATCGAGGTGGATGACGATGATGATGATTCTGTCGCAGAACTACTCGCAGAAGCGACGGTGGAGCTGGCGGATCTCGCACTCCCAGAGGCTGCGGCGGTCGACGTCTTGGTCGCCGTGTCCGAAGCCATCGATATCGAAGTCGAGGGACTCGCCGCTGCTGTGGTCATGGTTGTGGTCGTGGGTGACGACGTAGGTGTGCAGAGAAAGGAAATGAGGTTTCCAACGAAGATTTGACCGATGAGGGAGTCTCCAGGTGCCGACAGGCTGGCACAGGATCGTTGGACGAAATCTTCGGCCGCCTCCAGAGCGATCTCGCAGTTTGCCGAACATCCAGTTCCACCCAGCAACGATAGCTCGCTGAAAGTACAGTCGTTGACCGTCGCTTCGTATGCTTTGGTGCAGGTTTTGGGAAAGCCCATGATGGGTTGGATCTCGTCAAACGTTATGCTGGCCGTTGAGACTTGTGATAGAGCACATAGTACTGTCACAATGACAGCCCGGTTTTGTAATCGTGGTCGCATGATTGATTAAGGTAGTCGTGATAGCGTTGAGTTGAGAATGGTAGAATGAAATGTCTTCGGAGCAACAAAGGCGTGCTGTGTTGCGTGCGCTGTGGCCTTGAAGTCGTCAATGTTTTCGGGGTTTGTTTACGGTGTGAAAGAGGTTTTGGGTATCACCGTCAACCAGTGCCGGTGAATATCTCTCAGAATGTGAATGGAGGCCGCTTTCCTTTCCTCAAAGTACCTCTTGGCCAAAATACATGTCGTGTTTTATCCGCCTCTCTCTCAACAACAATGTTCCTCCATCACCTTCTCACGCTGAGATTTCTGGTGGGTTGGGAAAGTCAAGAAACTCGCACGACTTGCTGGGAAGGAGAAGGCGGCTCTTTTTCCCTCCCTGGTACTTCTTCAATCTCTCCACACTGCCTGGGATCGTCCAGCGGATTTCCTGGTGGCAGACTCGACGATGCTGTGACCAGTCAGGTATTGACGTCTACAGGAGCCTTCGAGGATCCCTTCCCGTCCTACGTCAGTCCGAGCTTCGCCAAACGAGGGTTGGGCAGATCGCAATTCCACGCTTTGGGAGGTCCCAGTTGTATACGGAGTGTGTCGACGACAGATCTCTGCCGATCGCAATCAAAATATCCACAGCCTGCTGAGCCCTGCTGGACGCTGTTCGGCGAATTTATTCTCAAGCGGACCCCAACTTTTTGGTCTGAAACAGTAGCCTCCGCGCACAGATGCGAAAGACGGTTCGTCTGACTTACAACTGTCGGCCCTGATGTGATGTCAGATATCCATCTTATTCCCTCTGAAAGTGTGTCCGTGGTCGGTACGAGGGTGAGTGCAGAGCTTTGGTCTTATGAGAAACCTGCACCGGGGACGGGTTCTCCGAAGGCGTTTCGATTGCTCGGGCGGTTCTCGCGGACGCTCGCACTAGTCTTCCCAGAGGACTCGTATGGCTTGCAACAATATGGGACGAGAGGAAAGACAGGGGGCATAAGAGGTTTGGCAATTCAGAGTCTTCTGCGCATTGTTATCACCACAAATAAATGTGCTGAAAGAAACTTTTACTGGTGTGATTCACTTGCCAACTCGCCGTGACAGCGAATCCAGCTCCGCGACTCCTAGAAGACCCTCTGCGAGAGCCATAACGGGGTAGCGCTGCATACTCTGCGACACTCTACACCCTGCATTCAGGGTCATAAGCCACGAGGCTGCCCTGAGAACAGCCCAAGGCGGTGACGACGCGAAGCACCAAATGTAAGATCGACAGGGGAATCCGCTGGCCGATTGGCAAATAACCGATCAGGGGTCCAACCTGAAGCGTCCGTCACCGCTTGGGCGCGTCCGGATAATACGATCCATCTCTAGATCAGCCGTCGGTACAGGAACGCGTTTTTCCTCACCAACCACCGGCTCACAAGTGAATTGTATCAAGCACGGATTGTCCATTTGACGCCGCCCTTGAGTATGACATTATAGATGCGTCCACAAAGAGCAAAGCCTATCATTCGTCCAAGGGGAAGTGCAGCTCGTCACCCGAGTACTCAATTACTGGTGCGAAGACCATGGAAGGCGCCAACTCGAGTGGCTCGGCGCCTCGAGACCTTTGCCATACGATAACAAATCATGAGCTTTTCCAAATATCAATATCATTCCTCTTCTGCCATGTTTCATCACAGACATCTCATGATCATTGGCAATCTACCTATGGCACCAAAACACCTCTGAATCTCACCTTCCCGTCCATCATCTTCTTCAAGGCGTCGTTGGCTTTGTCCAATGGGAATTTCTCGATCATGACATTGACATCGTGCACTCTTGCAAAGTCAATTGCTTCCTCACTGTCGAGCGCATGACCACTTGGCCAGGCCACAAGACTCAACCCATAGTGGATCATGGAGGCCGTATTGACTTCGACCGGAGCAGAAGCAGCTAGAATTAGGAGCTTCCCCAATGGACCCAATCCCTGGAGTAGCGAGGGAATGAGTTTCTGGTTTGGCGCAGTGAAGATGATACATGAAGCCCCTCCCATCTATACCAAGTCAGAACATTGCATCCGTACAATACACACTGGCAAGGAACAGCGCTGACGCTCAAAGTGGTGCCATTTTCAAGATGATTATGCAGGAACGTACCTTCTGGAGTTGCTCGCCAATGTCGCCCTGTGACGCGTCAATGTAATCGTGTGCCCCGAGTTTCATAGCGAAGTCCTTCTTCTCCGAGCTACTGGAGATAGCCACAGTACGGTATCCCATCTTCGAGGTGTATTGCAATGCAAGGTGACCAAGCCCGCCTAGGCCTTGTATGGCCACAAGTGATCCTGGTATGACATTCTGCTTGCGCAACGCTAAAGCAGGCAAAGCCTTGCGTCAGCTCTGCAAGGTCAAACCTCCACCCATGGTTGTATACTTACAGTTGAACACAGTCACTCCAGCGCAGAGCAGTGGGCAAAAGGCGGCAGGGTCAACATCTTCGGGCACTGGCAATACAGTCAGAAGTGAACTCTCAATTTGTCATTTTGGACCTACCCGATACGACCGCCTCGGTTCGGAGAGTGACATATTCGGCATACCCGCCGTCCCGTGTAACACCGTTGACTGGAAGGTTATACATCAGCACAGTCAATGTGGGAAGGGATAACAGAAGGGCTCTCACTCTGTTCTTTCTCGCACATCTGAAACAGACCTCGTTGACACGCCTTGCACGTTCCTGAAGAATCCCATGGTAAGCAAGATGACGCTCAACCCAGTATTGTATCAGGCTCCTATTCTTACCATCGTGGCCACCGTGCCATGGAGCGCCTACTCTTGCGCCCACGGCCCAGCGGGTCTCTCCATCTGGGACCGCAGCCACCTCGCCAATGACTTCGTGGCCTATACATCTTGTCAGACACTGATGATACCATGAAGCCGGACATAATTACCAGGGACTATGGGAAAGGAATTGCCAAACAAGGCATTCTGGACGGCAACGTCGGAATGGCAGACACCACAAGCCAGTACCTTGACCAAGACCTTTTGAATGAATAATGTCAGTCAGAACAACAAGTGACATGCTAGTAATGTTCTTCTTTCTCACCTCTCCAGGCTTGGGCAGTTCGAGCTTGACTTGCTTAAAGGTCAGAGGTTGGCCTTTGGCTTCAAAGACTGCCGCCTTGTATTCTTTTGGTAGGGATGGCATTTTGGTATAATCTTATGTGTATTATCAAGTCAGCGGGTAGAGTGGAATCAATGAGAAGTATTTTCAGTGAGGTTACTACGTGTAGATTAACCAACTGGACGACCACTATATATACAGAAGAGGACAGTGCTTTATTTTTAAGGTGAAATACGAGTATTCCAGGGAGGGGTCGTGGTCATCGACAGATACTGTTCCGTGGATGGATTGACATAATGCATAATCCACACAATGATGTCAACAGTTTTACCCAGCGCCGTTACAATAATATCATGGCATTTTCCGTTTTGTCTCGCAACTTTTTCGCCAAAGAGGGCCCCCAGCTATTCAGTCCTATCGCCGGCAACGCGCTTTGACACTATCTATACTCAAGGCGAGTACTCCGTAGAGGTACGAGTATATTCGCTGCCTTGGTGATGAGTGTAAACACGTTCTCGGTACAAACAGTTTCTCTATGTCCGACCTCTCAAGCTTTGTTGTTCGGAGGCGGGAAGGACTTTTGCCTTTCCTTTTTCGATACTCGTACTCCGTACTTACTACTACAGTACACAGTTAATTCCGAACGATGGACCCCGGAAATACTTACCTAGGTATACTTGGCGATATATCAATTCTGGCTTTTATTCGTTCATACGGGGTTTGCCTTGTGCCTCATGTGGTAGTAGCTTTCAAGCCCACCTTTGATTACACAAGCTCGGTAATCCAAAACAACTCCTGGTAAACCCGGTAGACGAACCCAGAACAAGCAAGTCTGTCGTCTTGTGCGATTGGGTCTACATATCTCACTCTCACTCTCTCGATTGACGTCTTGTATACTAGTAGTGCTAGAATCTTGTCTTTATGAGAGTTTTTACCGACTCAATATCTTTCAGGCAGTTTAGTGCAAGAGTGACAAGGCTGAACATGTGCAACTTCTCATACCTATTAGATCGTTCACACTGCTCAACAATACCCTTTACCTCGACAACTTCCCTTGAACGACCAATTAAATATCGTCTGACGTTTGAACACTTCTAATATCGCACTGTGTGTCTGACAAGGGCGACAAACAGCAACGATTGCATTTTACAAGAACATCGGATGTGTAATCCGTTGGAGAGGGGTGGAAGAGCTTTATTTACTCCCCCACACTAAATATATTCCGCGGAACTACGGAGTACGTGCCTCGATGTCCCCGTACGTTCAAGAGTTGTCGACTCCGACAAACACTACAGACAGATCATATCTGCGTAAACATTCCTGTCGGACGTATCCTTTCATTCTCTTTTGCGCTATTTGGGCGTCCTTTTTTCTTTTCCACAAACCAGGAAACTCGTTTTTGTCGTTCCCTACGTCGGCACCTCGTAACGCGTCTTCGAACTTGAACGTGATTCCATTGATGCCTCTACCTACAACCACCTGGTGAATCGACAAAGGCACACCCTCGAGTCTCCTCTCTACATCCTCACAAATACAAAGACAGCACAAAATCTCCCAAACATTCAGAATGGTAAGTATCTCGTGTCCCTGTTACACCTAGGTATCCCAGGGTTCAGACTCCTCGAGACGCTTCATCAAACTCACTCTCCCAAACCGTCGGACTCTGCTGATCCTCCCGTCTCCGTTTCAAGTCCCGCGACTCCTCCCACACCTACATGCACACTCGATCCTCACGTTTCGCCGACCTCTTTGAGGAATTCTGTCGACCACCGTCGGCCATCTTCCCGACACCCTCCGCCGCCACTCCTGGTGCGGGACCGTCGAACCAGGCGCCACACAGCGGCACCGCCAACCACCTCGCGGCGGGCCCCAACGGGGTCATCGGGGTCAACGACAATTCCAACATGGCCCAGCTCCCCGGCTCCTTTTTGCCCTTCGAGGAGATCTCGCTCCCGGCCCACCTGCAACCCCTGAACCCCGAGGACGAAGACGACGTCGTGCCCGACATGCACGCCGCGTTTGGGATCAACAGGGCCCTGGGCCAGAACCAGGGCGCAGCGACCACCGCCGCCGTGACCATGTCCGGCGGCGCCGGTAACGGAGGAGGGGCAGGAGGGGGAGAAGGGGCCGGCGGCGGCGGCGGCGGCGGCGGCGCAGGAGAGACGAGCAACGCAGGGGCGCAGAGGGAACCCGTCTGGCGCGACTTCGGCCTCGAGGCTCTCGTGGCGGGCGTGAAGATCGGTGGCGGGGGCGGCGGCGGCGGCGACGACGAACAACACGGCACTGCTGCGAGAAGGGAAGGACGACGGACGAACCTGTTGCTTTTGCGGTGAATCAAGAAGTCCAGACCACACGGTATCGACCGAGGTAATACGGCTGGAATCACGCAACTCCTACATCTAAAACTATCCTTGTATCATCAATCTTTGTATCAATACGAGGCAACCGCCGACGCATGAGAGAAAGCGGAAGCGCGAAATACAAATTACTGAACGAGTTCAAATGAGACACGACCTCTCAACGTCGACACCATTCCGGAAGACCTGCCTAAGCCCATGCTACGACAGGTTCGAACTTGGTCATCCCGGCCACGGCCGTCAGACGATTCCTACGCGAGGATTGAATCACACGGAGAGATCTACGGCCGATGGAAATAGATGGGACATTACGATCTCATTATCCTGCTTCTCAGTCTTTACATCACAGGCTATACATGACACTGTACGTGACGGGACTCAACGTGGAAGGCTTTCAGTATACGTGCTGGAGTACTCCGTGGCGACAAGTCAAGAGCCCTCCCAAGTTTTATATCCTAACGATATCCACCCTCGCGCGTTTAAAAACATCATGTGGAACCGTCTTCTCCTCCTTTTCTTCGTCACCCAGTATTCTCGGCTGCAATGAAATCTGCGCAAATGTCCCGGCAGCTTTTCGCTTGGATAGTTGGCCTGGGTTGATGACCATGACACTGTCCACGACCTATACACGGAAACTGTGAGCCTAGAACAATCAAAACGAATGGTCGTATCAAAATCCATCGTGGAGGTTGGGGTATCCCCATAACCAAATCCATATCAAGAATGACAGTAACCAGGGGTTCGTCGTGCAAAGGGGGAGAAGAAACATACCTTGACACTGGCCGTGATCAAACTGGGCAAAATGAGCACATCAGGCTTGACCTGCATCCACTCCCCCAGCTTGTGATAACCCATATCCAGACACGCCCCGGTCGCTCCGTTGTTCCTCTTGATCGGCGGGAAGAGTGGGAAGAAATGCCTCTGGTCTATCAGGCAACCAGGGAGTCGACTGAGCAAATCGCTCCCCACGCCGCCCAAGCCGTGCGAAATCTGCTCACGGCTCAACTCAAAGAGAACATCCTGGGAACTGATCGCAAAAACCGTCTCGTTCAAGCTTATAAAGCACGGGTTGGGTAGCATCGTGACCTGCTTCGGCAGGTGTAGTTCCTTCTTCACCAGTCTCTCCTGAGGCCAGGAAACGTGTTTGCTCAGCGCGTCGCGCACGCTGGGCACCACGAGCACCGTTATGCTCGGAACCGCGGCACATAGACGCTGCAGGTGCGGTGAGATCCAGGTCCTAAACAGTATGGCCATGCTCGCGTCCTGATCCGAACCACGTGTCTCTCCCGGGAAGTCAAAGTCGCCACTTGCGAGCAAAGGGTGCTCGATATCCAAAAACGGACCGGTCAGGATGAGAGCGTCGGCCACGTTCTCCGCTGCCTTTTCGCAAAGTGCACGGAACGGCTCGAAGTCGAGATTGTCATCAGCTGTGTACGGGCCCGAGGACAGCATTATATTGAGCGGCAAAGAGGAAGATGGAGAGTCCTCGCTGACTTCGAGGCGTTCGTTAACAGTATTGATGTCGTTGGTCGTGGACGATGGCATTGGTAGTTTGGGGGTGGCAAGTACTTCTTTGACCGTAAAGTAAAGCCCCGAGGCGTTTGTGCCTTTCAGAGCCACAATCTGGCCAGGGAAAAATTGGTACGAAGGTAATGCGTCAACTTTCAACGGGACACGCAGGCCAGCGCCCATGCGACGTGACATTTCGAGCACGAGAGACGCAGAGTTGAGTTTCCCCTCGGGCGTGTCCGACGCGATGCGTCCTACGGCGACGATCTCGCTTGTACTTTGTGCCGCGGCATTTCCAAACGCAGAGTCGTCGAGGTTGTGATGTTTCTGGATCAGAGACAAAAAGTCGTCGATCCTCTCGTCGAGAATCTCAGAGGTGTCCGAGAGGCGCATGGACATGGGCTTGTATGCGAACTTTTTGAAATCCGTCCGCGAGATCAGACGTAGTCGTGCTTCCGAGAAGGGGGCAAGTGGCGCTTCGGCCTGTGGAAGGTGGTCGTTTAACGTTTCGATGATCTGTCCAGCATTCTGCCGCTCGGAGAAGGGTATACCTCTATTTGTTCGTCGTTAGAGTATGCGTTTGCATCCTCACCAGGATGTATGTAGGGGGGTGGGCGGGAAATGACATACGCAGGACCATCCACCTTGCCAGCCTTTCCTGGTGTCTTGTTGTTCGTGTCTGGCCGATTGATCTTCTTCGGGACCGGGGAGTCGAAGTCTGCTTTTCTCTTGACGCTGCCGCCGCTTCGTCGACCGACGGTGTTTGGTGTGAGTTCGTCAAGCCTAGAGAGTAAGGGCAACAGTAAGCCGATGGACACCACAGAGTCACGCGTCCTCCCAAGGAGGTCATGGTTTTGCATACATCCCAAAGACGTCGCCGGTCCCAACCGCCCTGGGGGTCGCGTGGACGGCGCCCTTCCTCTCCGACCTGGGAGCGAATTTGTTCCCCTGTTGCGTCCTGCCGTCGCCCCGTTCGACGCCGTCTTGTACGTCCTTGGCAAACATGCGTGCCGTCTCGAGGTCAAGTTTGGTCTCCTCGCCGCCCATCTTCAGGCAGTAGACCTCCCATTTTATGAACAGTTCGTCGGCCGTGAGGGAGTGCAGTCTCAGGGTCGACTCGAGCACGCCGAGGATGTCCGGCGACAGGCCACCGCCCGAGGGGTCGAAGACCGCATCGAGGTTCTCCTTCGCGTCCGTCATGTTTTGTGATCGGTTGGCTGGAGTAGATGCTGAAATTGTCTACTCCGTATGTGGTGGTGGTATATTGGAGCGTGCGTTTCTGCGGTCTTTCTGAAAGACGCGTTTAGTGGAACGCGTCTCGGGCAACAATTATGCTGTAACGTAGTTTCGGGGTCTACGGTCAAGTATATTGGTATTTGATCCGCGGTCTTCTGCCTCAGGTGTCCAGGACAACTGAGAGAAAATCTAGCCAAACAAAGCACAGGTTGCCTCAACCCAAAACTTGTAGAATCAAGTTGGACTGGACAATTGAAAAGGCCGGTGTAGATGTGAAAATATACTCAGACCTCAAAAACAAAGACCGACAACTTCGGGCACTGCTCCAAGGGAAAATATCTCACCAATGCAGGACAAACTGAGTATCAGTTGGCCTGGAATCACATCGTTTATTCAGTCTACGTGGTCAATCCGTTTTCTATAGAAAAAGAGAGGTTCTGCCAGGTCGCTCTGGTGTCTATTGCTACCTCTTGCACTGGCAGGGTCTTCTGTTTCCACCACTGATTGTTTCTGTATCTAGCACACATCGGCAATGTCTTGTCTTTACCAGCCCACCTCGATGCCGAGGAGACACTTTTATCCTGTCTGCTTCATGTCAGGGAGTGATTGCCCATACAACGCCGATTTATGCTTCAATGAGAACGCCAAGCTATGCAGTCAAGATCACCGCCCTTGGTCATTACACTTGATTCGTTTCCTCCTGTCCTTCAACTAGGATATAATGGAGAATGTCGCTGAGTGACAAAACCCCCTTAAGGTAATTGTTCTCGTCGACCACCATCAATCTGTGGACTCGGGATTTTCTGATGGTTTCCATGATCGTATCGAGGCCGTCTTCCAAGGAGCAACAGTAAATGCCCGGGTGATTCGGCGATCGTGCTGAAAGAGCCTTGCCGACAGTCCAAGTGAGGTTGCCATAATCTCCCGTCTTGAGGATTTCGATGACATCGACGGCTTCAAAGACGTTCAGCAGTACACCTGTAATATGATGAGTACCAAGTCGAATCAGCAAGCACCTTAGACTCACCTTCTGTTGTCACCACGGGCACACTGGATATGTTCTTCATGACCATCTCGTCGATGACGTCCAGCATTGTTGTGTCCATACTGCAGCGAACAATGTTGCCATATGTTCCAAGCTTGATCATCTCCAGAGGTTTTCGTAGCATTTCAGTTTCCTTCACGTTCATTGCGATGAACTTGAGGATTCTGTATTGAGTAATTACACTCGTGACCATCATTCTTTGAGTATCGCTGTCATATGATACCAGTGGAATACGTCGGGCTCTGGACACCAGCTGCTTCCGCAGCGCATCGTAGAGGATAGCTTCCGGCGATGCTGACACTGTCTCGGGTGGTTTGACGTTGAGGACTTTCTCGACATCTGCACGATTTATTAGCCTGGCTCGCACACGGAACGGTGGCCTTCTTGATTACCTTTCAGATCGCTCAGTAGCAGTTTGTCCACATCTTTCAGCTTGTCGGCGTGTAGGTTGTAATACCGAACCACATTCAAGAAGTCGTTGACAGTGAGGAGGCCTGCATAGGTCGAGGTCGAAGAGTCCCATAATGGTGCAGACACGATTCCTATTCATATCATCAGCTACGCCCTGTGGAACAATGGAACTCTACGTACCACATTGGACCAGAATATTGAGGCTTTCTTTCACGGTCAATCCAACATCGAGCTCGATGAGCCGGAAGCTGAGTGGCAGGACCTCATAGCAATTTCGCACTCTGAGAAAATCTCGGATGGCTTTCTGGTCTCGGCGTTAGAATCCAATGCTCCCGTGTGATGCCAACGAAACTGCGGCTCTCTTACCAGGCCTGCTCTTTCATCGCGATCGATTGGTCTTTCCGGTTTTGCAGGAGCTATTGGTCGAGATATGGCTCTAGGACGAAGTAGATCTGATGGTCGGACAAAGGTGGCCTCGTGACCAAGGCTGGCAGGAGTAGTGTGGGAGGCGGCAGAGGGAGAAGTTGGTTGATTCGTAGAGAAGGTAGGCTGCGCAGAGGGCGGGGTAGAGGTTTGGGTCACCTCAGCGTTCTCTGCCATGACGACCACTCCAGCAGCATTTTTCTTTTGTTTTTTTTATTTCAAGAGGGATGAAAGTTTCTTCTGAAGAACACAAAAGGCGACAGAGTGTGTCTTGTTGGAAGGCGGGTTATTAGATGACAGCCGGATGCTGTGGAGCAAGTTTTGGGCGCCCACGAGTGAATTTTGGTAGGGCGGGAAGGACTGGTAGGGCTCAGTGGCCGAAGCGATCGTTGGATTCCTCGTGCAGGGTTTCAACAATGCAAGTAATCGTTTTTGCGCAGGTGTGTTCACAGCAGACCACGGTAAGGATTGGCTCGGGACTGGGGAAGCAAGTGAGAAAGGTGGGATGCGGGTTGAGAACTGGGACTTGTTGGTGGGATGCGGACGTGCCAGCGCTATTCTCGGCTCACTAGGCTGGCGCTGGTTTGGGCTGTGATGTGATGGAATGGTAATGGTGGACTCAGCTCATCTCAGGTCACCGTGATTGGCATGTGATCATGCGAGGCTCTTTTTCTAGAAGGACAACTTGTCAGCCCTCGAGTCTATCAGCATTTTCAGACTCGTTCGAGTCTTGCCATCTCCGGATAGTCGTCTGTGCTACAGCATGCGCCCGGCTGGATCGCTCTAGGGCTCTAGTCTAGTTGAAAAATAAGAGGGTACGCTACCAACAATATCTCCATCCATCGCTCTAGGCCACATAATAATCCAACCTGAACGCCTAGCTGCTCAATGATTTGAGTAACTTGTATCGATAATCTCAAGTGCTGGTGGAAGCTGTATCCTGCTCGCATTCCGTCAGACTCTTCTCCTCGCCTCCCTTGAGATACAACTCGGACTCGCCGATTCTTTTCCCTCCCTTCTCCCATCGAGCTTGACGTTCCACCCTCTTTAATTCACATAGATCGTTCAGTGCCGGCCAATACTTGTCATGATCATATTCGAACTCGACTAAGCCGCCACTCTCCTTCAACAGTTGTTCTCTCGGCACGTGTAGGCCCATGTCCTCATTGAACCTGATCTTCTCTCGTGTCAACGGGTCAATGAAAGGAGTGATGAGTTTGAAGAAGCCCCAAATGTAGAACGGTACATTCGTGACCAGCGCGCGACCGAGGCGTTCAGGGTAGTGGTTCTGCAAGATATTCAGGGTCTGCTTTCCTTGGGAAAGAGTAGCGCCCTGTCCGGATTTGGTTTCTGCGAAATTGATGAGCAGCGCCAATGTTTCCTGACCAGGTGGCATCAAATCAATCGCTCGCTCCAGCATAAAGACAAGGTGTTGGATTTGGCGATCACTGCGTTCCGTATTCTGTTTCGAGGGCCTCAAGTATTGGCACGTCCGTCCGTGATGATCCCAACCTAATATTATTTGCTTGCCTGTAGCATTCTCGACGGATATGTAGTCCTTTGTGTGTTTTTCAAGCCCATACTCGCGCCGCCAGATCAATGTGTTCTTCAATCTTTGTTCCGATTGAGCCACATTCCAATTAGTGGCCCTCAGATATCGTAATAAACACTCTCGTGTAAGGAACATCCGTTCCGAGTCTGTCAAAGGCAATGACTTGGAGCCTTTCGCGGAATTCTCGGGTAGTTCAGTCCAAGATAGCACACTCTTCAGTAGTGTGTCGTATTTCTTCTCTTGTTCAGGCGTTAAGGCAGGCCTAGAGGGAGGTTTCGAGGTTTCTAGGGGCTCGCCCAGCGGAGTCTTGATCACTCCGTCGGCTGCGCTGCGTGGAAGGTTCAGCTTCTTTGACGCGGCGGGCGTCGATGAACCTCTATCTTGGATATCGGTCGCATATCCTGCGCCTGGCTCTGTGGGCGGCACTGTGGAAGCAGCAGCTGTTTCGCTAAGTTTCTCGTCAAGCTTCGCTTCTTCCATTGCAGCGGAAAGTTCCTCTGCAGCTTTCTCGGGATCACTAGACCCAGGAGGCATTCTGGGATTGTTTTCGACAAGAGTAGCCATGATATACCATATTCTTACAGGAGAACCTGCGAAAAAGAAAAGAAAAAAAATGCTCACCGGGGCCGAACACGCTTGACTTTTACATCGTGAATCGAATGTCAGATGGAGTATGGGGAAGTGCAGATTGCACTACTAGGCGCGTCGGATCTTCCTCAGCCGGCGAGCCTCATTTTCAATCCCGCGAAAGCAGCCAAGAAATAACTTTTGCTGGCTTGTCCGACGCTTTGATATTCGCTTTCCACAGAGAACAAGATACTTCTGCCGCAACGAGCACTTTCAACTGACTTTCGCTAATCTATACTGCTCCATTGGATACTAACCTGCATTGATACAGCGATGGTGTAACCTTTCACAAACACCGCCATTTTCGTCCACGGGTTTTCTCTCGCTTCTCAGCTTCCGTCCTTCAGCACTCTCTCGATACATGATCTGGAGCTCTCCTCTACTCGAGCATCATAGGAGTAGTCCTTGCTAGTATTGCGATTTCCCACCCATGAAGACCTTGTCTGACAAATCCAAACCTCCCGAAAGACTGTTTGGTTCGTTTTGCGGAAGCTTCTTCCAAAGCAGCCGAACGAGCCTTCTGACGCCGTTCTGCTCAATTGGCTCTACTGGACCGAGTGTCAAGTATACATGTCCCTCGATCTCTCTCATCTCTGCAGCTCGAACCTGAATCGTGTCGTGCCAGTCAAGAGGAAGTCCGATTTTGGCGTGATGAAGGAGAGTCGACTTCTTTTCGTTGAAGTAAAAGGGGCCGTAATAGCACAAGGTCTTACTGGCAGCATCCGCTGTGTCCTCTTTTGTGCCATCCACCTTGTCTGACTTGCACGCGTTGTTGTCGTCTGACTGAATGATAACCGACATCTGCATTCAGTTAGAAATAAAGTCGGCATTGATCATGGCTTACCAAACAGCAAGGCTCGGACCAGGCAAGTAGAGGGTGAAAACTCACATAACCGTCGTCAGTGTACATGATCTGTCCCTTGCAATTCTTACCCAGAGGATTTTGAATGTCGGCCGCGTTATCAAGTCTGATTGCAGAATACGAGACCAGCTCCCAGGCGCCGAGAAGGCGCGACAGTAGGAATTTCATGATCGGGAGTTGAGGGTGCGCAGACCCTGGAAGAGACACTGATTGCACAGTACCTAAGGTAATGCTTGTTGAGGCTGGATGTAAACTTTTACAGAGATGATGGATGATTGAAATCTGTGCTTCAAGCCATGTCTTGACCAGATAAATGAACTGAGGCCAGCATGTGAAGTGGCAGTCTCACTTTCACAAAATGACTTCCAACATGGCAATTACGATTTGTAATTGTGAGTCCTCACATTAGACCCTGTTTCAAGACAGGAAAGCACGAGTGTTGTGGACAATCGGATACCGAGCAGCAGTGATCTTGCTCAGAAACACATGCAACACCCCAGGAGATGGCATTTACCGGGGGGAAGACTTGATCATAAGAGAAACCAGTACGCTTTTCTGTCTCTCGGTTCATTTTCATCGCTTTCAAATTCAAGGGTATCTAATTTATTGTGTCGTCGGAGTATCGATGAGAAACCAACTCTCACAACGACTATGCCCTGTACCAACTACACGATGTGACGCCTTTTAGGTAATAAGCCACCAAGCACCACCGACCGTCACAATGCAGACAATCACCGTCAGGATGCCTGCACCAGCCCTATCGGCGGTAGTGATCGGTTTCGCAAGTTCACCTGGTGGACTACTTCCAGCTGAGCCACCGGCCGAGGGATCACTCTTCGAAGTCGCACCGGTTCTGAGAGATAGAGGGACCATTTTCGAATTGATCAGGTTTGCTCCGAAAATCGACATCGCGCTCATCTGCATACCTGTTAGCTTCCACGTTCCGAATCAACCAAACCTGCCCTTACCTCTTCGCCAACGCCTGTAAGACCATCATACGTCGTTGAATACCACTGTTCACCACAAACGTTTCCGCCGCCACTACACTGTCCTGCAGCTCCCATGGCGCTTCCTTGTAGTTTTGGCATAATTTGGCTTGCAGTACTGGGCACTAGGAGCGCAGTAACCGCGAGCCAACGTGACAGGTACGCTTTGAAACTCTTCTGATCTTGATCGCAATTCAATTGTTTCTCACATTCCATCTCGGTCATCACGTTCCCGCCATACTCAGATGGGAAGAACAGACTGAACGTGCTCGATAGAACTTGTTGTACTCGGCTCTCCCAGGTCGAACTCCCATTAGTGTAATTGTACATGTACGCGGCGCCAGCCAGGACAGTTCCATAGTTGTAGGTCCAGACCAGGTTGTCGGCATTGGTGCAGTTGTTGTTACTGTCCGTGCTGTCCCAGATGTAAAGCATGTCCCCCTGGGTTTCAAATAGTTGGCTGGATGCCATCCAATTCCAGACCTTGTTGGCCCAATCCGCATAGGTAGTGTTCCCCGTGATATAGGCCAGTCTCGCTGCAAGCTGGAAGTTGCCACCGTTGGCAATGGCAATCTTCAGGTTGTAGCCGGCGTTGAATGAATAGACTTGCCAGTGAAAGCCGCCGCCACAAGTCGAAGTGTCCCATAGAGAAGTTTGGAAATTGTAGACACCTTGCGCAAGGGCAAGCCATGAAGGATCGTTGCCTTCTGGAGGAGGAAAGTTGGACTCGACAGCATCGAGCGCCGAAAAGGCCCAGAACAACATGTCGTCGACACCCATGCTGCGGGACTGGTTTGGAGGGTTGAAGTTATTATCAGGTCCACGCTGGAACTGTAACGACTCGGAGATGATCGAATTGTATGTGCTGTCGTTTGTGTATTGCCAGTAATTGATCAAGGACCCCCACATTGCACCAGCCTCCCACCAGCAGTATGTCCCGTCGGCCTTGGGGTTACAACTTAACGAGCCAGGAAGGATACCGGGTACTTGGCCGGTCTGGTTGCCAGTGTAGTAAGTCATCATGTTGTATGCTGCCGTGCCTGCGGCGGAGGCGATCGAAGCCGGCGAGCTGATGTCGAGGGTGATTGCGACCGCAGCCGCCGGGAACAACAATGGCATCAGCAACATGGTTGCAGGCAATAATCGAGCTTCGTTGGACGGTAAGGATTGTGACTACGATTCGATCAGATCATCTCATACTGAAATACAGCATTAAGCGAATGACATCGGCAGGGCATGCGACGGTGAAGGGGAGGAAGAAACAACAATGAGATGGCGCATACAAGTTGAGACAGAGAAGTCGGTCTGTGCAGGTTGAGGTCATCGAGGACAGAATCTTGCATTGCGTTGCCGTAGGCACTTGTCTCAGGTCCCAACTAGATTGGTCAATGATAGGTTCGCATCGCCGTGGATTGGGGCACATTTGCGACCACTGGAAAGCCGCATTGGTGAGTCGGGTATTTCGGCTCTTGTCAACTTGTTCAAATTGTGAGGCAGTGCAAGAGCTCAATAAGATCACCAGCTGTCGCTAGCCCGCGAGAGAAGTTGTGTACTACAATGTCACGCGAGATTTAGATTGACAAAGGATAAAAGAGCCTCCTGGCCATTTTCATCAAGCCTTTTCAGAGACCTCAGCATCCTTATGTGCGACGGGCTTATCATCGACGGTTTGTTACATAATGCCTGGATGGAATGGGTGCGAAAGGCCAGTAGAATGTTGTACATCCAGTGGGCTGTTCAATTAAAGCAGGCCAAGAGTGCCTAAGCAACGCCCAGGAATGCTTAAGCCTCGCGGGGCTCAATTGGTAGCCCTGGTGCCCCTGGAGTACGGAGCGCTCAAGTTAGGCTCAATTTCGAAACCCGGAGCAAGGTCACTGCGTTCACTGGACAGAATTGACTCCGCTGCCGACGACAGGACACGCGTCAACCACACTTCATTCATTGAGAGTACGGAGTAGTCATAACCATATGATTGTTCGTTACACGGACCGTATCAAAGGACGGGCCACGTAAGAACGGACCGCGTCACGAAAACCACGAAGATGGAGAGCTTCTCGCTTGGGCTGGCCCTCCATCGACTTCGGCACTGCGCAATCCAGAAAATGGTCTCTGTGAAAACGTGGTAGCATTGGCCGTGACCAGGAAAATTCTGCAAGCTGTTAACCCTTCGATTCTTGTCGCTGCTCCATTGTGTTTACAACACTCAATTCCAGAGGCCCTCGTTATTGATGTCAGCTTCGTCAAGGAGTTGGAAGTTCCTTTTGGCAGATCTCTGGCTCCAAAAACTTTTTCAAAATCACTACACCAGGCATGCCCCTGTAGATGCTTCAGGCGTATCAACCACTGATGCCTACCTAGGTAGGATCTTATCATTCACTGACTCTAGTGAAGCCACTCCCCTCTTAATGGTCTTATTGGCTCTCTGCAATAATTCAAGAGTTATCTCTGTGAAAAGCACAATTCCTTTTACAATTCCTCAATCTACTTGTGGCTTGCTGGCTCAGTGGTTTAACTACTACTCTGATCAGTCAAGACCAGCCTGGTATTCGCCAGAGACGAGGCACTTTATCTTGGGCATCTGCCCTGACACCAGTGGTGACTCGAATGACTGGTCGGTTCCTAGCATACATGGCCTCAATGCGTGAGTGCACTAGCTAGGGGGTAACGTGACGACTTCCGGAAAAAATCCCCCGCCGGGGATTTTCCTCGGCTTGGCCGGTAACCACCCAGCGTGTGGTTGCCCGCCTTGCTAGAGTTTTGCTGCTTGAGATAAATGAACCCTTATTATTTTTGTTCTCACCTCTTGATACGCAAGCAGAGGACTGCAGGGGCTTCTAGAAGGTAGTAGTTGAACAGCGTGACCATACAGAGTGCCAATGAATGAGGTAAGAAACCACGTGCGCCGCCCGTGGCATTCTTATTAGCCACAGCAAATGATGTGATTACGACCATTCCGCTCTTTGCACTCGTACCTTGCAGAAGAATTCAACAGCTTCATTTCACCTCTATTGCCTCGAAAGATGAGCTGCTGATGCGAACATGCTTTCATCTTTAATTGCAACCCTCGTGAGAACGCGGCGTCAGGTATATCGCTATCTACGCGAAACTGCAGAACACAGGAGCCACATTATTCGAGAAGTTGTGCAGAAGAATGGCGCCCTCGGATTCATATGTTTTGGTGGACCGCCTGTTCATTTCCAGATCGTGAGTGATGATCCGACCCAGGAATTATAGTCCCTCGTGTAACGATGCGGTTGGCTTACCTTGTATGAACAGTTTCACCAGCGATTTGTCGAAAAGTATCAGTGGCTCGATGAGCCTATGTTCCAAGAATTGTTTGCGGTAACACAAGCCCTCTCGGGACCTGGAAGCACAAAAATGCTGTATTGCATCAACCTCAATCGGAATGGCTTCTGGAGTGCTTTGGCAGCCTTTTTATTGTGGTCGTAAGTCTGGTCTAAGCTTATTTGAATCCTCTCCATTGCTGAACTGATACATAGAATCCCCGGGGCTCTCGGCATGTATGTATTGTCGCTCGGTATGTCCAATGTTGGTGACAACCTTCCTGCACCAGCCTATGCTCTTCTTTCAGGGCTCAATGCTGCGACCGTGGGAGTGATTGCTCTTGCTGCGGTACAATTGTCCCAGAAGACTATAACAGACAAAGTTAGCCGAATATTGGTCTTTCTCGGGGCAACTGCTGGGATGTTATACAATGCATTATGGTTCTTCCCGGTTCTCATCTTCCTGGCCGGGCCTGTGACAATCGTCTGGGACCTTAGAATACTCCATTCCATCTTCTCTCGAGCTCAAAGTCTTTTCCTCCGCGCAAGGCATACAGAAGGTCGAGACCTAGAGATGACGAGTACAGGTGCGGCAGATGACGCTCATTCTATGCGTTGGTCAAGCTGACACTGTGAAGGAACAAATAATACCGAGGGTGTATCAGCTCGAGACACTTCCATAGGACCAGAAACGCCACAGATCGACAGTGCGAATTCCAATATCGAGCCCACCGTCTCAATCTCCAACGGCTCACGAGAGAGATCAACTGCAAGAGCCATCCCTAGAGATAGAGAGCTGAAGGTATCCTGGCGATTCGGTATCATTCTCATAGTGGCATTCCTAGCTACTTTCTTTGCCGTCATGATCTTACGAGGTGTCATCCAGCAACGGCCATTGTTGTTCAGCTTGTTTTCCAACTTGTATCTTGCAGGCACAATCATCTTTGGCGGCGGACCAGTGGTAATTCCACTACTCAGACAGTTAGTGACATGAGCCATCCTTATTGTTGTTGGTTGTCGGATATCTAATCCAAGGCTGATATCAGGTATATCGTGACGGAGGGCTGGGTATCCCCTCGCGATTTTCTCTTGGGACTGGCCATCGTACAAGCATTCCCAGGGCCGAATTTTAATTGTGCGTGCACGACGACAACGGCTTGTCTCAACCCATTGGAATAATGACGTCTAACTAGCCTCGATAGTTGCGGTCTACCTTGGCTCACTAGCCGCCATCAATGCTTCACTCCCCAGCATATCAGGCGCTCTGATCAGTTACGTCGGTATATTCGCGCCGGGTCTGATCCTCGTTCATGGAACAATGGGACTTTGGAGCGCGCTTCGTACTCGACGCTGGTTCAAGGCTGGTCTACGTGGGATTAACGCTGCAGCTGTGGGCTTGATCTACACTGCCATTTACCGTCTCTGGGAGATTGGCTATATTGATGAGAACTTCACGAGTGGCTCGAGTCTGGGCCGTGATCCTTGGTGGGTCGTAATAACAGCAACAAGTTACGTTGGCGGGTGCTGGTTTGGACTCCCCGTTTCTCTTGCTATTTTACTCGGCGGTGTCATGGGGCTCGTCAGATATGGGGTTACGGCGACGTGATCGCCTGAAGCATGGATGATATGATATATTGCCGCCGTTTTGTTATGCCTCCCACTTCCTGCCACGTTCTGCGGCAAGTACTTCTTTAATATGGCTCAGGTCTGCATCTGGTCTGGGACTTGGATCATATTTCCCAGCTTGTTTGTCCCAGCCTTCTTCAACAACCCTTTCTTCAGCTATTGTCTTCAGCACGCAAGTTCCACCGCTATACTCTTTACTTTCCACCATTTTCAGCATCATGTCAGCAATGGTTTTCGGCGGCATCAATTTCCGCTCCGAATTCTTGGTCAATTTCATGACCTCGTCGTCTCGGTCCTCCCACAACGGACTCTTAACTGTCCCAGGTAGCACACAGACGATTCTGACGCCAAACTCTGGGTCTGCCTGACCCAATGATTTGGCCAGACCCACCACTGCATGTTTTGTTGTGGAATAGAGTGGTGCGAAGAAATTCCCTCTGATACCTGCAGTGGAGGCCACATGACAGACCACTCCCTTCTTGTTGGCAGATGCTAAGGCTTGCATCGCAAGGCGAGTGAGTTTGACCGGATGTTGGATATTGATAGCCACAGTCTTGTAGGCGTCTGTCTCGGTATCATCCCAGAAGTTGGACCAGGATGGGTCGAAGACTCCCGCAACAGGAGCGTACACGTCCGGCACATCACCAAATACCTTGACGCAAGTGGTGATCAGGTTGCGCAGTGACTTCCAGGAAGTTACATCGCAAGTCTCAAAGCAGATCTCGGACTTTGGATTCGCGTCGAGGTACTCTCTGGCTTCCTGTGTGAGCTTCAAGTCGCCGACAATGACTCGAGCCCCTCTTCCGTGACAGAGATTGGCGAAGGTGTACCCGATCCCACTGCCACCTCCTGTAACCAGTACGATCTTGCCTTGCACTGGCAAGTCTCCGACTGGGCCGTATTTTGACATGGTGTGATACTAAATAGATCGAACGGTAAGATGCTAGGTCAGTGTGAGATATGTTCAAAGCTGTCGTGGTGAGTCGCGCACAGGTCAAGGAAGAATGTCGTGAATGCACCTTGATGCCGCAACTAAATCACTACTGTTTCTCCAATCCATTGCCGCCGATGCAACATTTCCTCGGTCCTTGATGTTGGAGGTTTGAACATCTGCGGGGTGAAGATCCCAGAGGCGGAGACGCCTTGGGGAAGGTGTGCCTCGCATCGTGGCCGATCCTATCATCAAGTTGATGACAAGGAGTGGGAGGGCATCCAGTGTCTGAGAGCGAGTGATGAACTGGTGCTGTGTTGCCGAGTCCCGGTTCGCCTGTCTCCTGGACCAACAGGCTAGGAGTACCCCCATGGGCCGGTGGATGAACTTCAGCCTTGCCCCCTTCTTATCTGCGGACTTGAGCGCCGTTGTTGTTAGTTTGCGCCAGGTCCGATCGAAGAGAGCCAAACGACCGTCGTTATCTGGTCGCATGGGAATCTGTTATATAGCCAGGTGAAAAGGACTTGCACCTCGTCCAAGTCTGTTCCCTTTTCCCTTTGTTGTATACCGTTATTACCTTTTCGTGTCAAAGCCTAGAGGCCCTTCAGCAGCAAACATGGGGAGCCTTGGGCCAGAAAACATCCCCGTTGTCGACTTTTCGAGATTCGACACAGATTTGCCTAGTCTGGCGAAGGAAATCAAGGAGATCTGCGAGACATGGGGTTTTCTGTACCTGAAGAACCACGGTCTCGAACAAAACAAGGTTGATCGCATGTTCAACATCAGCGAGACATTCTTCACCACAACGCCTCTCGAAGAAAAGGCCTCCACACCGTGGAACAGTATCTACAATGCAGGCTACGACGCAAAGACCGGGACGGAGAAGTACATGCACGAGAACGGAGCCAAGGATGTTGTGTCCTCGCAAGATGGCAAGGAGGTCTTTGTGATCCGGAAACACCAGTCGTACGACCAGCCGATGCCACCTGCGTTGCGGAGATTCAACCCGGAAATTCAACAGTTCATGGCCGAGACGCACCAGAAGATTGCCGTTCGGCTTCTTGCTTGCCTGGGGGTCGGGCTGGGTCTGACAAGAGACCGGCTTCCTGAAATCCACAAGCATGAAAGCCCGTCGTACACGACGCTCCGACTGATCTACTACCCGGCCTTGCAGCAGGCTGACAACGCGCCCATTCGACTGCCTTCGCACACCGATCAGGGCGTCATCACGATTCTCTTTCAGAACCAGATCGCTGGCTTGCAGGTGCGACCTCCAAAGTACACCGGCAAGATATCGGAAGACGAGGTCTGGCTCGATGCGCCTGTGATCCCGGGCGCGGTCCTGATAAACATTGGCGAGACCATGACGTTCTTCTCTGGAGGACTGATGAAGAGCACTTTGCACCGTGTCGCGAGAAGTCCCAACGCAGAAGATTGGGGCAAGGATCGGTACTCGATGGCCTACTTCTGCCACCCCAACCAAGATACCTTGTTGGAAGTCATTCAAGGTATCGAGGGCGCTAACAAGAGGGAGACGCCCGTGTCTTGTGTCACCGGAAGACAGGTAAAGACGGTCAAGGATTGGATCGAGCATAGACATTCGATGGGAAGGCAAGAGGCCATGGTAGCAAAGTGAAGCTCGTATTTCGTAGCGGTGTATATAATTTGCTGTCCTGCGTTGTACATTGTTCTCCTCATGCCTTGCAAGACAAGTTTTTGGTTCGAAGATCTTTACAAAATGGTTCGCGTCATACCTTGTGTGTAATGAGGGTTGAGATCGTGAATTGTATGTTACTGGCACTTTCAATCTGTGGCGGGCTTACTACCCGGACTTCAGTACCTAGACGCATCTCCGTACTCGTTATGATCCACCGCAGGTCTCTCTCTCTCCGCACGGCATACCATTCGCCGTACTCGAACAATCCCCAAAGAAATATTTTGGGATCGCGTCTGTTTTCTAGGATTCTCGCTACAAAAGCCTTGAACAGGCCAACTGGCTGTCGTCTGAAAATTTAACTTATTTTGCTACAAAATCTACGAGCCATAGCCCTTTCATTCCCTCCACACACCGATATGCCGCCTCCCATGCCCAACCCTACGAAGCGCATGACGGCGAATCCAGCGAAACCCGTAGCGAGGTATCGTCCAGGAAAGCCGGTCGCAGAACAAGAGTCGTCTGACGAGGAGGAAGTGTCGGAGGAGGAAAAGCCACAACAGCCACAACAGCCACAACGGAAACCTCAAGCTCGGCCTCCGCCGGCCAAAAGACCAGTCGCCCCAGCACCAGAAGAAAGTGAAGATGAAGATGAGGAGGGGTTCGTGACAGAAGAGGAAGACGAAGGGCCAGGTCCGGGTCTAGGGACCAAAGTACCACAACAGGTACAGGGTGATTCTACACTACGCAGACCGCCAGCAGGGCAAACCAAGGCCCCCTCCGAGGAGGACTCAGACGAAGAAGAAGGATCGTCAGAAGAAGACTCATCAGGAGAAGAAGAGTCGTCATCGTCCGAAGATGAAGCACCACGACGAAAATTCCAACGGCCAACATTCATCCGCAAGACGGACCGGCAAACATCCACACCTACCCAAACACAATCCACGCCTGAAGCCTCCGTATCTACATCCGCAGCAGCAGCGGCAGCCAACGCTGACGCCGACGCCGCCCGGCGGCTCGCCCAAGCCGACCTCCTGATCAAAGACAAACTAGAACGCGACGCGCTCGCCCGCGCGGCCGGCAAGAAATCATGGGACGACGATGACGACATCCTGCCCGAATCCATGGTCGACGACACCGACGGCGTGGACCCGGAGGCCGAACTCGCGGCCTGGAAGGTGCGCGAACTGAAACGGTTGAAGCGCGACCGCGAGGCCATGGTCGCGAGGGAAAAGGAGATTGAAGAGATCGAACGCCGACGCAACCTCACGGCCGAGGAACGCGAAAGGGAAGACCGGGAGTACCTCGAGAAACAGCGCGAGGCCGACGGGCCCGGCCGACAGGACGCCGCGTTCCTCGCCCGTTACCACCACAAGGGCGCCTTCTTCCAGGGCGACGAGGCCGCCGAGATCCTCAAACGGCGGGACGTCATGGGCGCCCGCTTCGAGGACGAAGTCTCCGACAAGTCCCTCTTGCCGGAGTACATGCGGATCCGGGACATGACCAAGCTGGGCAAGAAGGGGAGGACGAGGTACAAGGACCTCAAGGGAGAGGACACGGGTCGATTCGGTGACGAAGTGAAAAGGTGGAAGGGTGGTGGTGGTGGAGGAGGAGGAGGAGGAGGAGGGGGAGGAGGAGGAGGAGGAGGACCGAGAGGGGACAACGGAGATTTCGACACCAGGGGTTTGGACGAACGGTTTTTGCCCGACGGTCAGAGAGGTGCAGGATGGGAAAGAGGTCGATCGGGCCCGACGGGTGCCAACGCAAGTGCCGTCGGTGAGAGGAGACACGGAGACCGTACGGAAAGGTACAGGAGCAGGAGTAAAAGCACACAGAGACGGAAGAGGTCATATTCAAAATCCCGGTCGAGGTCGAGGTCACGGTCGCCCAGACGAAGAAGAAAGGATTCCCCTTCCCCTCATCGAGGTCACGGTAGGGACAGAGATAGCAGAAGGGGGAGGACGGGGGAGGAAGTGAGGACTCACTGATTGTTTTCCACGACCGATGAAACATGGCGGTGTCGTCGGCCGCGGGCTTGGGTTGAACCCCAATCAACGATTATGAACTTGAAAGGACATTATATGACGTATACCGAGTATGTGTGTATAACAGCTGACTCCCTACTAATACCATAATGAATCTGTCTTGGGAGCAACATGATCTGTAACATGTATTGTATAGTATGGCTCGCTCCCCTGCTTGGTAGTCCGTGCTCCATTGATGGTGTTTTCTTCCTTACAAATAAACACTCATAGATATACACACATCTGACCCGGCCCCAGATATGAGAGGCTTTCAGGTTCCCGCATCTGGCTCTCACGGCACAAACACTCCAGGAGTCTGTGGACAACGAGGTACGCCACAAGGGCTGCGAGTAATGATGCTTGTCCATGTCGAAATTCAGGACGGGTGGAAATTCCCAAATAACCACTGCCCACATCAGTCCTTCCCTTCTTGAGGTCGACCAGGGCGTCGCGGGATACCGACAGTACGTCCCTACGACAATCCACCTCTCGGCACTTTCAAAGTCTCATTCATCATTGAAATGCGGCTTTCCATAGATTGGTACATCGCGAAGTGCGTGGGTGTTGAGGCAACATTAGTGGCTGCCATGCCGAGCTCCATCTTCATCTTGGTATCATAGATCCTCGTTTGATTATGGGTTGATGTTCAGAGCCACGAAGAGTTTTGGTTCAAACAGTGATGCCCTCGAATGCGAGACCAGCGTGTTGAAAAAGATTTGCAAGACTCCCGCCGAATGTTTAGCGATCGCCTCCTGCAAGTGATTGCTGGAGATAGTGTGGCATGTGCCTGTTCTTGCTATGCTGATTCCAATCCAAGGCTCTCTCTAGTCTGACTCCTTCTTGCCGATATCGACGCAAAACAGGCGCAGAGGACAACCAGAAATATCCTTTTCTGCTCCGACTGTACTCTAGAGAACGGCAATAGAATGCTTTGCCTTTCCTCGGCCATTCATACACCCACTCTTTAAAACCTTTGGTCCACGTTGGCGCTCAATTCGTTTTGTTGATGCTTCTTCATTTTATGCCCTGCCTCTCCAGTTCCTTCTCCCTCTCCAACACGGCATCTTCAAACTTTATCAAAAACACCGTCCTGTTGGGCCACACGTCCGTCGCGGTATTGTGCGCGCTGGCTTTACACTCGAACCCCGCCCCGTCACACACGCCCTCGATGATGCCCGCGACGTACGCGGCGACGCTGAGCTGGCTCATCTCTTTCGGGACGCTGATGTACTGGTTCGTCAGGGGGGTGTTGTCTATGATCATGTACTCGCCCGGGTTCGTGGTGGACTGTTCCAGCGAGTCGGCCGGCCTCGAAAACAACAGCGGGTACAGTTTCGTCGTGAGCAGGGTCAACAGCGGCAGCAGTCGCAAGGGTCTGCTGGCGGCGGCGCCGCCGCTCGTCGAGGAGGAGGTGCTCGAGGAACTCGACGACGAACCCGCCGGGGATGTCCGGTACAGCAACAAGTCCAACAGCTTCAGACCCAGCGGGTACCCTTGCTCGTTCAGTCTCCTTTCAAAGTCCTGGATCCCCTTGACCCGGCGGTGGGCGTACGACACCATCTCCATGAACAGGTAGGCGAAGCTGGCCCGCGAGAGTTCGGCGTTGCGGCTGCGGTTGAGGTTCCGGTCGTAGATGGTCTTGCGGGTCGAAGGGTACCGGAGCGTCGAGGTCGCGCTCGCCCCTGCGGCGCTGGTCGGCGTGCTCGTGCTCGTGCCAAACGTCGTGCTGGAGGTCGAATAGGTCGAGATGTGCCGCGAGGGGGACGCCGTGTGCGATGGAGGGTACGATGGCATCGTCAGGCCTGGAGGGGCAGACATGACTTTGTGTGATCTCACACCTTTGAATGGGCTGCAAGCAAACGATCAATGTCAAGTCGTGCAGTGCATGTTGTAAATTAGTTCATGTGTGGTTTGCAGCCCATCGAAGTGACAGCGAAATCGACAACCACTGTAGAGTCTACGTATGTACTCCGTAGTCCGCATTGCAGGGAAGGTGCGCCGAGCAAAAAAGTACCCAAAGCAAAACCCCTTTGAAAGTCGGGGAGGTTCAGCCTCGCAATGACCAAAATACAGGAACCAAGCATCACGAACTTCATCCTTCGTTATTTCATTGTTATATCTGGTGCTGTTCTCGATATGATATCGTCACCCTGGTCGGTGCCGTTTTCTCTCGGTCACGCTATATAGGCCCCGTCTATAGATACATCCTCTAAAAACTCCCGTAGAACTTCCGTAGGTGCTCCGTACGGATATCATCTCTAGTCTTCACGCCAGCCTGGATGACCTTCTCCGCCTCTTCTTTTATCCTGGCCGTCATCATCAGACTGATAGTTTTGACCATTGGCTTCCTTGGAGTTATCATTCTTCTCCGCTTCCCAATCGGCGAATGCCTTTTGTCGTTGTCTCGAGTTCCACTGTAACGTTCTCGAAATGCTGTTGACCCAATCTTCACTACGACGTCCGGTAGGCATGACGTTGGCAAAGGGATACCTTGAGGCTGATATTGTGACATAGTCTCCCGGGAATAATTCGATCCTAAGACGAGAAAACAGGTATGTTAGCAATGGTTTTTTTCCGTGGCCTATTTCGACCGTCATCTCTTCGCCTTACCGTTCTCGTCCGTCAAAGCTTGCCCAAGAATGTGATCTGGCGTCATAGGGCACGCCGAGACGCAAAACAATGGTATCGGGGAGAATTATAGGACGGAATGACAGGGTGTGCGCGCAGATGGCCGTCACCAGGATCACTGGATTCTCCGGGTGGCACAGAGACCCTCCCGCGGCCAAGTTGTATGCCGTCGAACCAGTCGGAGTAGCCACGCAGATTCCGTCGGCCTGGACAGTCGTCAAGTGCTCCTCGTCGCCGAACAGCTCGATGGTGGACATGGTGGGATTGGGACCTCTGTCGACCACAATGTCGTTGAGAATCTCAAACGTGCCGTCCGGCTTGTGTGTCTTGCGGTCGTCGGCCTCTTCACCGATCAACTCTTCCACGATGTCTCGACGATCGGCATCATCATGACGCTTTTGCGACCTCATCACGGTCCCTTCGAACCGTAGCCGGAGACTTATCGTCACACCGTCCTTGATGGCTTGTGACAGGGTAGTGCGGTAACTCTCAAAGTCGAACTTTGTCAAGAATCCGAGTGACCCAAGTGCAAACGACAGCACCGGCGGCACGACTCTTTGAAACAACCAGCTCGCATAAAGTACGGTGCCGTCGCCGCCCAACGTGATCACAAAGTCGAACGTTTGGGGCCGTCTCCTGGCAAGATTGACGTTCCAAAATTTCAGTCTTTCGCCGTACGAGGGATCCTCCGCGACGAGCCCTGCCGCGTCGAATGAAGGATTGTCCTGCAAAAGATCCTGCACGTACACGATGTACGGCACGGATCGATCCTTCGACAACAACCATCTGGCGACCTCCCTGGTCTTGACGATCAACGTTTTGTCGTGGATTTTTGTGAGCAGGAAGATTGCCCTGATCTTCAGTCTGACCTTTAGATTTCCCAACTTTTTCGCCAGAGCCCTCACGCTGATGGCCATGTCACTCAACTGTTTCTTCGTGAGCAGCCGCGACTCGGTGGCCCGCACGTCGTCCCTCCCGGACATGGGCTCTCTGTCATTGTTGTCCTCCGCCGCCGGCCCGCTCGGCTCGACTTCATCGATCTGTTCCAGTTGTGGCTCGACCTTTGGCTGTTGGCCGAGCGAGGTCTTCTCGACGATCTGGTGGACCAGACATTGCGACTTGCTGCGGCCCACGTTCTGGCGGCTGCCGGCTTTGTCGACCTTTGGGTGCTCGGCGAGGACGACTGAGGATTTCCGGCGACGAGCGGTCTCGGAATCGAAGACGACCTATTATTACTCGAACGACTGTGTGAGCAAAACCTCCGTATTCGTGATACAAACCAACGCGTAAAATGTTGTTGAAACCTTGCACGCACCTCGATTTTACGGTTGTAGTCGTCCTCGCTGCTGGAATCACTCCCCATCTGCCCGTCTTTGTAAGCACATGTCCTCTGTTCTGTCCCGGGTGCAGGCGTGAAATACATGATCCGGCAGACATTCACTGATTCTTCTGCTGAGGTGAGGCGCACCCCGCGAGGCTTCCATCGTGTGTGCACCGGAGCGGAGTGTATTCGAGAAAATCGGTCGGCAACAGAAACCGACGCTACACACAAGTCTGTCGTCGCAGTGTGCTCATTCTCACTGGTCGTAAGGGTGCCACGGACGTGTCACTTCGTCGGTGAAAGGAAAACTTATCTGTTGCACTGAATCGATTATATGACGTTCATCTGTAGAGAGGCCGCCGTAAATGAGCGCTGCCGTCACCAACGCCCGCAGCCGGAAATCTTATGGGTACGAGTACGAAGTATCCCCCAACGGGGTTTACGCATTGACTAATCAGCAATTAGCCTCAACACTATTCCTTGTCCAAGGGTCTTAAGCGATGACTAAGGCGAGGAGGGGTCTTGACTGCGACAAGAGAGTTGCCATTGCAAGACGAAGTGTCTGTGAAATCAGTGGTGAGCTATAGCACAGTGGCACCTAGTAACGGGTAAACGCAGGGTGTTCAAATTATCTCAATCGATGTAATTATACATGTCCTTAAAGGAAAATCCAGTGTATCAAGGGTATCCTGTTTGTCTGCCATCATCATCTGTCATATCGTCATAATCTGCTATAAATCAATCATAACGGGGATATCAGGGGTGTTTCGGACGCATTATGTCGTTCACCGCCCGATAACCCGGCGGCCGTCTTGAGAACAGGGATCGCTGTTTCTCTGTCCGGAGCCTCATAAGGAGAATTAATCGGTGAGCTTGTTCCAGAGACAAAAGCAGAATCTTCTGAGTACTGTGTCGACGGTGGAGCGGTCGATTGTGACTCTAGCGTTTCACTGTCAATATCATCTGCAGGTTGATTCTCGACTTCGGTAGTACTGTTGGGTTCGATGCTTGGGTCAGTTTCCGTAGGCGCTTCAAGTTGGTCTAGACGCGGCACGGCAAGCTGTGGTTCAAAAGATCCTTCAGTCTGCGAGGGCATGAGTTCGTAGAACAACATGAACCCATTGCCTCGCCGAAGCACTTCTTCCTCCGAGACCTTGGTGACCATCTCGTCGTTGAAAGAATACCAGTCCTTACCACGCTTTCCCAAAGCAACATAATGGCCATTTTCATGTCGACCATAATGCGTGACAATACATTTCAAGTCGTAGACAGCGGCCACGGCACCTCTATTCTCTTCCAGAGGCGCACACCAGCGGCTGAGAAAATCGAGTTTAACAGGCACGCCGACGGGTGCTGTGTTCTTCAGTTGATTCCCATATTCATCGAAGATGCTGCGATTGATGTGAATGACGAGATCTTTGGGCAAACGCCCAATGGTAATCTGCTTAGCTTTGGTTCTGAGGACCGGTGTCGGCTTTTTCTTGGGCGCCTCTCCCACAGTCTCAGCCTCTGTACTCTTCGTTGGTGGCGATGCCTTATTTCCATGGGCCATTTTCGTGCAATGCTCGCATTCAACGCCTTCGACCTCTTCCGGTGCTGTGAATTCATCCATCAAATCCTCGACAGACGATGCACCTCGAAGTGCCATGTTCAGAGTCAGACAATTAAATTGAGTCAAAGACAATCCTTCCGTGTATCCACAGACCTTGCATTCGAGAGCCTGTGCGGTCATGCCATCGAGGGGATTCCGTTGCCCAAGAGACACAGTCTTGATCAACAACTGTACCGTTGATTCATTGACGTTAGTTTCAGAATTCGGCCCGACGTCTCCCCCTGAACTTTCATCTTTCGCCGTTTCGAACCTTTTCAGGCACTCCAAGCCAGCGGTTGAAGGCTTCTTTATCTGCTTTATGTAGCCGGAAGCCTCCCTTTCCACAGCATCAAGAACTCGAGAGAAATACTCTTGCGCATCTTGCTGCTGCCAGCTGTCCATTGATTTCAATACCTTTGGCGTCCACAAGGTTGTTTTCCTGCCATTTGAATCCGCAAGTTTCTCCAAAAAGGCAACCAGTGCTTCGTGGGTTTCGGCCTTGACATTGTACCTTTGACACATTTCCAGGCTGTGTTGAAGGAAGTTCAAGAGCGCGGGCAGTGAGGCCAAGCCTTGGAGAACGCTGTTTTGGTAGCATGAGTTGTCCCAGTTACCCAGACCAGATGGACCAACGTCGTTGCTCAACGATATGTAGTCCGCCACGCCAGAGAGGCTTCTAACCTTATGAAGGACGAGTGGTATTTGTGGAGGTCCAAATATCCTCTGTACAGCTTCTTCCTTTGCAAACATGTTTCCAAAGTCAGCTCGGCAGAATCTTGCTTCCTCGGGGGCAAGGCGACCGAGTCTGACAAGGGCACGCTGCATTATGTAGAGGAGCCTTGAGGGAAGGAGATAGACGAACGATTCGTAGCAGTAGCGTTGAATGGTGGATGGCCATGCGTCGAAAAAGGAAAGCGCATAATAACCCAGGACCAGGAGTGCAATCGTCGAGACCACTTTGGTCGTTGTCGGGTAGGAAGTGCTTTGAGATGCGTAGGCGTCGTAGACAACGGGGCTGCCGTATGTCCTAGCCGGGGGGTTGTTCATATCGAAGCAGCGGGAGGTGGAGAGCCTGGTTCACTACCGTTAAGAGTGGCATTCGGTCTGTTGGGAGATCCTGAATGTCAATTTATATGGGCATTTGGGCTTTAGGCCCGAAAGGAAGTTGCCAGGCTTCTCTGGTGACGAATGAGTGTTGGAAGAATGTTCGGTACAGAAAATGAGATGATGCAGGCTGCATGGAAGAGGCGCAGGCCGGGAAAGGCTTGGCGGCTTTAAATGTGTAGGTTTGATGACAGAGACTACCATCGACAATTCTAACACATGTATCCGTACTCGTACGTGAAATACTTTTATAAAGAGCAGATTTGGAGATTATCTCGTGTCATTATCGTCAACAATGTCTCGCTTCCGTTTGTGTGAGTCTGTTCCTGTTCGTTCCCGTACAGCGTTGGACATGCTTCGAGTATATTTTGTAACATTCTCTTCTTGCCCGGCTCCGACTTCGATTGCGTAAGGGATGGTTGTGTCATCCTCATCATTGAACTCGGCCTGTCCAAACTCTGCATCGTTGGCTTCTCGTGCCAGTCTCCTTCGTTCTTCCAGTTCCCTCAACGCCTGCCCTGAATCACCTTCTACGTGTTTAGCCCACCACTTCTCCCATAACCAAGTCAAGGCCTGTTGTGTCATTTGCCTCAAATAGAACAAGTTTGGAATGTCGCCGTGGGTAACCTGATGTCGTAGGTCGACAAACTTCTGTGGCATGCCAATCGCACTCGCATGTGCATACATGGAACTTTCACCCTTGGCTGGTGGGACAGCAGCATCCTCCATCTCAGACCCGTCTGATGCCAGGTCCACGGTATGCAATCGGGCTACATCTCGATCAACGAAACCGTTCACAAACCTCGCGAAAGCCATGGCATAGATGCTCTGCATAGCTGAGTCTGATATGCCTCGAGATCTCCGGCTTGGTTCATCGTGGAGGAGGGCCTCGGTAAGAGCAGACGTGGCAACCATTGCAGGGGGAAGCTGGCCAGCCTTGAAGAGCCAGAGATTGACTTTGTCGACAGCTCTCTGTTTCATAATCTGTGGGGTGGTCGAAAATGCATCCTGTTTCGCACGGTCGGGGAAAAACCAGTCTCGAATCATGGCTAGTTCGGAAGCGTGTCGCCAGGGTGGAAATTGCAACACCATTCTGGCAGCTTGGGCCGAAACATCAGACCCCGATGTTGGAGGCCCGACCGCCAGTGTCTTCGAGTGTGAGGTCGTCTCAGGCTGCTGGAACCAGAATGCTCGTTTCGTAGAAAGAAATTTGGAGGATGAATGTACGACTTTGCATTATTGGATGGGACAGTTTTCCACATTTATTCCATATCGAGACTAGCAACAAGCGGCAAGATTCACGCCACGACGCCAGGACAGGTGGACATTAGTGCGCGCGTTGATTGGCCATGAAAGCACATTCCGCGTCTAGATCGGCAGGCAGCTGCACAGTGGCTGCATTCTAGAGCGCAGTCTACAATTCTAGAAGAGGATCGAACAGAATGGGCGTTTGTAGTACAGTCAACAGTAACACATTGTTCTTTGAGAATGGAATCTAGCTATCAGAAGTCGCTTAGAAAAGACCAATATCGGGTATAATCATGCAATACGGAAGACCAGCGCTGCAAAAAGTGGCTTCACTTCAATATAAGGTGTTGTAAAGAAGCCAATAAATGGTCGTGTTCATCATGTCGTAAATCATATCCATCCATAGCCATATTGGCAATCTGGGTAATACGCACTATTGAGCTGGCTCAGCGTGGCGAGGTATTTGTAGGCAAGAGGGTCAACCTCGGAGGGTGTCGCGAATGCCATGTGGTTGGCGATAGATTGATAGTCATAAGAGGAAAACGTAGTCGCTGAGATATCCATATGAATGGGGTCATGCTCTTGGGCGAGGTCTTCTTCGACTTCGAGCCCATCGTCATCTTCGTCTTCATCTGCTTCTCCATCTTGGTCGGCATCTGGATTCCATGCTACCGGCTCAAACGATTCGGCAAGTTTAAGTGATGTTTGCCCAGATCCACCAAAGTTCCCAAAAAGCAATGATGTCGACTGCACCTGGGCTGGAGAATCATAGAGGCCCATGCCGACCAATTCTTCACGATTGTCTCGTGCCCTTGCACCACTCGCTGCCAGAGATAGATCGTCCAGGTGGAGGTCTGACGCGGTCGGGTAGTCTGGCGACGGTGGTGCAGTTACGACAGCAGTGCCCATTGTTGGCTGATTGGAAAAAGACGGAACATCAAACGTCGGAAAGGTATATTGGTTAAACTTGGACTGCTCGTCATCGTGCCAGGTTTGATCAAGGAAACCTTCACTGCCACATCCAAAGCCAGTGTTTCCAGTACAAAACTCGTCAAGCGGGGTCATGATTTCCTGAATTTGCGGCTCGTTCATAGCAGGGTGTGATATTGGGGTAATGAGTCCATTGACCTGGGTAGTTGTGAAATTCCATGACGATGGAGCAAACTCAGGCGAGCAGAATTCGGAAGGGATCTGGAGGGCGTCGAGAGAACCAGGATGCCAGCTGACAGGTCGTGTAAGAGAGGTGTCGAGGTTTGGTTGTTGCTGACTTCTGGAGCGAAAATGGTCGACGGCCGATCGGGTTCTTGACGAGAGCGTGGCAGAGGTTGTGGTTTTCCTCCGTCCTAAATTCCGAGGGCTGCTATTGCGACTGCTTGGTTTGACGACTTTGTTGGGTCGAGTAAAGTATGAGGAGACACTCATCGAGGCCGGGTTGTATGTTGTCTCCGGCATGGAGTAATTCCACGGTTGTGTGTGTTCCATGGCGGCGTTGGCGAGGAGATTCGGTGGTTGAACATTAGAGCATTGATCGGGAAATGGGAGTCATATCTAGTTCTAGCAGACACAATATGAAGAGAAACGGCCGGTGGACCAGCTAAGGGGTAACGAACACGAAATTGAGAATGGCATCTCAAATTGCGGCGAGACACGGTCGGGAATAACAGCACATACCATAGCGGTTGAAGTGGGCTAGGGATGAACCAGGTGCCTGGTGGACAGAAGACCCAGAACCGGGGTCACAACAGACTTCTCACAGCATGGCAGGAGAAAGGCAGAACACTGACTGACTTACCGGGGTGTGAAGATGATACGCACGGCTGGAAATGTGTTTTGGGCTGCTGCGTAAGTTTAGGATGAGGTGGAAGCGAGCAGGCGAGATGCGTCAGACCCGGGCGGCAACGGTAGCGTCGCAAGTGGGACATGGGGAAGAGTGATGCGAGGACGTGTGGCCGCTGGCGGTGACTAGCACCAGCACCAAAAGCGCGTGATTCCGCTCGAGCACGGTTGCATGGTCGAAGCTCGATCGATAGGTTCGAGAGTCGCGAGGTCAGAGCAAGGAGCAGGGAAAGCAAGCCGATCCGGGCGGTATGGAGATCCTCTATGGGTCAAGACTGACAGAAGCGCTACAGAAGGGGGCAGGACCAGGGTTGCTGGGCCACGTAGAGATGGAGAAAAGTCACAGATGGTCTGATTCGATGTCCTACAGCCCAGGGCCCGTGACGCCGCCAGAGCATAGTGCGAAGGATTGTCAAAAGCAGTCAAGAGAAGTCAAAAGAGGTCGCAGAAACTAGTTGTCTAGTTCGGGAACCGCCCACTCAGTCCAGTACAGAAGCCTAAAAAGTGGCAGCCGGGCCGGCTAGCAACTCGATTGTCTGGCACAGTCAAAAGTGGCTCAGACCATAGATAATAGTTGGTCCGTCGCCAGCAGGCGGAGAGAGGGAGAGGGGTTGAAGGGCGGAGCAAGTCCAAGACCGTCCTGATGGTGAGCCTGTGGTGGCATCGAAAAGAAAACGGGATGACGCGATGCCCGGCGTTTCCACTGCCCATCACAGAAAAGATAGGACAAGGATGGTAGGAAAGCTGCATGGGCCCTTGCTGGAAGGCCAACGAAAACATGGCGTATCACATCAATTACTTTGGCTAAACCGACAAGAGGCAATATCTTGGATAGAACACGAAGGCTGTGACAGGACCCGAGGCGCCGTCAGACAGGACACTGCTTAGCTGGAGTTGTTACCCTGTAGTCACAGACAGACAAAGAAACCCCTGTCAAGGAATGAATGACACAAGGAACTAGCTAGTCATTTCAGGGTGGTTTGAAGCGACGATCAACCTGCTCAAGTAGGCTGCTGCCTCAGCGCAATCGGCCTGAGATTACGGAGTACTGTGGTGCTGTCCGGAGTTGACTAGTTGTCGGTGAGGTGCAAGTAGTGGACAGAAGTGTCGACAAGGAAGTGATAGACCACAGTGGGTAATATGGCAGGGATCAAGACTCAAAAAAGCGAGCGTCTCGTGGTGATCAAAAACGACATTCGCAACGGATGGCTGCCATGTGGAGTGGGCCCGGGCGGCGATTTCCATCCATGTTGGTCAAGCAAAAAGGACCAGGATACTCCGTAGGGAGCATGGAGTCAGAGGATGGAAGATGAAAGCGAGACAAGGATGAGTGGAGTGGTGGCCGGAGCATGAACGGCGTCATGCCAGGGTGGTGATACTCGTTCTGTATTGTCTTCGTTATTGGAAGATTAATTGGCATCGGGATACTGTATGAAGCCAAGGGCGAAATGCTTGTGGATGAGGGACGGAGTTACTACTTGGTCTGGTACGAGTCAGCACTGCTAGGAACTGGAATGCCCATGGTGGTTGGGGTCCGAGGGAGATTTGGACAGGCTGCAGGCGAGGAGCGAGCGAATGAAGCCCGCGACGGTGGCTATGTGGCAGTGCTTACGAAGGGAGGAGAAGGGAGAAATAGCAGGGATGGACGAACTAGTTGAGTGGAGGGAAGCAACACGGAAACGGGAATCGAAGCAGAGATGCATCATGCGTCAACCAGATGCTCGTATTTCTGATTCTGATCCTGATCCTGATCCTGCGCTACACCAATTAATGGAGTATCTAAGGCAGCCGACTGCTTAGACCCACTCTTTCAGGCTGGTGGTAGAGCATCCCTGACCCCTGGTCCTGGGCCCTGTCGAGCATCCCTCGACTGGGTGCTCCAGTACTCGTACAGTAAGAGTACAGATATCCTTACTGGATGGTGGATCGCGTCGGATTCCGTGATGCATCTTTTCATGCATCGACGCTTCTTCGTCGGTGCTTTTCCTTACCAATCATTCAATTCCTTTTTGGGAGATTTGCCTTTGAGGCTTGCAGTTTGATGTTCGCCTCGATTTCGTTCACTTCTTACTCCGTGGCGGAGTAATACTAGCAGGACGAGTCGCTGGTCCACCAGCTCCTAAGTTGTACAGTAAGTATTGGTTGTTGCATACACAGTACTCCGTACCTTAAGGAGAACAGTAGTTTGACAATAAATGCCACTTGTTACAACGTCCTAGCCGTAGCCTCCGAGACTTACACACAGCACGCTGTTGGTGGTGATTGCTGCAACGCGCTTGTGCAGCCGTCACCAGTCCAGACTCAATGTGATCCTTGTTTTTGCCATCCAGGCGCCTGTCTCGCCTGACGCCTTCGTACTGTGTTGCAGGCTATAACGACAACCATCAGCAGCATCAACGACTTTTACGCAGGGACCTGCATGCCGACCAAGCCTGTAATTGAGCGTTCACATCAACCCTGGTTTCAGGTCATCCAACGTGCAGGAGCATGCACCCTTCACTGCCATGAATCGCAGCGCTCAGGTCGAATATCTATCCGAGCTGCATACCTGAAGCAGGGTTGGCCGTGCTACAGGCGCTGCATACCTGGCTGGAGAACATCGTCGAGGCTGCCTGATTTCGGTTCGACAGGTCCGAGTATCCATCACCCCTTCCACCGTCCAGGGAACGCCTTCGGACCCGTACCGTTAGAGTATGCCTTAAAACTTGACTAGCCCTGTCGCCGACCTCAGACCGCCTAAGTGACACCTCGTCCGGAGCAGATAATGTTAAAACGTAGCACGGATCCTGACCTTCACTTAGCGGCAGTCGATCACATGAACCCAGTGATCACGAGTGATCTGATCAGAGAGTGCAGTCTGGTGAGACCTTTCCGAGGCCTGGAATTCCCGCTCCTCTGTTGTACAAATCACAAATGGTGACGCGTAGATCCGATCGACACGGAAAAGGTCATTCATCTCTCTGCTCATACAATATCCTCGATAGGATATCGCTCGTATCGCTGGTCGGTTGAACATCCCAATAGCACGGAATACGAAACATCTCTGGAGCTTTGGACGGACCGCAACCGAAGTCAGCCTGTGGGAAATCGAATCTGACCCAGCCTTCTAAACGCCATCCCCAAGGGAGTCTTAGAGCACGACGCCAAGTGGCTGACAGGTGTAGGCCCAGATGTACGCCACACCAGGACGCTACGACATTTCACCCTATTGGCAAACAAGTGGCCTGCAAGACGGAACACAAGCGGGCGATTCGAATCCTTGATCCTCGTAACAACACTGGATCGTCCTTCTGTCAGTGCAGCCTCAATCCTGTCACGAAGCACGATTCGGCGGTAGTGGTGATCAGACTCAGCTTGTCACACTTGCAACCGGATTGAGTATTCAAGCAACATCATGATTTTTGCATTAGCCTTCTGAGAGTCGATTGGATATGCCTTGTCGCGGATAGACCAAAAAATCAAAGGATCAACGCAAACAGTAATGTCTGATCAGCGCTCGCACGCACATGGACCCGTGTTGCGTGAACCGATTTAAATGGATGACGGTCAGACCTTGTTTCTACCCTTGACGAATTTTACCTTAGCCCGAGGCGGCCCCCCTTGTACAGGTATCACCTGCAGGCATTATCACCACCGGTGTACAAGGAATCAAGGATGTAACGAGTTACCACAGGTAGGTGGGCGGTTTGGAACTGCCCTTACAAACGCCGGTTGTCATTACTGTACCTACCTTGTACTCCACCGGTAGAGGCGGCCGGCCTCTTGGACTCTCTGTAAGCCTTGCTTCAGCGCTAAATAACAGCGCCGCGGCTTGGACGTTATAATTATTTCAAGGCCAACCATGACCCATGGCCCCGCCAAAGTTGAGACTGAAATCTCGGCTCGTTATTGTGGTTGCCTATCGCCATCCTATCTTCATTACCGAGTCTGTTGGTTAAGGAGCCTGCCCTTGCCCACGCCAGCGGGCTAGAGTCTCAAACACCGGAAAGGAAGTCGAGGCCCGGGCATCAATCGATGATCCATACGAATATAGTGTCATTTCGCCCCACCCTCCACGTTCTTATATTGCCCTTTTAAGGAGAAGAAGGACAATTTTGAGAAAACCACAAGGCGGCTGGATCTGTGTCGCACGGCTCAGTACAGACTTATTCTCCATTGAGCCGCTGGCCACCCGAGTCTTTCAAATGTTTGTGATTGTCCACGGGTTGAAAATCCAGCTAGTCAAACCTTGGTCTTGAGACGTACTTTATAAGGGGTTGAATTGGACCAGGCAACCTAATCCCTCACTACCTTGTTGGGGCCTTCGAACCCCAGCTTTGGGCAGTGGCACGGAGTTTAACTACTCCATTAACGTTAGGTGCCCGGGTCCAGGGAACTAACCAGGATTGCACGCACGGCATCGTACGGATCGGACGCGGCCACGTCTCAAACCCCATCATCATTACGGGGCACCTTGATCCATTTTGATCAAAGCTTGAGACTTCGAGGTAGCAAAGGTGGATGATTTCGAATAATGATAATACGGAGTACGAGAAATATCACCCAGGTATCCGGTGCCTGTGAAACGCGTTGCCGTGGGATTGGTTAAACGAGTACAGGATACACTTTGTGCAGGCGTCCGTGTTTGACGCGTTGAGGGCATTTGGTCAAGTACTGAAGTTGGCGATGACGATGATGATGATGATGATGATGATGATGATGATGCATGTACGAGTACTCGCTTGTTAGTGAAGGCTTTTGCAACTTCTCTCACTTTTCACCTAGGGGAGTTTGGTCAAACTTGATGCAAGGGAGGTCTTCACCGCTCAGAAACACCAAAGCACCTGTCATTCTGTCCTTGTGTCTCTGTGTAGGAGACTTTGGCGGCGTTCAATAATTATGAGCCGGAAATCCCACTTCACTAAAAGCAATACAAGTGAGTGATCTCCGGAACAGCCTATGTCCATGTACAGTACTCCGTACATAGACTGTTTGACAAAATTGCAGGTCAGATGGCTATCCTGAGAGGCGAATGCCCACCTGTCACCCTCTCGCGTCGCCTATAGCCCCCGTTATGCACCCGTCTCCCAGGGATTGAATTAGTTAGCGCCCGACCAGACCCAGGACCCTTGCCCCAGCCAGGCGAACCTGAGTGAACGAGCTACTTGGAATTTGGCTTCCAGGGCTCGTGCATTTAATCACTAAGGCATGGATTTCCTTTTGACTTGCAGTAGCCCTGGGTTTTTTGGTTTCTACAAAGTCAAACTCCAGACTGGAGGGAGGCTTGCGAGATCATAGCTGATCATTGACTACGGGTACGAGTTGCCTCGAAATATTACTCCGTACCGGACTGCGACCTGCACCTCAAAGGCTCGCAAACCCGGCATTGTACGAGTGCAAACCTCTACGTGGCAAACCACTGTTGTCATCATCTTGTACCCATCTTCGGATACACCAGGCATGTCGTCCTGTGTACGCGTACCCAACCTCAGACAAGACATCAGACCTCTCACCCAGCAGGGGATTACACTCCGTCCCACCAAAGAGACAAGAAAACTGCCCCAGAAGGCAAGTCTAGTATCCGTATGTACAGGACCGTTAGTGACGTCTTCCACATCACGCAGGGTGCGAAGCATTTAGGATTTGCGCCCGTGCCAGTCAGTGGGTTTGTGGCAGACTTCACCGCGCCGAGGCTAGTGATAGCAACCCCCCTGAACCGGAGGATTTCGCTGAGCCAAACCTGAACCTGCCCTTGGCCTGGTGCAGTCGTGATCCAGCCGCCATGTCCACCGCTTCGTCTCGGGTCAACACCCAAGCCAAGGTCTAACCTGCCTGCTAACCCGGGCCTGCCTAGTCGCCACCTGACATGCGCTTTTGTGGCATTTTTTACGGAGTACGGGTAGTTTGGCTTGTAACCAATTTCCACTGACTTCTTCGTCTAGGTCAGGTCACGCTCGCCCGGAAAAGGAATGCCACCGCTCCTTTTTCTAACTCGTACTCGCAGCAGCCCCCCTTGACGGCTTTTTTTTGTTTCTTTTCTCTCGCTTGTCGATCCCGACCCTCTTGAAAATGGTAACATCGCTTAATAACTGTGCATGCATGCATGCATGCATGCATGCATGGCTAGGAGGGGGTGTGTCCATCCAGAGGCTGGGATCAACGTCTAACCAGTAGCACTCGTTACCCGTTTCGCTTCTGTGGATGTTGTTTTTCACGCCGATCGTCTTGCCTAGACTTTCTTCTCCTGCCTTGTTGTCAATCTCAAGCCTCGAAAGATTTTTTTTGTTACAGAATGTCGTGTCATAAGGAGATCATCGGGGGCGATTTTGGTCAAACCATGCATCGGCTCATGGGATAAACTTTCTCCAGCACCCCTTGCAGTGCTGTTACTCGCATGAGGGCTGGTCGGTGAGTGTCCACAGGGCCTGATGTTTTTTTTTCCTTCCGTTTTCTTTTCTCTCTCTCTCGGCGGGCCCCTCAACCTCGTACTCGTCGGTCGAATTCCGTACGAGCGCGACTCTTTCTTGACAGGTTTGCGAGCTACGGAGTCGAGGATTGATTGGCCTTGTTTGTACCTTGTCGAGTCGGCCCTCTCGCGCGAGCATCACCATCAATTATCACAGGACTTCGTTATTGCATGGTGTCAGACGTTGACGCCTCTCTCGAAAACCAAAACTTGGCATCCAACCCAGACGAAGGACGGGGACGGCAAACGGCTTTCGTTCTATTACGAAGCGGACGATTCGAGCCCGGCAATGTTTTCGCACTTTGGTCCTTTTGACCGATCTTGACTCAAATGGCTCGAAGTGATGACTGAAACAATATACCTCCGTCCATGCCTACGTTCCTTGTCCTGAACTCCGAGGAGATTCGAAGTACCACACAGCGCGTCATCTCAATGTCACTCGACAGAGTAAACACCACAATTGCTTTGAAGAAACTTCAGGTACGTAACATGATCACAACGAATCGATCTTGAAAAGTTTACGTACGTTGTGTGTGTCCCTCGTATCGACGCTCCAACAATTTTTGGTTAAAGATCTACCCCAAAGTCCAGACTTTCGAGAGAGGTATTTGGCTTCGGATAAAGTAAGTCTCTAGCCTTCTTTGACCAATGAATCCCAACGTCATTGCTTGATTCACACAGACGTACCATATACTTCTGACAAACTTGTCAACAATTAGTTTGGCAACAAAACCTTACTGAACGTACCATGCATGCATTCCCACCGCCGTTGGCCACCTAAGAACCGTGATATGCCCATGAGGACTCGTATTCGAACCCAAAAAGATATCGACACACACACACACAAAAGAAGAAGGTTCATGTTGAAAGCACGACCGTGCGTGAGTGACACGAAAACCAAGGTCAAACGACATCTCTTGACAACACGACAACACTCGACGACAAAGACTCACGACACTGACAGACACCGAACTTGATCTGAACTCGTCAGGAACGTTAGGTCTCTGTCTATGTAAACCTACTAGCCATGTCATCCTTATCGACCATAGGAGTGTCTGTGTGTCGTGTGTTTATGCCGTCGCTTGGGAAAACCTGTTACGGATGCCTCTTATAGCCCGAGACAAAAGGAAGAATCGACTGTGGTGGACGAGGAGGAGGACAAGGGGACGGGGAGAAGTCTTGACACGGTCAGCAGCAGCACAGGTATACATACTGTACTTTGCTGTGTGTAATAACATTACGTCCGCGAGAAAGATATCGATTCTTGATCGGCCACATGTTACCTACCCGTCTCTGCGATCCGTTATTGCAATAGTTTTGCCTTGATACTGGCTGAATACAGGAAACAGATGTCTAGAGAGTGTTTTGCTTGAGGGTGAGAACCTGACGCGTATCGTAAGTTGAGTGTGTGATCTGATCAAATTGTCTACCTTGGATATTTGGTTTGATATGCTGTACGGTACAACATGGTGAGACTTTCCCTCCGTACATCTTCATCTCAACTTGACCGTTCTCGACGACATGTAAATCTTCCATGGCGAGCAGTTGTGCAGGCACATGTGGACTTTTCAGACACATGGTACAGAATACCACGGACCATTTCCTTGTCTTATAAACATATCCATGTTCTCGCCTATCTACTTGTGTACACCCACGAACATCGAGTCATGGTCTGCATTGATCTTTACACCAATCTTTGTAAAAATTCATCTACATTGTTTTAATTCTTTCTTGTTTATTTGGGGTTGTTTCTTTTTTTTTGATTCTGCGCATCTCTCAACCCGCATTCTTCATCTCCCTCAACTTGTCCATCACGGCGGCCGGGTCGGTCTGACCGGTGACCTTTTTCATCTCGTCGGTGTGGACACGCATGAAGGCATTGTGGGCCTTTTCCTGCCCGATTGTGAATTTCCCCTGGGTCTGTTGATTCTCGTCGGCGAACCTCGCGAGCTCGTCCAGGGCCCGGTTGTCGGGCAACACCTTTTTCAAAAACTTGACGTTGGATTTGGTGTACTCGTGGCCCGGGTAGACCCTGGTGTCGTCGGGCAGGGCGGCCAGGACCTCGTTGAGGGCCCGGTTCATCTGGGCCCCGGAACCCTCGAAGAACTTGCCGCAGCCGCCGATGAAGAGCGTGTCCCCGGTGAAGACGACCCGCTCGTCCGTGGCCTCGTCCTCCATGAACCAACAGATGCTGTCCTGGGTGTGGCAGGGGGTGTGGAGGGCCGTGACCCGGATGTTCTTGCCGATGGAAAAGGTCGAGTTGTGCGCCGGGGTTTCGGTCACCCCCTCGCAGTCCCTGCCGCCGATGACGGGCAGGGAGCGCGACGCAAGCGAAGAGAGGACTTTGGTGTTGCCACCCGCGTGGTCCCAGTGGTGGTGGGTGTTCATTATCGCCGTCAGGTTGAGGGACTTGGACTTCTCGGCCAGGACCGGGGTGACTCTGTTTCAGGGGAAAAGACGCAAAATTGTATCGTCAGTATTTTGTCCCGTGTGTCCCCGTATCTCTGGATACGCATATATGTTCTGGCTCAACGACACACCACAAAAGACAGGCTGTGCCTGCGGATGTACTTTTGCGCTGCTCAGGGAAATCGGGACTCGTAAAAGAAGGGAGACGTACTCGGGGGGATTTGCTGGATCGATGATAACGGCGTCTTTTGATTCATCATCGCTGACCAAGTAGGCGTAGTTGTTCGACGAACCGACCCCTGCAGGAAGAAACAAGGACGTATTAGTTTGTGACATAGAAGAATACACCAAGAGTTTCATATATAGAGTGTCGAATATGGTTGTCCCCAGTCGAGAGCGACAAGACGACAACACCACCAACCACCACCACCCTTCATGAACCAAAACAAGGGTCAAGGAGGGTGAGGGTGATCACATACACATGGGAATGCTTTGGATATGCATCTTTCGTAACGGCTGCTGCAGTTGCTGTGAGAGTCCAGCAGGGACGTGGAAGTGCGGGGTATTCGCGAGACGGATGCAAGAAACAAAAGCTGCGCTGGTCGATAGTAATCGTACGGGTCGGGCGAGGAACCTCGAAGTAATAATCATCAAGAGGTTTGTTCTTGTGTTTGGTCCGATCCAGAAGAAAAAAAAGGGAAGGCCGATGGAAAGGTTGAGGGTCGCTTGAATCGAAGAAACAAGTAGAAAACGTTTGAATTGTAAGCGACACAACATCTGCCGTGCGGAGATGAGAGCAACCGTTTATTATAATACAGAAATAAATAAACTGACGTCAATTTCGCTTGTGGATAGATGGACATATTAAGTCCGACAAAGTCGTAATATGCGATCCGGGATCCAGCACGCACAAAGTATTCGTATTAGGACAACAGTAATTCATAATCTGGTGCATATACGAAGCATTATGGTTTTGAAAAGGGTGTAAAAAGACATTCTTGTTCTCGTGAAATAGCGCAAGCAAATTCATGCTCGTCGCTTCACCGGAATAATACTGACTGGATACTCATTCTATCGTTATTAGGAGTTCTTGTATAGTTACTCATAAGTCATGACCCCCCACTGCTCCATAATCAATCCTTCTCCTGCTCATTCCCAAATGTCCGCTCTCGCCTAGTAACCTTTGACTCTCCGCCATATCGACGACTCGATCCTTTCCAGCCATACTCGGGATCCATCCGCGCATCCAGCCGTTGACTCTTTCCCAGTGGCTGTACCCGTAACGGTCTCTGACTTTGACCAGTCGTTCCTCTTCTTCTCCATACATCCAAAATTGGACACCCATCATGGCGTCCATGCTTAGACAACCTGCTGCGCCTAGGAAGAAAGGAGCTGCTCTAGCCACCCACGCCCATCTTTGAGAGCCTTCAGCGTCCACCCATCCATGATGGCCATGAGCTCCATAGTCACTCCATGCGTTTGGATTGGTGAGAAGAGAAGTCGAGTAGAAGAAGTTCCCACAGAACGCCGCAAAGAACAACAACGGTGAGAGACCTGCAGTGGATTGGAGTTTCCAGTTCTTGTACAGCTGAGGTAGCCTTGACCCCAAGTATAGTACTGTGGAGCACCATGACAGAATTGTACCGGCCACTTCGAGAGGCGTTTCAATACGAAAGAGATGAAGCCCATGTTGTCGATGAATTTCTGGAAACGGTATCGGAGCAGCCGCTGCATTGGACGCAAGAGAAGACAAGGTTGCTGCATATAAGAATGTCCGAGGGGATGGTGTAGGCATCCAGCTACCAGCTGCCTTGTCGCTATACACCTCTGCTCGAGGAGTTCCGTTCTTCTCCCCGTAGTGTACCCTCGAGAAGTGTGGTCCTTCGATCTGAGTTGGCTGGGCGGACTTTTGAACATCTTCCTCAGATTCCTGCGCGGATTCTTCTTGGATGGTGAAGCTGGTGTTTATGGGGGAGAGCCCATTGATGATATCGCTATCTGCATCATCGAATTCACTATTCGCATCAGAATGCAAGCTTTCCGCATACACCCACTTCGCAGCATAGGTGTACCAGAAATACTGCAAAACGAGGCAAACATCCACGAAAACGTAGTAGCTTGCGATAATGACCTGCCACGCAGCCTGCCTCGTGAAGAGAGCGCCCAGTAGATTCGTCAAATCCCCCAACAACCATTCCGCAAGGAAAAATATTGATAACCCGGCCGTTGACTTTATGTGATAATTCTTGAATATTTGTGGCATCTGTGCAAACAGCCATGATATGATTGATAACGTCCCCAGGAGACTGGACAGAGCAGCCAGAGGTGTTGGTATGCATATCCCAAAGTAGGAGGAGACGTCGAGGAGGAAGGGGGTAGTAGGGGTGCAGTGGTCTGGTAGGGTCCCCTTGAACAGGAATGCCACATGTGAAGCCATCTCTTGACGTGTGAAGCCTATCCTTCTATGTGCAACAACTATGTCGTGCTCGAGGCTCTTATCATCTCTTAAGAACCCGGGTCGCTCAAACGCGTCTGATAGAGTCTGGCCTCGTAAAGATTCGTCTGCTCTCGTGGTCTCGATGGCAGGGGCGATGCCAGAACCTGAAACGAATACCGCTTACAAAGAGGGAGGCCGCGCACTTCGGTATACTGCCGGAGGTCTTTCGTCGTGTACAAGTCCAAATACCGAGTGCGCAGGCGAGATATGCGGTCCAGACACCTGGAAATGCAATAACAAAGGTGCTTGTCTGTAGGTCTAAACGAGTAAGAATATGAAGTACGAGAGACAGTACGAGAGAACGAAGACAACAGTCATGCTGAGAAGTGACGGACGAAGTGGGATGTCGGCCAGGCGTCGTGCACAGTGTGTCGACTAGTGAGTGGCACCTTGATAAGGCAGGGCAGTCATACCCCCCCAAATTCCGGGGCGAGAATGAGAAGCTCCGAGATCATCTTTCCGGCTCATTCGCCGATTGACCAAGGGACGAGCCGAGGGGTAGATGCATTTCGTGACCAGGTGACAGTGCAGTATGACACCAGAATTGGTCAGATGGAGCACTATTGTTTATTGAGTGTGAAGAGCCATCTGCAGGATGGTTGAAGATGGTGGACGGCGATACGAGGCGCGGATTTGCACGCGACCGACAACACTGATAAGCAGCAGAAGGAGACCAATCAGTGCCTAGTAATTGCTCACTTAGCGTGGGCAGCAGACCATCGACCCTTGCAAGAATGACCTGCAGCTGGACGTCCTTCTCACACTGTCTGTCCGTCTGTCTGTATGTATATACAACAATGCGACGCAAATATTTTCCGTCTCTGCACAAGAGAGAAACCACAGTGCACGATCCTCCATGGACACCTCGAGCTGAAGAGACTCAGCTCCGCTGTGCCCCTCGATCCTATCTACGACGTCGCTTGAAATGACTGGCTCGAATCTCCAACGATCGTCGAATTATCGACCATGGTATTACATGATAGATTCGATTAGGATTGTGGATCTAAATGTCAACAACAATCGCAAGTTATAAATGCCGAGGGTCACCAGCGGCAGATTGGATATGATATTTGTACAGAGAAGATGTGAATGAAACACTCGAATACACAGGCTTCCTCCAACACTACGCCATGTCTTCGGCAGTAACAAGGGTATATTCATTCCTGTAGGGTGGTCTGCTCTGATTAGCCCAAGAACCATTGTCGTTGGTCGAATTCGCCCGACACCTACTTGGCGATGTTTCTGGCGGCCACAATCCCAGCAGATCCGACTGCATACATGCCGAGGAGTGCCCTCCAGTCACCCTTTTGTCCAACAGCCAAGGCTACCAGATCATAGACAAGGCATCCGCCAAAGATCCAGTCACTGGCAGCACTGGCGAGGCCGAACCCAAGACCAGTAAGTACTTTGATGGGCAAGGTGGCAGGTTGATCCTTGAAGAATGCTGCAGAGCCATTGTGCAAGAAATCGAGGACACCAATGCCAGTAAAGGTCTTGGAGACAATATGTGTCAGTATCGAAGAAGTTGACGCCGTGTTCATCGGTTGGAGCTTAGTCAACATGTACCACAGTTGAGCAAAGGTGTTGATCGTGACAAAACCATGCGAAATATCGAGACGTCCCGAGTTCCACGCCACCATCCATGCTTGTCCTTGTTATTTTTCAGCATCTCAATGGGAACCGAGCTTCTCTTACCTGCAATGCATAAATTTCCAAGAGAATAGTAGGGCACAAAGTCTACAATCTGGTCGAGCTCTGCCCTCTCTGTAGGTTTAGAAGGGTCGAGTTTCCAGAGCCGATACAACCAGCCCAGTTGAAACAGCTGCTGCGGGAAGAAGAAGCCTGCGATGAAGAATGGCTGAGGACTGAAGAATGAGATGTTCTGGTCATGAATGTCTTTCATATTGGGCGAGGAAAGCATCCCATAGTTTTGACATGCAAAGTCGATCAAAAATGACACGGGTGCTATCCATTTTGCTGTACTGTAAGAGATGCCCATTGTGAGTGTCTATGTTGCCCGGTCCTCCGTACGATTACTCTGGCAAAGAAGAAAATGACTGTCCAGCAGTTGTGTCTTTAATTCGAACAGGTAAATCCTGAACTCCCTGTGACCAAGAGTCATGTCGTCACTATCTGTGCTGAGTCGATCCCCTCAGCCTCGTCGGGAAGATTAACTAGAGTCTACCACCATCGAACTCGGAGACATGTCCTTCTGTGCCTCCTCTGAGGAGAGTTTCATATGAGCCTCGCGATGGGAGTCTGGGGATCAAAGGGATCGTCTGAAACGTTATGAGCACCTCACATCTCTCGTGCTAAACCCAACATGCTTCCTCCGTATCTACTTCGTATCACTGCCTGGCTTTGGGTACCATGATGTACTCCGTATTGTCCGTTCCACTCGCTCTCACTTCCCCCCTTTTCGGCACAGCTTCGCGTCTGCCATCACTGATCACATCATCCCCTCGGTACTTGTTCTGCTCCATAATTTCCCAGAGACTCTGATGTAAAGAGGGCAACATGGAAAAGATTCCTCAACCATTGAACTGACGTAGAACCAATCATGGCCGCATCATGATGCAACGAGCCCTTCGCGTGGTTGTGTTCCGGGCCTCTCGGAGCATCCATCCGAACCAGAAGCGGGGCTCACTTCATCAACTTCTCAAACTGCCCTCATATCAGTTTCTGTTTCTGGTCATGTGAAAAGAAAAACATGACGAAATTTGCGTCACGGGAAATTGAAATATGAGAAATGAAAACGAATGCTTGCAATTGCTGAGACTGTCATTGGCAGCAGCAACAGGTAAGTGCGAGACATGCGTCTGGCTACTCCGCCGTCCATCTGTTTATCTACTTGACGAACGCTTTCTGTGCCCCTGCTTCGTATCCATACTTTCTCTGCAATGGCTTCGTCTGTGACAGATCGTGTAAAGAACCTTGGAGAATCAATTTCAGACTCGGCGAAGAACATGTTCGAAAACGAAAAGATTGCCGATCTCAAGAAGGATGTCAAGGATTCTCATAGCAAGCAGCATACCACCACCGATTATGGTATCAAGGTAGCAGACTTGGACCATTGGTTGAAGGTCGTCGACGAGGAGAACGACAAAGTCGGTCCATCTCTACTTGAAGACCAAATTGCCAGAGAGAGGGTTAGTTGTGGCCCTTCACCCAGTGAAGGACTAGAGGCTAATTGCTTTTCAGATTCACCGTTTCGACCATGAGCGAATTCCTGAGCGTGTGGTTCATGCGCGTGGCGCTGGTGCACACGGCCAATTCAAGCTATACGAAAGTCTTGAAGATGTGACCACTGCCGGAATATTGACAGACACTTCCCGTACTACTCCTACCTTCGTACGTTTTTCCACTGTCCAAGGTAGCAGAGGCAGCGCGGACACCGTTCGAGATGTGCGAGGTTTCGCCACCAAATTTTACACCAAAGAGGGCAACTGGGACATCGTTGGAAACGATATTCCGGTTTTCTTCATCCAAGAATCAATCAAATTCCCCGATCTTGTCCATGCGGTCAAGCCAGAGCCAGACAATGAAGTGCCTCAAGGTCAGAGTGCCCATAACAGTTTCTGGGACTTTGCCTATCTCCACAAAGAAGCTACTCACATGTTCTTCTGGGCCATGTCTGATCGAGGTATCCCACGCTCATACCGAATGATGCAGGGATTCGGTGTCAACACTTTCTCCCTCATCAATGCCAAGGGTGAGAGAACTTTCTGCAAGTTCATCTGGACTCCAGAACTCGGAGTTCATTCCTTCGTTTGGGATGAAGCTCTCAAGTTAGCCGGTCAGGATCCCGACTTCCATCGTAAAGATCTATACGAGGCCATCGACAATGGAGCCTACCCGAAGTGGAAGTTTGGTGTGCAGCTGATCTCAGAGAAAGACGAACATAACTTCGACTTTGACATTCTCGACTCGACAAAGGTCTGGCCTGAGGAGCAGGTCCCCATTCGTTACGTCGGTGAGTTGGAGCTCAACCGCAACGTCGACGAATACTTCCCCGAAACCGAGCAAGTTGCTTTCTGTACAAGCCACATCGTCCCGGGTATTGATTTTACCAACGATCCTCTGTTGCAAGGCAGAAACTTCTCATATTTTGATACCCAATTGTCGCGTCTCGGCATCAACTGGCAGGAGCTGCCTATCAACAGGCCTGTCTGCCCAGTACTCAACTTTAACCGCGACGGGCAGGGACGTCACACCATCACCAAGGGAAAAGCTAACTACTGGCCCAACCGATTTGATGCAAATCCCCCCACTGGTCATGACGGCGGTGGCTTCATGTCGTACCCGACCAAAGAGACCGGTATGGATCAGCGCAAACTGGCGCCCAAGTGGAAGAACTACTTGTCACAGGCACAGCTCTTTTACAACTCCATGTCTGAAATTGAAAAGAAGCACATCGCGAGTGCCCTCTCCTTCGAACTCGATCATTGTGATGATCCAATTGTTTATGAGCGGTTGGTCTCTCGTCTCACCGAGATCGACCTTTCTCTTGCGGCGGCAGTTGCTGAGAAGGTCGGCGCACCTACCCCTAGCAAACAGGCGGTGGAGAACCCAGGTTTCAAGTCCAAGGGTCTAAGCCAGTTTGACTACTTGCCCGAAAAGCCAACGATCAAGTCTCGCCGCATCGCCATTCTGATCGCGGATGGGTATGATGCCGCAGCATACGGTGCGATGAAGGCCGCGGTCCTGTCTCAGTCGGCTCTGCCATTCACCATCTCCAACAAACGTCAAGACGTCACGGCAGCCGATGGTTCAACCACCGCCAAACCTGACCATTTCCTCAACGGCCAGCGTTCGACCATGTTCGATGCCATTTTCGTGCCTGGTGGCGAGCAGTCCATCAAGACACTCATGAGTAACGGCCTCGCTCGATACTACGTCCGCGAGGCTTTCGCTCATCTCAAGCCTATCGGCGCCACCGGCGAAGGCGTCAAGCTTGTCCAAGCTGCCCTCAACGAGGTCGATGGCGTTCAGCTGGCAAGCCAAGGGACCTCGGGCGTGATGGACTGGTACGGTGTCGTCACTGCCCAGAAGCCAGACGACGAATCCAGCGTCAAGAGTGGTATCGAGATGGTGAAGGAAGCAAAGGACTTTACTGGAAAGTTCTTTTACAATATTTCCATGCACAGAAATTGGCAGAGAGAACTCGACGGTCTTGCTGATATGGTGTCTGCTTAAGGATTGAGATTGAGAAACGAAGCAAATCAGACTTAGTTCAACTCCTGATTGAAAGTAATTGATCAGAGCAAACGGTCAACAATAGTATTGAATCCATTTACAACTCGTACGCTAGTTTGTGGAAAATTTGAGCCCTACTGTTCCCAGAGTTTCCAGTAAACTAGTGTTAGTATTAGTCGTTGGTATATCAACCACCGTTGCCAACAGTCATGATCATAATGGTTCGGGTTATGGACATCAATAGGGAGTTTCCTCATGTTGTATCTGTGTGGTTTATTTATATTCAACGTATAAAAAGTCCAGGTGTTAGGAAGCCGGCAGAGTTGAACTGCTTATAATACATGCCCTCGTTTTTCCTTTTGTCGTTTTGGAAAAATGGTAGATCCAATTTCTCAAAAGGAAACACCTGACCCATCTTTTTATACCGACCCTCGCTGTTTGACATTATTGTCGTATGTCATTTTTGACCCGTTGAGAACGCTCATGAACCTCCAAACGAAAAGAGCAAACTATAAAGGAAAATGTAGCACCATAGCAATAAAAGGGCAAGACACATTGACGACTCGTCAGATCCGTCCAGTGTTCAATGTTCACTGTCCAAGACGTCAAAGGACTGCACGATTCACTCATGATTCGGAAATCTCAAGGCTCAGGAACCTCGAGTGTCCCTTGCATGTTCAAAACTGCACTTCCACCTAGCAAGACTTCACCGATGCCGACGCCGGTGCTGTCGGCCTCGGAACGAGTAGATGTGGTGGTGGATACCTCGACTGATATCTCACTCCTCTGGCCCATTTCCACCCCCTGGGTGAAGCGATACTTGTACCGACCCGGCGTGCCGGTTTGGAGAGAGAGGTAGCTCGAGAGGGCGCTGGCCGCGCTGCCAGTGGCAGGGTCCTCTCGAGACCCGAACATTCGGGTTCGAAGGTGACGCGTCTTGGAGTCAGAACCAGAACCGGAAGAAGGACCGAGGTCGACGTAGAACTTGGAACGTGGAAAGGTGTCAGGTTAGTAATGTCGTTTTCCCCCAATGTTTGACCCCGTACGTCGAGGGAAACGGGGGGGTGTTGGAATCGATGTTTGGAGAGACGTGAGATCTGATGATTTACGTGACGAGAAAGGACAAACTCACATAAGTACACACGATGCCGGTCCTCCAGTCCTCATCCAGGGAGTTTTGAGACGTGTACGTGTTCTCCGTCCCTACGAGATTGCGACTCTGGTTCTCCAGGGCGTCCAGGTCCGGGAGCTGGGCGAGAATGAAAGTCATACCCTTGACGATGCTCACGACGGGGTACGCGGCGTAAGACTGCCCGGCGAACGGGGAAGAGTGGACGTGGACGTTGTGCGCCACGGCGATCCGCGTACCCGAGACGCTCTCGTCGAGAGTGATTCCGAACCGACCTGCCTTGGCCTGAAGCGCTTTGACGTTGCCTTTGAGGGGGTCATCGTCGCGCAAAATGCGGAGCACGTAGTTGGCGGTGCCGACCGTAGGGTGGCCGGCGAAAGGGACCTCGGCGTGGGAGGTGAAGATGTCGATGCGGGCGGATGAGTCCGATTTGTCCGAGTCGGTTTGTTCGTGCAAAAAGACCGATTCGGACAGGTTGAATTCTCGAGCGATGCGCTGTTTCTGGGACTGAGTGAGTGTGGTGGACGACGGGACTTTGATGATGGCCAGAGGGTTACCCGTGTACCGAGTGGTGGTGAAGACGTCGAGAGTGACAAAGGAGAGTGTCGTCGGCATGGTTGATTTTTTGGTCACTCCAAGGTACCTATATAAGTAAGAAGGCAGATGTGTTTTGAATATATCAATGGGCAAAAGAAAATGAATGGGCGAGATCTGGTGGTAGTTGGATATAAACCCCGTCGCTTTGCTTGTGAGTCATGGCATGACCGGCCGAATGCTAGGTAAGCCAATTACGGAGCCATGAGAGTAGTACAGTCGCATCCTTAATATCGCATAAAAGAGAAGTATTTCTTGAGCATTGTTGTCTCTACTACAAAAGTTTTGGACATGCATTTGTTCATCGAGGTTTGAATGGTGGTTGTATTTGAAGTAGACAAGTCCAGTAATCAAGCAATCCGCAACGTCAAACCACCACGCAACTCGACCGACTCATGACTTGGAGAACAACGAGAGTACACAGCGTCAACACTCGAGAAGAATACCGGATCAAAATGCAATAGACAGTTTCTGGAGCAAGGCTCTAATCGTTGGAGCTGTTTTAATATTACCAAATGTTCAATATATCTGACCTGCCCTTGGACATTTCACAAAGGAACGTATCAATGAGATAATGCCCTGATACTTCTCTGATCACAGTGACACAAGTCTGCCACAATTCACACATTTCCAAGTGGAATGGCCTTGGGATAGTCCACCCAGTCAAAAGTCCCTTGAAAGTGTGTCCAACGAATTTCACTGGGATGAGAAGCGCCACGTTGAGGTGCGTCAGCTCCATCGATGAGAGTACCACTCAAGAATGTGTGTGGGAAGCCTGGATCAAAATCGTAAGCCTTCTCGATCTGATCAATTTCATCTGCCGTGAGAGTCGTGGACAGGCTGCTGATGTTGTCTTTGATATGTTCCAGCTTCCTGCCCCCGACGATGGGATACACATATGGTGCCTTTTGCAGAATGTACGCCAGAGCCACATTGCCAAGTGTGACCTTCTTCGAGTTGGCAATCTTTTCGAGAACTCCAGCAACAGCCTTGTCCCGCGAAGAAATAGTGGCTTGGTTGCGTCCCGGGTTGTTCTTTTCACGCTCCTTGTATGTAGCCTCGGTCTGAAATCTTCCAGAGTTGAGAACACCATAGGGGCACATACCCATTCCTTCCTCGCGGCACATCGGGATGATGTCGCGCTCGAAATCCCGCATTGCTGCGTTCCAAGCACCTTGATAGACGACAAATTGACGCAAGCCATGGTCTCGGGCGTATTGATTGGCTTTGGTGACGAGCCAGGCTGGACTGTCGGAGATTCCGAGATAGAGTACTTTGCCGGACGCCACAAGGTCATTGAGACCTTGCATGACCTCGGGGATGGATGCCGTGAAATTCCACCAATGAACGTAGAGGATGTCGATGTAACTGGTCTGCAGGCTTTTGAGAGAGTCTTCTACTGTGAGCCGGAGGGATTTCATCCCATTGCCGCCATAGTTGGGACGGACTTTGATGCTCTGGTCTGCAGGTCGATGGACGCCAGTATATTTGGTGGCGAGGACTATTTGGTCACGGTTGCCGCGAGCCGCCATCCATTCACCCAACCACTCCTCTGTTTGTCCGGCGTGATACGAGTTCGCAGTATCGATAAAATTGCCGCCCTCGCCAAAATAATGGTCGAGAATTTCAAAGGTGGTCTCCTTGGAACACTCACCCATCATTGCCTTGTAGTTCGTTCCGAAGTTCATACTGCCAAGGCAGATTGGGGATACGAATACTGCGGCAGAGGGTGACAACAGACGGTAGCGTGAAAGGAGCGGTTTGGTTTCTGTGGTAGCCATGGTGACTTGCTTGGACGTTTAACACAGCGTGTAAAGGCGATATGAGGTCGAAACTTCAAGAAAGATCTTGGGTTGGTTGTATCGTTTTGCTGGTCTCTGAAAGGACTTCCATTTTATAGGACTTGCAACTCACGGATATAGCATCAATCTCCATGATGACGGCCCCTTGGATTGCGGCCACTCCATGCTTTGAAGATGAAGTCCAGCCTGACTCTGGCTTCACGGACGAGAGTGGAGCTCTTCGGCCGAGGTGGCGTTTTTAGCACGGCCGACATTGGGGGTCGATACCCGCTCGTTACCATAAGGGACTTAGCCTTGTATCCAATCGTTGAAGGCCTTCGGAAAAAGGCCACCCTTCTCAGTTATTAGATGTCTTGCGAAGGAGGCGATAACTCGATGCGGAGGCCTTAATTCTGCGAAAACATCTTTGGCTGCCTCAAGTTTGTGCATCAGCCGATGGGTCAACGTTGATCATACCGAAGTCGCGCATTGACCCAGACTGAAAGAAGTCCGATTGACCAACAGTGGATGGTTGCGATGTACGGCTAGTTGGTCTGTTCGTCATAGTCCTGGTCAACGGAAAAGCCAGGCCTGCCTTGCCTTGGTCGTTCTTGCTCCATATTTCTATACCCTTCGAAGATACGATTCATGTAGCGCTCAGCTCCTTCTAAGTCAGTCGCTGAGCCCGGACAAAGACATAATTTACAAGGCTATTATCTTCACTCACGTCATTGATCTTACTTTAGGCTTGGAATTGAAGCCGACTACCGCCGACTTTCTCAGCCTCCACCTTTTGAAGATGGCCCAGGTCAATCAGCAAGATTTCATCTCTACCTTCCCAAACCGGCGAAGACCAATCACCGTCTGCTTAGAATGCTACCGGAGAAAATTGAAATGCAACCGAGTGAAGCCTTGCATCCAGTGTTGTACTCGAAAGGCCCCAGAAACGTGTTACTTCGCCGACGATGTGAGCTCGTCGCAATCCACTCCAACACCTCAGACACGAGTTGACCGCCTGGAAGCATACTCGGATATTGATACTGCCAGTCAGATACCGATAGCACAGGGATTAGTCGAGCGAGCTGGCTATTCTGCGACTTCGGCCAGCAGCACTTATCTTCGATTGAATGATGAAAGTGTTCAGCGACATCATCAGTCTATAACAAGGCTTACGCCGATGGATTTGCAAGGCTTTCACGACGAGTATCGACACTTGGTATCGAAGTTGCCTCAACCTACCATAGTTCATGCGCTCATCGACTGCTTCTTGACGGAAATCTTCTGGGCTTCCGTGCCAATTGACGAATACCGTCTGAGGACGTTATACAACGATTGGTTAAATGTCCCACTGGAAGAACATCTGAAGGACAAATCGGACCATTCGCGAAGCGAACTTCTCTACTTACCCGCCTTGTTATTCCAGGTCCTGGCCAATGTTATGCTCCATTTGACACCTCAGCATGGTCCTGCCAGAAATTTGGGCCTCAAAGATAATTATGACTGCGCTCGTTTGTCGAAAACATTCTCCCTCTTCGGTAATAGGTTGATGTTTATCCTCGGAAGACAACGCCCAACTTTGTGCTCAGTAGAGCACGACCTCGTGGCGTGTTCCTGGTTGAAAGACTCAGGTCGAGGTAAGGAAGCCTGGCATAGCCTAGCCAATGCTGTCAGGTAAGGCTTTTGATAATCTTGACGGCAACAGTGTGCCGGGAACAAATATTCTTACTCATGTATTCTGGTAGGCAAGCTCAAGAACTAGGACTCCATCGACTTCCTCAGGATATTGTACCATCAGAGCACGATCGGGATATGGGTCTAAGGAGCTCATACGATTTGGAGCAAAGTAAAAAGGCCTTTAACACCCTCTTTACATATGACAGGTATGTACACTTATTGACGCCAGTACTCTGCTAAATCATGCTCAGTATTGGGTCTTTCTTACTCGGTCGCCCAAGGTTGATGCATAGAGAAGACATTTCGACTCCGGCACCTACAGCATGGAAGCGCACTCAAGATATCGCCGGGTCAATGCCGTCTCCAGATAATGGCTTTCAAGATGTAGTAGGTATGCTTTTCTTGAATCTGGCACATCAAATTCACGATATACGATCTTTCTCGGCAAATGGGATATTTGCTTCGAACTACCTCAAAGTAGCAGAGGTCCATGGACAACTATCGTCACTGCGAGAAATGATATTGCTCTCACTACAAGAACATGGTCAGAGAACAGCCACTACTCCACAAATGCTACGACGAAGTCACCTACGCCTGACCTTGTTGAATACAGTCGATGCTGTCATCATTGCCCTGCATCGTCCTTTTATCGGAAGCCACTCTACCAGCCACTCAGCGGCTTTAACAGCTGCTCTCGACGGCTTGGACCTTCAACACTCCATCTTTGATCTTATTCCTCACCCGCAAGTAAAGCAATGGGCGACTACACTCTCCATCATCGAAACATCTGTATTCCTTTGCGGCATCATGATAGATCTCCCTCCACAAGATCCTGCCGAGGGCCGTCGCATCCGACAGGCAATACTCCTGGCGATCGGGAGGCTCTCTGCTACAAAAGACCTCAGCCCATTGGCAGAAGCAGGGGAGCAGGTCCTACGTCAATTTTACCAGAAGATCCAGTCGGCTCGCCAACCGATGCTGGACCATGGCGAGTCGCATCAACTGAGCGCTGTGCCCGAGTTTTTGTTCCAACAAAGTGGTCAACTGTCAGATATTCCGATACCACCGCCGCAGCAAGCTCCGGAAGAGATGTATCAGACATTATTCGGTGACCAACAAACTTTCCTGAATTCCTTCGGCCTCTTTCAGAATGAGAGCTCTCCGTTCGAATATAGTGCATACAGCATTCCTGAGGAGATTTTAAATACGGCGGACTTCCACTGGCCGGAAACTTGATTAACTACGTTCGGGATCAACGGCACGAGATGTGTAGATTGACCATTAGTACCTGAGAGAAGGAATCTGGGCTTTTGATACGGACCGAGGTTTGGCAGCAGGCTGCTTTAGTAGAGCTTCGACTTGGATACGGGACAATTGCCCAATAGGTAGCCGCGCAATTGAAGCTCACGCAATAGCGGCACCACAGTGCTCCCCAATCAAGGATAAGCCGCATAGCTAGAACTTGGCGTCCAGATGCCCCCAAGGACCGCAGACTGCGCTCGACCTTCGAATGACTGCTCGTGCATTTGCTCTTCGCTCCCCGTTCCAACGCACCACCGAGCCATGTCTTTTTTACGCTCGCAGAGCTCCCTCCGGCTCTCACGAGCGTGCACCACACAGATTCCGCGATCGTCGACGAGATGGCTATCATCGACGCCGCAACGGCGACTGGGTGAACCCGACCCTAAAGCTATCCCGGACGTCCAGGCGATGCAGATGACCGAGGACCAAGCCTCCATGGTCGAGGTCGCCCGTCAGCCCGAAGGTGGTGTCGCCGTCGAAGGATACCACCCGGACCACCAGCCAGACTACACCGCCACCATAGACCACGGAACGTCCACCTACTCCCCAGTCCCGAAGCGAGTCATGAACGGCAGCGAACCTGGCGAGACCACACCCGCGGCCGTACTCTCAGGAGCTCCAGTCGACCTACAAGCCAGGACGGTCAGGTATGCCCCCCCCCCCAAAAAAGACTCCGAAAACCCTCCCCCGAACCCTGCTTTGAGGGAAAAACAAAACACACCTCAAGGATTTGGACCCGAGTTGAGATGTCGAAGTGCTAATAATGAGCTCTTTTTTCTTGTTCTTCTAGGATCTACAAACCGGTCCGACCTGCCACACAATCCGGGACGTGGGGTGGTCACGCCTGGCGGATGGACTGGGACCCTTTGCCCAAAGGTCACCGGTGGGAGAATCCGTTGATGGGTTGGCAGTCCTCGGGGGATTTCATGCAGGGGACCAAACTCAACTTCAAGTCCAGAGACGACGCCGTCTCCTTCGCCGAGAAACAAGGCTACGAGTGGTACGTCCAAGAGCCCAACGAGAGACGGTTCGTACCAAAGGCCTACGCCAACAACTTTGTCCACGAGCCGGGCCCGTTGAAACACATCAAGACCAAATAAATGAATAATAAGCTTGGGGAAAAAAGAAAGAGCCAAAGGAAGATCGGGGATGGGGGGGGGGGAGACGATCTCTCTCTCTCACACACACACACACACGGGAAGTACACAGTACTGTGAAGAGCGTTGAAACGTGTGGCCCTGTTTATGCCTGTGAAGTGCACGCATGCAGTGGATTGTATATAGGGAAGCTATCCAATAGCCTACAAGGAAAGAGAGAAGAAAAAAAAGATGAACATGCAAACCACAAAACGATGCCGGCGTTTTTCATTGCTGACGCTGTCTCCGTTGACCTATTGCTCATGCTGGCTTGTTCACGTCAGTAGATATGGGTGTATTGAAACGATCACCACCCGAAGCAGGTACACCCAAAGCTCCCGTCGTTGGAACCATAACGCGATGCATCATGACTGTACATGAATTTCGTGGTATTGATTGATCCGGTGAGTGTCCTCCACCTTTAAGCAGACATTCTACTATAGCACAGATATCCGGGAAGCTGGTATGGATCTTGAATAGGAAGGAAAACTATTCATCATTCACTTCATCATACTCATGAAACTAATAGTACAGGGTTATCACAACAGCAACAACAGCAGGAACTCCTTCATCTTCATAACGGCGGGCCCCTTTATCACAACAACCAGTTCATCGTCATGTCGAAATCACCCACAGGAAAGAAATTACCTAAAGGTGTCTTTCTTGTCCATCATCATCGACATCCTCCTCTGTTGCAGCTTTTGGGAGTTGACGACTGAAATGCTCATTACCGTCAACGGTCAAAGGAGGAAGAGGTGATTGTGACGGTTGGCTGGCATCGGTGCTCGCTCGTCCATCTAGTAATTGTGCTTGGCAGCATGTTTGTCGACGTCGGCCGCGCGCTTGTGGGAAGATTCGTGGATCTTGTCCTTGATGGCATCGCCAGCAGCTCGGAGTCGTGTGGAGGAACGGACATTTGGGTCCTTTGCGATCCTGCGACAGTTGACGAGGTCAGTTCTCAAAGTCTTTCGGTCTCGCGGCGGCGACATGGTATATGCTGTGCCTGGTGACAAAAGACTTACTGCTTGTTCGTCTCCTTGCTGGCAGCGTGAGCACCTCCTTGGGTCTTGTGGGAGATCCAATTTCCGGTATTTCTGATCATCGGACGTGTTAGTGGACATTTTGGTCTTGTCCGTTTCTGGGTTGGTAGAGCACAAAGATGATGCCTCTCTTCAAGGTGTTCATGTGATACACATACCTGATGGCATTCATGTTTGCAAGAGGTACTTGGAGTGGTAGTAATAGTAGTGATGCTGTGTTTTGTTTTCAGAGGCTCAATTGAAGTCTGCAAGGCCAAAGGTATCAAAGGATATTTGGGACAGTGGATAACGATGGAGAATTGGAAATGTTGATCCGGTCAAAGGACTAGGATTATATATATGCAATTCTCAGAATCCGAGATATACCTTGGGCTTTTTGATTTTACATGGGATTGTTCCTTCCCCCATTCTGTCCTTTACAGTCTGAAAAGACGATGTCATGGTGCATGAAAAGAGGGTGTGTTCCCGGCAGCCACGGGACTATCACGAACCGCAGCTCTCTCAGATGGTCGAGTAGGAAGCCGCAAACGATCTACGCGAGTCAAAAACAGTTGAACGATGCAAGCGTTGACAACTCTCCCGTTGGCTTTACAGGAGGTGAGAAGAAACTTCTTGCCAATCAAGCATCACCAACGTAGATGCGAAACCTGTTTTCTTGCTAAGGGGCTCGAATAGACTTGGGGCCATCTGACCCGATGACGGATGATCCCGTAAGATGAGTGGTTTATAAGAACTTGAAATTGTTACCGGAGGACGAAGTAGCGTCGGTGGCCATGGGTGGAAGGGGGAGGAGGAGGAGGAGGCGTCGCCGGCGAGATCGATGATGTCGGGGGGATCGTTTCTCTAACTACGTCATCCGGAGATCCTTGGGAGTTTGGGTGGCGGCTCGTAATTGTACTGGAGGTACAAAAAAGTTCCGGCCTTGCGGTTGCGGTAGGTGGCTAGCCTTGCTTGCAGACCCAAGAACGATGTTACGAGTACAAGGACGGTTACGAAGTGGAAGCGAGGATAGTAATCAGCAGTAGACTTGTACTTTCTAGCATAGGCCCAGGTCAAGCTCTTGGTCGGCATGCAAGAAGTCAAAACCCAGGACTATCTTCATCTCAAAAGTTACCATGCGTCCACGGCAACTCATGCTCTCTCGGCTCCATCAAGCTACAAGTCCCTAGCTCTTCTTGCACTTGATACTGATTATACCGTTCCCCAACATACCATAATCTTCCAAGAACTGAGACGTGTGATAGTTGGGGGTTCCAGGGTACTTCCAACCTGGAGCAGTGACCCAGCCCTTGTCGTTGCAGTCCTTTTGTTCATAAACGGCGCAAGTGAAGCCCTTGTCGGGACCCATCGATCCGTTGGAATCGTACATCCTGTGACTTGAGTCAGCAAAGTTCCCCTGACAATATAGGGGTCGAAGGGAGTATTGACCTATTGTAGCATTGTCCGTCCTTCAGAGGAGTCCACTTGCAAGGCATGACCCAGTTTTGATGGCTACACTCGTACACACCGAGCTCGGTGGCACGAGTACGGAGGTGATGAGGGAAACCATGTTCGTGATTCCCGTGGTCTCCGTGGTCTTGACCATGCCGATTGTGCTGCTCTCCGTGTTCACCGGGTTGGAAATCTCGAGGATGGTTGCCATTACCGAAACCTTGGCCCTGGTGCTCTCCAGTGTGACCCAAGCCTTCTCCACCGTGCTCATTTTGGCTCTCGTGTCCACTGGGATGGTAGTCCCGAGGGTGATTGCCCTGGCCATCAGATCCTCCTGTGCGCCCCTGATCACCATGGCCGAACCCTTGTTTAACCCAGTCTCCAAGGTTTGCATGCTCGTGCGCGAAATCTTCATCTCGAGCGCGGTTGCCTTTGTTGTTACCTCGACTATGATCACCATGGTCCTGCATGCCCTGACCTTGGCCTGCGCCACCACTTTGAGGGCCATGATTATCTTTCCATCCCTGAGCGTCATATCCTCGACCACCGTGACCCTGTCCACCTTGATTACCGCCTCCGTATTCTTGGCCACCGTGGCCACTTCCACCAGAGTTTCCACCTTGGTATTCACCGCTGTGCTTCATGCTGTCTCCTCCAGAGCCTTGCCATCCTTGCTCTTGACCAGGATATGCCAAAGTGAGGGTGGCTACTGTAGCCCAGAGGAGTACTGAAGTTTTGATAGCTACCATTGTTAGTTGACGTGAGTGACTATGTAAGCAGGTCTTGCTCGTAGCAATTATGTATGGTCAAGAGAACACCGAAGCATTATCGGCGAGATATAGACCTCCCTGGAGAACTTTGACCAAGTCATCCAAGAAAGAAGACCTTTGTCCCTCCGAAGACGGCAAGCGGATCATCGTCGAAACACGTCCTTGATGGAGAGTACAAGACGCTTTCGAGAGAAGAGCAAAGCATTGTATCGAGATTGCCGCCAACAGACATGGTCCAAAAAGGACGAGGGAAATGTCAAGGACAAAGCTCGGTCTTAGTATTGTTGTTGAACAAGGCTCTGCTCCTTAATATTGTTCTCAACATACGCCGAACATCTGCCGGTGTCGATGCGACCTTGTTGATCCAGAACAATGAAATCGAACAGATACTGTATGGCAAGCTTCACTCGATGTGGAAAGAGATAAGAAGATGGTTGGATACCTACTGAAGCGTCTTTTTCGACAGCATAGGCTCGTGCATCTGAGGTTGAACGAGAGGTTGGAGGGAGCGATAGGCAGCAGGTACAAGTCATTCGTCCCTAGAGAATCTTGACTGTCCACAGCATACCTACGTAGTTGGCAATATCTCGAGGAGCGAACCCTCCCTGTAATTAACTCCCCAGCCTTCTTGTTCTGTGCATGGGAAGAAAGAAGTTGACTTGGGCTTAGTGAGATCGGGTGGCGGCGGCCGGGACGTCCCTCTCTGTCTGGGGAGGCAAAAGGCACCGGGACGATGCGAAGAACAGTTGATGTTTTCCTTCCAACCAAAACAATGTCAAATCCATCTTCCTCTCTACCTACCTAGGTAAACCATCATAAACTGAGAAACTTGTCTTGTCTGCAATGATAACTTGCTACCCTCCATCAGACAGACTATTGAATCACTACCCCTGTGTTGTTGGGGGCTGAATGGATGCCCTATTGTTCAGTTGCCCCTCACTTCAATCTCCTTCGAACACGTCGTGCCGCCTGCGATCACGAAATTTCTCTCATCTGGGATATCCCTGCCAGATGCTTCTCTAAGACAACAATCCATTACCATACTATGTGTTATCAACTGACACGACACTGCACCTTCGATCCGAAGTCGCTAAGTACCTAGTAATGACACTACTTCGGATCGCCGTCTTGCATCTTGCCGAGTCCTGGGATAGGCTTGGAACCTGACATTAGGGCCCTGACCCTGGTCAAGAAACCTCCATTACAGACATCGGAGCTGACCATCCGCAGAACCTACTGCGAGGTCCATGTCACTACGAATGCTTGCACAGCCTGATTGATTCGTTAGGGAACAGAGCCTACGAGATCGGATGGGGGTTGCATCCAGCCCAGCAGTTAGCTGCATATTTGACAACGGCTCGTTATCCAACTACTGTAGGTTCCTTCCAGTGACAAGATCAAACCCAACATTATGTTTTCGCGATCTACTGTACCATGTCCATTATTGCATGAGAGACCTTGCGATCGCCCAGTTCTACAGATGCAGCCTTTTCGACCTCATTACGTTGCCCAGAATCTGCTAAGATTAGTTCACGTCACACATTGATGCATCTCAGCTGAACGAGATTAGCGCACACACAACAACAACAACAGCCATGGCTCGAAAAGGTGTTGTGCAGGCCTGTATCGAGAGGGTCTCGAAATATAGCTTCTCTCCACATGTTTATGGCAGAGTCTGACTCCCGAGCAGACAGACGGCATAACGTCGACCCTCCGTTCCCTAGGCGAGGCCTCGCGAATCGCCCTGCAAGCCACCTGTCAGTTTTTGCCCTCCATTTGCTGATCGAATCATGCCTTGGCTGAGACTGCTCCTTGATAGCACCACAATTGACAGGTCGCCCGTCGACATATCTGGTAAAGTGAGTATCTTTATTGAATCCTGTGCATCCGAAGTGGCGAACCCTCTCCCCGGACTTGAGTCCAGCCAACGCAATGAGTGCCAACATCCTGGTACTGAAGGGCCGGACAAGGTGTAACGGAGTTGCCAATGTATATATCGACAAGTGACACCTGTAGGAAGGCTCCTCAACCTTCTCGACTCTGGATTTGTGCACCTCAAGACAACCTTTCAAAATGTTGGAATCTACTGATGCAATCCTAATGGGCACAAGCATTGTCCTCTCCCTGTCGACCCTAGTGTCGATATCGGTACAGTTGGAGAGACAATTGACGACTGCTGGCCGGCTAGACGCAAGCAAGTGTAAGTAGGAAAGCAGCTCACCTCTGGTTGCAACGACTGACAACCATTAGGGTTTCTTGTGACAAGTGCGGTACGAACAGGACATCCGTGCACTACGACAAACACGATACTTACCGAATACTGCAGGTCTTTGCCATGATAATGACAGGATTGGTCTGTGCAGGTTAGTTTCATGCTTACAACTTGTCCTTCGACCTTTAGCTAACGTATCACAGCCGCTGCTCACGGCCTCGGAGCTTCGATTTCTCGAGAAGAGTTTGGGAGACGGGAGAAGCTACAGAAGGTGCAGCCTGAATACCATTTTACGTTGTCCTGTACCGGCGCTGATCAGACTCAGCTCCTTATCGCGGTCCTCCCTCCCTACTTCCTCTGCAACATGTTCGTCAAGCACGCTTGGCTTACATTCTACTATGCACTGGCACGAACTCGCACTCAAAGATGGATCATCCACTTTATGCAGCTCGTTGCCTTCGGGTTCGGAATCAGCTCCATCCTCGTAATCCTGCTGCAATGTATACCATTGAGCCATGTTTGGACAAGAGCTCGAGATCCACCCCCAGAGGATGACGCACACTGTGTCAATCTGATGGCATACTTCTACTTCAACGCAGCCTTTATGGTTGTGAATGACACTGTGATGTACATGCTACCGGTCTTTCTGCTACGGAATGTCGATATGTTGAGAGGACACCGATGGGGGATCTACACACTGTTTGCCGTCGGTGGAGTGTGAGTGGATCCGGTATGCTTTCTGACATACAAATTGCTAATGCCGTCAACAGCGTTGTGCTGGCAAGCATATTGCGTCTCATAGCCGTCCATGAGCTGGACAAGTCGAACAATTTCTCCGGTAAGCACATCCATGAGTTGCGTTTTGTTTCAAATCGTCGATCGCCACAAGACGGCTGACACTTGTCGTGCACAGAAAACTATGCACTCATTTTTCTCTGGGCGGCGGTCGAAAATCACTTGGGGATCTGCGTAGCATGTGCCGGCGCTGTCAAGCAGAAGACAATCCGTGCGGTTGACAGCATCAGAAAGTCATACGGGTCAATCCGGCACAAGCCATGGCCACCGACGTCCTTCACCATGGTGACGCAGGACACCGAACATCGAAACTTATACACACGCCCCAGCAGTATGCCTTCGCCCACAGCAGCCTCTGACAACAAGGATGGGGATGTCCACTTGGAGCTGCACCAAGTGCCATCCAACGCCAATACTGCCACTACGGTGACATCACCGGTTTGATATCCCTCGCCGCAGTGTTGGCCATCTCATTTTGGAATGTCTTTTTCTTGGATCATGGAGAAGTGAACAAATATATGATCTGACAGAGATGATTCGAGCCAAGAATGACTGGCCAGAGTGTATGTATTGACCGGGAAAGTGAAAGTAAGTCCGCGATGAACGAGGTTATGAAGGATATGAAAGACATGAGGAGTATGAGCGATATGAGGAGGGATATGAGGAAAATTGACGTGGATGAAAAGCTATCTCAAAATCTAGTGTGTAATTCTAGTTTTCTTTCAGCATCCCATTGATGGCCGTGAAGTTACATGCCCAAGGTACTATCTGTGTTGTCAAGCCCAGGTGGGAAGATGAAACCAGACACTAACGAATATTCTTTCCGTATCGCCCAACACTTACTAGTTGGCACCGGTCTCAGGCATCGATCAAAGGTTTGGGAGCTTGCTTGTCTGCATATTTAGTCTGCCTGCACGGCGTCATCCCCCAATGTCTCGAATTGTTCAACCCCACGACGACGGATCGCGTACGATTTTGAGATGAAATGAGACGGCCCCAATATCCGTGTGAGTGGTTTCATTCGATCCGCCATCTCACGAACTTTCTGTTCTTTCATAACTTGGCCCCCTTTTTGTCGTTGTTCCGTAGTAACCTCTCATAGCCCCTTCTCATGTGACTCGGCATTCCTTTTTTGTCGGGTTTCCCCAGTTGACCGTCGTGTTGATTCACAAAGACGTGTGTCGAACCCCCGACGGCTTTGACGTCGTCGTCACCTTTTCGAAAGATGCCGACCTCGTACATGACGCTCGCCTTGCCCAACTTGACGACGCGTAACCCACACTCGACCACGTCGGGGTAAGACACCGACCCGAAATAGTCGCAGTAGGTGTTGGCGATGATCCCGGCCTGCACGTCCCGGTTCACCTTGTACCCGCACTCCTCGATCATGTACTGGTTCACGATGCTGTCTATCAAAACCCCGTAGTAAGGGTTGTTCATGTGTCCAAAAACGTCGTTGTCGTTCCACCGGAGTCGGAAATCCAGGTGGTAGTTGTAGTCGCGACGACGGCGGAGTCGTTTGGACGCCAGGTCCAGACCGAGTTGGTTTTTTTCTTCCGGTGGTGGCATCGCCTATTTTCTTTTCTTCTTGATTGTGTGATCTTGGAAGGTCCGTAGAGATTGGACTTGGACGATGAGCCAGATGGTGATGTCCTGAATTGTGGTGACTTTGTTGACGATATGAGATTGAGATATTGACAAAACTTTGCTGGCGCTGCTACCTTGTGGCTTTCGACTAGCAATGAACTGCCCAAAGGTTTGGATTCTTTTGTTTCGTTTTTATCAATGTTGTGTGAGTAGCGAGGGTGTCGATGTGAAGGATGAATGTTACAACATTACAGAACGTTGTCGGCGATCCGGGGTAGGTGTCTACAGTACTGTAGTTGTCGGACCTCGGCTAAACAAATGCCTAACCAAGGCTCGGGGACGAGGCTCTAGGTAGGTAAACAGGACTCTTCGGCGCAAGGCTGGTTTAATGAGGCTGCGTAAGGCTGTGCATATTCTTGGCGGGTAAGACTCCTGAACAAGCTCTTCGACAACTGTTGTTTTTGTGATATTCCGTATAGATGGACCGGTATATTTGCACGTCTACAGCTTCTGCGACGGCATCAATATCTTGCCATATAGGCCCGGTTCAAATCGTTTAAAAATCCTGTGTCAGCCCCAGAAATCTACAAACACGTGGACATTTCTCGTTTGATGGTCGAACACACCGTTTCGTATGCCTTGACACGCTGGCGACGTCAGGGTCAATCAACGTCGAGAAACTTTACCGTCTCGAGGAAGCTTGGATGATTGCTTGGACTATATTGTGTTTGAACGACGCAACGAGGAACCATGAACCGCAAACAACGTCGAAACAAAGCTTCGACAGATGGCCACCCGTCGATAGCATCAGCAGATGACATCCCTCTCGCACGACCGGACCGCACTGCACCAGATGCGGGAGCAAACACCAAAACACTCTTCGAGATCGCCGCTGAGCGTCAAGCCAAACTCACTGGTCGATCGGGCGGCCGACCCATTGATCCCAAGAACATTGTCCAAGTCAAGATCGGTCAAGACGGTCAGATCCAACCTGACCCGAACACGCCGTCGGCGACATTCCTCACCACGTCTGATGATGATGAAGATGCAAGATCAGAGACTCCGTGGCTCGACACGATCCTCCTCGCCATGTCCCTCTCGGCCGTCCACTTCACGCTCGACGTCCTGACCGTCCACCAGTACGCCCAAGAACTAGAATTCCCGCCCATTTTCGCACGGACGATCTTCACGGCGTTCCCCACACTCACCGTTGTCATCGCACTGTTTCACGGCCTGCTTTTTCCAAAGTCACTTGGACAGGCCACGCCGCCGAGCGTGCAGCAAGGGATACTCAGGTTACGACAGGTCATCTACGTCCTCGTCGCCAACGTAGCGGGTTGCTACCTCGTCGCCCTGACCAACGACAAGGGCTACTACGCCGTGATGAAGGACGCACCGAGTGTAGGCACCATTTGGGTCTGGACCGTGTTGGAGCTTGGATTACTGGGTGCCTTGGCCGGCGTGGCTGGACCGGCCATGTACGCTTGGTGGAACGAGTATGGAATATTCTAAAGCCCTTCGGTTGACTTACCTTCCTCCGTGTCTGAAAAGGGACAAGTCTGGGGTTGCCTGATATTGATGGGTGTTTGAGTGACCGTTGTCTTGTTAATGGTTCAAAAGTTGGACTACTTCCGGGTGAGGTGTGGCATGGAGTCTGTCCTCCCCCTCCCCATCAGGTGATGCTGATGCCGAGTTCCGGGTCAAGCGATGGAAAATCGACTTGATTGTACGAATACGGAGTGACAAGTACGGAGTTTCCACTTGTTGATAAAGGCCAGCCCGGACATGGTCGGATATCCTGGTAGGGATTGGAGACAACCGGACAAGGCAGGAGATGTACGGAGGCGCTGAGAAATATCGTATAGATTCTCCGATAGTCGGGCGCACGGATTGGGAAAGGGAGAAATTTACCAATGACTCGTATGGTTTGGGGGAAGTGGGAGTCATACAGCAGGAGGAGCTCAGGATACTTTGTTGTACGACGCGAAGAGGAACGACTTGAGCAGGTTTAGCAGAGCCCAGGCTTTCATCTGGGAAGAACAGGGTACTCCATAACCAAAACACCGCGGCGGCTGGCATTCCCATTTCGGGGAAACCCGACATTGAGGTACAGAAACTGACAGAGTATCATTCTGCGAGACAGGTGACACGGTGTGCGTGTACTCGGTGCAACGCGAGCAGTATTACTATTGTACACCAAGCCCCTGAGTTGCGCAATGCGCAGCTCCGTACCTAGAATGATGGAATCTTGCGAACCCACCTACAATACAGTGCTGCTGTGCTGACTGTGCGCGTACTTTTGGTGTATGTTCGGAGAAGACCGACGCTCACCAGGTCTCTCTCTCTCCCCGGTGTCCTCATTATATTTTTAGGGTCCGGAAGGGTGAAGTATAGGGAGGGAGGGGGGATGGGGCTTGCCGCAAACAGGAGAAATCAAAACATGCCACCATCCGCATCCCGATAAAAAAATTTTCTCCCGGAAGTGGTACGAGGCTCGTAAGGTTCACGTTGGCAACGCGAAATCAAGAAAAGGCTGGTGGATCTTCTCGAATAATTATCGAGTAATGACAGTAACGGGTCGATGGAGCAAAGTAGTAGAGGGCGCGTACGGCCCGACCAGTGGCACGTATTCTTTGTATCACGTTTGGGAAAAATTTTCTCACGACAGGTAACAAGTTCGGGTGGGTTTTTCTGTTGCAGGGCGTGTGTAGCCAGAGATTGAGGACCACGGGCAGAATCATGTTATGTACAAGACCGGGATGGGGACTTTGTAACGGGTACTCCCCTCCCTGGCCCTATTACTCGGTACCGTACTGTACCCGTACACACACAGTTGAGAAGGTCATCGCGAGCATCAGGGAAAACTGTACAAGACAATAATGAGTCAGGATGTCACCCTGTTTTTGGCAGAGGCATTATTTACTCGTACTATGCAAAGTCTATTCAGATACCATACGACAATTTTAGTGTCTTGTTGGGGAGAAATTGTAGTGCGATTGGGTTTATCGATCGATTGTGTTGTGTCGATGATGATGATGATGTGTTGACTCTGACGTTGTCTCCGCGGACCATTTCTAATGAACTCTTTGCAGTCATCGTGATCGACAAAAGGATATACAATCGTAGCCGGGAAAATCGGTGATGCAGGATGGACAGGGCCAAAAAAAAATTCAATCAAGGGAAAATATTTTGCGGGGTGCGGGCGCCAATGGTCTTAGTGAGTGTCTTAACCATGTACGAGTACTGTAAAACTGCTTTATTGGGTGCAGCTGGCCTATGCGCATCGCCGCTAACGGTGGTTAGGCGATTGATTAGGCCATGTCCTTGAAAGCACGTTGGGCGTTACCCGTAGGGACAATGAATCAATTGGCCTCTGCGTACCTGGAAAACGGGAGGGCGGATGCTCAATTGACATGTGCAGAGTCTGCTGATGCCAACTAGAAAGAGTCAGCTGTTCAGACTCTTTGGCATCAATCCAATCCGGCAAGCGAGATGCTTACCTTGCTACCTTACCTACTACGGTCTGTACTATAAACTACTTGGTAAACATGCAACGCGTAGGTACAGTATGTAGTTCCATTTCGCCCTTTGACTCGACTAGGGCTCCTCCAACAATAGCAAGGCGGCTGTACGAGTCAATGGCTGATGTCTCTCGGAGCCACGATCCGTTCCTGGTTGTACTCACTCACCACACGTAACTCACAACGCCACCACTCGTTGAATACTACATACTATACAGGGTTGGGATGTGCTGGACTGATTCAGACAGAATTCACATGTGTCTGGTTTTGGGTCTCGATTGAATGGCGAATGCGGAAAAACCACCTGCATAGTTGTTTCGTAATAATACGGAGTATGTTTCGGTGATGTTGGGCTGCAAACTACTCGTCACGAATAATGTGTTCATTATCCGGTTCGCGTGGTTAGCTGAGATGAGGTGATTGTATCCTTGTGTTACTCCGTACAGTACTATACAGGATGTCTTGTCCGTCGTACAAGGGCCCGGACTCTCCTCTAGCAAGCCTGACCATGCCTAGATCGAGTTTCTATTATTCACACCGTGCGTGTCAGGGCCATCACGCAAGAACCACGCCGAAACATACTCCCGTACGGAGTATTGTATATAGGGTAGACTGGCCCAACAAGACTCCATAATCATGACACTTTGTATCCTTTTATTTTGCTCATCAACAACTTCCATACGCTCGTCGTCGTCGTCGGTCGACTTCCTTTCGACCTCGTACCTCCACGACAACTTGAAATCGACGATAAAACTTGTGTCCTTTCCATACACACGCGACAGACGCCACCACCACCGCCTAGTTCGCTCTTCAAAGGCCCTTCCAAAGTCTCTACACGTCACTCTCAAATCTCGTGCGCCTATACTCATACCCCGCGGATATTGGCGACCCAAAGTGAGAATTGCGATCGATCAGGTGCCATCACACAAAGAGACTTTGCGCCCACCGGCCTAGCGAGCCGCCACCCATTGCCGCCTGTGGTTGGACCGCCGGATTGAAAATTTCCTAGGCTCTCTAGGCGACCAGGCGACACTTTCTGCTCCCCGCTTCGCCGCACTCAAACAACCCCCTTCAACCCCCCTGAGCTCATCGTTGGGCGCATTGGCGAACGCGCTAAATACATTCCTCATCGGAAAATCCTACCTGTGTTCATCCTACGGTCATTTTCGCCTGCGCCCCGCGTCATCCTTATTACAACCCGCAGCCAATAATTTCGGGGTGGCTGCTCTCGTCGTCACCACCGTACATCAACCACCATGCGAGGTCCACGTCGCACTGTGCATCAAGGTACCGCGACTACTTCTCCTCGTCAACCCACCACCACCACCGTCAACGACGTTGTTCTCGCCTTGCAACGCAAATTAACCGCAAATCATCTAGAGCCATCCCTCCACATCAACCAGCGACGACCGTCGTTCTCGATGGATTCATTATTACACAAAAAGGACAAGAAGCGAGATGACTCCAAAGACCGCAATTCCAGAGAACCAAAGCGTCTCTCGCTCAACATGCGCCACTCCAGCAAATCCAAAGATCGGGTCGCACAATTATCCCCTCGCATTACCGCTCATCAGCCCGGCCGTTTCGACATGATCATTGAGTCGCCTCCTCTGGTACTGTACGGCAATGTCAGTACTTCGACAGGAGCGCTCTTGTCTGGACGACTGAAATTCCTGGTTGAAGATCCAGCTGGCGAGGTACGCTTGAACAGTTTCACCATGGTCCTCAAAGCCCGCATCTCCAGCAAGAAGCCTGTAGGCAAAGAATGCAAAGAGTGCAGCGACAAGGTCGACGAACTCAAGACTTGGACCTTCCTGTCTGAACCCAAGACCTTCTATGCAGGTCAAGACAATCAGTTTCCCTATTCGTTCCTCTTTCCCGGTCACCTCCCTGCGACGACAAATGCACCACTGGGCTCGATACAGTACTCTCTCCATGCCACCGCCCTCACATCCACCGGCGAAAAGATCCTCTACAACCACCCTTTGACCATCCAGCGAGCTATCCAACCAGGTCCCGACAAGTCCAGCATTCGAATCTTCCCACCTACAAACCTCACGGGTCGTGTACAACTACCACCCATCGTCCACCCCATTGGCACGTTCCCCGTCTCCATGTCCTTGAGCGGGGTTGTGGAGAAGAAGGGCGACAGTCAAACCCGGTGGCGGTTGAGGAAACTCTCGTGGAGGGTCGAGGAGCACAGCAAAGTCATCTCGACGCCTTGCGCGAAGCATGCTCACAAAGTCAGCGAGGGAAAGTCCATCTTGCATACCGAGACGAGGATCCTGGGCACCGACGAAATGAAGACGGGCTGGAAGAGCGATTTCGACACCATCGGAGGAGAGATCAACGTGGAATTCGAAGCCTCCCTCGCCAGCAACTCCAAATTCAAAGCCGTCTGCGACGTCGAGTCCCCTGCCGGCATCGAAGTCAAACACAACCTGGTCATTGAGCTGATCGTGGCGGAGGAATTCTGCCCCAGCAAGAACAGCCAACTGATCACTCCCACCGGCGCTGCGCGCGTGCTTAGGATGCAATTCGCTCTCGTCGTCACAGAACGAGCTGGAATGGGCATCAGCTGGGACGAGGAGATGCCTCCTGTCTACGAAGATGTCCCCGAGAGCCCACCCGGATACGGGAGCGCCGACAAGAACGACGGTGCCTGGGGCGGAGCCATTATCGAAGACTACAATGGACCTGCCCTGGAGTATGAAGATCTCGAAACCATGGGTACCGACACTTCGATCTCTCGACCTTCCAGCTCAGGTCTCCCTATGCGTCCTCGCCTTGCAGGCAGCAGGACTGACTCTGGCGAAGGACCCTCGACACCGAGACAGTACGTTGGTTTTACGAATGACGAACTCAGCACCGAACCTCCTCGTTATGCACTACGAGTCACGGATGAATCGAGTGATGCCCACAGCGGTCCAGTCGAGGACACTGCTCAGGGTGTAGCCTCCACCGTGCAACCTTGAACAATTCGAAAAAAACCAAAATTCCCACTCCCATACGATACCCTTCCTACCGCTACGCATATACATACACTCAACTTCACTAATCGCGCTTTACGATCGACGCCACGAGAGACGATGTTTTTCTCAGTTCCTTTCTCTTTCTATTTTCTTCTCTCTTTCCTTCTCCTTGATTACCTAGGATGTTATTTAGGGTGGAGGAGGCGGTCTTGTCTTGTCGAATCCGAACGAAAAGAATGATACCCTCAAAGTCTTGCAGCAGGCATTCTTGGTCAACTGAGCATTGGGGTCACCGGCGCACACACTTTTTTTTGTTTTTCGGTCTCTCATTGTCCGGGTTGGTGTTTCTTTGGTTTTCTCCCCTCTTGGGTTGAGGTTTTTTTTTGAGTAAACGGTATCAAGCATAGAATTTTACCATGGATGGAATTGGGAATAGGTCACCTTTTTTTTGGCTATCATGTCGTCGGAGGGATGGCACAAATAGGGACGGGGGAAATGAGATGGACGACTTGATGTAGTACGAGTACAAGTACTTGGGGTTACTCTTCTCTTCTTTTCTCTGTTACGATTGAATCGAGTTGAGCCTCTCTGTTCCTGAACACAGAGGTTCCTCGGGAGATAACAAAGTAATTACATGATAATTTTTGGTCCTTTGGATTAATTCAACCTTTTGATGTCTATTATATAATCTTGAAAGTTATGCTCTTTGATAATAATAATGATAATAACACATACATTATCCTTGTTTTTTTAATCTAGTCACGTGAACCGTGTTCGCGAAACGTGATGTTGTTTACGGTGACCCGTTGGGAGGGAGGTGTGTATTTAGAGGGTCCCAAAAAATAATCATGTCTTGCTCTCATATTTATTATCAGGAAAGTAAATTGCTCATTCTTCATCCCTCTTGCCAAGTAGTAACTGTAGACTTTCTCGACCCTGGTACCACTTCGGAAGTGGGCACGCGTATAGAGAGAGTACACCCTTGTCGCCGTCTCACCAATCGATCAATCATCCACAACGTCGATTATGGCTCCACACATGGTCGTCCTCGACTCGTCAGTGGCCAAAGTTCAACCATCAACGTCCCTGGGTTCGTTCTCGGCCCAGAACTCGTCGTACTCTTCGGGGGTCATGATGGGGAAGTCCGTGGGCAGGGTCAGGGGGACGAGACTCTGGCCCCGGCGGGCGAAGTGCTCGAGCCGCCGCCTCGTCTGGTCCCTGGACTTGTTGACGCTGTACACGCTCAGCCGGTGGCGGCTGCTCGTGACGTGCAGGCCCCAGTTCCAGGCGCTCCGCACGTGCAGGGGGCTGGGTGTTGATGCTGTTGTCCCAGCACCGCACGACGACCTCGACCCAGCCCTCGGCGTCGCAGGGCAGGGCGAGCTCCCACGTCCGCCAGGCGAACTTGTGCTTCCCGCTCAGGTTCCCGTCGGGCACGGCGTACCAGTTGAAGCCCCCGTCGGCCGAGACCTCGACCCGCCCGGGCCACCGGCCCCCCGCCGCTGTACGCCCACCCCTTGACCTCGACGCTCCCCCCCGTGGACCACGACCTGCTTGGCCCAGGGCGACATGATGGCCGAGCTCACCGGCATCTCCTGGATCTGGATCCCCATGGTCGGGAGCTGGTTGTGCTTGCCGACCTGCTGGTTGAAGTAGAGGTACATCCCGGCTCGGCCGGGGCAGGGCCCTGATCCGGTACACCCACTTGACGCTGCGCGCGCCGATGTACCCCATCGCCACGAGCCGGACGGGGTGCCCGTGGATCCGGGGCAGGGCTTCGCCGTTCATCTCCCACGCCAGCATGACCTCGTCGGCCTTGACCTTGCTCCACGGCACGCTGACCAGGTAGTTCATGGCCTCGTTCTGCTTGAAGTACGTGTCGGCCCCGTAGAATTTCAGGTGCTTGCCGCCGCCGGCCATGCCGCCGCACTGCTTGACGACCTTTTTCAGGCTCACGCCGACGTACCTCGCCGTGCCGTTGGCCCCGTCGGCCCAGGGGGCGTTGATCATCTCGTCCCCCTCGCCGGCGTACAGCCGGATCTGCTCGACGCGACGCGTGCCGCTGCATTGGACCGTCACGAGCTTCTCCATGCGCGGGAAGACTTCCTCGTTCTGCAGGTCGGCCACACTGAAAGTCCGCGGGTGCTTGACCGGTCCGTCCATCTTGAGTTCCCACTTGTCGGCGTCGATGTCGGGGACGCCGCCGTGGTTCCGGACAAAGTGCAGGGACGTCGGCGTGACGGGCTTCGCCGTGACGAGGCGCTTCGGTGGCTCGCCGTTGTAGGGGAACTGGAGCAGGTGGAGCATGTCGGGGTGTTTTTCCTGAATCACACGGAGCCACGATTCTTCCGGGACGGAGGTCAATGGACCGCCGACCGCCTTGTGCCACATCTTCCAACGCACGCCTTCGAGGACGGGGTTGGTGTCGGGGACGGGCCCAAGCTGGAATTCCGGCGGCGGAGGGAATCTATTGTTGATCAGAATCTTGTGGGCCTTCGCCTTCTTCTCCGGATAGTTTTCCCATTCGACGTACCAGTTTCTCAGTTCTCAGCAAAAACACGGTCCACGGATCCGGTGTAGGATAGTTGAGCATCGCCGAAGCCCGGCGCAACTTGCCCACGCCAACCTGGACGTTCCTCGGCAAATATCACGGCTGGGTCTTCATCGGCTGCTGCAATGTCGTCGGCCTTGGCGGCATCTTCTTCATCCTCACTGTCTTGAGTCGGGGCGACCTCTTTGACCTTGGGAACGGCATGGGCCTGTTTGTACCGCTGCTCTGGCGGTATGGTCTGGTCGAGGAGAGGCAGCTCTGCAGGCGCCAAACCTTGTTCAAGTTTCCATTCGTCGTGGGGCTGTTGATTGAGCATATTAGCTTCAAGGGCACATGGTGTCAAACTCTAGAGGGATGATGAACCTGGATTTGATGAGAGATCTCTCTCATTCTGACGTCGTTGTGCATTTTGACGTTTCTTTTGGTCGTGTGGCACGGACCTTTTCACTGGTAGAGGGAATGAAAACTGTTCAAACAACACAATCTTGAGCAGAGATGATGACGACGGTGAGCAGAGGGGAGAGTAAGAGAGTAGACTAGAGGGGGAAAACATTGAGTAGATAAAGAAGAGACACAGCGTCGGATACAGGGTGAGTGCCGGTGATCAGGATCCGCACAAGCAGATAGTGAGATACTTCCAACCAGTGAAGGGCTAGGCAGATCGAACGCTTGAACGAGTAGCCCGTCATGCATGAAGCTTCTGTATTACGACAGAACGAGCATGAGCTTGACCTTTGTCTTGCCTTGTTCGAACTCGTGTCGAATTCAACCAAATGAGTATTGATGATGCAGTTCTCGGGGGCTCACCATCCGGAATGTTTCACAAGACGTCCAAGCAAAACCATTTGCCGAGGGGCAAGCAGACAAAGTCGTCAATCAGGCATAGCAGGACGCAGGAGTGATGTGCCTGAACCCTGTGGATGCAAGTACGCTTACTCATGGACCTGGCCGATGATGCCAGTAGTCGAGTTTGTGAAGGTCCTGAACGTCGAATCCTCACCACTCCGTCGGTCTGCATTGGATGTTGTCTTGAAGTCCTGAAGAGGTACCAGGTACCTTCCGCCGTTGGCATAGCTTGCGGAAATCCAGCGAGCCGGAGTTCTGTCGAAGCGAGCTATTCCCGAGACCAGAGTCGGTGAGAAACGACAATGATGATGGGTTGTTTGCATACTGTAGAATTGTGACGCGCTATCAGTTGGTGGGAGGCTGAAGATGAGAAAATAGTGGGCTACACGTGATTCACCGGAACATCCTTCTTCCGTAACCATTTTTGAAAGCCATAATCTTTCAGCCATTTCGTCCTTTTATCTCGACTCGTACGGAGTACTTGTTTGCGCTTTTACTATCACAGTGACACTGGATCATAGTTCATACCTCCGTGGACATCATTTGTCTTGGGAGAGAACTACGGGGATATCGATTACTCAGGATATCCTCGATGGAAATGCTAGACTATCCTGCCGTTGAAGCGCCTTCTCACGACGATGACAAACGCTGCATGCATAACCTCGCCAACCCTTTCCAGGAAATCGTTCAACACATGTAACTCGTCCGTGCCAAAGACGGTCACACCTTTTCCCTAATGAGCTCGGGGTTCTGCAAAAAGTAGTCATTCTGGACGGCCCTATCGCTTATCAATGCGGTATGTAAGTTGTGATCAAACCAGGCCAATTTGCTTGAGTGCCTCCCAGGTGTCCTCGACCGTCTCTTGGAAAGGGACGAATTGCAACTTCAACATCTCTTCGGCCTTGGCTCTGTCCAGGTCAAAGTGCTTGGTCCTATCACAATGGGCGCCTTCCTCGCCGAGTCCCTCTTCACCTCTGGCTCTCAACCCGGCGAGTCCGTCCTCGAAGTAATCCACACCTCCACACAGGAGGAATCGCTCACTGACACCCTCGTCCAACACGAGAGCTTTCGCATGCGCCTCCGCCACGTCCCTCACGTCGACCCACGCCGGTAAACCCGGCGTCGCGACCTTGGGCTTGTACTCCGGGAGCTGGCCTTTGACGCCCAGCGTCAGGTACATCAGACTCGTGTTCAACCCCTCCACACCCTTTTCCTCGTGGATTTCGTGACCCGGCGGGCCGTATATCATGGGCGGACACAGCGTGACCAGGTCCCACGTGGCCTCGCCTTTGTCCTTGGCCTCCTTCCACATGTCCCAGGCTGCGCGCTCCGCGAACGTCTTGCTCGCGTGGTACCCGTAGTACCCGTCCTTGGCCGCCTGTTCGGGCGTGACGGGGTCCCAGTCGTCGGCGGTGTACGTGTACCCGGGCCGCGGACTCTTGGACAAGTCGACCACGGACGCAAAACTGCTCAGGATGGCCATCCTCTTGAGCGTCTTGCTCTTGAGCGCGCTGGAGACGACGTTGCGCGTCCCGTTCACGGCGGGCTCGACGAGTTCCTTGATCGGGTCGCTGGAGAAGACAAAGTACGGCGAGGCGACGTGACAGATATACTCGGCCCCCTGGGCTGCCTCGTCGAGGGCGCCGGGGGCCTGAATGTCGGGCACGGCGACGAAGGTCAGGTCCCCCTCGGCACAAGCTCGTGGGTGTTTCTTCTCGAGAAAGGTGGCTTTGGACAATGACCGGACCGTCCCACGGACGCGGTAGTTGTTCTTCAATAAGACGTCGAGGACGTGGGCGCCCACAAAGCCATTGGGGCCTGTCAGCAGAACTAGAGGTTTGGCTGTAGCCATTTTGATTTATGGTTTGTTATTTATTTTGTGTATTGTATCGAATCGACTTTTGAATTCTTGCTTTGAGATGCAAAGATGATGATTCTACGAGTGTTTGGAATACGTGACGACGTTGTTTATGTAGAATTCCCTACGTAGTGTATTTTGCCATTCTGCCACTAGCAACGTACGTAGTGTGTTACTGTTACGGTACGGCCTTTACTCATTCTTTTTGCGGCCGCAGGACTTCAGGAGGTTAGAGGGCATTGAGGCGCGACCTATACAGAAATCTGGGGCTACCCAGACATTATCCCGCCTCACCGGTTTGGATTTATTTTTACCTGGGCCCGTAAAGCCGCACGACTTAAGCGATGATGACACGACGCACACATCTAATGACTAATGAATTATATATCACGCTCCACAGCAGAATAATGTACTGTCGGACGATACACATTGCGAGGAGGTATTCCCTATAATCACGCTATAGATGATAAGCAGACACTTATTGATCTTGAGCTAGAACCTTTCTCAGCCCAAGAGCATCTCGAGCTCCTCGATCCGTCTCTTCTTCCGCTCCTCTTCACTTTGACCGGCACCAGATTGTCCGACGCCTAGCGACCCTGCAACCGCCATTTTCCTGTCCTGTACACGCAGCATCCTGCCTTCGATGCTTTCCTTTGTGACGAACCGTACGACTTCCACTTTTTGAGTCTGGCCCATTCTGTGCACGCGGTCTATTGCTTGTGCCTCGACCGCGAAACTCCACCAGGGGTCCATCATGTAACAACGGCTCGCGGCAGTCAAGTTCAAGCCTACACCACCTGCGCGCAACGACAGGAGAAGAACTCGGGGAGCCTTGGGGTCCGAGGCGTTCTCGGCGTTGAACGCCCGGATGACTTGGGCCCGAACCTTTTGAGACATGGTTCCATCGAAGCGGAGGTGCTCAAATCCGTGCTTGGAAAGTTGCGGGGCAATGAGGTCGAGAAACGAGGTAAACTGCGAGAAGACGACTGACTTGGTGCCCTTTGGCTGTTTGGACAGGTGGTTCAACAAGGCGGCGATCTTTGCCGATGTCGACGCCGTGGGGGAATAAGGATGCAACCTCCGCAGAGAAATCTTGGGGGGCTTGGGAGCAGCAGCATCGCCTGCCGAGTAGAGGTCGCCGCCTTCCGAATCAAAGGACTCGGATGGACTATTATTGTACTTGACCACTTCGAACACATCACGCGGGTTGATGTTTTCGCGGCAGGAAAAGCAACGAGGAGACTCTCCCCTTTCTGTCTGATGGGTGATGTATTTCTCAAGGCAATCTTTACAAGCACTATGCCAGCAAGTCGTGACTGCTGGGTTGATCATTGGTTCTTCGTAGCACAAGGGACATTCGCCACTGGACTCGTCCTGGATTTGTTTTAGGGCGTTCGTCGTGAAAGTTGTTATTGGGTCCTTGTTCTCCTTCTCGGCCGAATCTGTGTCGGTCGTGAAGCGATCGATGAGATCCTGAAGATCCATGTCATCAGCGAAGCCATTGACGTCCGCTGCGGCAGCCGCAGCGGCATCTTCTTCGTCTGCGACAATATCCTTGTTCCTCGTCAATACAGGATGACAACACGACTGGCGAAGACGTAGAATCTGGGCAAAGATGGTGGTGTACGACTTGAGCAAGGTGCCTGCTTGTAGTGATTCGTTAAAGGCACGTTTCGCCCGAGTGAAGATGAGGTCGTAGACTTCTCGCTCCGTCTTCGAGAGCTCCACCTCCTCCACGGTGATGGTTTTCGAAGGTAGAGGTACGAGTGCTTCTCCTTCCGGAGTCTTCATGTCCTTGGTCCGACGGAGCACTAGGGGTTCTAGTACAGTCTGGACTACATTGAGCGCCCTTGCAATATCCTTGGACTCGAAGGGAACTGTGATGAAGGTCTTCCAGAAGGAGAAATTGCTCCATGGCTCGACCTTAAGGAACCTCACCAAGCTGAACAGATCTTCCAGACGGTTGACAATGGGCGTACCGGTCAAAACCCACCGGTGTTTCGCTTTCAGCTCGTAGCAGGCCTTGGAAGTCTTAGCTTGTCTATTCTTGATAGTATGAGCTTCATCTAGAATAACTCGATGAAAAGCAACAGAGAATAAGCCTCCATGAGAACCGCGATCACCTCCTGAAGCCGTGACCTGGCCAAATTCCGACAACACTGTACCATAACTGGTAATGATGACATTTGGTGCCGAACTTGCATTGGCGGCGGAACACAGGGTTTGTAAATTGACCGCTTTCTCGCTGCCATAGTATACCATGGTCTTCAGTGTACCTGGCCTTGAACATTTCACCGCCTCACTCTCCCATTGAGCAAGCAAGGACATTGGCGCCACCACCAATGTCGTGCAGGGGGCTGGTTCCACCACACTTGACGACTGTGGTAGACGCGGCAAGTGATTGACTGATGTGAGAGTCTTATCATTAGCTCTGAGGTCTTCTTCCGATCGGTTGGAGTGGATGAGACTATAAATTTCGATGGTCTTTCCGAGACCCATCTCGTCCGCCAGAATACCGCCGAGACAATTTTGTTCTTGGACAGGAAATTCGAGGCTGATTTCACCAGAATAGAGGTTGACGTAGAACTTCTCCTGACCCTCAACTTGTGCTACTGGCTTGTCATCTGCATCTTTCGTTGGCCAGGTATACTCTTCCCACAGGGGATGCATAGATTGTTGTTTGGAGGATTTTTCATCTCTTTCTTTCCTAAGCATCCAATATAAAGCTTGCTTCTGGTACTTCCTCAACTCGAGTGCAAAGGTCGAGACAGGTTCAGCCTCAGGCGTGCTGAAGTCGAATGACTGTGCTTTCTGATACAAGGCATCCAGTTGGTCTTCCTCCAATTCTTCGCCCTCTTCTTCATCATCGGAGGTAGGATTCGATGTTTTCCCTTTCGAGGTCTTGTCCTTTTCATACTGCTCTGCCATTTCTGCAGCTTTCAGTAGGCCTTGTTTTTTATGCCTAGCGGTGGTTTCATTTGTTGTGGTGGGATTCAAGTTAACCTCTTCGAAAAGTTTGACCAGGCCTACTTGTCTTAAGCGAAGATCCTTCTCCTCACCACTCTCCTTTTCTTCGAAAAAGCCTGTAGCTCGATTGTCATCCATTGGTGCCACAAATGCGCTTGCTTCAAAAGCGGACTTGAGTAAATAAGCACGTAATTGAAGGTAGACGGTGTCGTTGACGCGGACACGATCAGGAGCATATACACAAGTTCCTTCAAACCAGCAAATTTTCTGATCTAGCAAAGACGACACCCAAGAAGCAGTCTCTTCTGGTAAGCGACCCAATTCCTCTCCTTTGGAGTTGGTAAACCTGGTCACCACATCCACCTTTTGATTTCGCCCTATCAAAGGCACTAACTTTCCACCTCTGCCAACTTTGGTTTTTGGAGCGAGCTTAGTTCGTTCTATCCGGACAGCTTCGCCATGGCCTAGGAGATTTGAACCACTTTTGGTCATCCATGCCGCTACTCCAAATGAGCCGACATATCGCTCTTTTGGCATTGAACATAGGAGCGCCGTCGGTAGAGCTGGTTCGTTGGGTAAAACCTCGACTCTCTTGGGTGGCGCCTCCGAGACCTTGTTAGACGAGCTAAGCCAGCCTGCAACTCCCTTGGGTCTTTTGGATGAATCGCTATCGATGACAGCAGATTTCCAAGAACCGTCGAAGTACATGTTGATGGCCCGCTCCAAGTCTCCGTTCGCCGCAGTCTGCACTTGATCAACAACATCTTGACTGACAGTCTCGCCAATGAACGCGCAAAATGTGTCTGCATCGAAGGTTGTGGAGTTTTCTTGTTCGCTCGGATTCTGAAGATCCGCGGCATCTGTTTGACTCGACAGACGGTCGTTGCCATTGGAAGAGGTGGCGGAGGTAGGTCTGCTGGAGACATTCACCGAGGATGTGGCTGTGTCTTGCTCAAGTGTGTCGTCATGGTCGTCGACGAAGAAACGTCTTCTTTTACGAGGCCTCACCTCGACGTCCATGGGTGCGAATGGGCTGCTCGACAGAACGCAGTCCGTGGATGGATTGCAAATAGAGCCCTTCGTGACCAAACGCGAAATTACGCGAAGAGAATTAGGCGCGCTTGCACGTGATCAGGGCTTTAATTGATTATGCAGGGGCCAAACACTTTTATGCCGTCTCCACGTCATAATATAAAAACCTTGGGTCCAGCATACTAAACAATGAAATACGAACGCCATAAACCTCTAGGTTTGATCCAACAGTAATGAGACCCGATGTCTGATTCTCTGGCATAACAGTTTCGCAATGTTTGGTTACAATTACAGTTTCATTTCTTAGCATTCACTTCCTGGAGCAGATTTCTTTTTGCAATGTCGAAGCATGCATTGGAGACCATGTCTGTCTCTTCCTTCAAGCGAGTGCCAGCAGCAATGAGGGAAACAAAAGCTCACATCTACTTTCCTGCCAAATGCCGCACGTTTACAGCTACAGCACGGTTGCAACTATCGATGGAGCGTGATTCGCAGGCCGTCAAAAAGGCTAGTACATACTGCCAAAACTTGGTCAGGTCAGTCTAGACTTCTTGACAGCCTACCCAGGAGTTGTATCATTTTTTGTATGTCTAACATCTCTACAGAAACTATGATTCGCCTTCATACACCCTGGCTCATTTCGTTCCACCACACATGCTTCCTGCATACTTTGCTATTCGAGCATTCAACATAGAGCTGGCTAGGATACCAGACGTTGTTTCGATGCCGCAAATTGGCGCCATGAGAATGCAGTTCTGGAGAGATACAATCAACAAGACCTTTGAGCTCACGCCGCCAATGGAACCAGTAGCTATACTTTTAGCTTCTTACCTGAATCAAGGCTACAAGCTCAACAAGTCTTGGTTCCAACGCATCATATCGGCCAGAGATCGCAAGTTGACGCACCCCGGATTCACGAGCATGACGGAGCTGGAATCGTATGCTGAGTCAACCTACTCCACGCTTTTGTATTTAAGTCTATCGGCACTGCCTTTAAATTCTCTGACAATGGATCACTTGGCTTCTCATATCGGGAAAGCTGCTGGTATAGCTGCAGTTATGCGAGGTGTGCCGTTACTGGCCTTTCCTCCACCACCAAACCAGCACTCAAACAACCCCCCTGGGTTGGGTTTACCTGCAAGTCGGGACAAGCAGGGCGCAATTACACTTCCTCTGGATATCATGTCCCAGTGTGGCGTTCGAGAAGAGGACATTTTTCGAAACGGAAGCGACGCCGAAGGTCTTCGAGATGCCACATTTGCTGTTGCGACTCGCGCCTCAGACCACCTTATAACTGCTAGGACAATGCTTAAGAATATCCGCGAGAGTCGTGACCCTGGTCATGAGTTTGAACATCTGAATGATGAAGGCCACGAACACAGCCGATATGATGCGGATGGTTCATCATCTGCTGATAAGAGCAGGCAAGAAGTGGAACAAGGATTTGGACTCGTGATGGGTCCGGCTGTGAGCACCCAATTATGGCTCGACAGGTTGCAAAAGGTTGACTTCGACATATTCGACGCAAGCCTCAGGCAAGTCGAGTGGAAATTGCCTTTCGTCGCATGGTTACGGAGAAGGAGGGGACAACTTTGACGTCCGATACTACGGGATTCAACGGCCTAAAAAGCTGTTACACGATAGTGGTTTCAAAGACCCAGACAGCGCATCATGCTTCCATCGTGTTTCTTCGGCTCCTGCTCAGAAGCATGGCGTCGCCTTTCTTCCCGAGTATCGCTTCCAGTGCTCCAATGAGGGCCTGAGGATCGTACAACATAACACCTTTGGCGCTTTTCCGACCATATAATTTAAGGCAATCGATGCCCACAGCTGCAAGGCGCTCTTTGTCGACCTTCGGAGTTCCCTCCCCGTTGAGATGTATAACATGAGTGACATACTGTCGATATATTGAGTTTTGCTCGGCTGTTTGCGCCACGTTAGGTGTGCTGCCTGGCACCAGTAAACCGCCATGAGCATCTGTGGACGAAGTTGGCCCTGAGGACTTTAACTTGTTCTCTGAGTGTGACGTGCAAAGTTCTGACCTCCAGGGATGTCCCCGAGATTGCTCGCATGCTCGAGCAATGGCTTCGACGAAATCAAAGGCAGAGAAGGGGTTGGGGCTCGGACCGGTCTCCCGGTCTAGCGAGCCATTGAGAATGAGAATCTTGTGTCGGGCGGTACTGGAGTGCAATGCTTCGCCCACACCTCTGAGCACAATGGATGCCACGACGGAAGTATAGAGGGATCCTATGGAGTAGACAACAGCTTGCGCTTGTTTAACCGCCGAGAGAACGCGCGGATTGGCTGGTGGAAGCATTTCTTGTCCGTAGGGGTTAATGTACCATATGCGCTCTATCCGAGCGGGGAGGTCTTCCTCCTCGTCCTTACTAAAGTTGATGTTCTTCTGACGCAACGTGGGCAGCGTGCCTGGTATATTTGCATCCTCAATCTCCTCGGTGTGATCAACGCTATGACGCGTTCTCGCTGCGATTGGACGACCATCGCCAACTGTCGGCATTGCTAAGGCTGTGGCCGCGGCAGGGTGAGAGATGTTGTTCTGGCCGACAATGACGTCTCCGTTGACCAGACCTGCGGCTATATGGTGGGAGAAGTTGGAGTTAATGCTAGGAATGACACGCACTTCATCTGGTATTGCACAGATACTGCTCAGCAGGTATATGGCCGACTCGAAACTGCCACTGAACAGTCTCGCACCGGTCAAAAAGAGGTTGCCCACACTCGCTGAAGTGAAATCGAATGTCGAGGACGGCCTCGACCGTTTTAAGATCTCAAGGTTCAAGAGGTTGAAAAATGATCGAATGAGTTCCTTTTTGGCCGAAGGTATACCAAGCCACAGATCCGCTGCTCCAGAAACGATCAGTTGCCACTCAGTCGCCGCGTCTACTGAAGACGTAGATGACAGGCGATGGTTGAAGAGATGTGATATGGCCAGACGTTCGGGCGAGGAAGGATCCGTAGGTATGAGTCTGACCAGGCGACTTCGAACATCGCCAATCCCGGGGCCACCAAAGACTCTAATGAGTTCTGAAGAAGAGCCACCGTTGTCGCTGATAGGAATGATGTAGCTGAGGGGACATGATTTGTTCTCGCGCACTGCTTCGAAGACGTCGACAAGGCTGTTTGCAGCGCTTCCACCTGAGAAGACCACTATACCCTTACTGTTGGTCATTTTCGACCAGAGACAGAGGTCAAGGAGCGTAGGAGTGCCGCAATAGAAGGGGAAGGCCGGTCGTACCTAATAACGACGTGACGAGGCTCAGCCTTGCTTTCGGTTAGGTGTCAATTCCCGGATATTCCTGTCGGCGTGGTTGTTTGCGGAAAGACAGCCGCGGGAATGCTCAGCGCTGTTCAACAGCCCCTCCAAGCTGGGGACTTTTAAGGACCACAACGCCGCTAATGATGCTTATTGAGCCCCAAAAGCTTAGCCTTCGCCCCCCCGGAAGAATGCCCCGGAAGAGACCCAGCGTCGCGTGTCTGATAGACATGCAGTATCTTCTCTTCAGTGATCTTGCTAAGACGATCAACACCCACACGCAATCGAGCAAAAAACCATGTCGGTACCAATATAAAGTCAATCCTTATCCTGGTCAGATCCTTCTCAGCCAGCCACAACCTCCTACCGCGCTGGCTGTTCCCTGCTCCATTGACTTTTGCGAAAACTCCTTCACTTCCGCATCGATGCACTTGCGACTTCATCTGGCCAACTGGAAACTACGCATCAGGCCGTGATGCCAACGATCCCGATGCCTCACAGTGGCTCCCATGTCCTGGCTCATCACAGAGATTCCTTAGAGGGTACTGACCACCGCCACTCGAGAGAACGACGAAGATCGCGAGATGTGGAAGCTGAAGGAGCCGAGGGAAATCATCATGTTCACATAAAAGAAAACCCAGAAGTGGCACTGCATAGACATTCTGAAAATGGGGGCGAGTCGCCTTTTCATGGCCTACATCGCACAGACACGGTGAACTCGAAGTCGACCATGAAGTCCTTGCGCAGACGAGGCCGGTCAAACACAAATACCGTGATGTATGGAGCCCAAGATATGGGCAGAACGTCAGGCTGGGCACCTGGGTTGGAGCCCGGTATTGACACGAGTGAACCGGCACCGCCTTACAGTGAAGGTCATCCGACCTCTGTACACTATGAGACTTTGAGGCAGAGGTGTGAAATCACGGTGGTGGATTTCAGCAACGACGCAATGTCGACGTTTGACTTGGATAATGATAATCTCGAGGACTTCCTGAAAAAGCCCGTTGAGCCGTGGGCTGATGTCAGATGGATCAATGTCAATGGCTTGTCCTGGGATGTCATCAGGCTTCTGGGTAATCATAAACATCTACATCCACTCGCAATCGAAGACATGATCAACACCAAAAATCGGACGAAGGTCGACTGGTATAGTGACCATACGTACCTAGTCCTGCCTCTGCAGAAGCTCATCAACCTGGACGAGCAAGAAGATTACGAGTCTTCCGACGACGACGATGACGAGTCTGAGGCCTCAAGATCGATCAGAGATCACGAATCAGAATATCAGACGCGAATTCTCACAGAACGGCGCATGCGCAAACGATTGAAGAACAAGAAAGGTGCCCTCGTTGCGCTTTGGGAGGATATCTTCAAGCCCAAAAAGAGGAAACGGGACGCGACCACCAGCCCACCAGGTTCATTTGAGCACAATCAGATCAACCCGTCCAACTCCTTCCGACATGCCTCCAAGGTCGAGACACCGTGGGCGCCCAAGAAGGTCCGAACCATGCAGCGATACCACTCTGGTCCCAATCAAGACCGCATCGACTTCATGGAGCGTCACGCCGTGCTACGCAACCGAGGGATTGGCGTCTCGATGGAGCAAGTTTCGATATTCCTCTGCTCCGACAGCACGGTCATATCTTTCTTCGAGTACTCGGCCCACGACGTCCAGACGCCCATCATCCGCCGTCTCCAGTCCCCGGGCACCATCCTGCGGCAGTCCGCCGACGCGAGCATGCTGGCCCAAGCCATTCTCGACGCCATGATCGACCTTGCCATCCCGGTGACGACGGCCTACCAAGACGCCATCGGCGACCTGGAACTCGACGTGCTCACGAACCCGGACATCCACGAGTCCAACACGCTGTACATTCTCACGTCGGAGATTTCCATCCTCCGCAACGCCATCGCCCCCGTCGTCCAGCTCATCGGCGCCCTCAAGGACCACAAATCCGACGCCTCGTCGGCCGCCGCGGCCCTCACGGGATCCCGCGTGCCCACGCCGTCCGTGGCGTCCGCGGCCAACGGCAACCCCATGGCGGCCACGCCCGCCGCGAAGAACGGCGGCGGCAGACCGCCCTACGCCAACAAGCAGCATTCGACCTTCGCGTCGGGCGTGCAGATCTCCCCGCTCAGCGTCACGTACCTGGGCGACGTCGAGGACCACGCCCTGCTGATCCAGGACAGCTACGACCAGATGCGCCGCGCGGCCGACAACCTGGTCGACCTGATCTTCAACACCGTGTCGGCGTACCAGAACGAGAGCATGAAGCAGTTGACCATCGTGACCTGCTTCTTCCTGCCGCTGAGCTTCCTGACGGGTTACTTCGGCATGAACTTTTTCCACTTCGACGGCGTCCAGCACCACTCCGACGCCTTCTTCTGGGTCATCGCCGTGCCCGTCTCCTTCCTCGTCTTTCTCCTCCTGATGAGGGACGTCATGGCGCGCCACATCACCCGGTGGGCGAACCGGATGTTGATCAAGAGAGGCCGCAAGAGGAGGTTGCAAAAGAGTTGAGCACGCTTTCTTTCTTTCTGGGGGTCCTTGTAATTTGTAATCAATTGTACAGATCTTGTTTGCTACCGGCTTCTTCTTCTTCTTCTTCTTCTTCTTCTTCTTCTTCTTCTTCTTCTTCGCCGGCTTTTTCCCTGTACATTTTCAAAACATGTGCCTAACTAAACACCTAACTAAACACCGTACGTACCCAAGGGACAGATCTGGTCCTGAGAGTAACGGACTGGTCGCTAGTAACTGAGTGCAAAGCTACTAGGCAGATACGAAAAATACCTAGGTACTAATAAAGTAATAACGTCGAAATACCCAAGTACCCTCTCATCTGTCTCTGTCGGTCGGTCGGACTATTTTGTCGCCTGCCGCATGTCGTTCCTCCATCTTTTTCATGTCCGTTCTGTAACGTTTAGTTTTTTGATGAACATTATATCGCAAGAAGTTCGGTCCTTGGCCAATATCTAACTCTTTTCTGTCTTTTTGGCCGAGGGAAAAGATGATGTTCGATTTGTTATTGTCTGTATCGGACAAAAATACATTATGTCAAAGCCGCCTGGCTTCTCAACCTCATGCCGTCATGAAATGCTATTATCTACTGGGTATCATAAAATCAAGCAAAACATGAGAAAAAAAATCCAATCAACCTGTGTCCGGCCTGTGTTCATCCATCAACTCGACCAGCAAATGCACGACGCTCCAATTTGAATGCCGATGCAATGACGGAAAATGGCAAAAATCAAGTCCTCAAGTCTCAATCTGCTGCCATAAACTCAGCCCACATGAGTGCCTCATCCTCGTCTTCTTCTTCTTCCGCGGGGGCACGTCTTTTCTTACCCGACCTCCTATTCTCTTTCTCGGCGGTCTTTTCCTCCCCTTCATCATCATCATCACTACTAATGGTTTCTGCCTTGACCAACTTCTGTTTCCCCTTGTCTTCCCTCTTCCTCTTCTTCACCAACAGTTTCAACTCGAGTGGCACCAGCGTCCTCGTCAGGCCCGGGAGGTCCTTGATGTCCAGCGGTTTACGACATACCGGACACACCCCCTTGACCCTCCGGCTCGGCGGAATGTCTTCCCGTCTCTGCTGGATTGACCAGGTCAGAGTGTCTATTATGCAGCGGTGGCAAAAGACGTGCCCGCAGATGGTCGCAGTAGGATCCGTGGGGGTCTCCATGCACACGGGACACTTGTACGCCGTCAGCGGTGTCCGGCCTGCCTCTGTTCCTGGATTTTGCGACAGTATCGCTTCCTGCCGCTGTTTGGCCAAGGTCGCTGAGAGTGCGGCGCTGTCGTCTATTTCGGTGAGGTCTACCGATTCTATCGTCGGATCTGTGGATGGGGACGGAGCCTGTCGTCTGTTTCTTCTCGCGGAGGAAGACGAGGAGGAAGAGGGAGGAGACATTTCGGACGGAGATTGTCGTGGTTGATTCTGGGCACGTTCTCTGTTTCTGGCTTGTGTCCGCTCCCAGTGCGAGTGATTTTCTCGTTGACGATTTATGGCTTCCCGATCGACGATCGCCTGTAGACGGTTATGATCGGTGCGTAGGTGAGGCAGGCGAGGAAATGGAGGCATGGAGGCCGGGAAGATTGTTAGGACGGGTAACGTTTCGTTTGCGTCCGGGAGGCTCGAGATTGGGTGGCCGTAGACTGGTTGATCAAGTGTGTTGAGCCCTCTTGGTCTTTGGGTCGAATTGAGATCGTGAGGATGTGTGGTTTGAGAAATGAAATGAGATTCGGGTGAATTGCTTTGTGAATTGCCTTCGGTGAAATCGCCTGCCGATCTCTCGGGTTCACCTGGTCCTGGCCGGCGTGATTGTTCGAATGCGTCCTGCGCTCTTTGCAAGGCCCGGTTCGCACTCTGCAGTGCTCGACTCACGTCATGTACTGTGTCCTGATAGTCCGCTCTAGGTAAGATTGCCTGTCTTCGAGGTTCAGAGTCTGGCATGCCACCGAAAAAGTTGCGGAACAGTCTCGGAGGAGGAAGAAGAGGAGGCTGCGAAGGTCGTTGTGGCGGTGGGAGGAATCGGTGGGGATTGTGATCAACTTGGTGTCCAGAGGGAAAGGATAATAAGTCACCAAAGGGCGTCGGGGGAGTACTCATTCTGAGTCTGATATGGTCCAAAGATGCTACGACTCATGCAATGGGGGTCTCGAAAGAGCGTCGTTTGACAAAGCGACCATTATGATGTGAAGAAAGACAAGGAAGTAGTGATGTAGTTGTGTCTATAGATGTGATAATGATGACCAAACAAACATCCGCCGCAGCCACCGAACAATGTTTCTCCGCAGTTTCGACCGCCACCATTTTGATGTTGGTATTGATAGAATGTAAGTAGGGGAGTCTCGGCGCCAGACTTGCTTTTATATGAAAAGAAAAATTGGGTGCCAGTGACATGCTTCTAAGTCACGGTCTACGTTGATTCAAATTCATCATCGACCTGCCTCTTCCTCTGTTGAAGGCGGATACAGAATCATGCACCACTCATTGTGTCCGCCGAATTCGACTGTCCTGACCAACTGCCATCCCATGTGAAGATAGATATCCCTCGCGTGCGGACTCGTGGTTGCAAGCCAGATCGGGTTGCCCTCTGCTGCAGCTCGATCCATTGAAGGCTGTAGAACAGCTCTCACGGCGCCAGGCACTGCGGACTTCCTGGGATCACGACCAAGCAAACGTAGCCACCAAAACTCCTGTCCGTGTTTGGACCAGATCAATTCATCCCGGACTTTGTCCACCTCCTGCTCTAGACCATCTATCGAAATCTCTTTATCCAGGTCCGGTGTATCGCTGGATGTTTTAGGTGCTTCATGCGAGCCTGGAGGGCACCAGGCGGCGAATGCCGCAAAATCACCCGATTCCGCAATGAAAGCGCCAGCGTTGACTCCGGCTGTCAGGAAATCCTTGATGACAGCGTGATACGATGGGAGTAGCTTCTCCTCCGACTCTTCCTCGCCTTTGCCGTCCGTGTCTCCTTTAATTAAGACTCTCCAGACAGGATTGGGCAGCATCGCATGGGCCAATGCCCAGGACATCTTTTCAACGTATTCCATTGACGAACTGATGGTCACTCTTGGAAGCTCTGGGTTCATTCTCCGACTCCCTTCGTCTGAAGTTGCGGGAGCTGCACTCGTCGCTGTAACTGGTATGTCATCTACCATGTTGTGAACACAATTGGGAATGGTACAATATTCTTCCTGACTCTGTGAGCCGTGGACGAAGCATATAACGCTTAGGACGCTGAAGGAATGTACCAAGTCCGTGAGTGAAACAAGGATAGTAAATGCTGAAGCACTGCATCCGATACTCTGGATCAGAGAGATACGTAGATAGCATTCTGTCCAGAGGGACTACAGGCTAAACTATGACTGGTATAGCACACTGTGCGAGTACGTGATGTTTCAAGTTGGAGTAGGTGCTGCAGCATAGTTAGCACACCTTCTCGTGTCGGTACCTGGATGTTCGACGAGGTCTTTGCTACATGGCTGTGACAATTCTTGACGATTTCGTCAAGGGGTGATAGGGGTGGTTGAAGGTGCCAAGCCGAGGCTGTGATGTTGTACCATGGTCGCGATGAAGAGACTCCGGTTTGTGAATGCGTCGACAGTTAGCAAACACCCCCAGTATGAGGCTTCGGCCACATGGGAAGGGTCTACTTGCCCTATGATCCAGCACTCACTCGACAGTTATCAAGGAACAATGGCGGGAGCATTCTGCGCCTAACTCTTTTCTACAAGTACAACCGTAGGAAACATAAGATACCTTAGGAAGGTAAGTGAAGGGAGTTTACCGCGAGCCCGGGCGTCTTCAGCAACTTTAAATGTGCGCCCAAAGATAAGCCATCGTCTCAATCCTTGACTAATGAAGTACTCTGGATTGGAGGACTCGACGAAATGGTTCCATCATTTCCTATGACAACAAGTTGTATCTCCCCCAGCAGGTGCCCATGTCGGGGATGTTCGAATGTATCCAAATAGGTAGGAGAGGTTGCTTGTCTACAAACTAATCGGGAACCACATCTCAAATAGAAATAACATTCCGACGACATCCTCATACGTCCCTCAGTTCCATCTGCTACCACTGAACCCGCAAAGGAAGTTGTGTACCGTACACTCGGTTTCGAGAATTATTCAAGTGAGTACTCGGGGAAGAGTTTGTCAAGATGGGACGGTCACGCACCCTCGAGTATCCCAAGACGCCAATCAACAAGGTCAACCGATACAATGTACGAGGTAAGGTCCCCCCCGCCCAACTGATCCTTTGACCTTTACTTGCGTCAAAAAGTAAAGAAAAACAAATCCCCTACGACGATGCTAACAACTTGGGCCATCTTTGCCTGGCACGGACAGAAACATACGACCTCGAAGCCATCCACTCCATCATCAACGAAAGTACTTATGTCAACGTCTCCTTCAACACTCCGGACCCGTCCAACCCTTTCCCCGTGACGTTGCCCATGGTCGGGGTGGCCGCGAGTTTCGACCACCCCTCCTCCTCCCTGGGCGAACCTCTGGACATTTACGTGCACGGGTACGTGAGCGCGAGACTGATGAATCTCTCCCGCACGACGCCTGGCACGGACGACTCGCAGCGACAGGAGCACGAAGGCCTCCCCGTGACCATCTCGGCGACAAAAGTCGACGGCCTCATCCTCAGCCTGACCCCGTACACGCACGACATCAACTACCGCTCCGTCGCGGTCTACGGCTACGCCACGGTCGTGACGTCTCCCGAGGAGAAGCTCTGGGCCATGGAGGCCGTCACCAACAGCGTCGTCGCCGACCGCTGGCGCCACACCCGCGTCCCGCCCGTGTCCGCCGAGGTGTCGTCGACCTCGATCCTCAAGGTCAAGGTCGTCGGTGGCAGCGGCAAGATCCGCGTCGGCGGGCCGCGCGACGAGAAAAAGGACACCGACCAAGCCGACCTCGTGGACAGCATCTGGACCGGCGTGATCCCCATTTACGACCATTTTGGCGAGCCGGTGGCGGGCAGGGACAATAAAGTGTCCGGTGTGCCGGAACATGTAACCAAGTTTGCCAAGGAGATGAGGGAGCGCAACGAGCGCTATGCGATGGATGTCATCAAAGACACGAGTCAGGACTATTGAAGCGGCCTTTTTTCCCCTTCCCTCTGGGCGGTCGAGGGGGAATAACAGGTCCGGATAACGAATATACTGTACGTGCCAGTACAGTTTGTTTGGCATGTTGACATGTATGGGGCTACGTTAGGTACTGTAAGGTGTTCTTCACCAAGCAATTGAGTAATGTCTCTTTATCCAATACATGACTTCAATCTCATACCTGTAGGCTCGTCGCGTTCGCACAGTTTCAGATCATTGAACATAGGCTCTGGCCGTGAGCGTTCAAGGAGAAAATACTAAGCGTGTGACACGCATTCCCAACATCTGCCAAACAAATACCCGCTACAAACGGACTCGATGGCAGGGCCCCATTTATATATGAGGTAGACAGACTTCATTAGTAGTGGTTGCCCGAAACAATCCACCGACAGACATCTAGACCGGCTTCGAGGATGAATGTTCTCGCCAACCTCAAAACCGCGATCCTTGAAAAGATCGAGCGGATCAAGGCTCGATTTCGCAAACAACCCCGTCCAGTCTCAGAGCACCGCGATGTCACAATTGTAAATCAATTAACACACCCTTCTGAAAGGCACAAACACTGAAGAAACCGCTGTAGGGCCAACCCACCGACTTTCGCCGCGAGGATGTCCATGTCCAAATGACCCTGAAGGAAATGCAGTGATGGTGCGCGGGCCGGATTGAGAATCGGGGGCCGAAAGGGCACTTGGTGTTGGGCCGCAACATGTATCATGTCAACGGCGCATTTGGACGATCCATCTCAGGAGTCCTCTCACCATGCCTAGAACGTTCTGAACGAAACACGCCACGTGCAAAACGACAAACATGCCGCCGAGCCGAGACGTATTGGACGTGATATTCTCTACCAGAAGACCATCGTCTCATTTGCCTTGGAGGAACTCTTGTCTGCCTCCTCTGAATTATTGAAGGTTGTCTTGGGTATTTGTTGAGCTGCAGATTTGACTTCAAATGATGAACATTGGCACCTCTTCTAGCCTTGATTTCTCCTCCTGTTCCTTCAGCTGGCGTGTACGTAACCGATCCTTGTGTTGTCTTGACGTAGTTTGTGATCGGCGCAAGAAAGACTGGCCGATACCTTGCTCATTACTCTCCTTGTCAACGCTCCTAAGTTCCGGCGAAATAGGCTGGGGCCGGTCTTGATTGTGTCTTTGTCTTGTAGTCGTTGCTACTCTAATTCTCGAAGCTTTGCCGAGCGTTGTCCTCGACGTAGACGAGGTTGCACGGGTCGATAGATCATCGTCCCGGATCATCGGAGCTTTGCCCACATGCTTTCTATCCCAGCTCAGGTCATCGCTTTCTGAGTCCTTGCCGGAAGAGCCACTGCTATTAGGTCTGACGAAACCCATCCCGGCTTTCGTGTTGCTCGATATCTTCTCCAGCCCAAGGAGAGATGTCTTGCCTGGGTTGCTGCCTGTCATCAGTGGAGCGAGACTTGTGCCTGACCAAAGATCGTCTCCTGCGTCTTCCTCCTCATCCACAGCTGAGCGACCCAACACCCTCTGCAATACGTCCTTTTGCCTATGTTGCAGAGCATCCGCCTTCAGTCTCTGCTTGGCCTGCTTCGACATCGGAGAGGTTGGTTCTGGCAGAGCCTTAGGAGGTGCCTCGCGAGCTTGTTTCACCAGTCTCTTGTACTCGGCCAAATGAAGGTGTGCGGTGTAGCTTTGCGCGACAGTATTGAACTCATCTTCGACCATGATGTAGATGTCATCTCCGTCATAGCCGTCGTGCATCAACCTGTACAGCACCTTAGCAATGCAAGTTACCCTTGTAGCCCTGTACTCACTCGCTGGACGGCGGTGCTTTGACAGGCGATGAAGTAGGCGTTGCACCTGCCTCAGGTCAGCTCGAAGTCACAGCATGCATGTCTTGCAACTGACCGCGGTCTCGCTTTGCTGGAGTGCGATCAGACAGGTTCTCTTGTGCCGGAGTTTCTACCGCCTCACTCAATCTACCAAGTGCAGGAGGAGAGGATGGCTCTGTATGTGATCGCACTGAGCCAATTGTACGTTGCTTCTTGGGCGGTGGTGCATGATCGGTTGTCCATGGCAAGGTGCGAGCCATGTCGAAGAATGAAATGCGGGCTGCCTCTGGGGCCTGAATCAAGGTGGATTGGCGCGGCTCGGATGATGCTCAAGAAACGTTGTGTACATTTCTAATGCGCTTAATGTAGTGGGGAGATTGCTACAGGTGCTGTATTATGTTGTGCAGTACCTTCAATCCCACTGCTTTGGCAAACGAGGTGAAAACTACTGCTTTGTTGAAGGTAATCACTAGGTAAACCTTACGCGGAGATCAGCCTTGGGGAGCGGCGAGGCTGCGCAAATGCCCACACCCCGCCTGGCTGCTCCTCATTCATAGGTGAAAGTGATCTCGAAGAGTGGCACAGAAGCATGGAAGTTATGGTAGATCCGGCGAACCGCCATTCTGATCTAGTCTTGATGATTTATACCTTCTGCTGCAATATCGCAACAGACGCGGGCCCAATTTTATTCCTGTATAACGCCAAAATTTGGGTATCATAACTCAGATAGTTTTGAGCCAACCACTAGCCCATGAACTCCATAGCATGCAACGTTGAATAGTCGTCGTAAAAATCATCCCAGGCTGCTCTGATGTCTTTCTCCAAGTAACCGGCCGCCGTGAAAGACAGCATGAACGTCAAACCAGGCCCAGAAGATTGTGATATTGCCAGTATCAAGGCTCTCCGGGCTTCTTAGAATTACAGCTGACGATTTTGACTTTTTCGGCCTGGAACTCCTGCCCTCCATCACTCTTGAACTTGACTTTTTTCACAAGGAATGTCCAGACATCATCGCAGAATCGGTATGTTTCTAGGTGGCCCTATACAAATCTCAGTATTTTCGATGGCAGACGAAGTGTCCTTACACACCTTGAATGTGAGCCTCGATTTGACCTTCTCAGCGAGATTGTCGGCTATCGCGCGATCGAAATTGGCTAGAATCTTCATTGCCAACTGGGGTTCGATGCGGCCATCGTTGATCAGGTCATCGATGGTGTCAATGAGCGACAAGCCGATGCTGTATTAACCAGTCAATTGTTGTCCCAGACAAGATCCAAGTTGAAAGCGAAGGCGAAAATGAAACCAAGAGCAAGATGCCCGCACGATATTGGGCTAACCTACCTACTACCACGGTAGAGTTCGTAATACTGTTGTTGCGTTGCTGCAGCCATTGATTCACCTCTTCCCGCTCACTCGTGGGCAATTGAAAGAGACCAGTTTATTGTGAGGTGATAAGGGTAGTCCGGGAGAAAGCGAGTGGCAGGAATGATGGCAGAAGAATTGTGTTAGAGAACTTGGGTATGTAGATTAAGAACGACGTGAGTAACTCAACGGCGGCGCAGGCAGCGTCTATGTCGTCTATTGGCCGGAACGAAAACGCTAGTGACTAACTGATGATTGGCTGCAATGCTCTCTCTCCTGACGCAAATACCTACAACGATGACTTACGTAGTGCCAGGCAATGCACTTGGACGTGAAGAAAACCTGAAGTATGGCAATCACTGTTCGCATGATCATCGCACACATCTACACGTAATCATCGCAGGTGGTGTTGAGGGAGAATCATGTCTCTGCTGCGCATAACAACATCGCCACGGACTTTTGTATGCCGTCCTTCCAGGATGACAATGCAAAGACTGGCAATCTCCACTACCTCACCAAGTGGTGTCAATAAAAGTTCTAACAAGCAAGCTAATTCTGAAAAGAGCCATAAAGCAACCGAGAAGACGAAGGAGTCTCACAAGAGCGTGGCGCAAACCGATGAAGATATGCGTAGCATAATGGAGGCCTTGTCTGGAGATGGGGGCGCTGCTGGTGCGGAATTGGAAGATGGAAAGCCAGTTGCAATGAAGCGGAGTGTCAGAGATAACATGTTCAGATATATCTGATGCTTTCTCATGTCGAGCAGTGTGGCAGCGCCAGCGGGAAAAGGAGAATCCAACCAGTCAAAGGAGAATGCCATTCCGGGGTATAATGCAACACAACAAAATCAAAAATCACCTGGTCACCACCATCGCTGCGGAAATATACCTCAATTGGTCCCTTTGTTGTACAAATCACTGACATCCCCAACGAGATCCTTCACCGCGCTACCGCCCGGGCAGTCATACCACTTCCCACCATCTCGAACACACCGGACCTCGCCCGCAAGTCTGACGGTGCAACTCTTTGTAACATTGTATTCTTCACTTCTTTCGATGCTCGACCGAAGGAGGCCAATACCTTCACCCTCATCACTAATACAACCATTCAACTTGGAGAAGTCGATGCCGTGCTCCATCGCGCAGCTCTCAACTAGGTCTCGATTGGGGATATCAGGGTAATCTGAGATCATGCAATTCGCAAACCCGAGCCAGATCTTGACGTCTGGGTAAACTTTGGCGGCACAGAGGAGGATTTCGTTCCCGAGGCATTCGCCAGGGCCGTGTTTGCAAGAGACTGCATCAGACTTGGGGTCGACGCTAAAGAGCATGTAAGCAAAGAATATAGCTCTTTTGAGTCTAGCATAGAATACCTTCCGATGAACGACATCGTGAAGTTGACTTTATCACTGACTTCCACCATGGTCGGCAGTATCAGATCCCGCAGGCAGTCCCTTGCATCGGGGCACTTTGACATGACGTGAATCTCGAGGGGAACCTTTTCTGAATCTTCATCGACAGCCACTTGCGAGAACGATTTTGCAGGGTCATAGTGGTGACGGCAGACAAATGCGGCGCGAAACAGTGAGAAAAGTGCCACCAATGTCAAGATGGCGGGTATGATGCGTCTGATCCATTGCCGTTGGGGAGTATATCTCTCTGCTCGCGGTTGTTCGTAGGAGGGCTTTCTGAGAGACGCGGAGACCGGAAACTTGTCTTCCGGAAGACGGGAATACCGTGAAGCCATCAAGTCAAGTAACTAATTCAGCGGTGAGGAGAATCACGGTCTTGTGAGGGACAATTTCCATACGACCTGTGTTGTCCGCACGACACGGAGTACTTGTCGAGGCGCATGTGGTAGCGGGTCATAAAGCTAGCGTACAAAGTACGGAGTGAGTACGAGTACGAGCACAGGGCCATTTGCACTCCCGACAACGGCGACTTAAAGCAGCAATGAAACGGAGGAGACCGTTAGTTTTCCTGGTCGTGATGAGGATTAACTAATACTCCTACTCCGTATTTATGGTACCCAATGTTAAGATGCGTAGAGCCTGGCCCTCCACAGCACTAGGTACTCAAGGTACAATCTCTGGCTGCTCCGTACAGTATCATTGACAAACTATAATTGTCTATGGAATTCGGAGTAGATACCTTGAGGCTCGCCCTCGGGATCCGGTTCACTTCCGGGCTGTTCTCGATTTGCAGTTCCAATCTATGTGTCTTGTGCAACCCACTTGAGGTTGGCATGGGCATCTCAGCTGGCTGGCGAGGCGCCCTTCTGTCCGCTATCGCAGGGTTTGCCCATCCCTCTAAGCAGAAAACGGGTCATCACCATGAAGCCTAGTAGCACTTTGACATGTCAAATCGTCGGCCTGTGACTCGCCTGTCCCTCTCTGGCGCCGGTTCTTAGTCTAATCAGCCCTTGTAGCCATGTGGCAGGAGGGCCTTCGGTGGGCAGCCTATGTCTCTTTTGGTATTTGGGTGCAGCCGTGGTGCAGGTTCCCCAGTTTATCGGCGGCCTCGCGTTATTAGTGAACATGTTGACCGTCGTATTCGTGACTTTGGCCGGGGAGCCGTGTTTATTGGTTCGTAGGTCTGTGCGATGCCGGAAGGACGAGCTTCAAACACTGGAAATCTAATTGAGGCTGACTACACTACGCTCGATCTTCCTTCCTTCTCCCCAGCGTCACATCCGACTCCAGGGTGACATCTGCCTGGACCATGAAACATTGAACATTGATCTTCAGCTATCTGAGTCACGCTGCCTTTGCGACACCTGAGTCTCGCAATACAAAAAACTGCCATTGAAGATTACACAAAGAACCAAATCTCTGGGCCTTCTTACTCTCCGAAACTCGCCCAGTGTTTCAGCGACTCTCCCCATTCGCACCCGGCGCCCAATGCTGGATGCCTTGCACGTGAACAGCCTTCCCGACTTTCACACCACTCAAGTCCTGGCCTCCTCACGCGCTTCTCATATATCACGACACCATGTCTGAACGGGCTTCAGCGCCATCGGCCAGTAATGGCAGCCCGCCGCCAGACGACGTGGAAGCTGAGCTCGAGTCTTTTGTCCAGCCGCTGCTTATCGATGATACCGTGGTCCATAACCTGGCCTATCAGTTCTCAAAAGTCTACCATGAACTTGCACTCCATTCTGAAGAACAGTTTCTCCCGACGCCGGTGACTGAGCTACCTTCGGGCCATGAGACAGGTCAATTCCTCGCCATCGATGTCGGCGGCACCAATTTGCGTGTTGCTTTCATCGAACTACTGGGGGATGCTGATGACCTCGCATCGTCCGCTCAAGGCCAGGACAAGTCACGTGAGACCATCAGAAATGCCCAGCGACCGCGTGTACGACGGACCTTGGAGAAGGCCTGGCCTATTGGCGAACATCTGAAAATGGACAAAACTGATGACCTTTTTGCCTGGATTGGTGATTGTATCGCGGAAGTCGTATGGGACCGACTTAGTTCGGATACTGGCAAGGTAGAAGTCCCGGAGGAACTCCCAATGGGCATTACTTTCAGCTTTCCCATGATGTAAGTTACTGGTTCTGAATGAAGAACAGACTGCTTTGCTCCATGCTAACATGTGATTTAGGCAAGAGAAGCTCGACTCAGCGACGCTGATGCCCATGGGCAAAGGCTTCACGATAACTTCCGACCTTGATCTGGGTTCCACCTTGCTGCAAGGCTACGCTCGACATACCAGACAGCAACAAAGCAACGACTCATCCCCACGCGCAAAGAGAAGGAAACTTGGCCCACTCCCCCGACTAAAGATTGCTGCCATCACCAATGACACTATCGCCACTCTTGCATCATTAGCATACAGTGTCAAGTCGCTGCCAAATTCTAGAGTTGTTGCCGGCATCATTGTCGGAACTGGCTGCAACGCCACGGTGCCCATGAAATTCTCAAGCTTGGGCGAGGCCAAAGCTACCTCGATTCGCAAGAACAAGCCAGAAGCAACAGAGACTGTTGTCAATACTGAAATCACAATCGCTGGTGCCTGTGGACCACTACAATCCATCACCACCGATTGGGATCGTGAATTGGATGCGGCATGTGCACGACCGGGTTTCCAACCTCTGGAGTACATGACAGGAGGTAGGTATATAGGAGAGCTGGTGCGCATCATATTCCACGATTACATGACCAGAGCACATAAGCCGCCAGTTCCATCAACCTCACTTCCCGCTACTATCGTCCATCCATACAGCTTCACCACGACCTTCGTCAGCGCGGTAGTTGCACGGTCAAGGACCAATGCAGAACTGGCAGGAGAATTGAAGCGTCGAATGCCACCGCCAGAATCGTCCAACTGGGGCTGGACGCCACACTCAGCGGGAGCCTTGCGCAGAATAGCGCATCTTGTTCAAGTTCGTTCCGCGGGGCTCATCGCCGCTACGACTGTCGGCCTCCTTGCTACCGTCGGCGAGATTGCATTGTCCGAGCCAGGCAGCCCTGCCTCACTTCCAGACGCGGTCTTCACATCAGACAGCAAGCCTTCGTCCCCAAAGAACAGCCATCTGGCGCTACCTTCACATGATGTGCGTGATGGGCTCTCGCCAGCCCCAGGCGCCACGGCTTGGAAGTCAGGACCGGAAGAGCTTGTTATTGCGTATACTGGAGGGATCATTCAGCATTATCCTAACTTTAAAGAACAATGTCAGCGGTTCATCGACCGACTTGTGATGCGAGCAGGACCGCAAGACGGTGGCAAGAGTGTCTTCTTGCGGGAGGCTCGCGACGGTGGCATTATTGGCGCCGGGGTTTTGGCAGGGCAACAGGCCTCCTTGTCGCCGCGTTAATCCCTCTAGTCGGTGGCGCAATCATTGCAGTACGAAAAGCCCGAATCGAATTGCGTATCAGCTCCGCTCCCCCAGTTACCTCGCTAAGAACTGCAGACTGGTAAGGGCAAGAGACGGTGACGACAAAAAATTAATCTTATTTGGGAAGCTACAGCAATTTTTTTCTGGAAGAACTCCGGCGCGCACCGACAGGATATGGGTGATTATTGGACAAAGGTATTTGCAGGTTGGATGGTATCATTTCGGGAGATAGATGTCGTCGTTTACCAGTCTGATTTGTGGTGTGAGGAATCAGATGCCAGGGACATCTGGCTAGTTTGACACGCAGACACCAAAGCAGCAAACTGGCCGTGTGGCTTGAGGAATTCCATATTATCGAGGGCTTACGGGCGCCGGAGCGTTGAAAGCGTGCTGCTAAATAAAAAGCGAAACAGGAGTGCTTGAAGGAATGGCTCACCAGACTGGGGGCTATATGTGAGCGTGGTTGTAAGCGAGGCGAAGTACGGAGTACGGAGTTGCGGGATCACAATACTGAGTTCCAGGCTAAGAAGAGGCGCCTATTTGTTTGAAAGCGGGGGAAACTGTAACAAGGGCTCGCCTGGCTCTTCTCCAGGTTGCAGCAGAATGTACTCACGCAAAGTCATTTTCAGACGCAGAAGATTACCATGTGCGGTCATACAGATAATCGACAGGAGAAAGGATGTACGTAGGTGCCTTGTAAAGACCATACTCTGTTGTACGAATGAATGAATGAAAGATGATCGTACGATGACAAGAATTTCCTTGCGTACGAGTACTTTTATCCGCAACCCGGGCATCGGACTTGATACTGTTAACGTCAAGGGTTGTCTACTGAAAGCGAGTCTAGCAGGGAAGATGACACCAACCATGACCTTCGTCCTCCAACCATAAGCTGGCCTAGTTTTGTACAAAGCCCAAGGATCGGGAAACATGTCGCTCGGGCCTTCGGCAAAGCTCTGGCCACAACAATGTGTGGTATGTTCCGTCGAAACAGCTGCCTCAAATGTCCCATGACTTTGAGACGTGGCAGTCGATGCGCGTGTTGCTCTGGTCGGGCGAGGAATTTCGACCAGGTCAAATTCCAATCTGAGCCTGCTGTACGACATCTACACGGTCACAGCAGGAGCGAAATGGAGCGTGAAGAGAATAGAAGTCGCCGGGGCACACGAGGGAGGAATGGAGGCAGGGTTCGTGCTCGACTCGGCTAAATTGAGCGAGACGCTGATCCCTCAGGCACAACTGCGTAAGTCATTACCCCGTACTCGTACCTACGGAGTACAAGCCCCTGGGCGATACGAGTATGGATTTGTTAGCCAAAGTCGACGAAGGGTGGGCAATAACCCCGAAGAGCAAGGCGATTGCGTAAGACCAACAGTAGCGCAGCCAGCAGGGAAATGAAGAGGAGAGGAGAACAACTCCCCCCTAGAGCAAAGAGGGTACAGTATAGCAAGGTGGTTTGAGTGCATCTTCACCGCCCGTAAAAAGTACGTACAGGGAGCATGGTCACGAGAGCAGATACCCCCTGGAGCCCCTGTAGGCAAAGGAATGAGGCCTGGATCGCATTCGTGGACCCTCTGTTGCCAGGAGCCATTGTGACGAGTTTCTGGCCTCGTGAGTAAGAGAAAGGTTGGACAGTCGAGGGTCTTTGTGTTTCCGTAGGTACTGTACCTATATACCTGGCTCGTCCACATGTTTCTACTCGTACCAGAGAAAAAGAGGAACAGAGACTCGAGCAAGTGTGCGTTCCATACGGATGCAGAAACAAGCTCCACCCTCGAGATTCTCGGTTGCATCGAGGCCTCAGGTTAAAACCCTGGAAGCAGCTTTTGCAAATTGAGGGTTATTGCTCCGTCCTTCTTACTAAATGCTTGACTGGGGGGGCTGAATAGAACTGCCTTTTTTGCCGTCTATCCATCCCGCCTTTTCGCTCCCACCTCGTTCTCATCCTGCGCACTCCATTCAACCGTCACCACACCTTTCATTTTAATTGCTCAACACTACCACAGTCCTAGAACTCGACACTCCTTCCGCTCGTTCTTACGCACCTCTTTCCTCCCTGATTTACCCTCAGCGATATATACAGCAGAAAAGTACAATAACTATCACCACTGCTTCTCATTCGCCCCAACCGAAACCCGCACTCTTTGTCTCCGAGACCGTCCCTCGAGTCTGGCCATGCGCATTGTCTCGCGAGATCGCCTTTGATGGGCGGACCCCGACAGCAGTTCTCTCTCCCTCCGCCACCGTTTCACTCTTGCGCCTGCCGCCAACAATGAGCCCGATACCCAGGGCTCACCATGTCTTGCATACCCTGCTGCGGCGGGAAGACCAAGAGGTCAACAAGCCCACCGACCCCCACGGGTTGGTTCTTGAAGCATGGGCTGAAGGATTCATGATCGGCTCACTCATAATCATGTCCTGCATAACATTGGCCAATATGCGTAGAGGGGTTCTATTACACAAGCTCATTTTGCTCGAGGTAAGTGCTCTGGGATCCTCATTGCGACGAAGTGAATAGGCACTGACGCTCGATTTTCACCTACAGCTCGTCCTGGGCTATTGGCAAGGCTTCTTCATTCTATTTGACCCTCCCATTTACGCCTGGTGGCTTTCCGTGGCCGCCATTTTCCTCAATATCTCCTGGTCTTTGCACAATGTCATTGCGTGGATGAAGATCCGACCATTCCTGAACAAAACTGCCAGTCGACTATTCATTGGCACCATCATCCTTGTCCAACCGTATTGGGTGGTGGAGATTTATGCCAACTTCACATACTTCCATAACATCAACAAAGTCTTCCTTAAGACGAGGCCATGGGAGGCGCTGTGTCGCGACCCATGGTGGGTGCTAGCCGCCTGCATCCTGTTCTACAACATCAAAACAAAATACGATCTCACCTTGGTGCAAATCGTCCGAATCTCACCCCGCTTTGCAGTCATGTTGGGCGCAATGATTCTGAGCATCTGTTTCATAGTCCTGGATGTGCTGTCCGTTACATCAGCACTCAAGTCTGCCCTCCCGGTCGGGATCAATCCTTTCTGGAAATTGTCGTTCGTCTTCAAGTGTCTGACTGATTCCGTGGTGCTGGACGACTTTAAGACTGCTCTGGATCGCCTCAGAGCCTTCAAGCTGAGTCGCTTGGGCAGTTTCGCCATGGATGGCGCAGATACACGAGCAAAGCAACATATGGACGATGTCATAAAGGCGAACAACTGGTCTTCGCCGCCGCCATCGGGAGATCGGGCTCAACCTGTCAGCCCCTTGCCAGACATGCCCAGAAGCCCCGATGGTGACTATATCAATCCGCCATGGGAGGAACTCAAACCTGGACCAACTCATCACATCGAAGATGAGCGGTTTGCCGCTGTGGCAAGAAATGCGTCAAGGGATCGTGACGCCGAAGAAAACGGGTTCGACGCAATCGATTATGCTGACCCGCAACGAGAGTCCAGTGATGCACATATACTTCGATCTCAATCCAGCTGGCCTGGCAGGAGGTCATCCGAGGAGACATCTGATGCTGATATCGAGTATGCGATGGCCGTAAGGCAAATGACTAATGAGTCGATGGAAAACGATCGAAAAAGAGCCAAGGGAACAAGAGGTATTGCAAGATGACCCTGACGAAAGTTTGTCAGAACACCAGTATTCACGGTGCTGCCTCATGCTCGCAGATCGCCTTCTAGAGGTAGCCAGGAAATGATTTTGGCCGCCTGGATCTTCTGTCATACAAATAAACCTGCCGAGGCCCTTCGGCGACCTACCAGCGGGCATTACGAGATCCGTGCACATACTTTCACATTTTTTAAGGGTTCGAAAGGTATGACGACTCTCAGTGCATCCTCAGTCCGAGCTACAGAAGCAGAGCAACTGCACAGAGCCGCCTATCGGCAGTTTCGTAATTGGGAAGCCGAACAGGGCGCGCTGTCAACTGTCAATTGCTGGACTTGCCTTTCGACAGGATGCTAAAAACCTAGACCTAGCATAATCCGTTCATGGGGGAGTTGGCTGGTTGCTGACCCGGACATGATGTTTGCGCGATGAGATAATAACGTTGAGACTTTGGGCCAGATCTTGCGGTTGATGATTGATTGTGATACCCTCAGCGATTTGACGACATATAGGGAAAACGTTCAGAGAAACGTTTAATAAAATTCAGTGCTGGGTATTTCCGGCGATACAGGTACTAAACGATTGCTCTTCTATATCCGGATATTCTTCAAAGTTCTAGGTCTCTTGATAGCCAAATGTCCTCGTGGCCCCTTTCATTCGGAGAATTGATCTGATCGGGGCCCTTTGGGCTATTGACTAAAGCTGGATTAAGCCTAATGCTCCCTGAAGCCGTGCCGTAGCCCTGAAGAATGAACGGGCTTAATAGGCTTGAATTCGCCCATCTGGCCACTGTCGTCACATGCAGTAGATGCCATTGGCGGGCAGGTGCGGCTTATAATTCAGGCTTGGCGACGGGGCTCACGTAGGCGCCTTCCCTGTGCTGGCCAAAAGACGCGTTTCTTTGCGCGATCTCCAGGTTTACTTTATCCGCAGACTGACAGTCTACGTTGTTTGTGCCACGAGAAACAATTCCATCTATCCCATGAACCCCCTCTATCATCAGCATTGTACCGGCGTTCAAGGGCCTCGAGGCTGGCCAATGTCGGAAACATCGAATTTGTCCCGCTTGATTTCTTGATTTTATTGTCATGGGGGACGTCCTGTCGCCTACTGCTCCTAATGGGGCTTCCGCACCCGCTTTGGTAGAAGCAGATCCTTTGAATGTTCTCGAACACATCGCCAACCTCATCGAAATCACACTCGGTGCTGCGCGGAGGGAACTCGAAGCTGTAGGGAGCCTGTTGTCCAAACCAGACCGTGCAGATTCACTCGAAAAATGTGCCAAATTTGCGAGCGATTCGCAGGTCACCCTGTTTGCGCAGAAGGACATCAGGGAAAGCCTGGTCAACGGCCATGACGAGAGCCCAAGTCAGTTCACCGAAGGGACTGTACAGTCTGATTCTAATTGTTTTACAGAAATTGAGCATAGCTACATACTATCGTCTGAGTTGGCTCCCTCCTCGACGACCGTCGCCTCGATTGCTCTCCTCAAACTATCTGGTCCCCTCGATTCCCGAAAGCCTCTTGCACATCAGATACAGGTCTTTAACCTTCCAGGTTCCTACGCTATCGATAGCGAAGTAGCCACTAGTTCCGAACTCGCCTCACCTTATACCGTTGTCTACTCACTACTACATAATGTACTTGGCCCATACTTTGACGCATATACGAGGAGAGGCGGTTCCGGAAACCGTAGTTGGTACGATGCCCAAGCCAAAGGTGGTGTGCCTGGAGCGAAGAGGCGGATGAAGGAATTGGAGATTAGCCTTCTGAACTTGCAGCAAAACACTGATATTCCGCTTGTTCACCTGCCCCTACACGAGGTCGTGGTAGACACCTTACAAGATGCCACGGCTCAGGGTGTCCCACCCGCTGTCCAGCTCATTCCTACACATATCTTGGAAAACACCACCGTGCAAAACAGTCTTACGAATACCGTCAACGGATGGATCAAGTCAATACAAGCCCTGACCAAGCTCGCAAAGGACCTTTCTGGCGCTCAAGCGACTGCTGCTCAAGAAATAAACTTTTGGTTGAACCTCGAATCCGCCCTCGCAAAGTTGGGAGACGAATTGGAATCGCCAGGGGTCAAACTGACCATGGACATATTGAAGAAGGCGAAACGGCAGCAGCAGGTTATTGGGTTTGACACCGACACCGGGTTGAAAGAGGCTCGGGATATCGTGCACAATTACAACACCCTTATGCGTGATTTCCCCCTCGACGAACTCTCGTCTGCAGGTTCATTGGAAAAGGTGGTGGATGCACTGGACTCTATCTTCGGCCATCTCAACAAAAAATGGAGGGTTTGCAACTATCCAATTCGACGAGCATTGAAACTTGTTGAAGGTATCTCTGCGGAGTTGAACACCCAAGTGCACAATCTGCTTCAGGGAAGGTCAATCATGTCTTCGAGCTACAAGGACTTCCAGAAACTGATGGAGTCCGTCAATAAGGTGTGGACAACTTGGGACGATCACCTGAAGAGCTTTACCGCAGTCGCACGAGAGATCACCAGACGCAAGAACAACGATTTTGTTCCAGTGAAAATTTCTTCTCAACATGCCCAGACACAAGAGCGGCTACGGTATGTGAACCAATTTCGAAATAATCATGAACAATTACTCCAGACGATTGTGAACGTCCTTGGCGCGAAGTCGACGGCTTCTGGCCAAACGGCGCCTCCTGATGAAGGCGGTGCCGCGATCATAGAAGAGCTTGGTGATGTCGATGCTGTCGACGAGGTCAACGCCGCGTATGAAGTCGTCAGGCATGTAAATGTGCTCGAAGTTTCAGACGAGGGTACGAGAGTCTGGGTTGATGCAGAGAATCAATACACGGAGAGGACATCTCGTGTTGAAGATTCCATCATTGCACGACTGAGAGACCGCCTGGGCAAGGCAAAGACCGCCAACGAGATGTTTCGGGTGTTTGAAAAGTTCAATGCGTTGCTTGTCAGACAAAAGGTCAGAAGCGCTATAGCGTCATATCAGGCACAACTCCTGGACAACGTCAAAAGCGCCATTGCAGCTCTGCACGAGCGTTTCAAGCAGCAATATGGCGGTTCTGAAGCACAAATGATGGCACAGCTTCGTGATATTCCTCCCGTGGCTGGTGCAATTCTTTGGGTGCGACAAATCGAATCACAGCTGGATGGCTACATGTCCAAAGTCCAGGCAGTTCTCGGAGAGGATTGGAAGCTCCATACAGATGGTGAAAAGTTACAAGCTGAAAGTAACATGTTCCGAAAGAAACTCACCACTCGAGATATCTACGAAGCATGGCTATATGATGTTCAGTCAAGAGATATCTCGGTGACAGGGAGGCTCTTCGTCATCACGCGCAGCCGTAGTGCTAACGGAGCCCTGGAGTTGAACGTCAACTTTGACAACCATGCCATATCTCTGTTCAAAGAGGTCCGAAATCTGACATGGTTGAACTTCCAGATCCCGCATCGCATCGCTACCACCGCCAAACAGGCTCAAAGAGTATATCCGTATGCACTGAGTCTGATGGAAAGTGTGTCTGGTTACTTTTCGACGGTTCGGACCATCCTTGAGATGCCCAACATGGTTCCGCTGATGGCTGGCTATGAGAGAGAAGTACAGAATCTCTTCAGTACCGGCGTTAAATTGCAGTGGGATTCATTCATCCATTCGTACGAAGTGCACATCAAAGGGAAGTCCACATCAAATGACTCTGCCCATGTACAGTATGTACGTGATCTGGCTACGGCTGTTACAGTCCTGCAGAGCAAAACCGCGATCATTCGAGAACTCGATCAGAAAATCCAACTGGCACTTTCGGAGATGAAATCGTGCCAATACTCGGCGAAGTCCTTCCAAGCCCAGATGGACGTTATACAGAATGCAGTGGACAAGATGAATCTGGAGAGCTATGCCAACTTGTCACCGTGGGTGTCAGATTTGAATTTACAGCTTCGACGCATATTCCAGGAACGGTTGCAGCATGCTCTAAAGCACTGGACGACCACTTTCATTTCTTTAGATGGTCAGGACGGAATGCAGCAGAATACCGTTGTACCGGAAGACGCCATCTACCATGTGCAATTTCCCCAGACAAACATTGAAATCATCATGAACAACCAAACCATATTCGTGGAGCCCCCTCTAAACTTTGTCAAAGCGTCCTGGGTGAACCAGTTGGAAGACTGGCTCGACGTCCTATGCCATCTACCTCAGATAGCGCTTCGATATCAAGTAACGGCAGATGCTGGCCTTGCACAGGCAACCCTGTCCTACAACGACTTGCCCTTGGAAACTGTCGAGACTCTGCTCACGGCGTACAAAGCCATCGATTCTAAAATTGATCAAATGTCAACTTACCTGGATGAATGGTACACATATCAGAACCTTTGGGACCTGCGAAGCGACCAGTTGCACGAGAGCCTGGGTGACGATCTTGGTCAGTGGCATCAATTACTTCAAGAAGTTCGCCATGCACGATCGACCTTCGATACTTCAGAGGGCCGGAAAGCCATTGGCACTGTTGTCTTTGACTATGAGCAGGTCCAGTCCAAGATCACTCAGAAATACGACAACTGGCAGGACGAAATCACGAGAAAATTTGGTGGTATCCTTGGCAATCGGATGGCAGAAGTGTTCAATGACATGAGACAATCTCGGCAAGATTTGGAAAACCAGTCCCTGGAAGCATCGTCCACCGCACAAGCTGTAGCATTCATCACGACTGTTCAGCAATGTAGGAGGAATGCCGCCATGTGGGGTCCTGAGGTCGAGATATTCCGCCAGGGCCAGACAGCCCTTTCCAGACAACGTTACAATTTCGGTGCTGATTGGCTCTCTGCGACCCAAGTCAGTGACGAGTGGGATGCTTTCGAGGAGATACTCAATCGCAAAAGCAAAATCGTCGAGGATCAAACGGATGCCCTGCGGTCCAATGTCATCAATGAAGACCGTGCCATCAGCCGTCGCATAGCAGACGTCGTTGCGCAGTGGTCGGAAGAGAAGCCCGTGTCCGGCACAATTCCTCCGGCTGAAGCCGCTGAAGTGTTAAGAACATATCAGACACGGATGGAGAAACTCCAAAATGAGGCCGACACAGTTGCAAGAGCCAAGGAAGCTCTTGCTCTCCCTTTAACGAAAGACACTGCTCTGGCTTCTGCTCTCGAAGAAGTCAGTGATTTCAAGTCGGTCTGGTCAGCCCTTTCCACGATATGGCAGAGTGTCAATGACCTTCGTGACACATTGTGGACCAGCTTACAGCCTCGAAAACTCCGCCAGTCCCTTGATGGCTTGGTGAAGATGACCAAGGAAATGCCCAGCCGCATGCGCCAATACGCTGCATTTGAGCATGTGCAGAACGTCTTGCGACAACTTATCAAGGCAAATCCGCTTCTGACCGATCTGAAATCCGATGCTATTCGAGAACGACATTGGTTGAAGATCTTCAAGGCTTTGAAGCCAAACAAGCGGTACTCCGAGGTGTCGATGACGCTAGGAGATGTCTGGGACCTGCAACTGATCACGAGCGAATCCACAATCCGAGATATTATCGCTCAGGCCAGGGGCGAGCTAGCTCTGGAAGAGTTCGTCAGACAAGTGCGCGATACGTGGCAAAGTTATCCCCTGGACCTGGTCAACTACCAGAACAAATGTCGGCTTATTCGCGGTTGGGATGATCTTTTTGCCAAGTGCAGCGAGAACCTCAATTCGCTGCAAGCAATGAGACACTCTCCCTATTACAAAGAGTTTGAGGAGGAATCTTCCGCGTGGGAAGACAAGCTCAATCGCGTGCATGTTCTCTTTGACGTCTGGATCGATGTGCAGAGACAATGGGTCTACCTAGAGGGCGTGTTCACTGGCAATAATGATATCAAGCACCTTCTGCCTACAGAGTCCAGCAGATTTTCCAACATCAATACCGAATTCTCTGCTGTGATGAAGAAGGTATACAAGTCTCCATTTGTCATGGATGTTCTTGCCATCCCCGGTGTTCAGAAGTCTCTGGAACGGCTCGCTGAGCTCCTGAGCAAGATCCAGAAAGCCCTAGGAGAATATCTCGAACGTGAGCGTGTCTCGTTCCCTCGGTTTTACTTTGTGGGAGACGAAGATCTTCTGGAAATTATTGGCAACAGCAATGACAGCACACGCGTGGCAAAACATTTCAAGAAGATGTTCGCAGGCATTTCTGGAGCAGAGGTGAACGACGATAGTACGATTACAGCCGTCACTTCAAAGGAAGGAGAGTCCGTTGTCTTGAAGAAAGAGGTTTCTCTCATCAAATTGCCTAAGATTAACGACTGGCTCACCTCTCTTGATAACAGCGTCAAGCACACTTTGGCAGAGTTACTTGCAGAGGCTATTACTGCATTCCGGCCACTTTTCACTGCGCCCGAACTCGACGCAGCCTTGTTTCAAGAGTACATGAACATGTTTCCAGCTCAAATTATGATTCTCGCTGCTCAGGTCGTGTGGACTGACCTTGTTCAAGAGGCATTGGAGGCTGCTGGCCAGGGTCTGACAAAATTACACGAGTTTGAAGAACGATTGCTCGATCTGCTGGCAGAGAGCGTCCTCCAGGATCTTCCTGCATTGGCTCGGAAGAAGTGCGAACACTTCATTACAGAAGCGGTGCATCAACGTGACGTTGTTGCTAAACTCATCAAAGCGGAAGCTGCTTCCCCGGGGCATTACCTCTGGATCCTGCAAATGCGATATGTCTACGACCCCAGTGCTGAATTGAGGAGCCGGCTGCGTATCGAGATGGCAAATGCTGTCCTAGACTACGGGTATGAATACCTCGGAGTACCTGACCGCCTCGTACGAACACCACTTACCGATCGCTGCTTCTTGACCCTGACACAAGCACTCTGTCAACGTCTTGGAGGCTCCCCCTATGGCCCTGCGGGTACTGGTAAGACCGAATCAGTGAAGGCTCTCGGTCTTCAACTGGGCCGCTTTACCTTGGTCTTCTGTTGCGATGACACGTTTGATTTCCAAGCCATGGGTCGTATCTTCCTTGGCTTGTGTCAGGTGGGTGCCTGGGGGTGTTTCGACGAGTTCAATAGGTTGGAAGAAAGAATTCTCTCTGCAGTATCCCAGCAAATCCAGAACATTCAGATTGGTCTCAAACACACCACCAATGAACAGAAAGCACAGATCGACCTCGTCGGGCGTCGTTTCAAGGTCAATCCCAACTCGGGTCTCTTCATCACAATGAACCCCGGTTATGCTGGACGTTCAAATCTTCCAGACAATTTGAAAAAGCTGTTCAGAAGCGTTGCAATGTCAAAGCCAGATAAGGAGCTGATTGCAGAGGTAATGCTCTTCTCCCAGGGCTTCAAGCAGGCGAAGCAAATATCTGCTCAGGTGGTGCCATTCTTCGACCATTGTGCTCAGCGGCTTTCGAAACAGCCTCACTACGACTTCGGTCTACGAGCGCTCAAGAGTGTGCTCATTAGCTCCGGGGGACTCAAGAGAATTCGCATGCAATCCAGCAGCGAAGGCACAGATGATGAACGTGCTCTTGAACCACAGATCATTGTGCAGAGCATCCGAGAAACAGTATCCCCCAAGCTTATCAAGCAGGATGTTGAAACGCTTGTGGACGTCCAAGCACAAGACTTCCCCGGCGTGGAATATGTCCCAGCCAATATGGACAAGCTTGTTTCGGCCATCAAAGAGGTCATGCGCGAGGAACACCTTACTGAAAGCGAGGCCTGGATGACCAAGATCTTGCAACTGTATCAAATCCAGAACATTCATCATGGTGTGATGATGGTGGGTCAATCTGCCTCGGGCAAATCATCAATTTGGAAAGTCTTGCTCCAGGCCCTTCAAAGAGTCGAAGGTGTTGAGGGAGTGCACCACGTCATAGACCCCAAAGTTATGTCGAAAGAAGCTCTTTATGGCAGTCTCGATAGCACTACACGAGAGTGGACGGACGGATTGTTCACTGCCATCTTGAGAAAGGTCGTCGACAATTTGAGAGGCGAAGATAGTAAGCGCCACTGGATTGTTTTCGATGGAGATGTTGACCCAGAATGGGTTGAAAACTTAAACAGTGTGCTCGACGACAACAAGCTTCTCACCTTGCCCAATGGTGAACGACTGAACCTGCCCCCCAATGTGCGCATTATGTTCGAAGTGGAGAGCTTGAAGTATGCGACTCTCGCCACTGTCAGTCGTTGCGGTATGGTCTGGTTCTCGGATGACACTGTAACCCCGTCCCTGATGATTGACCATTACCTGCAAAACCTTGCGGACAGAAGTTTCGAGGATCTGGACGACGAGATCAAGGCCTCAGGCCTGGCCAGTAAAGCACGAGAAACGCAAAGACACATTGTTGAAACATTGCGAGGCCTAGCCAACCGCGATGATTTCCTCCTCAAGGCCCTCTCGACAGCATCGAAACACAGACACATCATGGATTTCACGCATGCCAGAGCGCTTGACAGTGTTTTCAGTCTGCTTGCCAAGGCATGCCGTTCAATCCTAGAATACGATTTGAATCATCCTGAATTTCCCCTTGACGTGGAACAGACAGAAGCCTACATTTCCAAGAAGCTTCTGTTAGCATGTGTCTGGAGTTTTGTCAGTGATGCAGGGTTGGGCATTCGAAAAGAGTTTGGTGACTTCCTCAGCACGATGACAAACGTCGATCTGCCAAACCTGGACAGCACAACATCTCTCATCGACTACGATGTCAACTTGCCACACGCTCAGTGGCTCCTATGGCAATCCCAGGTACCCACAGTCGACCTGAATACCAACTCAATCAAGCAAACCGATGTCATCATACCGACAGTCGACACTGTTCGCCACGAAGATGTCCTGTACTCATGGTTGGCCGAACACAAGCCGCTCATGCTTTGCGGTCCACCCGGATCTGGTAAAACTATGACCCTCTTCAGTGCTCTAAGGAAACTGCCAGACATGGAGGTTGTCGGTCTCAATTTCTCTAGTGCAACCCAGCCGGAACTAGTCATCAAGACTTTTGAGCAGTATTGCGAATACAAGAAGACATTGAACGGGATGGTCCTTTCCCCGACACAACTCGGTCGATGGCTAGTTATCTTCTGCGACGAAATCAATCTTCCAGCCCCTGATAAGTATGGTACTCAACGAGCAATCAGTTTCTTGCGACAACTTGTGGAACAAAATGGCTTCTGGCGCACGTCAGATAAGGTCTGGGTATCCTTGGAACGCATTCAATTTGTAGGCGCCTGCAACCCCCCAGAAGATGTCGGCCGTCATCCTCTTGGCGATCGATTCTTGAGGCACGCTCCTGTTGTCATGGTTGACTACCCTGGCGAGTCCTCATTGACTCAGATTTACGGGTCATACAACAATGCTGTGCTAAAGGTGGTACCAAGCTTACGAGGCTTTGCGGACGCTCTGACGCATGCAATGGTGGACTTCTATCTCAAGTCTCAAGCACGATTCACCCCAGACATTCAGCCGCATTATGTTTACTCTCCGAGAGAACTCACTCGGTGGGTTCGTGGCATATATGAAGCCATCGCCCCGCTCGAACACCTCTCGCTTGAAGGTCTTATTAGGATCTGGGCACATGAGGCACTGCGACTGTTCTCTGACCGTCTCGTGGAACCCGATGAACGTGCTTGGACATCTGATATGGTCAGACAGACCGCACTTGAGCACTTCCCCACGGCAGATATTGATCAAGCTCTACAAGGACCTATTCTATTCTCGAATTGGCTCTCCAAGAATTACGTGTCTGTCGAACAAGAACAGCTTCGTGAATTCGTGAAAGCACGTCTGAAGACATTCTGCGAGGAAGAGGTCGACGTCCCCCTTGTCCTCTTCAATGACGTACTAGAACACGCCCTTCGTATCGACAGAGTATTCCGGCAACCACAAGGCCACCTTATCTTGATTGGCACCAGTGGTAGTGGAAAGACCACCCTCTCAAGGTTCGTTGCTTGGATGAACGGCCTGAGCATCTTCCAGATTAAGGTGCATGGCAAATATTCTGCTGAAGACTTTGATGAAGATCTCCGAAATGTTCTGAGAGCTTGTGGTACCCGAGGTCAGAAGATTTGTTTCATCATGGACGAGTCCAATGTGCTAGACTCTGGCTTCCTGGAGCGAATGAACACTTTACTTGCCAATGGAGAAGTTCCCGGTCTTTTCGAAGGCGACGAATACTCTGCTTTGATGACAGCTTGCAGAGAAGGTGCCCAGCGTCAAGGCGATCATATCGATTCTCAAGAAGAACTCTACAAGTGGTTCACCAAGGAAATTGTAAAGAACCTGCACGTTGTTTTCACTATGAACCCGCCACAGGAAGGTTTGTCGTCCAAAGCAGCTACGAGTCCAGCCTTGTTCAACCGTTGCGTGCTTAACTGGATGGGCGATTGGTCAGATCAAGCTCTTTTCCAGGTTGGATACGAGCTCACGCAATCAATTGATCTGGACAAAGCGGGCTTCACTGCTCCAGACAGCATCCCTCTCGCCTATCGCGATCTTACGCTTCCTGCGTCACATCGTGACACTATTATCAATGCGATGGTTCACATGCACTATTCAATTCAGAGGACCAATGAGCGCCTGGAGCAACAACAGGGTATTGTTACATATCTCACACCTCGGCATTATCTCGACTTTGTGACACAATTTGGCAAGCTCTTCAGGGAAAAGCGAGAGGATCTCGAAGAACAGCAACGACATCTGAACGTCGGTCTCGAGAAGTTGCGGGATACAGTGGACAAAGTTCGCGATCTTCGAGCAAGCTTAGACCAGAAGAAGCAGCAACTAGAGCTCAAAGACGCTGAAGCTAATGAAAAACTGCAGCGCATGGTGGCCGATCAGCAAGAAGCCGAGCAGAGAAAAACATCCTCATTAGAGGTACAATGTGCCTTGGAAGAGCAAGAAAAGGAGATCGCAAGCCGGAAGGAAATTGTGCTCAATGATCTCGCCAAGGCTGAGCCAGCTGTGATTGAAGCTCAGCAAAGTGTTAGCAACATCAAGAGACAACATCTTACTGAAGTTCGTTCCATGGCCAACCCTCCGGCTGGTGTGAAGCTTGCGCTGGAATCTGTCTGCACTCTGCTTGGCCATAAGGTAGACAGCTGGAAGAGTATTCAAGCTGTTGTGCGCAAGGACGATTTCATCGCCAATATTGTCAACTATAACAACGAAAAGGACATGACACCACCGTTGCGACAGAAGATGCGCCATGACTATCTGTCCAATGACGACTTTACCTTTGAGAAGGTATTCCGTGCAAGCAAGGCATGTGGCCCTCTTGTACAATGGGTCGAGGCCCAAGTCAATTATTCCGAGATTCTCGACCGCGTTGGGCCCCTTCGTTCTGAGGTTGAGCAACTGGAAGAGAAAGCTCTCGACACCAAAGCGAATGCTAAAGCCATTGAGAACACTATTACCAAGCTCGAGAACAGTATCGCTACATACAAGACAGAATACGCTGCTCTTATCAGCGAGACGCAAGCAATCAAAGGTGAAATGGCCAGAGTTCAGACAAAGGTCGACCGAAGTCTCCGGTTACTGGACAGTCTTTCTTCCGAACGAATAAGATGGGAAGCTGCCAGCAAATCTTTCGAGACGCAAATCCAGACTTTGGTCGGAGATGTTTTGATAGCATCAGCATTCCTTGCCTACGCAGGTCTCTTCGATCAGCAGTTCAGAAAGACCATGGTTGATGATTGGATGCATCATATGTCGATGTCTGGAGTCTCTTGCAAGAACGATGGCTCCGTCTTGGGTTATCTTTCGTCCGCCGATGAGCGTCTGCAGTGGCAACGTCATTCGCTACCTGCGGACGACCTGTGCATGGAAAACGCCATCATGCTTAAGCGCTTCAACAGATATCCCTTGATCATTGACCCTCCTGGCAGAGTGACCGAATTCTTGAAGCAAGAACATCAAGGACGCAAATTGACGGTAACAAGCTTCCTCGACGATGCCTTTACCAAACAGCTTGAAAGCGCCTTGCGATTTGGCAATCCGATTCTGATTCAAGATGCGGAGTATCTTGACCCAATCTTGACCCATGTTCTCAACAAGGAGTACCAAAAGACAGGTGGACGAGTCCTCATCCAATTGGGCAAACAAGAGATCGATTTCTCTGAGCATTTCCAGCTCTATTTGTCCACTCGCGACCCTTCCGCAAATTTCGCCCCGGACGTATGCAGCAGAACGACCTTCATCAACTTCACTGTTACTCGTAGCAGTCTGCAGACTCAGTCTCTCAATGATGTCCTCAAAGCAGAGCGTCCGGACGTTGACAAGCGTCGCACCAATCTCGTCAAGATGCAGGGTGAATTTGACACCAACCTACGACAACTTGAAAAGAGACTGTTGCAAGCCCTGAATGAATCTCGTGGCAATATCTTGGACGACGACAATGTCATTCAGACCTTGGAAACGCTCAAGAAGGAAGCCGCAGTGATCACAAAGAAGGTCGCAGAGACAGAAGGTGTCATGGCAGAAGTCGATCGCATTACCCAAGGCTACAGCCGGATTGCCAATGCTTGTAGTGCCATCTTCGCATTGCTTGAACAGCTTCACCACCTCAATCATGGCTACCGATTTTCATTACAATATTTCATTGACATCTTCAATTCGGTCTTGCATCACAACCCTCACCTTACGAACAAGACCAATTATGAGGAGAGAAGCGAGATCATTCTAAAGGATATCTTTGTTGAAACGTATCGGAGAACATCACTATCGATGTTGCAGAAAGATCGAATCACCCTTGCAATGTTGCTCGTCCGTGCAACACCTTACGAATTCGATCGTTCTGTCATGGAATTGATCCTTGAAAATCGGCCTCGTTCTCGTGGTTCAATCGCACCTGATGCCTCTGATGAGGATGTAATGTCCGCAGTCAAACAGGTTCCTGTTTTTGATCAACAACTGATCAACGCCTCTGGCAACGCCTGGACACAATTCCTCGCTGCTGAGCGCGCTGAACATCATGTTCCAACAGTTTGGAAAGAGACTGACAATGCTGTTGACCGAAGTCTTTACGAATTGCTTCTTATGAAGCTCGCAAGACCAGACCGATTCCTACCTACAGCCGAGAAGCTTGTGACGAACGTGTTCGGACAGGAGATTTTCCAAGGATCGGATGATCTGAGCGCCATTGTTAAAGAAGTCAACTCTTCAGTACCCATTGCCCTATGCTCAAACCCAGGATTTGATGCCAGCTACAAGGTGGATGCACTTGTTGAGAAGCAGAATGCAAACTGTGCGAATGTGGCTATGGGCTCAGAAGAGGCTATCGCCAGCGCCGACAAGGCTATCACTAGCGCAGCAGCAAATGGTAACTGGGTATTGATCAAGAACGTCCACCTGGCACCTCAATGGTTACAGAGTCTCGAGAAACGATTATCAGCACTCAAACCTCATCCCGACTTCAGACTCTTCTTGTCGATGGAGTCCAGTTCCAAGATTCCTGTCAACTTGATCCGAGCATCCCGAACCCTGGTGTATGAACAGCCTGCCGGTATGCGAGCCAATATGAAGGATACCCTGACAGTCCTGTCAGACAGAGGAACCAAAACACCAGTGGAAAAGGGCAGACTCTACCTCCTTCTCTGCTTCCTGCATGCTGTACTTCAAGAACGCTTACGATATGCGCCAACTCTGGGGTGGAAAGGACTTTGGGAGTTCAACGACAGTGACTATGAATGCTGTTCATTCATCATTGATACCTGGATCGAAGCTATTGCCCAAGGCCGTTCAAATGTCGCTCCTGTCAAACTACCCTGGGATCTGATCCGTACTTTGATCACTGAAATGTACGGAGGCAAGATTGATGATGAGGGAGACTTCTCTTTGCTCAACAACATCGTCAACAAAATTTTCGACCCTGCTGCATACGAAACTGATCACGAACTTGTGTCGGACAATGATGGCCAGGCGCTGAAGGTTCCACAAGGAACGACGATTCGGGACTTCTTGAACTGGGTCGATCGACTGCCGGAACGAGAGCCGCCAGCTTATTTGGGACTGCCTGCTAACGCGGAGAAGTTGCTTTTGATGGGTCAGGGGCGAGAAACCATTGGCAACCTTGCTAGGGTTACAGATTTGTTGGAGGAAGGAGAGCATTCTGTCGCCGCCCCTCAAGAAAGCAAGGCATAGACATTGGATTAACTTTTCTGAGGGTGGCGATTTTGCTACTTGTTGATGGGGACATTATGAGGAGAATACATGATGGATCAGAGTGGAATTACTTTGTTTTCTTGGATGTGGTGACATTAGTTCTGAACAAGGGAGTAAATGCTTTTATTGAGTCAAGAGCATGGCGTTTAAGGAGTTTGAATATGGGACTTTGGCATGAGGGGCTTCAAGAAAGCAGAATCTGCATGACGTAGACATTTTCTGTTTGATTCACTTCACTCACCCTTATCGGTCAATGTTAGATACTCTTTTTTTATTTGTTCTTGGTATATATTTACTTCTTGGAAAAAAGGCCTTTTTGCTTTTTCTTTTTCTTTCCACGTGTGGATACATGGTCACATACATAGTTGAATAGCAGCCATGTGGATTATACCATCATCAGGTGACTGATTCAATCACCTTGTACGGAGTATGCATGATGAATGACTTTTGGTGCGAGGGAAAGAAAAAACCTCGTTTGACTGCTTTTCTTTATAGATTAATATATACGTATATAATAGAATGTAAATGGGGAGGGGGGAAGACAGAGGTCACCTCGACTACGTTGGATCGATTCCCCTCTAAGAGGTTTCCCAGTGGTTACTCGAGGCGTAGGTGGGGTGTGAATTCGAACAATCCCTCCAAGGTCTCGCAGTGGGCGATCCAGATCAGGGCCCTCGTCCCTTCCTCCCGCTTCAGCTCGGCCGTCTGTCGGATGACCTTCCTCGCGCCGGCCTCGTCCTCGTGGAACGTGTCGGTCGGGGTGACCTTGACGCCCTTCCCAAAGGGGGCGTCGGGGTACTGCATGAAGAGGGGGCTGTGGAAGCAGTCCCCACCGAGAAAACAGTACCGCAGCTCGCCGGCGGCGTTACGCGTGCGGGCCAGGGCGGCGAGGTTGCCGGCACAGTGGCCCGGGGCGTCGATGAGGTGGAAGGAACCGTCGCCGAAGAAGTCGAGCGCGTGGTCAAAGGGACCCAGGGGTTTCCATTCTTCAGGTGACGTGGCGGGTGACGATAGTTCTCGCACTGGGAGACGAGCGTGGCCTTGCCGTCCGTCGGTGGCGGCGGTGGTGGTGTCCCATATGCGACCGTCGAACGTACTGTCAGGGTCGCTGGGATACGAAGGGGTGGCCCAGGACAAGGTGCCGGCACCGCAAAGGACGGTGGCGTTGGGAAAGAGTGAGTCGGCTGGGAATATGTGGTCCCAATGGGCGTGACTGGCTATTATGTATTTGACCTCGGAAGGGTCGTGGTTCAGGGATTGGGTGTCTTCAGCGGCCGTGCTGGTGCCGGGTTGGGTCTGAAAGACTTTGTGTTGTACGTCGATGATTCGTGGTGGGTACAGAGTTAGGTCCTATCCAGGAGATGGTGGTTAAGTTGAGGATGGGTGAGAATGTTGGACATGGCTAGGATACGTACGTGAGCTATACCTAGATCAAACCAAAACTTTGTATCGGTAGGTTTATGATGCATGAAGAAGCGCCACGAGTTGATGCCGGTTGAGCCCCTGTCGCCCAAAATGGCCATGGAATTGGGCATTCTCATTCGAGCGGACTCGAAGGGTGTGATGGAGACAATGGCATCCGGGGTTTGTGGTTCCGGTAAGGGGTTGGTAGCCTTGTAGGAGGACATGTTGTGTGCGATAAAAGTGATTTGATTTTTGCTTAAACTTGCACTCAGTAGGGTATTATTGTGTTGACACTGATTGAGAACTTGAGAGGCTTGTCGGGCTGGGAGAAGGTGTTGGTTGAGCAAATCGATCGAAAATCCTGATTCATGGTCCTGTTTAATACGGACTAATATGTTGCAATCTATATCAGAGATCCGCTACCGAGACATAGACGGGCCGGACCCTCGGGCCTGTTGTCTCTGCGGGGGTATCAATAATGTGTTGATTTCTCGTACACCATGATAGCTTCGTCGTACATCGGTAGTGCTGGCATGGAGTCATGTAGGCAGATGTACGTTGACGAGTGACAAAGACTGCTGTCGCTGTCGATGTCACCTACTCTGTGCTAGACAATTCACATGTCGTTATTCAGCACTGTAGTGCGTTTTGGCGTCGGAAAGAGGTTGTGACATACTCACATCTTGGTTCGAGGCGAGGCTATTTTGTCAGAGTTTTCAAAGGTTTCTCATCATATGAAAGATCATAATCACAATATGAGATTTAGATACTAGGAGGTTAGTGTCTTCTGTTAGCACACTGTAGTACTTTGTAGAGCTTCGACGTTTGTCCTTCATCGTAGAACATCTGTTTGCGTCACTGAAGACAAACATCGCAAATATATACTCCCAATGACACCACGGTGTTCATTGTAGATTTGAGATATTCTCCGTCTCATTTCGAAAAGACAAAGTGTCTATCTGTGTAATGCTGTTTGAAGAAAGGAACCAGAGTGTCGGCAATACAAGTAAATGTCCTTACACGTGACTCGGATATGGGCTCGGCAAAGTTGCCGTTCACAAAGTTGGCCCTTGGACTTCACGCGACGGCGGCGAGCATGAAGCAGCCAAGGTGTCCACGCCGGTTGCTATATTATATCGGAAGCAGATACGGCAACCTGTCAAACGTCAGGTCTTGCTACTACTACCTAGTATTGTATGCTTGCAATTCACCAGAGAGTTGCAGATCCAGATTACAACACTCAGTCAACATGTACCACACTCTTCGGTAACCCAAGCCCCGAACCTGTTTTCCCTGGCGATACGGGGTCCCTTTCGAAAGGCCTCCTTGCGCCCGCACTCACCTGGGTTGTTGCGACGAAATGGCCGTCCCTCGCCCACATGTATCAATCCCACAAGATGACATGTCGCCTATGCCTGCACTGGCCACGGCCCAAGTTGACATTACTCACGACATCACCCCTGCCATCGCCATCGACCCAGTCGCCCTCATCACGACAGAATGTATAACTATAACGTCGGCCATGCGCAAGCATGCTCGGTGGGCTCAATCCTCGGTAGCCACAATCTTGGGCGGAGGCGCCTCGAGGCTACAAGAGTCGGAACTGCGGCGTTCGTCTTCCCAGAGTCGTCGAGGGACACCGGTGATCGCAGATCCAGGAAAGACAAAGTTGAACGTCAATAACCCCTCGGATGATGAGAATGCCAGCCTGGCGAGCCGATGGGGGCTGCGTGGAAAAAAGGGAAAGAGCCTGCAAGACAACCCGCTCCTGACAGCATTCTCCAGGTTGAGAAGAGATCTGGCAGGATGCAGGGACGTCCGGACCGTGGACGCCCCAGAGCTACTACACCCTTTCCTGCAGGTCATACGCAGTTCGTCGACCAGCGCTGCCATCACCAGCCTTGCTGTCATCTCCATCACGAAGTTCTTCGCCTACAATATCATCACAATACAAAGCCCCAGGATCGGTCCCGCCATGCATCTTCTCAGCGCCGCAATCACTCATTGTCGATTTGAGGCTAGCGATACGGCCGCCGATGAGGTCGTGCTACTGAGGATATTGCGCTTGATGGAGAACATCATATCAAGACCCGAGGGTCAATTACTCGGCGATGAAAGTATCTGCGAAATGATGAGCACTGGGTTAAGCATGTGTTGTCAAGCAAGATTGTCGGAAGTGCTCAGGAGATCGGCCGAGATGGCAATGGTCACAATGTGCCAGGTCGTCTTCAGCCGGCTGAGGTACATCAAAGTGGAAGAGCTGCCCAAGAGTAGGAGTCGTTCAAACACCAGAACCACCCTGATGAGTGCTTCGGAGGATCTGAAAATCGAGCCACCAATGACCGGGAGTGTGATGGGCAATGGCGAATCAGCACGGCCAAGTGTTGATGCTGATCCTCGGCCCAGCTCCGAACCAGCATCTGATGGCAAACCTTCCAAGTCGGAGCCAAAGAATACAACGGCCCCCGTGAAGGGAGAGGAAGACGAGAATGTTGAACCATATGCATTGCCGTCGATAAAGGAACTGTTTCGAGTTCTAATCGACCTCCTTGATCCCCATGACCGGACCCACACCGATCCCATGCGCATCATGGCACTGAGGATCATTGATGTTGCGTTGGAAGTCTCGGGCCCTTGGATAGCCAAACAGCCTATTTTGGCAGCATTGGTTCAGGATGATTTGTGTCGACACTTGTTCCAGCTTGTTCGATCAGACAATATGGTCCTGTTGAACAGCTCTCTTCGCGTTGCTGGAACATTACTTGCTACGTGCCGACAATTGCTGAAACTGCAGCAAGAATTATTCTTGTCATATCTGGTGGCATGTTTACACCCTCGCGTTGACATACCCCAAGAACCAGGAATTGATCCGGCGCTTTATGAAGGCGTACCTCAAGCTCCGAAACTTGTCAAACAGGCGCCATCCCAACCCAGTAGTGGGCGATCTACACCTGTCCCAATCAAGGATAGACAGAAATTAGGTCTTGAAGGCGGAGCAAGACGACCTGAAGCACGAGAAGCCATGGTCGAGGCTATTGGTACATTAGTGCGCATGCCTAGCTTCATGGTAGAATTGTTCGTCAACTACGATTGCGAGGTCGATCGACAAGACCTCTGTGAAGACATGGTTGGTCTGTTAGCACGCAACGCATTCCCAGATTCTGCAACATGGAGCACAACGAACGTACCACCACTGTGTCTAGACTCCTTGCTAAGCTTTGTCCAATTCATGGCGGATAGACTTAACCAAGAAATACCGACAGATGCAGAGGAGCGGATAGAGAAGATGCGATTGCAGAGAGTGAGAAAAAAGATCATCAAAAGTGGTGCCTCCAAGTTTAACGACGACCCGAAAGCTGGAATTGCTTACCTGGTGAGAAATGGTATCATCGACAACCCTGACGATCCGTTGCAAGTTGCCCAATTCTTGAAAGGAACATCCCACGTTTCCAAGAAGGTATTGGGCGACTTCTTGACGAAGAAAACAAATGAGCGGCTTTTGACTGCTTTCATTGGGTTATTGAATTTTGACGACAAACGAATCGATGAAGCACTTCGAGAAATGCTTGGTGCTTTCCGTCTTCCGGGCGAATCTGCTCTGATAGAACGCATTGTCAACATCTTTACGGATCGATATTGCACAACTGTCAACCCAGAGGAGATCGAAGACAAGGACGCCGCCTTTGTTCTCACATATGCTATTATCATGCTGAACACCGAGCTGTACAATCCCAACATCAAGTCTCAAAAGCGCATGGCAGTGGAAGACTTTTCCAAGAATCTGAGAGGGGTCAATTCTAAAAAAGATTTCGCCCCGGAGTTCCTTCAAGACATTTATGATGCCATCAAGCAGAATGAAATTATATTGCCTGATGAACATGACAACAAACATGCGTTCGAATATGCCTGGAAAGAATTGTTGATGAAGACCAGCGATGCAGGTTCCTTGGAACTATGCAGCACGAACACATTCGATGCAGAAATGTTCAGAGCGACGTGGAAGCCTATAGTTGCAACGCTCTGCTATGTTTTCATGTCCGCTTCCGATGATGCTGTGTTCAGCCGAGTCGTGGTTGGCTTTGATCAGTGTGCACAAATTGCGGCCAAATACGGCGTCACGGAAGCGTTCGATCGAATCATTTACAGTATCAGTCAGATTAGTGGTTTGGCTTCAGAGATCCCTCCCAGCACTTCTCTCAACACAGAGGTTCAGGTTGGGAAAAAAAGTATCATGGTTAGCGAGATGGCCGTGAGACTGGGACGAGATTTCAAAGCACAATTATCGACCGTCTTGCTGTTCCGTATCTTGTCAGGCCACGAGGACGCAGTGGGAGAGACATGGATATATGTCGTACGAATCTTGAGGAATCTCTTTGTCAACTCGCTCATCACCCTGCCCAATATTGAAAACACGAGGTTTGCCAATCTAGGCTCAATCCCACTGCAACCACCATCGCATATCGTCGATCGGGATGGCAAACTCGGCGAAAGCGGTCTTTTCTCAACATTTACATCTTACCTTTCGAGCTACGCCGCAGATGACCCCCCTGAACCTTCCGAGGAAGAACTGGAGAACACACTCAGCTCAGTTGACTGCGTGAGAGCGTGCCAACCGGATATGGTCTTGAAGCACATGGCCTCCCTTCCTTCGAATCAAATTACAAGTCTTGTAACAGCCTTGTTGTCTCAAATGGGAGAATTCTCACCGGTGGTGACGGTGAAACCGGAGCGACCTCTTCCAGTGACCACGAGAGTTAATGGCCACCGCATGCCCAAAGCTGGACCAGAATATGATCCCGGATCTATCTTTCTCTTGGAGCTGGCTACCATGCTTACTCTGAGAGATGATGAAACCACCGCTGTAGCCGGAGAAGCATTGACGGGTTCTTTGCAAAACGCAGTCAGGGATGCGTCGAATATCCACCCCTTGGCACTGTCGAGGATCGTCCATTACCTTCTCGAGGTGCTGCGACATGGCTATGTAAGTTGATCAGATGGATTGTTATTGCAATAATGGTGCTGACCTTGAGACAGACATTCGACTTCATGCGTGCCCCTGTAGTTCTTCACGCTATTTCTAGCTTTGATGATGCTGTCTTGGATCGTACCGCAGCAGCGATCACGAAAGACCTAGCCAGCTGCATCGACGGCCCTGCTGCTTTGACCAATGAAATCACAACCTCTCCAGATTTCTGGTCGACTCTTCAACGACTTCATCAGCACAAGACCGAAGCCGAAAAGGTTTTCTCCATCCTGACTACTCTTGCCACGTCCATGCCCACGACAGTGACGGCCGATAATTTTGAATCTGTTATCGGGTTGGCCAATGACTTTGCTGCTGCCGGTTCTATTGGCTCAATCCAGGAAAAGCGACGGGACTTCGCAGCCAAACGAGGTCACCAAGCCAAACCGGCCCGCGACGAAGACATTGCCGTAGTGCAACGAGCGAACAAAGCTATCAGCTTGATCTATCAGCTTAGTGACCGTGTGCCTGGTCTTATTGCTCAATCACATCTCGAGCGGAATGAAGCTTGGGCGGCATACTGGTCGCCCATTTTCCGGGCGCTGTGTGCACAATGTGTCAACCCATGTCGTGAGGTCCGCCATCGAGCGCTCTCGGCATTACAACGCACATTGCTTTCTGAGACCGTTGCAGATAAGGAACAACATCATGAATGGACAGCCATGTTTGATGAAGTTCTCTTCCCGTTAACTTTGAGGCTCTTGAAGCCCGACATATATCAGATCGACCCCCTCGGAATGAACGACACGCGAGCACATGCTGCAAGCCTGCTCTGCAAAATCTTCTTACGATATCTTGACCGACTTGTAGAGGTAGGCCGAATGGGCGATGTGTGGGTAAAAGTATTGGAACTCCTTGACCGCCTGATGAATGCAGGTACTGAAGGAGACGCTTTGGCTGAAGCTGTGCTTGAAGGGGTGAAGAATGTTCTCCTCGTCATGGACGGGACTGGGTATTTGGGTAGGGATAATGCGATTGTGCAACCTGGTTTGGTACCGCAACCACGTGTACCAATTTCTCCAGAGACCGAAGAAAAAGACGAAGACAAAGACGAGGAAGAGGTTGAACAGCAGCAAGACCACAAGATCGATGATTCTCAGATCTGGCCAGAAACGGTGAGGAGATTGGATAGATTCTTGCCTGGCCTGGTACAGGAATTGTTTCCTCCTGCACCTGCGGAGATGGAAGTGACAAGAGCCGAGGAGACTGTGGCTGATGAGAAGAATAGTGCGGTCTCTACGGAGTCATAGTGAAGCTCATGTATAAAATGTGATCTGGTAGAAATGCTGTTACAGAGACCGGATTGTGAAAGAAAGCCGTTTCCTGGAAGTCAAGCGTAATATTCAGTGATAGGAGGATAGGCAGAGATCAAGTACATATTCATTCAACCCTACCAGAGTTTATATTCCCACGATGAACGGTGACAAGGGTCTCTCGTATTTTCAATCAACATCAAGGGTGAGTCAGACACATCGTGTATGATCATTGTTGACTGAAGGAATCTGATTGACTTGTTCGCTTATCGAGAAGTTGTTCCTCTTGCACTCGCCATGTTCCACATTGATCCTACGTAGGTAACCAACCATAACCTCTTTGCAAACGACGTGTCTCAGCAGACCGTCGATAAGAATGGGGCCACTTTCCCCCGAGCATTTTTGGACTTTTGGATCTCTACAAATAAAAGGAAATCGAATTCGAGAATTAAGATTTCTTTACTTTTTCCCCTCCGCATTTTCCTAGAGAGAGAGAAATGTGGAGTAGATATCGAATATTAAACCCCGAACAGTCACTACCCGTAACTTTTTCGCTGACTCATCTCTTGCCGCTTTTCCCTCGCGCTAATAACTATTTAGTCAATTCACTCCCTTGTCCGCTCCCTTCTACTCCCTTCGCCTCTTTCACACTCCCCTTCTACTCTCTCTTACTCTCTTATAGCTCTGGTTTACTTTTATTCTTCTTTTTTATACGTGTTAATAAGAGTCTTATTTAAGCTTTAGTTTTATAAATACTAATGTTATATATATTTAGCCTAGTAATAACTTTATTTAATTATATTTATAAGAGTCTATTTTAACCTTAATAAAAGATAAGATCCCTAAGAGAAACCCTAAGAGAATACTTTATTATAATATATTACTAAATAGGGTTAACTAAATCTCCTAGCTTTATAGAATAATGCTTCTTTTTCTCTTTTCCCTTCACTATTCTCTCTTTCTTTCTCTTTTTTAATTCTCACATTTTTCTTTACTCTCTCTTAAAGTCTTTATTTCTTATATAAATTAATTCTTTTACTTAGTCTTTTAACTATCTAAATATATTTTCCTTATATTTTAATATACTTTAGACTTTTCTTCTCTACTTTAGTTATTTACTTTTCCTTTTCTCTTAACACTTATCTTTTCTTAATTTTTTACTATATTTTAGCGCTCACTACCTTACTTATTATTTCTCTATACTAAAGAGAAAGAAAACCATAGTAAAAGTCTTTAATAAAGTAAAGAAAAATAGTTAGTAGCTAATTATAAATACTAATATAAATAATAATTAAATTAGTAAGCATATTAAACTTAGAACTAAGTTAAATTATAACTAAATAATAGCTCTCTAGAATAAGTAAATTCTTTACTTACTTAAGAGTTATATTAATTTATATTAATAAAGATTAAAACTAGTGAGTAAATATAAATAACGAAATTTTAGTATTAATCTCTATAATTTATAAACTATAAAGTATTTTATAAAGAGTATTATAAAGACTAGTTTAAGTTTATTTTATATAAAGTAATAATAAATAAACTTTAAAGCTAATTAGAAGTAATAACCTAGTAACTAGAAAATCCCTTATAAGATATTAAAGTTAGTATACTATATTTATATCTTACTTCACTTTTATTAATAAAGTTAAGATTTTATTTTAGCACATTAAAATAGTGTTAAAGAAAAGATTTAATCTCTTAACTAAATAATAATAAAAGAACTTAATAGAAAATAAGTTTAATAGGCAAAAATACTCACACTATATAACTTCTAAATACATTATATCTAAGGAAAAGAAAACACTATAGCGAATACACTTAGCTAATAACTAAACTATATAAAAAACATTAAACTAGAACTTATAGTAATACTTAAGGAAAAAAATAGCGCCTTAATATATATGACACTAGAGATTTAGGTACTAATATTTATAGAAGTTAAACTAATAGAAGAGTAAAAGAAAGAAATTATTAAAGGATAACATAATAATAAGTTAGTAGAATACCTAGGTATTAAAAAGACACTTAAGTTAGTTATAAGGGACTTTACCTAGAAAGGAGTTAGGAAAGACATAACAAACTATATTAAGAAATACGATATATATTATAAGGTAAAGCATACTTAATATAAACTATATAGACTACTTTAAACACTAGTAATACTAGAAAAAGCATAGCATATAATCGCATTAGACTTTATCACGAAATTACCTAAGTCTAAAGAATCTCTTATGAGTATAGACTTTAATAGTATACTAGTGATAAATAATATCCTAATGAAATATGCATATTTTATTCTATATAAGAAAGCATTAATAGTAGAAAAGTTAGTCTACACTCTTTATAAAAATATTATTAGTTAGTATAAAATACCATTAGAAATACATTTAGATTAGGATAAACTATTTATATCACAGTTTTAGTAATCATTAATGAATCTTATAGGAGTTCATTAAAAGTTATTAATAGTGTTCTATTCGCAAAGTAATGAATAGATAGAAAGAATAAACTAAACACTAAAATAGTATTTATAGTGTTACATTAATTTTTAATAGAATAACTAGGTATTATTACTACTTATTATATAGTTCGCTTATAATAATAACACTTTAGCTATAGAAATATTACTATTCTATATAAACTATAAATACTATTCATAAATTAAGAAAGACATAAGAGATATTAAACTAATTATAGAAAAAGTAGTAATCTTAGTTAAGAAATTATAGTCACTATATAAACTACTAAAGTAAAAACTTAAGAGAATATTAGAAAAAACAATAAAAAACATAAATAAGCGAAGATCTAAGGGACTAGACTTTATAGAAGAGAAGGTAATATATCTTCTCAGAAAAAATATTAAAATATAGAGACTATCTAATAAACTAAATTATACTAAGGTTAGACCTTATAAAATTAAAAGAAAACTTAGACTAGTGACGTTCGAATTAAAACTACCTAGAGAAGTGAATATTTACTTAGTATTTCATAAATTACTTCTTAAAAAAGCACTACTAAACGCTAAACTAGAGCTAGTGCTAATATATAAAGAGACATAATAGCTATTATATAATATTAAAGAAGTCCTAAATTATTAGGTAATTAAAGAAAAAATGCATTACCTAATAAAGTAATTAAAATATAGAATAGACGAAAACACTTAGGAACTAGAAGAGAATATATTAAAGGCTACACTTCACTAGTATCACTAAAGAAAAAGAAGAAAGAGACTCACTAAATACTTAGAATAATTATAAGGGATAATTAATAGAGATAAGTCTCTTAAAGTTTAGAAGGGCCCCTAAAGATAATTTAAATATCTCCTTTAGCTACCGCTTATTTATACTAATAGAAATGATTAAGAATACTTTCTTAGGAGGATTTACGTGATCTAAGGTATCTAGGGACTTAGCCTCCTAAACTAACATTTATTTCTACTTCTTTAATAACGAGTTAGTCTCACGTTAAAGGCGCTCACACTTAGAGTAAACTTTATTAACAGCTATAATTAGCTAGGCCAGTTTAGCACCCTTTTACCATACCGCCTTAATTAATTAGTTTCACTAGGCTATTAAGGAATTAAACTTCTTATCTAAGAAAGTACTATCACAATATTTTATCCCCTTCTTAGTATAGATAGAACATTTACTATAGCTATCTAAAATAAAGTAAACAGAGTTTAAGTTCTAATAGAGTGTACAGCATTCTATACTAAATAACTTATAGCTAAAAGATTTAATATAGTTAATTAGCTTCTAGCGATAAAGGGTAAAGAAATGAGTGAGTTTAGTAATATAAAACTAAGGCATAATTAATTATAATAAAGAAGTAAAGAAAAAATAACGAATAGAAAAGAGAAAAGTACTTACTTATGTACATTATAGATAATAAATAGGTTTAGGAAGGAGAAAGTATTATAGGTTAATCTAACTATAGGTTATATATAAAGCTATAATAATAGCTAAAATAAGGAAAGGAGATAAGCTAGGGAACATATGCACCATTCATAGCCTAGTCATGTGATATAATTAGAAGGCTTAGTGCGGTGGGCCCTAATCATTACTAAGTACCTTCCCTAATTAGCAGGACACACTTAGTAGCGCTTAGTATACTTAGTCTGAGTAACACTGAGCACTACTAAGTAGGCATAACTATATAAATAACAGTCATTATATAGCTTTACCATGTAGTTAACTTCGTTCACAATTATACCTATATATTTTAGTTATAATCACTTCGCTTTTATACTTACTTAAGTACCGCGCTCTTAGTGACCTTACCTCTTCTACTTCCCACCTATTAAGACCATATATCTTATGACACCCTATATAGAGTAAAACGTAATAAATAGCGAAATTTGTTAAGGTAATAAATCTATATATATAATAACTTATATATTAATAATAATATTATAGAATCTATATTCTTAATTAATTAATACTTAAATTAGAGAATAGTATAATTTAACTTAAGCTCTTATTTAATAATTTCATAATTATAGTACTTAAGTTAAGATATCGCTAACTCTAATATATATTAAAGAAGTGACCTAGGAATTTTAAGAAATTCTTTTCGCTATTATAGAAGGGCTAAGAAGTTATATAATAAGTAATAAATAAAATCTATAAAAATATAGCTTCTAGGGGATAAACTTTAGCATTAATATCTAAGGGAAAGCTATATATTAGCTAGGCTTAAATATATATAGTAGTTAGACTTAGATATATATATTCACTAGGTTCGGACATATATACTTAAAGAGCGCCCTTAAAAGAACGCTAACTCTACTTAACTCTTATATAGAAAAGATTTATAGTCTTCCTAACTTCTTAAGCTATAGTTAAGAGTTACTATCTATTTAAAACAGAAAATTTTATAACGTAGAGTATCTCATAGTTTCTAAACACTCTTTTTTAGCCATAAACTTTATATAATATTATACTTAAAATTATGTTTATTAGGAATGGCCTATAAAATAGGCAGAGTAATAACATAATAAAAATAAGTCTTTCTATTTAGGTACTCTAGTTATAGAACTTAAAGCATAAGGAAGAGAAGTTCCTTATACGGGAAGTCTACAGTAATTATGCGGTTCGCCTGAGTTCTCTTAGCGTTACGTGCTTAGTAAGT